AGGCTCTAGCGTGGGGTCTTGGTCACCTTGTGCTCATGGTGGCCAGCAGGAGGATGGGCAGTGGGACATGACAACCTTTTGCCGTACCCAGTCCACCTCCGGGTTGTGGTGCAGCAGCCATGAGTGTCCTATGATGAGGGACTGTCACCCGAGGTTCACGACTGCAAAGTGGGCCCGCTCTGTATGGCGTCCGAATGTCAAGAGGGCCTCTAATTCTTCGGTTATGGCCCCGTTCTCGTTTGGGGTTCCATCGACGTTACGGACGGGGATGGGTGTGGGGAGCAGGGTGGTCTCGAGCTTGTGTCTCCGGACAAACTCAGGGCTCACGAAGTTTCCGGTGGCTCCTGAGTCTAGGAGCGCTGATACAGACACGGAGGCAAGGGAGGTTAGGGAGGTCAGCCTCACGGCAAGGTTGAGGGATCTCGGGGACCGTTTGGAGAGGACGTAGATAGCAGGTGGGGACACTGCTACCTCTGGGGCCGTCTCTGTGGTTTCCTCATCCTTGCGGGCTTGAGGTGCTCCTTTTCTCCTTTTCTTTGCAATGACTCGATGGAGCTTCGGTGCTGGTGACGGCTCATGGACATCGTGGTGTCTGCGTGAGCTATCCCTTGTGGGTGGCTGGCATGTGCTCCCCACAGGCTGGGTCTCCGGGCGTCCTCTTGGGTCCGGGTCTAGTCTTTTCCCTCCTGCCTCCGGTCCTTTCGTCGCTTGGCCCTTCAGCCCCTTCATCAGCGTTTGAAGGTCTTCCAGGTGCAGGCATCGGGTCTGGTGGGTCTCGGGGTGTGGGTTCGTCTCTCGTCTGGGACGGGTTACAGGGGTCGCGGGTGGGGCAGGTGGAGGGGGCCCGGGTGGGGGCGTGCATGGCTGCGTCCTCTGGAAGTGCTGCCACTGGCTGTCAAGGAGCGTGGCTTCACGCTTCCATTCGGCCCAGGTGATGGGCATAGGGCGGAGCTGGTAGATGCTCTCGCGGAGCCGGGAGTTGATTGCCCGCTCGAAGCGGTCGACTAGCCCTACGTCGCCTAGCTGCAAAGTGGGCCCTAGTATCTCAAACTCCTGGATGAGTCTGTCCACGGGGTCACTTCCCTGTCGGACAGTAGCCAGCCTCTGCCGGGCTGTAGCCACCCGGTTTGGGTCTTGGAACATGGCATCAAGTTCTGCATTGAACTCGTCCATGGTGGGTGTAGGGGAGCCTGTCCTCAGTAGCGCCATGGTGCGTTGCGTTGCCCATGCTCCTGCAGTCCCTCCCTTCATGTAAGAAAGCATGAAGAGGACTTGGGAGAGGGTGCTGGGGAATTCGGCCGCGCGGATGTAGAGGTAGATCCCGCATTCGGCCTTAAAGCGGTCAAGGTCCTCTCTGACTCCCGAGAAGGGGGTGGGGGGGGCGACTTTGGGTGGTCTGGGTGCGTGTGCAGGCAGGCCCTGGGCTTGGGCTACCACAGTGGCCTGTAGTTCCTGGAACCGGGCCAGCAGGTCGTCATACTGTTCTTGTGTCACCATGGCAGGGGAGGTGGGGGGAGATGGGGTTGAAACCTTCTTCTGCTGTCAGGGACCGACCCGGGGTCGAGAGCGCCCGGGTGTATCGCCCGAGGCTGAGGGTCCGGTAGGTATGATGCGGGCACGCGTAACAACGGGCCCGAAGCAGACAAGGGTCCCTGGCCACTGAGACTAAAGTGGGAAATGTGTTATTGTTATTATCAGGGGAAGTGTAAGCTACTTGCCTAAAGTGGGAAATGTGAGAAGAAGGTTGCTTCTCAGTTCCCACTTAGGCTGTGTTTATATACAAGTGGTTGAAGGCCACATGGGAAGCGCCACGTCATCCAAGCACACAGCCACCTCCGTCCGGGTACCTCTGTAAGAGGTCCTAGGAGCGTCCGGTATGCAGGGGGTCGTCCGGTGTGTCCGGGTTCGGGCGCATTACACTGCAGCCGGGTCAATGGTACATTGATACAAAGGAAGTCGTCCATGTGATAAGAAAGGAATAAAGAGGAGAGAGAATAGAAAAGAAGGGGAGGAAGAAAGGGAAGGGAAAAAAGGGGAAGAGGGGGAGGTCGAGAGGAGCGGATGGTGGGGCACCAGGTTAGGTGGGGCCGGGTCAGGCGGGTGTGCCCTGACAGGAAGCCTTGTAGCATTGTTATTTTCTGTTGTTCTAATTTTTCCTGATTGTTCTTGGTCTCACTCCCAGCTGCTACTGGATACTCCAGGATACTCCAGGATACTCCAGGAAGCTCCTGGGAGGGTCCAGGAGCAGCTAATGGAAAATACTTTTGGAGACCCAAGAAATAATGAGAACTGAATTGATGGGAAAGTCTGAAAATTGAATAAGAAAGTGAGGGGAAGCCTTGTAGCATTGTTATTTTCTGCTGTTCTGATTTTTTGTCATATCCATCCCCAGCCATCGACTTCTGGTCCCTTCGATCCCTCCGATCCCTCTGATCTACCTCCGCTCCTTCTTCACTAACCTTGGAGCTCCCGTATTCTGCAATCCCCTCAGTACCCCTCAATGGTCACCACCCCCTCCTTTCAATTTATTACCTATGCCTCCCTAAGTACGGAGCCCAGAAGACTTCCAGACAGCTCCAACGTCCGCTAGCGCACTCCCGCCTCCGTTGGGCAATACACTTGCCTGCCCTGCAGAGCCCGCCTTCAGGCCTATCCCTCCTTTCCGTTAACCCCGCAACCCGACTTGTCGGTAATATTCAGTCGGCTAATGTTTAACCCCGTTAGCTCTGCTCCATTCAGCTCCACCATTTGCGGACCTGTCTTCGCTGTAACCATATATATATCCAACTTGTACATAGGTTACACTTCAGTAATAAAATCGACTAGAGTTTACCCCCTTCAGTTCTGGTTGCCAGTTAGTAAGTTAGGGCACGGATGTGTTACTTGGCACAGCGCTCTTGGCATAAGTTGAAGCCCTCCACCACGGAGACTTTCCTTCGTCTCAACCTGGTCTCTGACATTTTTCCCGATTCTTCCTGGTCTCATTCCCAGCTGCTCCTCAATACTCCTGGAAGCTCCTGAAAGCTCCTGGGAGGGTCCAGGAGCAGCTGGGAGTGAGACCAAGAACAATCAGGAAAAATCAGAACAGCAGAAAATAACAATGCTACAAGGCTTCCCCTCACTTTCCTATTCAATTTTCAGACTTTCCCATCAATTCAGTTCTCATTATTTCTTGGGTCTCCAAAAGTATTTTCCATTTTTCTCCATCATTTCTTCCTCAATTTCGCAAATAATTATATGTCCTGAATGCACTTTAAAGGCACTATAGTTCCTGAATTTTTTTTTTGATTTTTCCCTAAATTTTCCTCCCACTGCTCCTGGCACATTGCATACTCCTCACCACTCCCAGCTGCTCCTGAACCCCCTCCCAGGAGAACACTATTGGTTCCAGGAGTGCCCAATCTGCTGTTTTGTCTCCCACATGCTCCAGCCACTCTTGATGCTCCAGAGCATAACAGACTTTTGCTGATGTGGACACGATGCAAATACAATTGGGTGGTAGATTTTTCCTATTTTGGAAACAGGTCATCGCTATCGAAGCGAGGTTGAAGCAGGTGCCCACGACGCAAGTTGTCCTCTTGGAATAGGGCACCGTTCCTCAAAGTTGATATCTCTACAATAAAGTATTTGGCCGGGGTCAGTATTTCCGTGGCAGAAGGGTAAGAGTAGCCTGGGTGGGCACGGACCACCATCAAACGTTATGAACAAAGTTCAAAAGACGTGCGATACTTCCACAGAAACAATCTACAGAGCCAGCAGCTTATTTCTTAACTTGCCCAAGTCCAACGTGCGGGAGCGTTTTGTCAGGCAGATATTCAACGTACGTGGGAAATAGGTCCTATCATTGTTATTTGTCGATTCAGCTAGTCATCCTGCGACATCAGTTATTGGATACACGCGATCCAGTTACATCTTAAACTGAAGTGATGGCTTCAGATTGACAGGTAGGATGAGCGCGACAGCAGTAGGCTCGAGACGCTGATCGATCCGGACGGTCGCGGCTCATCCGAGCTACTCGGCGAAAGGATGGGGTGGCAGCAGACAGGCCTGCCAAGTGAGTGCAAACCCAGCCAATTGGTTGGATATTATCTAACTCCGTTCCCGGACACCAAAATTTCCCGTGCTCTAAATAAATTTGTCCCACGGCCGTGAGTGTTGGATGAGCCCACACAAATATCCATTGAGAACATAACTTATGGACGCCACCTATTGCGGCAAGTACCCGCTTACTCTTCCTCGTTGGGGAGGTTTAGGATTGTCGATTATTTGGGCCCTCGACGAAAAATACAAAACGGTACGAGGATATCGGACTCCTTTCAGGGTCACCTGCGGAACGTAAATCGTAGATCAAGGACAAGAGATGGACCTAGAGCCAAGGGAAGCATGCCCGGAGGAAGGTGCGAGGTGGAAACCGTGGGATTGGGCTGAGTTCGGAGGTCTTCAAGACCTTTGGATGACGATAGAAGTCCCGGGAGAAGGGAAATATTTGTACCGTGAAAAGAGCTTATTTGCAGTTTTAGGGAGTGGCAGGAACTTCCACGTTTCCGAGTCGGAATCCAAACCATAGAAGATCCAAGAGCTATCAGGAACATAGACTATAGCCACAAATCACGCATAGCCTGCCTCATTTGGAGTCCAACACTCCTTCGCGAGTAGCGATATGGACTCCAGGTGGATACGAGAACTAAAAGTAGAGTCTGCATTCACGTGTCGATCGAGTGATGCCGAAGGAGAGTTGAGGCAATGGAAAGATAAGCCGGCGGAAATCTCAGGTCGAATATATAGGGCAACACTTGCCCGAGCCCACAAGGTCACCCGCGTAGCCCACAACTTGACGAACGGACCCACTGGACACTCAAGGGGATTAGGAAATAGCCAACATGAAGAATTTCATTATCGAGCACCGATGAACATTTCTGCTTGCACTTTCATCTGAGGCGTCGAGCAACAACGGTAAAAAAAGGAAGTCAGAATATCGGCACCTGCCGCTTAATTCCTCGATGTTAATCTGGTGGCATGAAACGATAATGGCCAACATAGCTGCCCAGTGAGTGTTACTCTTGATAATGCGTTTTCATGATGTTCGATTTTGCGCTTTCGTTCTGGTATCGTGTCAAGTTCTCAACACATGGATAGCATCTCCACAGGATTATTTCTACTCTGCTTGATTTCTTCAAAACATGACGTCGTCTAGCGGCTGATAGCACGGTCAGGCACATCCCGGCGCCATTGGTGTGGAGTCGAACAAAGTTGGTATTAAGCTGGGTGTTGGGGGAACAGCGTTTGTGTACGTCCTCCCCATCAAGTCGCCTGTGGCCTTCCTAACATGTTGGACTTGGTTGGCTACATAACTACTATATTGCGCTATAAAGGGCTTCTACCAGGATTGACAGAGGGAAAATCCTTGGGGCGTCGTTGATTACGACCTTGGCCCAGGCACATTAGTTTTAGCTAGCAACGTCTCCAAACGTACATTCTTCAGAAGTGTCCCACAGCGCCAACCATTAATTAAATAAGAAGGACGTCGCGGGGCTACCATGCATATGGAGTCGATAGTGTTGTACGGCGCACATCTGACACATGGATGCTTCCGATTACGAACAGGATTGGTCTCCACACAGTGAATACGTTTAAATCTTTCGAGCATACGTCATCAACAAATTCCGACCTCCGTCGTGCACGCGGCTGGATGCTAGGAACTAAGCCCACCGCTAAGAGCCAAGAGGCTAGCCCTTTTCTCTTCATAATTTAGGCGAATAAAATATTTAATTTCACGCATATTAATTCCCCAGCGTCTCTCATTTAATTTGCCCTTTGCCCTCCTTAATGAAATTGATGCCCAGGCGTTCGTCTACGCGGCAGCATTCAAAAGCCCTTCGAATGCATCACGCGTTCCAGAGGTTTGCGGGTGCTTCTGTCGATCGGGACCGTGTCCAGTATCTTCTGTGTGATGGAGCGGATCAACCCTCCAACCAAGAGTAGGTCAACAATGAGGCTGCGGCGCGGTCCCGCTTTTTGTCAGGCGGTTGCTCACGCCCTCAGCTAGCTCTTCAAGCTCTCTCCTCCAGTTGGTGCAGAGATTAGTCTAATTGAAGGGACGCACGCTCAGATGCATAAGTCAAAAAGTCGCACTGTTCGTGCGGAAAGCAGTCATGCCCACCATCCCTTTTTCGGTAACTCGCTACACCGACGCACCTCCCTAGAGCGGCGTATAAACACGGTATGGTTGAGTGTCAGTAGGTCTTCTAGTCAATTACTGACAGGTTTTACTGCAGACTCTCCGCGATCATCGGGTAGGACCCTGCCACTAGGGGTCAAGATCTTGGACGAGCGCGTGGTGACGGTTCAAGGTAACATCAAGCCACCAAACCTCCTCATCGACCCTCAGACCCTGCAGGCGACCATCATCGATTTTGGCGGTGTCAGCGCACTGCCGCATTCGTTTGTCAGCTTCACACTAGCACATTGCCGAGTTTTTGGAGTCCGTCCGATAACTCTTTGGTGATGGAAGCGGCTACAGGGTTTGTATTGGCCAAAACTGGACTGGGGCAAGAGTTTTAATAAGCCATTCCTCTGCATAACGTTAGATTACAAGTTGACATTGGCTAAAGGCATAAACAAGGATGGTTTTTCAGTGCGGAAGGTGACGTCTTGTCGAGTCCATTCCTCTGACCCACATCGAACAACTTTAACAATGAGATAATTACACATGAGATGCCAAGGGAATGTGCTCCAAATTTAGCCTTGGGTTTGCCCCGCGATGTTGGATAAGGAAGCTTCCGATTGAATTGTTCGGTGGCTGAATCGACAATATACCGCATCTACTCATCGAATCAACTCTGAACGAGACCTGCTCCTTTGTACAGGACCGTTGCCCCAAGTAGAGCGCAAGTCTCAAGAACCCCGTCGGCATGCCTATTCACAGTCAACTCCCGAATGTCACTTGGTGTTCGAGGTCTCTGCCTTGGCCACATGCTCTTTGGCCAGACGGATCCTCCCTCTGAATAGCTCAGAAAATCGCCCTGTTGGACAGACTAAATGCTGCGAGATACCACTATGGCCGGAATCGCTTGATTCTCGTGGTGGCTGTTGCTCACGGACCTTCCCCGATGGGTCCGGGAAAGCAATGCCTATCTGATGGCCTTTGGCTTCGCGTATGTGCTATCCTGGGATGTTGACATTTTTTCGCTTGACAGCTTGTAATTTATTCCTCGCTCATCACGCTCGTAAACTATTTTCTGTGCTTCAACCTGCACTTCAACATTGTCCGTATGCCGCATCTACTTATCTTCAAGCTGGTGTTATCACCTCGTCTTCCCCCGTCCTCATCTTTTTGGGCAGCTACGTTGCAAGATCGTCATCGCTACTCTTTCAGCCACGCAAACCAGCTCTCTCTGTGGTTGGGTGATCTCACATCGCAGAGACGCTGGACACGAGAAGATGACGAGATGGGCAGCCCCTTAGCTAATGGACAGCCGTTGGCCAAACACGATGAATTCAGTTTGTTCCACATCTATCTGGTCGCATGGTCTACATGCCTCGTTCTCAACGCATTCGAATGGCCCCAAGCGGGGCTTACCATAGATCCATGCATCTGCATGATTCTCCTATTTGATCCTGGAGAATGGGCTCTTCGCTACTAGACCCACTAGCTCTCACTAAATTTTTGTTCCCATCATGTGCACGTCTTCGATGATGCAGGCGTTACTGACCCAGTAAGTTGATTTGTTGGTCGAGTAGATGCTGATGTATCACTATAGCCTCACGGCTGACTGTCTGGCACAATCGGTCCTAACCCTGGCTGGACGCATCAAAGATTTCGAAGCTTATTTATACATGCAAATGGAATCTGTGGGGGTTTTTGATTCTGATACATTAGGGCATTTGTCATTCTCTCAATGCTCTAGGCCTGATCGATTCGTTTATCCTTGCACTCACCCTCGGCCCAGCGGTGTCAACGTCCGATAATAGTAAGTCGCCTGTTTTTCTGCGGTCTGTATTGCGCTACTCACAGATCTCTTGGCCCTTGACACCTTTCAGCAGTAACGCGATTCCCAGACAATGGGAATTGGACAGGAGAACATACCAAGGCGTGCAGCTGTGCAGGCAGGGGGGAAAGCGATGATGAACACCGGCAAGATTGCGACTTCACTCAACGGGTTCAATATGTGTTCACACACAAGCTTAACATATATATCCTGGGGCACTAGAACATCGTTATTGATACTTGAGCGATTTTAAAGTCACAAATGTAAAGATGCGCATAAAATAAACAGACAATGCGAAATCCTATACAAAAGTGAAACACTAAAGCAGTCGATCTTAGGGACTATCAGATGTTTCGTGGGGGGAAGAAATGTCGGATGCGGTGCTACAAGGAGAGTAACTGTTAGGCACTGGGAAATCAAACGTGGCACTTGGATACCACGCAGCTTGGCCAATATCGACGACAATGGGAGCTTTCATCTGGCCCTGGAGCAGAAATCGAGTACCATCCTTGCTGGACTGAGGACGGTAGAAATTGTTGATATTATTGATCAGTTGATCGCCATACCAGCGTTGTATGCCATTGGTGCTGTTTGCCCCGACAGAAACGTAATACTCTCGTGGGACAGTGAGTTGCGGGCCACCATTAAACCATACCGATTGGGGGATATAAAAAGCATTGACTAGTGGGGTCTTTCCTGCGGCAAATGAATAGCCCCTTCCATGTTTTGGTAAGGGATGGAAAAATGGACGCTTGATCCAAGACTCATCTGAGTCAGGCCTCGCATCCACCCAGGAATGATGTGCAGAGATTGTGTCACCTGCCAATGGAAGAGTGGGTCGAGTAGATACCGGATGAGGGATGTGATACGGGCAAGTAGGAGCCATACCAGGATTTATAATCCAAGATTTGTCTCCCCGTATGTCATAATGTGTAATAAAATCACCTGATTCTGTCGACCAGGTGAAAGCGTTGTACCCATCAAAGGCAGCAATGTATCGTGCCCCTGGAGAAAACGCAATCGTGTGACGCTCAGGAAAGGCTGGCTTGGAAGGTTGAGAGGATGGAATGGAAGAGTCCAATGGAGGAGAGGCAAGGAGCTGGATGTGCCGGTCACCTAAAATGTATATACGTGCCACATTGTTGTACCAAGGCTTTCCAGGATCCCGTAGGACTCGTATAATGAAGAATCCACTATCTGAGACTGCAGTTACAACAGGATAGGCACCTATGGGGAGAGTGCCAAGTTTCACAGGGAGCACACCATGGCTATAGATAGCGATGTTCCCGTTGACATCCTCGGTAGTGACCCGATGATGACCATGGTTAAACTCAATCCATGCTGGTGGATTGGGTGGATCATTCTGGAACTGAGAGATTGTACGCTGATCATCAATATCAGCAATCTCAATAATACCGCTACCAAGCCCAAGTGCAATGTATCGACCATCCCTCGAGAGTGCTGCACATGTCACAATGCCGTTACGGACATCAGGTTCGCGGAATTCAGCTTCGTAATCGATCACTTCACGACTCCACTTGTCAACCTTCTTTGGTAAACCATCTAATTTCGCCTCTATAAGCATTCGGGCATTAAGCGAAGCCTCGCTCAATGGAATCAAGTGGTTCGAAATCTTGCTGGAAATACCAAAAATCCGAACAGGGTCAGAGAGGTGGCCATATAGTTTATAAAGAGATGATTTGGGTGGGCAGAAAAGAGACATAGATCGATAAAGCAACCATTGATGGACCCCATTCATCGCTGCACTTTCTCGGAGGAGTTCAATTACATCATGATTCTATCAAAAGCAACATCACATCAAATAAATCTAATATGAACTGGCTCAGACTTACATTGAATTCATCAAATCCTGTTGGCACGAATGAGGTCCCTCTAATGTGCAGGAATGTAAGCAAGTTTTGTGTAAGGAAGGAATTGAACTCGTCCTGCAATTCGTTGTCATTGGACTCTTGGGAAAAGAGTTTTGCCGGGTCCAGGTGGTAGAGTACTGTGCGAATGACGTATCGGATGTGATCGGGTTGATTCCATCGTTTAAAATCTGCCCATTTTCCTTTGTCACTGAGGGGAGGATTAGTGGGTATCCTAAATTCATTCCGCTTGCAACAATTATTGAAAATTCGAAGGAGCAGCGGTCCAAGAAAATATCCTTTCTTGTCATTGATAAAGAATACTTTGTCATTTTCATTACCAATCGGACTCCCCGTTATAAATTCTTCTGCTGTGGCATGATAGAATTTAACACTTCTCCAATCCTTCGAAGGAAGTTCAATGATCGAGCTAATCGGTTCCAATGTGGCTTGGGCCTCATCCTTGGCAATTCCTAAAAGCTCTGACATAGAATACACACTCAGTGATGTACCCGCCACGAGAATCGTGCCAACCAATAGGCGATACATTTTGGCTATATCGGCGGGCATTGCAGATGAATCGGGCATATAGGCTCTCCGAAGTATTCGCAAGTACTCCAAGTTGAGATTGGTGGGTGGATCGGAGAGATTGAGAAGGTACCGAAACTCTGTCTGCAGGGTGCGACCATGCCGTGTCTGCGAGATGACTTCGCGGATTCGGATTGATGCCATAACAGGCAATTCACGACAAGCCAAAGTAAAAGCATCGAAATCTTCCTCCGAAGGTTTCCACCGAGATTTCTTGATGCGATCTCGAAGGCCATCCTCCACCATGCAACGGATCGTGTGGTGCTTCTCCTCCTTCGTAATTATATCGACATCTTCACATGGTATGACAAGGCCCCGTTCCCGAGCTTCATCCCAAGCTGACATAACCAATGACTCAGGACGACAGCTGACAAATACTGTAAAAGTGGCTGGCAGCTCTTCGAGGATAAGGACGAGCTCCATCAGATGTTCAAGTGCTTCTAGATCTCCACACTCATCCAAGCCATCTAAGACAATGACGAGGCGATCTTTTCCGGAAGGTAATATCTCCAGCAGATTACGCATAGGCTCGATAACAAGAGCCTTCATTTGCTTTTCCAGAGACAGATACTGAGGCAGTTGCAGATCTTGCTGCCGAAGGCACCTGACAAGTGACATCATGAACTCCCTATCAAAGCATGCGAGTTGATGTGCCAGCGTGGAAGGGAACAGCTCAATGGAATCAAGGCCCGTTCCGACCTGGTTTTTATCCCAAAAGAAGGATGCTGCCAGAGTGCCCTGCACCTTGAGGGCAGACGCAATGCTCATAGCTATCGCAGTCTTCCCTGTCCCTGGAGAGCCCCGCAACCAGACAAATCGGGCCTTGGTATCCTTCAGATGATGGAATATGGAATTTTGTGCCTTGACTTGTGTGGTTGGAAGGCATTCGGACTTGCTCTTCACGTAAGTGTGTTCGGCAGGCGCTCGCTTGAGTCTTGAAAGCTCCGCTGAAAGCGTGTTAGCAAGCGTGTCCAAAAACACGCACATAAAAACGTACATTCCACCGATGCTCGAATTGTCTGCATGAGGGTTAAAACCGACGCCTCCGTCTGTCGAGTCCTTCAGTTAGCTAGCACCCAACACTCGAAAGAGAAAGCGAACAGACCGAGACCGAAGTAATAGCCTTATTGATGCACGCCTTCACATCACTTATATCCTTGGCGATATTTGACGCCGTCACCATTCTCTTGAAGAGCCCTCGATGCTTGAGGAATTCGATACGGTTGATCTGTTCTTCCAATGTACTAGGAATAAGCTCTGAGATTCTCCGAGTGACCAAGGGAGGAGTATGCAACGTACTCGTGAAACTCTTTGAGCGGAGCAATCAATTCGGGAGGGACAGTTTGACCGGCATACAGTTCGAGTGGCCGCAGGATGGCAGTGTAAGCCTTTCGAACCTCGTCATTAAGGCCCTTAAGACTTTCGTTATTGCTGTCAACGGTCTGTGCAGGTGAGAAAAAAGATGTGTCACCCAATCACTGATCGATCACGAAACCAAATTGCTATGCGAACCTCATAAGCTTGGAGCAACGTCAGAAGGAGGTCCAGGATTTGGCTGACGTATGGAATCGGAGATATCTTGAGAGCAGAGGATGCAGTTTGGAGTAAAAGCTTTGTGGTGCTGAGAACCGTTTTCTTCCGATCCCCAGCTGGGACTGCCGATGACGAAGATGCTGGTTCCGGGGAGGAGGCGCAACAATGCCCATACCTGGGTACTCTCTCTGTGCCCTGAGGATTGCATCGGGGTCATGAATGGGATATGTTATGGGCGCCGAGTGCGGATTGTCAACACCCCGCAGAGGGCGGAATAGCGGCGCCCCCCAGCCACGAAGGGTTGAAAGATCCGGTGTGGTTGGCGTAGACCCTGGGGGATTCGGTGGGTCCAATAGGTTGGAATGAGGATTTCCGCCAGGATCCCTCGTTAAACGGCGCTCTGGAGACGTCCGTCGTTTCGAATCTCGGGATCTGCTGGAAGAACGTGACGTAGATGGGACCCCGGTAGGCTGAAGATTGGGACCTCCCGATCTATCGCGTCTGGTGTCGTCATGGATTTGGTCTGTCCAAACTCTTGTAAAACGAATCTGGGGAAGTGAGGAAGTCGAGGGTTGTGATGACTGCAGACCACCAGAAGACGGCGCAAGGGTGGGATGTTGAGACGAGGGTTTTCTTTTGGGAGCCATAGCACCAACGTAGATGGTAATCGATGCAGGAGGTGAGGAGAGAGGAAAGCCTGCTCAGCCGCGGCCTACTTGATATATGTCAAAAGCGCCCATGCATTGGACACGATGAAAATCCAATTGGCTATCAGATGTTTCCCCTTTTGGAAACAGGAACATCGCTATGTGGTCGAAGCAAGGCACATGCATTGGCCACGAAATAACTGGGGAACGCCGCCTGAAGCGGCAGATCCCGCTACTCTTACCCCGCATGCATAGAAGTGAAGTAGCATTAGATGTATCGGCGACTCACTTGTATCGGGAGTGAACATGAGCTTTTTCAGGAGATATGATTTGTCAGTGAGCTTGGGAGGAAGCAGGGAACCCTAGGTTGGGAGGGAGTGAGGATAATGGTCCCTGGGTTTGGGGGTCATACAGGACCCTGTGCATAGGACAATTGAGTTGGGGAGAAAAAAACGTAGGACCCGCTACGGGGTAGCGGGAATTTTGGTATGCAATCTTCAGCACAAACACACGCAAACAGGGATTAAATCATGCACTTGTAATTCCTCTTACAAGCAATCGAGTATTGGGTGGACGGTGTCCAAAACTCCCCCAGTCAAAGCGGATGGGGGAACCACCCCACCCAACTTTCGCCCTCTGAATTATCTTCTCATACGCTGCCAGAGACTCTGCGACTGCTTCCTCTCGGAGGCTATCAAGGATATGCTCGCCTGATGACCTACAAGTAAGTCCCAGTAGTCGTTTCTGAAGTCCTTCCTTTAGCAATGCTTTACGATTGTTGAAGGGGTCGCATCCGCTCAAAGCGCCCCTCCGCCGTCATGTCTAGGTCTCCTTTGTTCCTTTGTCCTACACGCTTCCTTCCCTTCTCCCTTGTCGGAGTCCTTACGCCTCCAAAGCGCTCTATAAGTATCGGACGTCGGACTATGCGGTACATCACCAACAATTCTAGACGACGTGCCGTCCCCAACAACGATTTCTTTGGGAAGCGACGCGATGTAGTCATACCTATGGAACCCTAACCCCAAACACCCCCGTCGCGAGCGAGCAGTCTAGCCTCTTCTATTTTTAGATCTCAATTTTTTCTTCAAATGGTGCTGCAGCTGATCCAGGCATCTAGTAGCAGTTCCCAGCCCAGTTCTAGGACACCCGGTGTCGTTTAAATACCCTCGTTTGCACACAGTCCTCTCTCGTGTTCTAAATGTTCCCGGCACCTTGAATATATCACTTTTACGCATTTCGCAGTGCAGAAATTTAAGGCCCTTGGGCTGGGAAACTGAACGCGACAACCTTGGAAACACTTCAGTGGAGTCATTCAGTGCCATTGAACGTGTTTAACCGCTGCTCGACAGTTCCACAAAGATCAAGTGTAGATTTACTTCTGAGAAGCTCTGTTTCTCGCCTCAGCTTATGGGCCCTCCTTGCTCTTCGAAGTCAGCTGTTCTCTCCATGGAGGTATCAGGGACACCTGGCCGGAGGTCTGGGAATTCTCGGGTAAAAGTGGGCTGACTTGAGCGACTGTTACATTGTCATTCGGCAAGTCGGCAAAGCATCGTACACTGACTGTTATTTGTTGATTCCGAAATGAAGCCCAGTTCCGGCTAATGATTTCCTCCGGCTGCGACAGACTTTCGACCGGTTGCTACTATGGTTTTCTGGGGCTCTGACCCCAGAAATCCGACCTCCACTTGGTGTCCAGGAAGTCATTCTGCTCCACCACTTTTCCATCGGTGTTGAAGCGAAACCCGTTCACGAACGAAGCAGCGATCGACTTCCCTTCTACCGAAACGACGCCGGGCTGCGTGTACGGACCCGTCGGCCTTCACAGGTATGACAACAAATGAAGAGACGTACCCCGAACTTTGTGTAGAGAATCACGTTATTTTCGCTTTCCACCAAGTCTGTGACGATAAGCTGAAAGGAAATGGTCTTTGGGCTCCTATCGCATAAACAAATGACTGATCGGACCGCGCACCTGCATTCCCTTAATCGCGGCCCACCAAGCAGTCCGGAATGATTCGATGAACGCCGCCTTATTCAACTGATTCCATCCTAGCGTGCTGAGTGATTCTGGAAGTGCGTTCCAGACAAAGCTGTCCGCCACGCACTCATCCATGGTGGTCTTCAGGGTTTCATCAGAGTATGAAGTCCAAGCGTCGCAGAGGCGCAGAGCAGTTTTCACGTTGGGGGATGGCGCCTTGCGGGCTGCAGTGAGATGTTCAGCGAGTTGAGTGGTGGCCATGTCTCGATAGGGAGCACTACCAGAGCTGGCCGTTATATGTTGCCTTTTTAATTCAAATTTTCCTCCTTTCGAGGACCCATGATGCACGTTGTGATAAGGCCGCGTAAGCCAGTATCCCAGAGACTGAACGTTTTGGCAATGGCATGCCAACAACTCCAATACGTCACATGCGAGGGTAATGTACTAGGAGCATGTATGCAGCGAGTGGGTGAGGGATCGACCCACCTCAGTTCACTCGCTCATCGTCGTTCTCTCATCATTCAATGCGTATCCTTTTATGGTAGCGTCACACTGACCCTACCCTTGTCACGATATACATAACTGATGGACGCCGCCTGCAGCGGAGACAGGATCCGGAAGTTACAAGGCAAATGCGGAAATTTGGCTTACAAATCAAGATAAGGACCCTGGTTAGCCAGCGAATTTGCAATAATAGAGGACCTCTTGCGCAGGCATTTAGTTTACGCAGTGTGGCGGTTAGCCAAACTTGTGTCACTGCACTGGGGTACATTGATATCTCCTCTTGAACGAGTGCTCTACCCATGTACGCTGTGGCGAATTCATGCATTTGCAACAAGACAACTCCCAAGGCCCTCAGCTTGATTTGAAATGACAAGAGTGGTGTTGGGGATGAAAATTGAGTCGTGCAATGGGTGATGACATTATTGACCAGACATTAGGGAAACGTCGAAGTGAAAGAGAGAATGAAGGGGAACTTTTAAAGTAAGAACAGGATACGGAAGTTACAAAACAAATGCGGAAAGTTGGCTTACAAATCAAGACAAGGACCCTAGATAGCAAGGGAATTTGCAATAATACAGGACCTCTTGCACGGGCATTCAGTTTACGCATTCAAGACCCGCTACAGAGTAGCGGGAATTGTGGGAATGAAGGGTTGAGTAGTACCCCTTGGAAACAGGACATGAAGATGTATCTACGATAAGGTGCGGTATACTTTATTTAGCCGGCGATTTCGTTGCAAAAGGGTAAAGGTAGCCTATATAGGCATGGACCACTATGATACTTGTTTAGCGGTTATGAACAAAGAGATGTCCGATACTTTCACGGAAACAATCTACAGAACCAGCAGCTCACTTGTCGCGAACATCCGGGAGCGTTTTGCGGGCCAGAGATTCAACGTGGGAAATAGAGAGAGCCCTATCGTTGACATTTGGCGATTCAGGTGTGTCAAACGCTAGCTGATTATCCTGTGACGGTAATGATGGGATGCGCGCGATTCATTTGCATCTTGAACTGAAGAGGTAGCTTTAGATTGACAGGTAGGAATATGGAGCGTGGGGGTAGGCTCGAGACACTGGACATGTCGCAATTCATCTGAGCTGCTCGCACAAGGTGAAAGGAAGGGGTGGCAACAGATAGTGAGTGCAAACCCAGCCAATTGGTTGGAGATTATCTAAACCCGTCCCGGACATCAAAATTCCCCGTACGCTAAATAAATTCATCTCACAGCTGTGAGTGGTGGATGAGCGCACAAAGATACAGATTGAGAACATAACTTGTGGACGCCACCTGTCGCGGCAAGTACCCGCTACTCTTCCTCATTGGGGGGTTTGAGATTGTCGATTATTTGGGCCCTTAGGCGAAAAATACAAAATGGTACGAAGATATCGGATTCCTTTCAGGGTCACTTGCGGAACGTAAATCGTAGATCAAGGACAAGAGATGGACCTAGATTAAAGGGAAGCGTGCTCGGAGGAAGGTGCGAGGTGGAAGCCGTGGGATTGGGACGTCTTCAAGACCTTTGAGAGATTACGATGGTGATTAAAGTCTCGTGGGTAGGATTTCAGGATGTTCGAGTCGGAATACAAAGCATAGAAGATCCAACTTAGGAGCTATCGGGAATATAGACTATATATGGTGGAGTCCAACACGGCATCTCCTTCGCGAGTGGCGATATGGACCTCAGGTGGATACGAGAACTAAAAGTAGAGTGTACATTCACGTGTCGATCGAGTGCCACCGAAGGGGAGTTGAGGCAATGGAAAGATATATGAGCTGGCGGAATTTCTCCTACCTGAACCCCACAACAACACCCGCATAGCCCACAACCTGACAAACGAACGGACCCACCGGAAACTCAAGGGATTTAGGAAATAGCCAACTTAACCTGAAGAATTTCATTATCGAGCACCGACGGACATTTCTGCTTGCACTCTCATCTGATGTATCGAGCAACAACGGCAAAAAAAGGAAGTCCAGATATCGGCACCTGCCGCTTCCTCTGGTGGCACGGAACGATGATGGCCAACCTAGCTGTCCAGTGGGGTGTTACTCTTGATAATGCGTGTCCATGGTGTCCAATCTCGTGCTCTCGTTCTGGTATCGTGTCAAGCTCCCAACACATTGATAGCATCTCTACAGGATTATTTCTACCCTGATGCGCCTGCTTGATTTCCTCAAAACATGACGTCATCTAGCGGCTGATAGCCTGGTCGGGCGCGTCTCAGTGCCACCGGTGTGGAGTTGAACGGGGTCGGTACTAAGCCGGATGTCGGGGAACAGCGCTTGTGTATATCCTTATCATTGAGCCGCGCCGCCTGCGGCCTTCTTAACATGTTGGACTTGGTTGGCTACATAACTACTCCGCTAAAAAGGGCTTCTACCAGGATCAACAGAGGGAAAATCCTTGGGGCGTCGTTGATTTCGACCTTGACCCAGGCGCTTTAGTTTTAGCAGACATTCTTCAGAAGTGTCCTGCAGCGCCAACAATTAAGAAGGATTTCGCGGGCTACCATGGAGTCGATAGTGTTGTACGGCACACACACATACATCTGACACACGGGAGCTTCTGATTACGAACAGGATCCGTTTCGTCATCGATGCACGTCATTAACAAGGTCAGACCTCCGTTGTGCACCCCGCTGGATGCTAGGACCGAAACAGAATTAAACCCAGTGCTTCCACGGAGAAGAGCCAGGAGGCTACGTCCCCTTCATAATTTAGGCGCGTAGAGTATTTAATTTCACGCATATTAATCCCCCAGCGTCTCTCATTTAATTTGCCCTTTGCGCCCATGGAGTCCCACATGTCACGCCCCATCTGTGTCAACTATTCCCGCCTTGAAGCTGTTGCCGTTCAAAGTGCCATGCAGGATGCCTCTGCGTTTCGTATCCTCTCGTTAAATTCAATGACTCCATGGACCTCCTTAACGATACTGATACCCAGGCATTCGTCTACGCGGCAGCATTTAAAAGCCCTTCGAATGCACCACACGTTCCAGAGAATTACGTCGGGGCTGTGTCCAGTATCTTTTGCGTAATGGAGCGCGTCAACCTTTCAACCAAGAGTAGGTCAGTGACACCACCAGTGAGGCTGAGGTGCAGTCCCGCTTATTGTCGGGCGGTTGCTGACGCCCTCAGCTGGCTCTTCGAGCTCCCTCCTCCAGCCGGTGCAGAGATTTGTCTAATCGATCGAAGGAGCGCACGCTCACACGCAAAGTCGCAAAGTCCCGCCTGTTCGTACGGAAAGCGGCCATCCCATCCCTTTTTCGGCAACTCCAACTCGCCATTTCGCTACACCGACGCGCCTGCCTTAGAGCGACAGATAAACATGGTATGATTGAGTGGAAGTAGGTTTTCTAGTCGATTATTGATGGATTTTACTACAGACTCTCCGCGATCATCGGGTAGGACCCTGCCGCTATGGGTCAAGATCTTGGACGGGCGCGTGGTGACGGCTCAGGGTGACATCAAGCCGCCAAACTTCCTCATCGACCCTCAGACCCTACAGGTGACCATCATCGATTTTGGCGGTATCAGCGCCCTGTCGCATTCGTTTGTCAGCTTCACAGTACCACATTGCCGAGTTTTTGCCTTGGAGTCAGTACTCTTTGGTGATGGAAGTGGCTACAGGGTTGTATTGGCCAAAACCGGACCGGGGCAAGAGTTTTGGTAGGTCATTGCATAAACAAAGATGGTTTCCCAGTGCGAAAGGTGACGTCTCGTCGAGTTCATTCCTTTGACCCACATCGAACGTCATATTAGAGAATCACTTTAACAATAAGATAATTGAGCATGAACGCCAGAAACTGAATATGCCAAGGGAATGTGCTCCAAATTTAATCTTGGGTTTGCCCCGCGGAACAAGGATAAGGAAGCTTCCGATTGAATTGTTCGGTGGCTGAATCCTTTTGGACGATATGCACCATCCTACTCATCGAATCAACTCTGAACGAGACCTGCTCCATATTCATACAGGACCGTTGCCCCAAGTAGAGTGGCTGCATCGCAAGTCTCAAGAACCCCGTTGGGATGCATATTAACAGTCAACTCCTGGATGTCACTTAGTGTTTGAGGTCTCTGCCTCAACGGAACGCCCTGATTGCCCCACATGTTCTTCTGCTAGACGGATCCTCCCTTTGAATAGCTCAGAAAATCGCTCCTGTTAGACCTCCCTTCAGACTAAATGCTGCGAGATACCACTATGGCCGGAATCGCTTGATTCTCGTGGTGGAGTGGGTTGGCTGTTGCTGAAATCACAGTCCTCCTCCGATGGGTCCGAGAAAGCAACGCCCATCTGATGGCCTTTGGCTTCGCAGATGTGCCGTCCTGGAATTTTAGCACCTTGACAACTTGCAATCTATTCCTCGCTCATCACGCTCGTAAGACTGTTTTCTGTGCTTCAACCTGCACTTCGACACTGTCCATATGCCGCATCTATCTTCAAGCTGGCGTTATCACCTCGTCTCCCCTCATCGAGCAGCTACATTGAAAGATCATCGTCGCTACGCTTTCAGCAACGTGCACCCAGCTCTCCTTGTGGCTGGGTGATCTGACATCGTAGAGACACAAGAAGATGACGAGATGGGCAACCCCCTAATGGACAGTTGTTGGCCAAACACGATGGATTCAGTTTGTTCCACATCTATCTGGTCGCGTGGTCTACATGCCTCGTTCTCAACGCATTCAAATGACCCCAAGCGGGGCCTACCATAGATCTACGCATCTGCATGATTCTCCTCTTTGATTCTGAAGAATGGGCTCTTCGCTGCTAAATCCACTAGCTCTCACTCAAATTTTGCTCTTATCACATACACATCTTCAATGATGCCGACATTACTGACCAGGCAAGTTGATTTGTTGGTCGAGTAGATGATGATGTATCACTATAGACTGACTGTCTGGCACAATTGGTCCTAAGACGCATCGAAGATTTCGAGGCTTATTTACACATGCAGATGGAATCTGTGGGGTTTTTGATTCCGATACTTTGGGGCGTTTGTCATTCTCTCCATTCTCTACTGATCGATTCGTTTATCCTTGCACTCACCCTTGGCTCAGCGGTGTCAATGTCCGATAATAGTAAGTCACCTGTTTTTCTGCGGTACTCACAGATCTCTTGACCCTTGACACAGCCGTCGCTTTTCAGCAGCAACGCGATTCCCAGACAATGGGAATTGGACAGGAGAACATAGCAAGGCGTGCAGCTGCGCAGGCAGGGGGAAAAGTGATGATGAACACTGGCAAGATTACGATTTCACTCAACGAGTTCAATATGTGTTCATGCATAAGCTTAAAATTCAACATATATATCCGGGGGCACTAGAACATCGTTACCGATATCGCACTTGAACGATTTTAGAGTCGCAAATGTAAAGATGCACATAAAATAAATAGACAACGCGAAATCCTATACAAAAGCAGTCGACTATCAGATGTTTCGGAAGAAGAATCGTCTGATGATGTGTCACAGGGAGAAGAAATGTCGAATGCGGTGCTGCAAGGAGAATAATCGCTAGGCACTGAGAAAGTCATAGTCAAGCGTGGCACTCGGATACCAGGCAGCTTGGCCAATATCGACGACAATGGGAGCTTTCATCTTGCCCTGGAGCAGAAACCGAGTACCATCCTTGCTGGACTGAGGACGGTAGAAACCGTTGATATTATTGATTAGTCGATCACCGTACCAGGGCTGTGCACCATTGGTGCTGTTTGCCTTGACAGGAACCGGGCAATACTCTCGTGGGACAGCGAGTTGCGGGCCACCATGAAACCATACCGCTTCACTGTGAGTACGGACTAGTGGGGTCCTTCCTGTGGCAAATGAATAGCCCCTTTGAGCTGGTAAGTGATGGAAAAATGGACGCTTGATCCAAGTCTCATCCGACTCAGGCCCCGCATCCACCCAGGAATGATGCACATAGACTGTGTCACCTGCCAACGGAAGAGTGAGTCGAGTAGATACCGGATGAGGGATGCGATATAGGCAAGTAGGAGTCGATCCAGGATTTATAATCCAAGATTTGTCTCCCTGTATGTCATAACACGCGATAAAATCACCCGATTCCGTCGACCAGGTGAAAGCGTTGTGCCCATCAAAGGCAGCAATGTATCGTGCCCCCGGAGAAAACGCAATCGTGTGATGCTCAGGAAAGGCTGACTCGGAAATGCCTTGGAAGGATGGAATGGGAGAGTCGGAAGGAGGAGAGGCAAGGAGCTGGATGTGTGGTTCACCTAAAATGAATATACGCGCCACGTTGTTGTACCAAGGCTTTCCCGGATCCCGTAGGACTCGTATGATGAACAATCCACTATCTGAGACTGCAGTTACAACGGGATAGGCCCCTATAGGGAGAGTGCCAAGTTTCACAGGCGGTGTACCATGGCTATAGATAGTGATGTTCCCGTCGACATCCTCGGCAGCAACATGATGATGACCATGGACAAACTCAATCCAGGCTGGTGGATTGGGTGGATGATTCTGGAACTGAGACATCGTATGCTGATCGTCGATATCAGCGATCTCAATAACACCACTACCAAACCCGAGTGCAATGTATCGGCCATCTCTCGAGAGTGCTGTGCACGTCACAATGCCATTACGGACATCAGGATCGCGGAATTCAGCATCGTAATTGATCCATTTAACACCCCGCCCGTTAACCCCCCCGGTAAACCACCTAGTTTCGCCTCCATAAGCATTCGGGCATTAAGCAAAGCCTCACTCAATGGAATCAAGTGGTTCGAAATTTTGCTGGAAATACCAAAGATCTGAAGGGGGTCAGAGAGGTGGCCATATAGTTTATAAAAAGCCGATTCGGGTGTGCAGAAAAGAGACATAGATCGATGAAGCAACCATGGATTGAGCTCATACATCGCTGCACCTTCTCGGAGGAGTTCAATTACATCATGTTTCTATCGAAAGTGATATTTAAATAAACGTAATACGAGCCCACTCAGACTTACATTGAATTCATCAAATCCTGTTACATCAGGGTACCCTTCCATGTACAGGAATGTAAGCAAGTTTTGTGTAAGAAAGGAATTGAACTCGTTCTGTAATTCATCGTCATTGGACTCTTGGGAAAAGAGTTTTGCCGGGTCCAGGTGGTGGAGTACATAGTCGAAGATGTATTGGATGTGCTCGGGTTGCATGTGGAGTTCAAAATCTGCCCATTTTTCTTTGTCACTGAGAGGGGGATTAGTGGGTATCCTAAATTCATTCCGCTTGCAACAATTATTGAAAATTTGAAGGAGTAGCGGTCCGAGAAAATATCCTTTCTTGTCCTTGATAAAAAATACTTTGTCATCTTCATTACCAATCGGACTCCCCGTTATGAATTCTTGCACTGTGGCGTGATAGAATTTAGCACCTTCTGTATCCTCGGAGGGAAGTTCAATGATTGAGCTGATCGGTTCCAATGCAGCTTGGGCCTCATCCTTGGCAATTCCTAAAAGTTGCGACATAGAATACACACTCAGTGGTTCATGTACCGCGGTAATCGTGCCAACCAATAGGCGATACATTTTGGCTACATCCAGGGGAACTGCAGATGAACCGCGCATGTAAGCTCTTCGGAGTATTCGCAAGTACTCCCAGTTGAGATCGATGGGTGGATCGGAGAGATTAAGCAGGTACTGGAACTCCCTCTGCAGGGTGCGACCTTGCCGTGTCTGCGAGATTACTTCGCGAATTCGAACCGAGGCCATAACAGGCAATTCACGACAAGCCAAAGTAAAAGCATGGAGATCTTCCTCCGAAGGTTTCCACTGAGATTTCCTGATACGATCTCGAAGGCCATCCTCCACCATGCAACGGATCGTGTGATACTTGTCCTCCTTCGTAATTTTATCCACATCTTCACATGGTATGACAAGGCCCTGTTTCCGAGCTTCATCCCAAGCCGACACAACCAATGACTCAGGACGACAACTGACAAATACTGTAAAAGTGGCTGGCAGCTCTTCAAGGATAAGGACAAGCTCCATCAGACGTTCGAGTGCTTCTAGATCTCCACACTCATCCAAACCATCTAAGATGATGACAAGGCGATCGTTTCCAGAAGGTAATACCTCCATCAGATTACGCATTGGCTCGATAATAAGAGCCTTCATTTGCTTATCTAGAGGCAGATGCTGAGGCAGTTGCAAATCTTGCTGCCGAAGGCACCTGACAAGTGACATCATGAACTCCCTATCGAAGCATGCGAGTTGGTGTGCCAGCGTGGAAGGAAACAGCTCAATGGAATCAAGGCCCATTCCGACCTGGTTTTTATCCCAAAAAAAGGATGCTGCTAGAGTGTTCTGCGCCCTGAGGGTGGACGCAACACTCATAGCTATCGCAGTCTTCCCTGTCCCTGGGGAACCCCGTAACCAGACAAATCGGGTCTTGGTATCCTTCAGATGATGGAGTATGGAATCTTGTACCTTGACTTGTGTGGTTGGAAGGCATTCGGACTTGCTCTTCACATAAGTGTGTTCGGCAGGCGCTCGCTTGAGTTTTGATAGCTCCGCTGAAAGCGTGTCAGCAAGGGTGTCCAAAAGCGCGCACATAAAGACATACATTCCACCGATGCTCGAATTGTCTGAATGAGGGTTAAAATCGACGCCTCTGTCTGTCGAGTCCTTCAGTCAGCTAGCATCCAACGCTCGAAAGAGAAAGCGAGCGGACCGAGACCGAAGTAATAGCTTTATTGATGCATGCCTTCACATCGCTTATATCGTTGGCGATATTTGACGCCGTCACCATTCTCTTGAAGAGCCCTCGACGCTTGAGGAATTCAATACGGTTGGTCTGTTCTTCCAATGCACTAGGAAGAAGCTCTGAGATTCTCCGAGTGACCAAGGGAGGAGTATGCAACGTACTCGTGAAACTCTTTGAGCGGAGCAATCAATTCGGGAGGGACAGTTTGACCGGCATACAGTTCGAGTGGCCGCAGGATGGCAGTGTAAGCCTTTCGGACCTCGTCATTAAGGCCCTTAAGACTTTCGTTATTGCTGTCAACGGTCTGTGCGAGTGAGAAAAAGATGTGTCACCCAATCACTGATCGATCGATCATGAAACTAAAATGCCATGCGAACCTCGTAAACTTGGAGCAACGTTAGAAGGAAGTCCAGGATTTGGCTGACGTATGGAATAGGAGATGTCTTGAGAGCAGAGGATGCAGTTTGGAGTAAAAGCTTAGTGGCGCTGAGAACCGTTTTCTTTCGATCACCATCTGGAATGGCCGATGACGAAGATGCTGGTTCCGGGGGAGGAGATGCAACAATAATGTCCATACCTGGGCGCTCTCTCTGTGCATCAAGGATTGCGTCGGGGTCATGAATGGGATATGTTATGGGCGCCGAGTGCGGGTTATCAATACTCCGCCGAGGGTGGAATAGCGGCGGCTCCCAACCACCAAGGGGTGAAAGATCGGGTGTGGTTGGCGTAGACTCTGAGGGGTTCGGTGGGTCTGATAGGTTTGAATGAGGATCTCCGCCAGGATCCCTCATGAAACGGTGTCCTGGAGACGTCCGTCGTTTCGAATCTCGGGATTTGCTGGGGGAACGCGACGTAGATGGGACACCGGGAGGCTGAAGATTGGGACCTCCCGATCTATCACGCTGAACATAGCTAATGTCGTCATGGATTTGGTCTGTCCGAACTCTTGTGAAATGAATCTGGGGAAGTGAGGAAGTGGAGGGTTGTGATGACTGCGAATCACCAGAAGTCGGCGCAAAAGTGGGATGTTGAGACGAGGATTTTCTCTTGGGAGCCATAACACCAGTGCAGATCGTGATCGAAGCAGGAGGTGAGAGAGGAAAAGCCCGGACAGCTTGCTCAACCGCGTCCTACCCAATATAAGTCAAAGGTAGCAGATAGGCGCCGATGCAAATCCAATTGGGAGAACGTTCAAAGGGTGTGTGTGTGTGAGTGAGTTCTGGATATTTAACGTGCACGTGTAAGCTGCCCGAATAAGGCGCCAAGGGCACGAATCAAAAAATCTGAAATTATGTACAAAGAGAGGAAGTAAAGCATATGGTTGCGTGGGTTCGGAATCTAGGGATTCCTGCACCGTTTCCGGAGGGGAGTGTACTTTCTATGCGTGTTACGGATGCCGGCTCCTCGAATTGTTGGCCAGACGCCGAAGCGTGCCTCTTGATGCTTTGGAGTATCGCGGCGAACGGGATAGTTGAAACGGCTCCTGAGAATGTTGGCCGGACGAACGCCTTCGTGCCTCTTGGTCTTTTGGAGAACCGCGCTTAGGGGAGCTAAAACCGTTATGCGCCCACATGGGAGCCGCCTGGTTTAGAAACCACCCGAGTTCGCAATTGGTGAAGAGGGAAAGAAAGGCTGCCCGAGGATTCTAGTCGCTGCGAGCACGAGGGTAGGAAAGTGGAAGATGGTGAGAAAAAGAAAGGTGAAAAGGGCCAACGCAGGATAACACAACGTGTAAGTGCCGTCCACGCCGTTATTCATCGCGGCAAAGGAGAACCTCTTAGGCCCAAAACCAGCTAACCACATTGGGCGCCGGGGGAGCCTCTAGACCACGGCAAGGCGGGGTTCTCGTCCTAGAGGCCGTACAAAAGGTTATTTGATGCTTCCCCTTTTGGAAATAGGACATCTCTAGTCGAAGCAAGGCGCGTGCATTGGCCACAAAATTGTGGAAATGAAGTTGCAACAGGACATGAAGCTGATGTATCTACGATATACTTACTTACTTGATTTAGGTTGAATCGTGGCAAAAGGCAAAAGTAGCCTTCATAGGCATGGACCGTGTGTGATACTTGTTTAGCGATTATGAACAAAGAGGTGTCCGATACTTCCACGGAAACGGTCTACAGAACCAGCAGCTCACTTGTCCAGGTGCATGCGAACATCCGGGAGCGTTTTGTGGGCCCAGAGATTCGACGTGGGAAAATAGAGCCCCATCGTTGACATTTGGCGATTCAGGTGTGTCAAATGCTAGCCAATTATCCTCTGACGTTAATTATTGGATGCGCGCGATCCATTTACATCTTGAACTGAAGCGGAAGATTTAGATTGACAGGTAGGGTGAGCGCGAAAGTAGGCTCGAGACTCTGGACATGTCGCAATCCGTTTGAGCTACTCGCACAAGTAAGGCGAAAGGAAGGGGTGGCAGCAGATAGACCTACCAAGTGAGTGCAAACCCAGACAATTGGTTGGATCTTGCAAGAGATTATCTAACTCCGTCCCGGACAACTTCCCGTACGCTAGATAAATCCATCCCATAGCTGTGAGTGTTAGATGAGCCCACAAAAATATACATTGAGAACATAACTTGTGAACGCCGCCTGTCGCGGCAAGTACCCGCTACTCTTCCTTATTGGGGGTTTAGGATTGTCGATTACTTGGGCCCTCGGCAAAAAATACAAAGCGGTACGAGGATATCGGGCTCCTTTCAAGGTCACCTGCGGAACGTGAATAGTAGATCAAGGACAAGAGATAGACCTAGAATAAAGGGAAGCGTGTCCGGAGGAAGGTGCGAGGTGGAACCAGGCTGGAGCCTTCAAGACCTTTGAGAGATACGATGGCGATACATAGAAGTCTCGTGAGGGGGAAAAGGAATTGAGAAGAGCTTATTTCTTGCGAGGCCCGCTACGGAGGAGCAGCAGGAATCATTTTTGAGTCATTGCGGAACCCAAAGCATAGAAGATCCAAGAGCTATCAGGAACACAGACTGTAGCTACACATTATGCATAGGGATCCTCATTTGGAGGACATCACGGCATTTCCTTCATGAGTGGCGCGATGATTGTTTGCAGCGAAAGATTCCTTCGGCACAATATTGGCTCCAGGTAGGTACGAGAATTAAAAGTAGAGTCTGCAATCACGCGTAGAGTCCTGTCAAAGGGGAGTTGAGGCAATGGAAAGATATGGCGGAATTTCCACCAACACTTGAGCTGGCCTGCCCGAGCCCTGAATGTTACCTGAACAACCTGACGAACGAATGGACCCGCTAGAAACTCAAGGGGTTCAGGGAATAGCCAACCTGAAGGATTTTATTATCGAGCAACAAACGGCGAAAAAAAAGGGTTGCCTAAGGATTCTCTAGATGTCGGCATTTGCCGCTTCCTCCTCAACAGCATCAATACCCATCTGGTAGTTGCACAAGATCCCGGCGTCTAACCATAATGGCCGACGTAGCTGTCCAGTGAGTATTACTCTTTATAATGCGTTTTCATGGTGTTCAATTTTGCGCTTTCGTTCTGGTATCGTGTCAAGTTCTCAACACATGGATAGCATCTCATCGCGAGAAGGAAATGTACATGGAGGAGGGGTAGACACTGTGGATGCACCGGTACCGAATGAAAAATCCACTACCGTAAGCGCTGGTGCCTCCCAGAATGGTGGTGTAGTCGACGAGTCATCAACATCTGGACCTATCACAAGTGAATCGGTCCCCGCCCTCGAGGGAGGCGCTTTGGACGAGAACGACAGCAATGACCCTTCTAAGAAGCTTGCAGCATCAAGATCGAGACCTCGGTTGGATCTTTCTGCCTTGACTAATGTTCCATCTAGAACCGGAGAACGGAGGAAAGGGAAGAGTATTTTTGGCCAGGTCCTTGGAACACTCAATAAGGCGAAACTCGAGGATAAGGAACGATCAGCTAGCGAGGCGGTGAGTTCCTACCAGTCGTTTTCATCTCTTGTACCAAATTCGTTTACTCCGCATTTTCTGGTCACCCAAAGGCTAAGAAGCGACAATCCATTGAGTTCAGACTGCATGCGAAGCTCTCGCGCGAACAGAGCTATAGCCGCAAAAAAGAGGAAGTCAAGCGTGATCGCATCACAGCGAACCGAAAAGAAGAAGAATTGTCCATAAAAGACAGTATTGTACGTAGCAAGGAAGCCAGCGTTTAGTCATTCTCATGAACCTTCTCGCAGGTCAAACACCGATATCCCTTAATCCCAAATCTAGCAAATTTCCTATTAACAACTGACGTGATACCAAGAGAACACCCTTCCCCCAAAGATGAAAGCAGCCGCTTTTCCCCATCTTCCCCCGTAAACGATTCTCCGCCAGATGGACCCTTCCCTCATCCACCCAACACTGCCCATCCACCAGCGATCTACTATCTTCCAAAAATCCTCACTCCTTTGCAACAAGCATTCCTCGCTCGACGACGACGGCAGGCTGAGAAACGGGTTGGAGAGGAACAAACCGAATGGACGAATGAGAAAGAGAAAGGAATGAACGAGGTGAGAGAATTGAGAACGAGAGTCAACGCAGTGCAGAGAGAGTTGAATGAGAATGGGCCGCTTGATGCTGAAGAGAAGATGGAGGACGAAGTCATGGATGGAGTGGATGAGAAGCAAGGTCGTGAACATCCTGATGCTATACAGGAAGACGATACCATTGATGCGGTGGAGTACTGAATTTTATTTATCTATTTTGCAGCAACCCCTTTCTGTCTGATGGTAATCGGCCACGGGAGCCCTCCTCCATCGCGTCTTTGGTCTTCTTGCGAAGAATTTTTTGTACCAGTTCTATTACTTGATGCTTGCAATTTGCTTTATCGACTTTTTAATGTTATGAATTCTCATGTCAGACGCAGTCTCCGAGGCACTCATCTGAAGACCCTTCGTCGCTCCCGGGGCGGCGTTGGCCGAGTCATTGATCAATTGATATTCCGCAAGATATTAATATTTCTAACCCAATCGAGCGAAAATGAGCCTTGGGAGCCTTTGCACTGCGACCAGCACATCATCTAAAGGACCTGCTTGATTTTCTTTAAAACATGGCGTCTTCTAGCAATTATGATAGCATGATCGAGCGCCTCTCAGAGCCATTGGCATGGAGCGCAAGAACAGAGTCGGTAAGCCGGATGTCGACATGTATTGGGTGCAACTTCCACTCATGAGATCCTAACCCCCCCCCTAACTTCGTACATGCGAAGACATTGCTGGAACCTTTCACGTATGTCGCAGCCACGGGAGGAAAGCAGGTCCGATCGCACCTTATAGACGCTTTCAACCTATGGCTGAACGTACCAGCACCACGAGTAGAGCTCATCTCGAAGGTCGTCAGCATGCTACATAATGCAAGTTTACTGTAAGTCTCTTACCCCTTTTCGCGCCCCCTCTCCCCTGCCCCCCTTGCCCCTGATTGCTGTGCAACTTAGGATAGACGACGTTGAGGATAACTCTCAACTACGACGAGGCTCCCCTGTGGCACACAAGATTTACGGAGTGCCGCTAACTATAAACAGTGCAAACTATGTCTACTTCCTCGCATTTCAAGAACTCTTCAAGTTGAAGGTTATCTTGAAGGAAGATGCGGATTTACTCCCTTCGAAGCAAATAGAGTCCATAGATCAGATGGTTACTGGTGCGTCGCTTTGTTTAACTTCTATTCCCTTCCAGCTAACGGAATAAGTCGCCATTGTCAAATGAAGAGGAGCTTCTGAACCTGCATCGTGGTCAGGGACTAGATGTGTTTTGGAGAGACAGCCTCACCTGCCCAACAGAAGAGGAGTACATTCAGATGGTGAACGGAAGTAAGCTTTATCCCCTTCAAAAAAAAAAAAAAACTGGGCCCCAACTCCTGAACCACTTTTGAATCGTGTTATCAGAAACGGGTGGGCTTCTACGTATCGGCATCAAACTCTTGATGTTATCGAGCAAGTCGGAAGTGTACGTTGTTGTTTTTTCCCCTTCCCCCCCGCGCCACCTAATACACTCAGTGGCTGGAACTGAGTTTTTCCTGCCCCCACCCACACACCCCCCTTAGGGACTACGTGCCTTTGGTGAATCTAATTGGCATCTATTTTCAAATTCGAGACGATTACATGAATTTACAATCTACTGAAGTCGGTCACCCCCTTCGGTTTAACATCCCTTTTTCTAACATGATAGATCCCCCTCCCCCCCTTGCCTAGTACTCCGATAACAAGGGCTACTGCGAGGACTTGACGGAGGGCAAGTTTTCGTTCCCAGTCGTGCATTCGATCCGAGCAGACGAATCGAACCGGCAAGTCCTCAGTGCGTCATTCTGGACTCTTTCCCCCGACGCACCTTTTTCTAACTAAAGAGCTCCATTTATATCTGCAGACGTCCTTCAGAAACGTCCCACAACGCCAACGATCAAGAGGCATATCGTGGGTTACATGGACACAGCGACGCAATCGTTCGCATATACGCGTTCCGTTCTGGCTACTCTCGAGAAGCAGGCATATGCCGAGGTTGAGAGGCTGGGAGGAAACAAGAAATTGGAGAAGATATTGGAACGATTGCATGTGAACGAGGAAACGAAGGCTGAATGAGTACTAGAGAGAAATCGAATCCTTTTAGTTTCAGGATATATAGAGGAACCTGAGTTCGAATGTTATAAACTGCCCCATGATCATTTCCGCCTCCAACAATTTAACAAGATCATGAAATGCGTTGCAGGCCGAAGAAGGGTGTGAGGGTATGATTAATCTTGGCTCGGACAGCAGCGACCGACCAGGGCTGGAGGTTGGCTCGCAAATGAATATCGCAGGTAGAACCTCCATCGAAGATGGCGGGCGCTGTTCTGCAGTCGTTGTCAAACATGCTGCTCGTGTGGTACGCATCATGGCACCGATTTCCCTCCGGAGAGGCATCCCTTCCAGTAAAATCAACCACATAAGATGATGGACCTCCTTGATAGGTGTCACGGGGCAAGTCGCAGCTCAAGGGAATCTGACGCCGCAAAATTGTATGTAGGAGGTAATACATCACTAGGACCTTCCTTTTCGACGGCCGCAAGGTACTCAGCCACGATGGGTCCCACTTCAGTGAATAAAGGTGTCGAAGTGATAGTATGAAACCAGTCTGGAGTTTGAACTTCGGCTTGGTGTTCAAGAATGCTAGCCACGCGCGTCAAGTTGGAGATGAATTGCTGTACATCGTGTTTCTTGTTAAGGAGCTAATAAGAGGGAAAGCAGAATGAAGTGTGTGGGTCCAAGTGAACGTTAGATATAAAGAAGCCGAGGAAGGATTGACGTACATCTTCTTCGTCAGGGTCATACGGAATCATATCGTCAGCGAAACCACTGGCATTGCTGCGGGGCGAAGAGGCACTCGATGATGTGCTTGTTTTTGACTGAGGTACCTCAAGGTCATTAGGGCACAATCAGCAGAAAAAAAAAATCTCACGTACCCGCTTACTAACTGGCGTCGGCAAGTCAGGAGAGGAAGACCGGGCGCGCTTATGATGATGATCCAAGGATGCATGAGCCATGGTTGCACGGTAAGGGACATGATTATCCATATGTTTAATATCAATTCTAGCCGCGAGAATGCTGTTTACTACTTGAAGCGTGATGAGGAGGTGACTTTGACAGTCAAAGGATGTCATGGGTTTTCGGTTGTGCCATTTTAAAGGATCAGGATTTTTGCGTGGAGTACTTTTGTTCTGTTTGTCTTGTGCACACCGATACCGAAATTGTACGGCTTTTGTACCAGTGTTCTTGCCGAACCCGCCGTTGCGAGGCTTTGAATCATGGTATCTACCCGAAGAAGATGCAGCGGGGGGGGGGGGGGGAGAGATGAGTGAAATCTCGTCGTGTCACGTACCTCCATCTATATCCGAGGATCTCACCGCATTTTTCCCTAATTCTCTCTGCGTAGACCTTGAATGCGGCATATCCTTCTGTGGTAGTTACAGGGTCCATTCCAAGAATGTCATCGACATTCCCCAGAGAGGAAAGTTCGACCAAATATGCATCGGACGACGTCTTTAATGAATAGAAAGGAATTGTGTGGTCCAGTACTTCCTTTTCTTTGGCAGTCTCAAGAGCCGAATAAAAGTTGTTGATGTTAGGAAGGGATTGAATGGTAGTGGCAAGTTCTGCTGCGCGCTTTTCAGCGCGGCGAGCCCTATCGCTGTCGAGGCAGGAGATACAGTGGGTGGTGAGACCCTTGCTTGTGACGCGATAATCGTCGAAAGCCTTGGTATGATTACATCTAGAGCAGAATTTGGACTCCATGGTGGAGGGGGGAGGGAACAGATGACGTAGATAAATGTTTCTTTAAGAGTTTGATATGTGCTTCGCCCAGAAAACAAACATGCCGGACTCAAATTCAAGGGGAATAAACACTGTCCCTCAGTGGCTATGTCGGAAATTAAGCGCGTGGGAGCATTTTCTCTTCTTCTCAATCCCTCACTGTCCAACCAATCCGCCCCGGAATAAGTATTAGAATTCTTGGGATCGTAGTGTACGCTGAGCGCTGAAGGCCAACCATATGACTCACGTTTGTTGATGTCGAGTCTTGCGGCGCTCATGATCTACTCTTGTTTCCTTTCTTGGAATACTCACTGCCAAAGTCAGTTGCACCATTCATAGCGCCTAACTATAAAAGCACGATTTTTTTGGATCCACTCGACTTGCACAATGTTGAGGGAATCTCATTTTTTGGTCTTGAAAGACGACCTCCTTACCCCGTCCATATTACTTCCCTGGGTAGATCTCACTGTGATGCTGATAATTGACACCGCTCACCACCCTGCAGTTTTGGCTTTTGTTATGATCCCCTCTATTTTAATCTGAGCAAAGCACCAACTCAAATATGACCACATGAACGAACGAAGAGCAACACCGAACTATAGCCCAGTGGGCCGGGAATGTGATTGTGATGTATCATACGCCCGAATGAGCCTCGCTTGATCTTGCCGTGCAGGATCTTCGGTCTGACTGAACGCAAAGCCCCGATTCCGACGCATACGCTGAACTGCTCGAACCTTCTTGATTGCTTTTTGGAACCTAGATATTCAACTCAGATCGGGTTCATGCTCAGGTCCGAGTGAAACCACATACTGCTCTTGTCGAGGTCTATAGTCAGGTATATTCTCTTTCTGCAGTTCTTGGGCGATATGGTAGGACATCGGTCGGTATGTCCGTCTATAGCTAATCAAAGGTTGGTGGGTCAGAGAAAAAGAGGTAGGGCAAGGAGTAATGGACATACTACTTCCAAAAGTAGTCTCGAGCGAGGCAAAAGAAAGGAAACACGATTAAGCTGAACCAGAATACTGGGTCCGTCCACAATCGCGGCACAATGCCAAGGTATTCAGTAGAGAAACCAAGGGCAGGAGCAATTATTTGGTAAAGGGGAAGGAACGCCATCGTAAAGAGCAACGATCCAGGGATGGCTAGAGTTAAGGGAAATTAATGTGTTTGACATGTCGACTGCACACGAATGATGCCTACCAGCGACAGTGTATTTAGTCCACAAGCTGGGGGGCGTAAAATATGTGTTAGTCAACTTGCTTATCAGTGAAGCTCACCCACTCGGAAATCAGTGCCGCCTTCCCAAGCACTGTAATCAGTACGGTCATGTAAAGAATTGTTCCCCAAATCCAGTGCCCAGAGTCGAGTCCCGACGGTTCTTTAGAATCACCCCAAAACAGGATGACGGACGCAGTGAATAGCAACTGGAGGTAGGAATTAGAGCAATCATGAGGATGAGGCAGCTACATACCAGGCTGTGGTAAAGTGCGTTTCCAACCCACATCCAGAAAGCTGTGCGCGAGAAAAACGTATTCTTCTGACCCAAGTGATACAGCTGCGGATATCGGTCCAAAATCCGAGCAGAGACAAACTGGTCAAAGACGCCAATGACAAGAGGGGGCAATACGGTGAAAACAACATTATACAGAGATAGTGTCCATGACTCGTAGGCAATTTGGCCAGAGAAATTGTTAAAGAATGAATACTGTGAATAATTAGCGCACATCACATTTTTGCAATAGACTCAATAACGTACCCAGAACTGAGTCATGTAAAGCACAATATTCTTATAGAAAGAGTCTGATTCCGCTCGTTGGCATAATGCCACAATAACGGCAGTGAATGGGCTTACATAAAATTAATTTTGATAATCTCTGATAGCTCCAAGAGCCATGCACGAGGAGTAGCTTCCGCAGGAAACGGAATTGTGATATTGCAACATCGGCAGACCTGGCAGCTTGGAGGCCCTATACACGTTATGTGTGTGCCTGTACCCCCTTGGGATATGACAGCAGGTTCCGTACCTCTACCCCGGATATGCCGACACCGACATGAGCAGCTTGAATCATGCTCACATCGTTGGCCCCATCACCGATCGCCAAAAGAATCGACTTTAGATTCTTTTTCACTAGTTTAACCACTAGAGCTTTTTGAAGAGGTGAGACACGACCTGGGCGTACAAGTAATTAGACAATTGGGGTACAAAGGATAAGATGGGTCCACGCACAACACACGACAGCTTTGCACAGGATAGCCAACTCCAGGAAGATTTTTGAGACGTCCTTCTCCAGCGCAAAGGCCAAAGTCTTCCCGTCTGTCAAAGGGCGCAAATAAAATAAGTAAGGAAACGACGCGGCCTTACGGGGCACCAACCGATGATCAAGGCTAAGTCTTCTAGTTCACCAAGGTTTCTTTGATTTCCGATGGCATTCAGCCTCTTCGACAAGAATTCCTTAGTATCGTGGGCATTTCCCTCGTTCACAATCACCTGAGGGGCAATCAATGGATGGAAGTGGGAGTTACAGAGAAAGTTCTAACCAAATTCATCGACTCAGTAATGAGGCGGCAGGACAGTCCAATGTTGATGGCAGTTTCCTGACGATCTCCTGTAAGAACCCACACCTGCACCCAAATTAAAACGAAACACCGAGGGGATAAAGGGAGCCATACCTTAATTCCAGCTTGTTGCAGAGTATGGATAGTGTCGGGCACCCCATCCTGTAGCTTATCCTCAATAGCAGACGCGCCTAATAGAAACATATCCTTCTCGATGATCTCCGCCGCTTTATCCAAAGCTTCGCCTCGACCACTGATAGTTGCTGCTGCCTGGTCATATATAGCCGACCAAGTTTGATATTCTTGTTCCGGAATTTCACGCATTGCAAAGCACAAAGTGCGAAGACCTTCAGTTGCATAGTCCTATCATAAGGTGTGAATATTGCCTTTCTGTAGGGATCAACAGAGTAGCGTACTTCAAGATGTAGCATTGTGGCTTCCGAATACGGTTGATTTGGACTCAACCGTTCCAATATCACAGTATCAGCACCCTTGCAGTAGATCTTGATGCGGCCATCGGGCCCACGAATGACAGTCGACATGCGCTTACGAGTCGAGTTAAACTCGCACACATTCAAGATCTGATATTCGTATGATTGACCTTGTATCTCAACGAAAACGGATTTGGGCTTGCGAATCTGCAAGCAAAATATCAGCTTCTACTGTGGGAATTGTCAATGTTGACATACATGGAAGCGGTAACCTAGAAGCTCAGCGCCTTGGACAAGAGCGGCTTCATCCGGACTGGACGCCTGGTAGATGATCTTCTCGCCTTTCATTTCCGGGATGACGGTGTGGCAGACAGCAAGAACGGTCAAGAACTCTTTGATGACTTCAGTCTCCTGGCCTGCGTCGGGGCGCGGTGAGAGTTCCTCAACAAGGCTCCCTGAGGCGGGATCAGAGAACGGGTTTCCACCGTCCAGTAAACTTCCCATCTCTGAAAACGTTCGCAACTCCTCTTTAGAATCGTCAGTACGAGTTTCGGCATACTCATGACCTGCTATTGAGCAGCATCGGAATTCCATATGATTCTGAGTGAGAGTGCCAGTTTTGTCCGAAAAGATGTATTCGATCTGTCCAAGCTCCTCGACTAACGATGATGTCCGACAGAGAGCAGGCGTATCAGTTGGCGCATAGTACATGTCTAGATCAGAATTGATAAATTGCGCTTGCTGGAACTTGACAACTTCCATAGTCACGATGAGCCTGAATCGAGCATCCCTTCAATCAAACGCCAACGCCTGTCGTAACTTTACGCACGAAATTGGAATCAAGTTGTTGTACAGGATAATGAAGGTAAGGATGTCTAAGTCGAATTTATCAGCTTGAAGAACTTGGGCGGCGTAGTTTCATACCCTCAACAAAGTTCTTGGCTGTGAACAGGAACATAAGTGAATTCGTACTGCAAAGACCTGCATTGTGTACTTACCTCGATCGGCGATGCTGTCAGATATCAGCAGATACCATTGATCCTTGGAGTGGAACCACTGCACATACAATGAATCCGAGGAGCGGAAGGAATGGACAGAGCCTTACTTACTATCCGGATGCTACTACCGATAGTAGATGCTAGGGATAGTGCTAACAAAGCAAGGAACAAGAAAACAATCTGAACATTAACTTGACGTTCTACGGCAGTCCGCTTGATAGGCGCGGCTCTATTCGAATAAGTAGACAGCTCTAGCTGGAAACCAGCTCAGCTCAGCAAATCACGCACGTTGCATTCCGCATCAGTTTCGTCTCATGCCCAGTAAATACGACAAGCCCATAAACCCAAGACGTGTTACGCAGCTGGGCGCCACGAAGCAGCATCTGATCGGGACTTAATGGAATTTGTCGTTCAGTGGGTCCTGAAAACCCTCCAGCACCAGTTTGCAGTGAAAGGGTCCCGTCGTAGGTGTATAGTGAATTGTTAGGTAGCTCGGAGCGCAAGCGTCCTCGGAGTGCCATGAACATTTGTGGCGTCACAATGTCGAAAGTCTGCGGCGATGCTTGCTTGATCTTCAGATTTGTTTCTCTATGAGTCCAAGTCAAGCTAAAATTTATGAGTTGAATAAGGACATCACTAACCCATCCAAATTGCTTGTTTCAACGTAACATAGCCCTTCGGGTTCGCTAGAGCTAATCAGGATCATATCCGCTGGTATGAACTCATCCGATTCGAGTCGTATGAGATCGCCGACGCGAATGTCGCGCCATTTCCGCACTTCAAACAAACCGGTGAGCTGATTCAGTACGTGAGTTGTTCTGGAATTGAGCTCAGAATCTGATTGGTGTCGTTTCTGTGGGAAAACGAGAAGGTGAATGTGGATCAAAAGAGATCAAATGCTCGTTGCATACTAAATCTTCTTCTGCTTCTTTGAATGCACTGGCGAGAAGGACAAGACCTAGAGGAACTATTGTTGTCCATCGATTGGTTGGTGATACACCCGGTATCTGCTGGATGATGGCTGGAGGGTACATGGTTAGGCCTATAGCTGCAACATATCATGACAATCCAGTTTACCGGTGAAAAGGAAGAATACATTTGCGTATTTTGAGAATTGTTCTGAGGTTTTAAGTGAGAAATCATGACAATATGGGTGTAGAATCCTCATAAATGTATTCACCAAAAAGGAATTTTGGAACGAAAGTGGCGACATTGTATTTGCTGGTTGAAATGTAGTTGGATGAGTAATCTTCTGCGTCGTTGCGGGAAGCATCATTTAACCAGACATCACGTTCCCCTCGAACAATGTCTTTGGTCCACGGCCATTTAATCTTCCATTTGGGTCGGGACGATTTCGGAGGGGGTGAGGGCTTGGACGGAGCAGTGTTAGGAGGTGGGAGAGTAGGGGCATCATCATCAAACGTCCAGACTTGCGGAAAGCTAGTCCCACTTTCGCCTGCACCAGGAGCACCAGCTGGCAATGCTGCGTTCTTGGTCAAAGGTAGTTCCGGCGCACTGTCCATAAGCGCGTTGTTTCCCTTAAACGCCGAAGCAGTGGAGGGGGGCGCAGAACTGGCTACATCCTCATCCTCATCATCAAAGAATGGATCGAGTTCATATGGATTATTCCGTCGATTGGCCGTTGGAGGATACGACGTTGACGCAGAGGGTTCCACCTGACCATATTGACCACGACTCGCAGCAGGGTTGGCTTTTGAGACTAACGCAGCGAAGTCATCGGCATTCATGCCAGTCCGCGAGGCAAAGTGTGGGTTCAACGGATACGCGGTTGAAATTAGAAGCACTAGTTTGCACGTTAGGACAACAAGACTTGAATACTTGGCGCTTCCGGAAGCAAATTACTCGCTGCAGTCGAACAGCAACAGCTCTAAACAAATGTTCGCACAATAATAAACGCCTCACAAGCTCAGCTAGCAAATTTATCATAGGGGCCAGCGCACCAAAAGCGAATGCGCTCCCTTCTATGGGGCGTACGAGGGTCTTTGGGGAGAAGGGGAAGGAATTATATAAACCTGAACGAGCGCCGGGCGCTCATTGGTTCCCAGCTTTGTGTAAATAATTTGCTGTATCTTATTCAGGTCTATAAGTCATTTTTCTCCCTCCCGACAGCCTCGTGTCCTAGAAGGTATAAATATTATCAATGAATTGCCTTATTTGGTTACCAAGCTGTTGGAACGGCTTCCAACATCAATCCAACATCACATCAAGCTCGAAGTGGACGACATCACACGAACCGATGCCTATTTAAACGGACTTCCCTTCAAGTACACTCTTTCAAACACCCCGCCTACCTTCACAATGAACGGCACTACGAACAACCCAGTGACGCCGCGTCGCCAGACGTCACTTCTTGAGACGGGTCGCGGTTCCGTCTGGAACCTGCTAGCAGAGTTCCCCAGCCTTATCCGAACAGAACCAGTGAAGTCGAAACCAATGGTAAGACGATCTCTTCATGGTCAATGCCACCGCCATGTTCACCCACATAATTCCAAAAGTTGTCTCCAACAGTGGCTCGTTCACAACCACGCAGACCACCACCACTCCATCCTAAGGCATTGTTTTTGTTCAACGATCGATCGTTTCTGCCGTGCCTTGATGATCGCAGTGATAGCGCAGCATCCGCTTTACCGTCCTCTGCGCTGACTATTTCAACATTTGCTGCCACAGCCAATGTTCGGTCAACATGGTATGGCAGGCCTGCTCGAGATTCCATCACGGCAGAAGGAGAGATGTGCCCGACACGTCACGAATCAGTTATAGACCTTTACGCTGAGCCTAGATCACATTGGTCATCCGACTCCGACTCTGACAGCGAAGACGACATCCCACTGTCCCCAACGTTCCTTGGATCATGGAATCAACGCTCTAAAGGCCCTGACATGACTACCAGACCTTCTTCGCCATTCATCGACCCCATCCTCTCCGAAAATATTCGTCCTCCGGCTGCTGGTCGGCGGCCTGGCAGTGTCCTTGCAACGCTCTCACCCCTCTCGAATCCATGGCAATCCAGGGACAAATCCGGAAGTCGATGCGAAACGCGAGACCCCCTTAGACCCATTGGGCTCCAAGCTCTACCCAAGTCGGAGCAGAATCCGGATGGCAGTTGGAAACTCATCGATGCGCATGGCAAAACATACCTAATCCCTCCCCTCTCGTCTCCCTCAAAACCACGCCCTTCGAACCCACCCGCCAAAGGTCCCTCAGCGGGCAAGCGAGCATCGAACCCCCAACTACCCAAACGAAACGCTGACGAAGACGTCCGTGTTCAGTTTCGCCAGTGGCAAGGATTCACACAAAAATCCCAGACCGCGGCATGAGGAAGCTTATGAAATATCGGACGTGAATGGACTTCATATTCATGGCCTTTACTTGGTATTTATCGTGTCATCGTGGAGCGCTCGTCTGTTGTCTGGTGACTGGAAGTCCGTTCTTTCTTTCTCATTTATTCATGTAGCGAAGATCTCTATATAGCTCTATTTCGTTCTGCTTGTATCCTTTCATCAGAATCCGAATTATAGGATATGTATTTATGCCATGCCCCAGGCAAATGCATCATGCATGACAGTGCGCAAATTAGAATACATCTGTCCTGCTGGGCGCTCCATCAAATAAATCTAATATCCTCCAGCGCCAGGTGCTATATCACCTTCTCGTTTCAATCTCAACAACACCTCCTTAAAACGAGTCAAGTCAGTTGTCCCTGGACCAGCACGAGCAAGGGTCTTCGATTGCGAGTTTTGAAGTTCAATGATATCAGCAATCCGCGACCAAGTTGTCCCAACAGACAACGAAGTCTGAAGATCGGCCAGGAACTGAGCCTCATTCTCCCTGTCCAAAAAAATAATGCGTCCATACAAAGAAAGTCTTGGGATGTACACTAAACAACTCAACTTGTTCTGTTTTATGTTGCGCTCGGTTTTTTGATTGTACTCCTTGTAGAAGTCATCGATCGCTTTTTCGGCGTTACTGATAGTCTCCCGCTTTTTAGCCGCAGAGGCCTCATCTCGACGACGAATCTCCTCTTCTTGACGTTCGCGCCATTTCCTGTCAGCATACTCATCAGCACTTGTCTGCGATGACAAAAAGCAGCCCATGGCATTACCTGATAGGCTCAGGTTCCTCTTCGTCGGCGCCCAGCTGAGGGGTGAATGTGGGAGGCTGGAACGAAGGACGGGATTGCGGCTGAGCAAAGAACGGTGGTTGGAATGATGATGTTGGGGTACCGAACTCGCTCTAAATCGTAGAACCATAAGGTGAGTTTGAAGATGGGGCCTCGCATCAGCTATGCTACTATATTTGTTGGAGCAACGCGTACATTGTCCAAACTCGGGAACTCATTCTCGAAACGTTCTACTTCATCATCACCACCCGTGACTTTCACCTCATAGGTGGAGGCAATGGGCGTGCCAAAGTCGTCAAAATCATTTAGGAATCCATTGCTCGTGCCAGTGTCGGGTACTGATGAAATTTCTCCGTCTAGGTCTTCAAGAGCAGGGAAGCTAGCAGCAGCCTTAGTGAAGTCAATATCACCACCTATAGTGCTCGCATTCCCACTAGAAGAGAAAGCCGACCCCAAAATAGCTTGTTCGCGGGCCAGGAAATCGTCGGTCATGGTTTTATGGTTAAGTGTTGATTGTAGCCGTGGCGAAAGTGTAGTATTCCCACGGTCGGTGGCTCTCCTGACCCGCAAACACTGGTCTAGCCTCAGTAGGAGATATGTAGATACAGACTACAAATGATCCATTGGGTGCAGATGGAGGTGCAATTACACTCTTTAAGAAGCATAGCTTCATACAATTATTTCCCGCAAGAACCCCAACGCCCTTTTAAAGCTTTTGTTGTTCCTGTGAATTTGAGGTCTGGACTTCAACCCACGAAATGCATTCGTTGATGGATTTGTCCGAGACACCGCCAGGTTCATTGTGTATCTCATGATACGCCCCCTGATAACAGGATTGAGAGCATTTTCAGTACTAATGCTGCTTGTGTTCTGCTCAAAACCTCACCGGATAGGAGGAATAATGCTTGACTTTCGCTTTAAGTTTGTCAAAGAATTCCTTGGATGCCCTTGGGGAAGTGCTCTGAATGAATGGGTGTGAATACACATAACAGTGAGATTAGGTGGGAGTTACCCCGTCAGCGTCGCCATGCAGTATCAGAAGCTATTAGGGAGAGCACCAATGAGCGTGTCGGTAATTTCACCAAGATTCATTGACGTACAGGCAAACGTTCTGGCCAGTTCACATAGTGCTTGTCCACAAGGGCAGCTCCCTTCTCGTTGGATGCTGAACATGAGCAAATGTCGAAGGCGTGGTGGGACGTACCTGATTGAGCATGTCTGTGACTCCCTTCAGCGTGCCGAACTTGCGAACAAGGGGGTCATTATCATATTTCTCAACGACTACGGGGTCATGACTCAAATCCTAATACAAACAGGAACGCGAGTGAAGGCAGTGTATCAGTTACCATCGAGGTCGGATGGGCGCATCGGTAGCCTACTGCTGAGTTTAATGGAACAGGCACCTCCTTGTGAGGAAGTAGTTTGGCGAGTTGACCGCCAAGGAAGACCTGCCATACCGGGGAAGGTTTCGTTTCACGAAGCATAGGTGCCGATGCAATAATCCCTTTCAGTTCTCCGAGAGCCTTCACATGCACTGGTGGAGCGCAAACGAAACCTAACACCTCACCGCCTCCCTATTAGCGGTGACGCGAGGGATGAGCCACGAAACTCCTAGCAGAGTAGTGCAATTAATACTCGCCATGGAGTGACCCATGAGGAAGAACGGAATACTAGGCCCAAGCCTCTCTCGCTCTCTAAGGATGAAGAAGGATATATCTTCCATCTGGTCCTTCCAACTTGTCTTACTATAGCTAGCTTTAGTGCTTTTGTTATCCTTGTCCGTAGCAGTTAACCCAAAACCCCGTTGGTCGAAGGCGAAGACAGTGATGCCACGTTCAACCCAGCCAGGGAAGATCGAGGAGTATCGCCCAATGTGCTCGATGAATCCATGGATGAATATTAGATGAGCCTTAGGTCTAACCTGAGCATCAGGTAGGTCATATGTTCTAGTGTAGAAAGGGGAATTATCATGCGAGCCTGTAATCCAAGCTTCCTTGTATGGGGCTGCCATGATGAGAGTGAGTGTTCGAGAGATAATTAAGGGCGTGAGAATTTCGTCCCTCCGGAAGCAAATAGCTTGAGAACGATGGATCGATTTCCCGAACTCGGTGCAGCAATAATGAGGTTCGTCTGATTGAATGTAAATGAATCATAGGAATTACTAAAAGGAAGAACGCGAATGCCTGCCACGCCCCCCTTGGGATCCTAATCAGTTAATGATATGGCCCATCCACTAAATATGTTTATCGAAACTAATTCCTGGTGCCATCAGTGTGCATCGGGCGTTCTGAAACACAGATACATTGGCTGGTTCTGGACTCGGGACAGCATGAGGCATCGAGTGGAGAGTGAATGATTCGGGGGGACGAGAAGGTCGTCAAAGGAGGACCGATCGTATGACTTTCAGCATTAGGCCCGGACCTCTAGCGAGACCAAGCTAGCCCAAAACTTCAAGGTTGGGCGGCTTAGAGAATAAATACACCGTGACCAAATCAGCATTGTCAATCGCCTCAACGCTGTAAGCGCAGACCACGTCGGAAGTGATGTGCTTGAGCCTAGTAGCATGGAGGCCTTATGATCCACACCTCCATTATCCGGTAGAGCTCTTGGATTTCTTCCAGCCGCCAGCCTTGTGTTTGTCCGGAGGTGGTAGAACATGCCCCTCTGCTACTTGGCCGCTTCGTGGACTCTAAGAAAAATAGTAACGAGACTAGGTGGGCAAATATTGACTTACTGTTTCCACTAAATATTCAGCCTGTATGAGCTCTCGACGATCCATCCCGAAAAGCAGTGGTCTGTGCTCGGCTTGTACATGCTGAAGACAGCTGTGTTGATGTTTAGTGCAGCATGTTAAGGAGAACGAGAGCCTACATCAGATATTTTCTTGCAAATCGGAGACGTGGGGGACTTTCTCGCTCCATCCTTCTCTCCTAGATGGACAGTATGTAAACATGTGACTCGTGAGACGTTTCCTGGGATGAGGGGCCCTCGAATTTCTCGAGGTCCGAGTCTTGAATGGCGACCGGAGTAGGTAATGTTGCAAATCAACTATTTACAAGTGTTTGCGTCGACAATTTTATCTTCCTTCCACTCGCAGCACAGTGCGGCCGGGTGTTAATTTATCATCACCATCAAGTGTCCCCAACAAACGCACAGAACGGTATTGCAAAGTGCAACTCTGACGCACCACGCAGGGGCCAAACAACTTGTCCGCCCTCCTCAGTCTCTCAATCTTGCTCATTTCTCCTGGTTTCAGAATCAACATGCCAGAAGACGCTTGCAATGACTTACAAAAAGGATGGCATCATTTGGTCCCATAGCCACTGAAAAGCCCCTCGAGTCACTGATGTTTGACCCAGCGCAATTGGTAGAGTGCAATGAGCACTAGAAGCAATTTCGTCTACATAATACGTAGTTCGGTTTCTTTACCTTATTCGCGTCGCACAAGCAGGCCTGTGGACGCACAGCACCTCAGCGGATTACACGCCTCACCAAGAGCTTGTTCTGGAGCGCCTGGCTGCTCGGGCTTTACGTCCCCGATGTCTTAAGAACATTCAATGCAATGCTAATTCCATATCATGGCTCTTCCTCGCATCTACATCTATTCTTGTTTGTTCTCGTACAGGTGGCTCGTGATCCCCATCCCTATGGTGTAGCTTACATTTGATATCAGCATCATAGGTCCCAGCTGCCAGAATGTGCATTGGGTGGTCATTCGACGCTTACCCGTCTGAGGACATACGACGCTACTTCAGAGCCACTTGCTACACCTCATGACCTTATTTTATTCGCTACTCCAGCCGGAAGTGTTAACGCTTGCTAAAATGGATGGTGCAACATACTCCCTCACTTCCAAAGTCGATGTTGCTTAAATACGTATGTACTTGCCACGGGTGCACCGTAGTAGATAATGGCCTCAGGAGTGTCATTTCACCCATTTGCTGTTTTAAGATTAGTCTGAGCAGCATCCAGGCTTAAAAACGATCTATGTCCATGTCTGAATGACTTCGCATCGGTGATCTATCGGTTCGAACTACGCGTGGGTAAAAAACCCGTCGTTTTGAACGAGATGGTACCAAGTGGCGCTTTGTCATGTCAGTCTTTCACGCTCTTCAACGTTAGTCTTTCTGCTCCTAGATGTTCTCAAGGATACTTTCAAGTGTCCCAGGTGGCTTGAGGTAGTCCCAGGGGTCTGGATTGGCATCACCAATCTTCTCGCGTCGAACTGAGCAGAGCTGAATTTAAATGAAATGACCTGCCAGTTGTTGCAACTTCGCTTGCTGTCCTCCTGCCACATCCCCAGTTGGGACTGTAGCCAGTCGTCCAGGCTGGTGTGTACGACGTCCCCATTGCGTGGCTGTACGGGAAGATCCTTATCCGGTGCCTCGAATTTGGCTTTCCTGACTGTGGCTGGATTCCCCCGCGATGATACTTATACGATGACTCGCCGTGATATTACATGTCTATCTTGTAAATAATCATGGGGTCGGTCATCTGTCGCGCGGCCATGTAGGTGGTCAAGAAGTGAAGGGGCTGTCGCGGGTAGCACTGAAGAATTACGGCCAGGAAAATTTAGTGACCGCAGAGACCATCACAACATATGCGTGTATCATATATGTATTGTTGACGCGCTTCTTTATTGTCATTATTGATGGAATACGTAATTGCGTGAAGGTGCGGCTATTCAGCAGGAGCGTGCTGGTTGGTGTGGTCGCGTCGGGTTTCTGCAGTCCTCTGGGTTTATACGTTACAGCCACGGTTGTCAGCGCTTCATCAGGCACCATTACATAAAATCTGCAGTGGGCAAAGTATCTAAGATACAATAAGCCATACATAATAGCGTACATGATGTCGTGGGTACAGTGGATCGTGCGATAGCTCAAGATGGTGGACTCGTAAAGCAATAACGAATACGTTGAATATGAATCGGGATAAAGTATAGTGTTGCAAAGATCCATAACATGACACGGGGTTACTTTCGCGGTGATGAAGACGGAGAGGACCGCTCCAGGAGTGGACGTTCAAGCCTAAAACGGAGCCGTTCCACTTCACGTTCCAGTCTATCATCAGGACGCATGAGTAATCGTCATCTCCAGAAATCTCTGTCACTTACGCAAGAACCTTCTGCCGCTGCTCGGATGCATCGAGCTCAGCTTGACGCTTGGCGACTTGGAGTTCGCTTTCAGAAGATTGCTGAAGGGCATGTCGGTCCAGGTTACGAAAGCACGCGAAGACCACGTACACTCACAAGTTCATCAGACGAGCTTCTCAGTTTTTCTAGCTTCATCTCATAATCCTTCACGTCCGCTTCCAGCCTAGCACGAGCCCGCTCGCTTTCGCTAAGTTGAAATTGGGTGTTGCGGGCGCTTGTCCCCGCATCGCGGAAGGCTCGGTCAGACTCGGCCTTCTCTTTGAGTTCTTGGTTGAGCTTGTTAGTGAGCTCCTCCACTCGGACCTCCAGTCGCTTAACGTGGGGTGAAGACTTTGGTGATGTAGCATAAGCCCTGGTCTCCTGATCAACGACACGAAGCTTGAGTTCCTTGACCTGTTTCTCCAAGTCTGCCTGGAAAAAGTGGTCACAGGGCGTTGCACGCTCATAGAACGGGAATCACTTGCATTGCGTCGATCAAGTTCGGCATTTTCGTGCCGCACTTTATTTAACTGACTCTGGCAGTCAATGGCATGTGCTTCTGCTTTCTTTAGGCGCTCCGTAGCCAACGTCACGCGATCCCTTTGAGCATCAAGGGAGCTTCGAAGGTCCTGCTTCTCAAGGTGCAAAGCTTGTAGGACGCGATCGGACGATAACTTATCGGACTGAGAAGAACCTGGATGGCGATTCTGTATTTTAGCTTTTCTCATTGGGTTGGTCAATATTACGCACCTTGTGCAATGTCATTGAGTCGAGACTCAAGGTTACGCCTTGCTTTCTGTAATGCTGTACGATCAGCTTCAGCCTCGTCAAGCACACCTCGCAACTCTCGAACTTGTGATAGCAAGTTCACAATCTGAGATTGCTGCTCTGATTGGACACCTGTCGCTGACTCATAAGCGGATGTCAAATCCGAAATCTTGCTCTCCAGGCGTTCTTTCTCCTTCTTCCACGCGCCACTAGAATAGACTTCGTCATCGTACTGAAGATGAAGTTGGTCGAGTTCAGCTCGAGTCTTGCGGCTTTCATCACGCAATCGGCTGATGGTGTCCCGCTGAGATTGTAGCTCTAGATATGCCCGTGAGTCATAAAAGGAACGCATGTCCATAGATCGTTACCTTCACTCAGTAACGCAAGCTCGCCTGTGGCCGGGATATTAGGTCCTTCGGCAGATGTAAAGCACCACATCGCTCACCCTGGTATTTCTTCCGCGTCTGATCAATCATGACGTCTCTCTCAGCAACATCCTGAATAATCAAAAAATCGGAATGCAGCAAATCGCGGGCCCGTAGAGCTTCTGACCTTCTTGTGTCGCTCCTTTTCGTCATCAAGTTGCTCTGTTAATCGTCGACGAAGTATCTCGGTTTCGGATGCACCACGGGTTCCGTTATCGACTCTGCTCTCAAGATCTCTAGCACGTCCTTCGGCTAGTCGCAGCTGCTCTTGTAGGGTTTTCTGGTCTGCGCGAGTCTCCTTCAAGGCAAGGTCCATGTCCTGGAGGCTCTTCCGGACTAGGTCATGGATTCATATCTCGCATGGTTCGCAGTGGTTCCACCACTTACTGTTGGCTTCGCTTCTGATAGCTTTTGCTTTGGCGACTTCCGCACCTTCAAGCCTTGATAAATAAGCGTCAGCTTTGGCTTTGTAGATATCGGCAGCTTCCTTGAAGTCTAGGAAAAACTCAATGCCCGCTCGACTGCCAGGAAGCGAAGCTCGTACCAATGTTTGAGGATGCTTGTGCAGAAGATTCCATCTCCTTCAAACGAGTTTGCAACTGCAGCTTCGAAGCTAATTTTTTGCAGTCAGAACAAAGTAACATGTATTGACTGCGTTCGAGCGTACCATGAGCTTCATTCCTTGCAATTGTTTCCCGTTCGAGGCGCTCCTTGGCATCAGCAAGTGTAGTCTGAAGGCTGGCCTTTGCCTGCAAGAGATCTGATATCTGTCGCTTGTGATCCTCGAGTTCAACTTGCGCGGACCGCTGCTGCACCAGCTAGTGATAGTTCAGAATATTGCTCACATGTGAAACCCAGTCACATACCAGGGCTTTGCGACCTTCTTCAAGCTTCGCATATTTTAGCCTTTCTTCTCCGATCGTGTTCTGATATCTGGACCATAACGCCTTGACACTATCAAGTTGGCCCGATTCCAATAGGCGGCGGGAGTCTTGCTCAGCAGTCAATAGCCCCTTCAGCGTTTGTTTCTCTTTTGCGAGCTTGGCTTTCTTGGCCTGTAGAGTTTGCTTTGAGACATCAACACTATCCAAGTCCGAGGCGAGATCGTTTAGCATGATCTGCAATTGTTGACGAATTCGATCCGACGAAGCGACCTGGAGCTGCAAAGTTTCAACTTGACGACGCAAACTAGTTCTTTGCAAGTCATTCGCAGGCAAAGCATCTACAGAATTGACACGCGGCCTGACAACACCGTTCATTGCAGGAGATCGCTTCCCAGGAGAGATGTTATTGAACGCCTTAATTTCAGTGAGGGTGCTGGGCGATATTGTAGTTCCGGCTCCGAAGTCCTGCTGCAGTTGACGGTCAACCTCATCGATCTCTTGAAGCAGTCGCCCTCTGAAAGAGTCTTCCTTCGGCATCTGCGTTGCTATCAAGCGCTTCAACTGCACTTGCTGACGTTCAACATGCTGACGAATACGGTCGATGATGGGACTCGCGAGTTTCGTCTGTTTGATCTCCGCTTCAAGCTCAGCCACCCTGGTTTCAAGTTGACGATCCGGGGAAGGGAGGGGAGTACCGTCAGCTGCAAGCTCGGTCAACTCGTTTTCTAATTGAGCCTTCGAGCGCTCGACCGTGGCGAGCTGCTGTTGGGTGTCTGCTAGCTGGACGTGCAAATTTTTCACCTCGGTCTCCGCACGTTGAGAGCGTAATTCGGCCAATTCCCGCGCCTTTCGCTCCGTCGTAGCATCCTGCTGAGCTTGTTTGAGAGCCTCCCCATGCGTCTTCGCTTCCTTTTCTCTTGCCTTAGCCTCAAGTCGCTCGCGCTCAGTTTGCCGGGTCAGATCTTCCGTGTCGCCGATGAGCCTGAGTTTGGCCTTTTCGAGTGACTTGATGTATGCATTCGTGTCCCGCAACTCCTGTTGACTAATGGCAAGCTGTCGATCAGTGACGCGTTTCGCCTCCTCGAGAACATGGACATGCTCCACAATAGTCTTGTCTTGTCTGGAACGGAGATGCGTTATCTCCCCGTCACGTTGATGAATGTCATCAAGAGCCTTCTTGAGATCCGTCTGAAGCTTGGCATTTTGCTCCTTTAACTGAACTGTCTCGCGGGCTCGGGACTTGGCCGAACGCTCCACTTCCGCCCGTTTCGACGTCTCGGCCTCCAATTGCTTGCGTACACTATCAATCTGACGGATCCACGACGCTTTCTCACGCTCAATCTGGAGGACAGCATCCTCGAAATCTTGATGCTTGGCTTGTGCGGACATAAGTTGTCGTTCAAAGGTCTGGGCATCGCTTCAATGTTGATTCAAAATCAAACCTGGAGACGCACGTACCTCCTTTTGCTTTGTTGCTTCGGCTAGTTGGCCTTCGAGATCAAGATGCTTAGAGCGGAGAGACTGAAGGTCAGATTCCAACCCTCGCTTGGTCTTCTCGAGAGCTTGAAGTACGCCCTCAGCCTTACTTCGAGCCTTGGCATTGGCAATTGATTGAGTTTCAAGCTCGCGGTAGGAAGCAGAAACGGTGTCGTGTTCTCTTCGTAATCCCTCAAGTTCTACCTTCAACTTCGCTTGGGCGTCAGCAGCGATTTGACGGGCATGCGCAAGGTCCTTCTGTGTGGCAGAAAGGGAGGCCCGTAGATCCACCAGCTCCTGCTCCTTGCTCTTCTCCACCTCCGAACGCAGGGTCTCCTCAGACGCTTTAGCGTCAAGCAAACCCCGAAGTTCATCAACTTCCTTCTCAACACGTTGTCGTGCCAGTGAACTTTGTTCAAGGTCTGTGCTTCGAGCCTGAAGTTCGCTAGTAAGGGTTTCGATTCGATTCTGAAGCTCGGATCGGGACTTGAAGGATTCATCAAGCTGATGCTGGAGGCTGGTTAGCTCAGCATTGAGGCGAATCACCTCGTGCTCCTTCTTTTGAACGATGCCTTCATAATCAGTGGCGGTCCGAGCCAGGTCCGACAATTGTTCACGAGTATTTCGGTGATCTTCCTCAAGTTGCGCATGTTTACTTGTTATCTCGTCCCTGAAGTTGACAGCATTAATCGAAAATTTTCTCGATGTTGGCTGTTGTGACCTACCTAGACTTGATTTCATTGACAAGCTTCGCATCCAGGTCCTTTAGCGAAGTATCCATACGCTGTCGAAGGCGAGTAAGGTCCTCTTCCTTATCTCTCAGAATGCGCTGGAGATCATCAGCCTCTTTTTCCAACTGCTCATATCGCACACGGGCAACCTCTGATTCAGCGTCGCGGTCGGATCTCTCGCCTTCCAATGCCTTCTCTTGCTCCTTCCAAGAACGTTCTGCGGATTCCAGACGCACAAGATGCTGAGCCGCCTCATCGAAAGCAGTCTTGAGTGTGAGATATCGCTGTTCGCCGAGCTTCTGAGCGTCCATGGCGCGATCGAGCTGTGTATCGACAGTTCGGAGAGTGGCTTGAAGAGTGGCTATCTCATCTTCCAGTTCCGCTTCACGTTGCTTGCTGCGTTCTAGAAGACGATCTTTGTCCAGTGTTAGTTCCCGTTCAGCTACCAAGTCCTCTTCAACTTTGCGTTTCTCTTGTTCCAGTGTCATCTTGAGAGAAGCAAGAGAAGCTTTTTCCTTCTCTTCACGCGCAGCACGCTCACGAATGAGTGCGAGCTCAAGTTCCTTCTTTCTGAGCTCCTCGTCATTACGAGTGGCGGCCAAAAGGGGTCGAATCTTGGTATACAGTTGCCACCATGGCCAATCGCGGAGCTCCCCATAAACGCGAGCATTTCGCTGGATAGTCGCGGCAGCACTCGCTCGTCGCAGTATCTTCTTCATCTGACGGCGAGCAGTATACATCCGTCCCGCCGCTTGCAGTCGGGAGAAAAGGTCGTATAAATATGCATCACGCCGCTCCTCCAAATCGGCAAGAACACCCGCCTTGAAGAATATCTTGCTGTTCCCGATGGCGTAACTAGCGGTGTCGAGATCGAGTGCTTCAGCCATTCGAGTGCACGCCTTGCGACCATCCATATATCCACGAGGAAGAATCCCCGGGGTCAAGATCTCGTATTGTTGCCTGAATTCTGCAAACGGGAGGCGGTTTGGATACCCTAGCCGAGCAATGCGAATGCCCTCAAGCACGCCATTACAACGCAGCTGGTCCAGAACAAGAGGTACGTCCACTCGTCCAGGTCGCTTGTTCGTATTCGGCACTATACACCGAACGAAGTGGGGTTGGGTGGCGTGAAGCTGCGCCATGAGGCTAGACAACTGTTCCTTGTGCCGTTGCCCAACTGTCCGGAAAGCACCCTTCTTCACCCCGCGCCTGCGAAGACCAGTGACCTCACTGATATCATCACTGCCACCGAAGAGATTTGCGATATATCGCTGGGTCGAACCGCCGAGAACGCGAGTCAGGTTATCGTTCAAAGGGTCCTTGTTCTTCTCTAGCCAACCCTCGGTGTTGTACTCTACACTGCCAGCGTAGTGTTGGATGATGAAGCCCTGTGTAAATCGCGTGGGTGTGTACTTTGTCATTCCGGGGTGGGACGAGGATGAAGAATCAGAATTCGTTGGTCCGGACCACAGACCGTGAAGCTTCTCCGTGAATGTCGCATCGGTAGCTCGAGGCATAATACACTCCTCATCGAGAAGACTAAGTACGCCGATAGGTTCGCGGGACTCAATGAGTTCAATAGTGGGTTGTAAGTCGAGACCGAAATTCTGGAAAGACCAAGGAATGCTCTCTCGGGCGTACTCTTCCTGCTCAAGAACGAACATGTGATGGTTGAAGAATTGCTGCAGCTTCTCATTTGTATAATTGATGCAAAGCTGCTCAAAGCTGTTGACCGTGAAGATCTCAAAACCAGCAATATCCAAGACGCCAATGAAAGTAGATTTCTGAGACGGTCTATCCAAGGCCTTATTGATGCGGTCCACCATTGAGCCGAAGGACTTCTCATAGAGCGTCTTACAAAGAGAAGACAGCTCATCGAGCGCCTGTTGTTTGGTCCTAGCTTGAGTGACCCACTCTCTTCCGGCTAGGACACGTGGACAAAGAAAGGCCTTCTTGAACTCGGGGACCGGTAGCCCAAGGAGATGGCATGCCTTCTCCACTTGTGTGGAGCTTGTTACCCGAGCCTGCTCGGAGCGATCGGATGTAACGTCAATATTGCCGATGTGCAATGTCGCCGCAACAACCCGGAATAAGTCGAACTGCTCATCCGCTGTGAACCCCACGACATCAAGGGCATTCTAATAGATATAAGTGAGATACTCAGAAGTTTGGACCTGCATGTGCTAACCTTGAGGCTTTCCACTCTTCAGCATCGTTAACACCATCCACATGACGTCTAGACTTGTTGAGGTATACGTAGTCCTCCACATCACCGTCAAGCAATAGAGATTCTTCAGAGATTTCTTTGAGTACTATCGCCCTCCATAAGTAATAGCAACCTACTCCGCAAGGAACCTCCTCCCTCGAGAAGCTGATAGAACACATGGAAACAACGTTCCGCTTCGCTGCGATAAGATATACGACTTTTCTCAAGGAGGTACCAATCTATGTTGGCACCTGCAATGTTCCCGTCACGCGTAAAACTGATCCGAATGAATTTACCGAATCGGCTAGAATTGTTGTTTCGCTGTGTTTGAGCATTCCCAAATGCTTCAAGGATGGGGTTCGCTTGAAGGATTTGTCGCTCGAGAAGACCAAGAGCGGGGGACTTGATGATCGCCTGACTCAGGGTGTTTGCTCGATGACCTCGCTTAAATGACGGAGATTGTGGGATAACAGAATGAGCATCTGCCATTAAAGGTAGCCCATCAGGTCCACTGGCAATTTCAGCAGCTATTGAGGCAAGATATTGAATGACTTTCTTCGTGTTCTCAGTTTTCCCTGCCCCAGACTCCCCACTATTGAACAATGGTTGAGTAACAAAAGAGAGGAAGAGGTTAACTGACACATACGTGATGAGAATAGATTGGTTCTCCCTGTTCTCTCCCATATTTACCCAAGCACGCTCTGTTATAGCAAAAATATGCGGTGGATTCTCATCTTTCCGTTTATTGCGATATTGTTGGACGACAGTTTCGCTGTACAGTGGGAGATTAGTGTAAGGATTTACGGCCACTAAGAAGAGCCCTGAGTATGTCTAATACCAATACCGATGACCATGAGTTTATAGAGGGCGTTTAGGATAAGATCGACGCGACGTACGTAGATGGCCCCCGAGCCATAGCGAAGACGAAGATTGTGTACAACGCTTGCCTCGTTTAGAAATGTGAGGTCAGCAATGTCATCCACCCGATCAAATTTAGGAGGGTTCATCTTGGAGAGAGAGTATAACGGGACTGTTCGCGACTAAACGCGTCAACATATACTGTATTGAGCGACTTGTTCAGCGACACACGCGCCAAGGAGCATGCTAACCTCTCCGCCACCCGCCAACATTACTTCGCCAGTGTCATCCTCTTCATGAAGAACCCATCCAGCGACATATCCATCCTTCTCATCAGGGATCCATACCCAACGTTTCTCATTGAATTCTGCTTGCAAGACTGCAGCTCTTGCTGCTTCCGCACTAAGGGAGGGACGCGGCACGACGGCCGGCATTTTGCCAAAAATGTCTTGTAGAGAAATAAAATAAGACGGTTAGTAGATAATTTCACTGAACAGAAGGAAAGTGAGGCAGCGTGAAGCGGTCGGCGGGAGAACTTGTTGACGGCTGTTTACCAGCATTAGCTGGTCATGTGCCGCTTTTGGACGTTTGATTTGACAGCGACGTGAATTGCATTCATGACGTAAAGTCCAATTGAAGTGATTCCTGCAGTTGAGGGTCCCAAGTAAAACGCATCTTGGAGCATGGAGGATCCAGGAACTGATGGAAGTTTCTGGGAAGTTGTTTTCTCGCCACATTACGAAGTATTTTTTTTTTGCAAGATAACATATGTACTTCTTGACTGATATCCGTTCCTCTGAAGGTACTGGGACCATTCCCAATGTAAGAAATTGCTCTCGGTAACATACCAATAAGCTAATTATGATGTTCCAAGCTCGGCACGGGAGCAAAGCGTTTTATCCCCATTATATCCTATTCGAAACAGTAAGATTGCCTTGAATTCGTTTGCTGTGCGCGCCACACCTACTTATATATCGCATCGCAACACAAGTCCGATCACTTCGCCATCAGTATTCTCTACAACGTTTTCCTTCTTCCCTTGTTGACGGTGGTTTTGCTTCTTGGTTGAACTGCGAAGCGTCCTCTGGGGAATTTAAGGTCGTGCACTCTGGTGTAAGGTGGCAGGAGCTTCGGAACATCCTAGGATGGTCTTCCCTCCAAAATCACTCCGTCGTTCATACTTCATTTACAGTCATGCAGCCCTTGCCCTTCACAGTCAACCCTGATCAGCCTGTTGCACTTGAGGTCACGCTCAAACAAGGCTCATACATCGCCATCTTGGAAAGGAATCGTGAAACACAGACCGAAGATATGTCTTGGTATGAGGGAGATATCTATGCACAGAGTTCTTCCCCGCTGCGCCTACCGTTGAGAGCCCTGACCCAATACGAGGGACCCGTTACTTTCGATGTTTTCATATCTGCCGACTACGAGATTCGCCTCTTTGGTGATCCTTTATGTAATGAGAGTCGCTCAGAACCGGTATCTCGGGTCAACTTGAGCCTTAACATCATATCTCCAACAACACCACTCTTTGACGCGCAATTCACGGTACCAGACATACTCGGAGGGTTATTTCTCGGGGATGTGATTGGACTGAGGATTCAAAATACAAGTCACTGGCGGACTCTAAACGCAATTACGTGCGATCTTAGCGTGAGTAGTATGCTACTCCAGATTCACACTTCATCACGGTCATTCTATCGTCGGTTCAGGAGTTTTCCCTTTCTTTAGAGTTGGACTCGTCGAGATTGGCTCCCTGGCAGCTTCGGTTAATCCAATCACAGTGACGCAAAGAGAACCCATACCTCCATCTGCTCTGAAATGAATGTTGTGATTCACATAGAGCAGGAGCAGAGTTGCGATATAACATTCCACTGACACATCATTCGAAGCTAGCGTCAGATCATGGACCCTCCCGCACGCACTACTTGCAGACGCATCGTCATCCTGTATTATCGAGCTCGATCATCATCCCCCCTGTCTCGTGTCCTGAAGAGATCGGTCATCAATATCCTGCGGTGCTCGCACTTCACGGCGCTGGTGTAGATTTTCGTTCGCCAATGTGGACAACAGCAATCAATCGACAAGAACACTCCTGGATTGTATGTCCTAGTGGGCTCTCTTATTGGGGCTACGACTGGCATGGTCCTAGCGCTGCAGATGCCATTGCTGCTCTGAATGCACTGATTTCGCGAGAACCAGGCGTTTCTTCCGACCGGTCGTCATAGGACACAGCAATGGCGGTCAGGGGACCGTACACTTGTGCCAGCACTACCCAGACCTGGTGCTCGGTGCTATTCCAGTTGCACAGTATCTTACACCATCCGCCTATGTGCCGTTATCAGGCTCTCATGGCGAACATTATGTGGATCCGGCCCTATCTGCAATTCTACGCGCATCGACGGCTAATGGGGACAATGATCTCTTCCTTAGTAATCTAACTGAGATGAAGGTCCGAATCTTCCATGGTGGCGCTGACGAGAACGTACCCGTGTGGCAATCTCGAAAAGTGATGGAAACTATCAAATTTCATTCTCATCGGCCGATGTCACGTAAGGCTCTCTAGGTCGTTCCCAGAGCAACATTCATGCAACCTGCAACCTAGATTTACTGAACTGCCAGGGAAGCCCCATTGGTGGGATGATCTAATGCAGACGCCCCCCATATCTCAGGCGATCGGGGAACTATTGGGGACAGGAAACGAATAACCAGTCATAAAGACTTTACATTAACTGTGCTGTGGCCTCATGAAGTCGGTTCAATGAATGGATGGAAAATCCAGGAAACGGCAATACCGGGACGGTACCTTTCGCTGTACTGACAAATCGTAACATGTCATTCTGACCAGCTTATTCCAGACTCGCAAAGCTCCAAGTCTCACAATACAGAGTCGTGAAGACCAGCAACGTATGGCGTTTCTCGCTATCGATAAAACTGTTTCATCGAAATGCTACGGATCAAACGATCTGTGTAGACGGACAGGACCTACATTTAAACAGTCAGGTCGCAGACGTGTGGTTCGAGCGCGTGCAGGATAAATGGAAGGTGGTTTGGTTCGTTACCAGTGTTATACGTAACGAGGCTCATAACCACACCAGGTGTGCTCCTCGCGTGAACCTCGCCTGACTGGACCCATATCGCGGATACTAACATACGGATCCCCTCTGACAATTGTAATTCCAGCTCTCGGCGTTTCTCACTCCCGTCTAGCAGATCAATACGACACAGCATCCACAGCAGCGCGGTACCTTCGACTTACAAACCGACTGGCTTTCAACCTGTCGACATACCTGGGGCTGGATTCGAATATCGTTACGGATGAAGAAGCGCTTTCTGCGCAACCTGCGGATAACGGCAGAGGCGTTATCGTTTTTGGTTGCCCTGTTGTGAATCGATATGCGACTGTAGCCTTGCGATCATCATTTCCCATTCACTTCAACTGCAGAAATGAGAGAATGGAGAGCTTCAGAATCAATCATAGAACATTTGACGAGAAGGGGACAGGTGAGATATCTTGATTATGACCCCCGAGGATCTAAGACTTGCTTGTTCTCGATAGCATTGCTCTTTATGGACCAGAAACATTTATACATTTGTGCATTCGATGCAAACGGATATGAGCGTGCACTACGGGCGTTCCCCTTGCGAACAGGCACTCCCAATCCGGAATGGATTGTGATCGGAAAGGATGCTGACTTCCTATCAACAGGCGGGATACTTGGCGCTGGGTGAGTGATGAAGTGAGACGCTGGGAAACAACCATTCATCATCCTCACAGCTTCTGGAGCAGAACAGGGGAGTACAATGATGCGATGTCTTGGCTTGCTTGAAGTTAGCAATGGACCATGTTAAACGAGGATGTTGCTTCCGATAATTGCACTATGTTAACTGCGCTGTTAATTATCATGAACCACGTCGACAACCATCTGAAGAGTCCTCGATCGGGTTTGTCTTCTACCCATTCGTCCCCAACAATGTCGTCCAGGAGCGGCCTCATCGCATGTGCCATATTACAAGGATGAAGATACCAAGAAGATGTGCCGAGGACTGGATGATCCCCTTGACTGAGCAGAGGGAACGTGGCTGCTTCTTCGTTTGGCGAGGGTAACATCACTGAGTTTGAGCTAGAATCAACTCCGTCAACCGTGCCTCTGAGGTATCCTGCGCCGATGATCTTCCCGAGGTCCAGCGGGGTGCCGTCTGTATGAATCAATCAATTTTTGGCCAGCGATAGCAAACACGTAGCAGATACCTTCTCTGAATGCCGAGAAGTAGAAGGCAGGGACTTTGAAAGTCGTGGACAAGACAACACTTTCGTACACTTTGATGATGGGCGCATCGGAGAGTTGTCCCGAAAGGAAGACGGCTGGATCATATATGTCCTCCAATTCATCCTCTATTTCAGTATCTATCTGTGAGTCACAGGACACGCGGCTCCTTATGGTCGTAATGCGCTGCATAAAGCCCAAACCCGCATATCGCTCAAGGCCGACTGAGGATTCGATCATGTCAGAATCCGAATCGACAACATACTGGGTGTTCGGTCCATGCCCACCCTTGGGGTAGATACTCTAGCCCGACCCCGCTATCGGAAATAAAACTCTTGCATGCTTTCTCAAATTGTTCCCGAGACAGAGTGGAAGGAGCTCTCATGGCTCGTGGGAATCGTGGGCTTGAGCGCCAGGCGGCACCGGATGTACTTTAAGCCACATCAGGAGTCAATTCAACCCTGTCCCAGCAAGGCATGGTGGGCTGCGATTGGACCCCCTGGTGTGCTGTGGGCCTCCTTTCTACGTGCACCGCATACCCTTTATTGCCTCTTCTCATTCAGAATGAATTTCCTTTGTCACCCGTCTTCCTCCCACCAGATGTAGCACACAAACTGGGGCCATAGTAAGTTGACCTACAACTTGGACTCATAGTTGCTTGCCTGACAAGTACCTTCTCAGCTCTCCATATTACGCTGTCTCGCCATACGAGATTCTTGAGCAGGAATGTAATTTAACGCAGGCAAACCTGGTAATTGCGCATCCGCGACCCCAATCAGTCCGCTTTCGTGTTGAACACTACACCATCGCGCTAGCTTTATAGGCATGGCTCGCGATATCCTACGCGGAAAAGTGCCATCGATCTTGCAGAAACTTTCCACAAACTGCAAGCCAATAAACTCGGTGGAGCTTTGAAGTTCATAACAAATTATAGCGTCAATCTGAACGCAGATGACCTAGTTCTTTTGGGGGCCATGGAGTAAGTACCTATATAATCGCCCGGACTATACTCATCCGTAGATGCTTCCAAGGCTGGAAGAAGCTGGAAGGCGAGATTATGCAAGATATTCCCAGTTGCTCCCGAACGCTCCTGCCAATGAACCATTCCTACGAGCAACTAGTGCCCAGAGAGTAATTGATTCCGCTGGTAACTGGTCCGCCGCTTTCACAACTGCGAGCGGAGGAACTTTTCACGTTCCTCTTCCTCTGATACTTAAGAGGAGTCAAGATGTAAGCATAATCACTGTTGGTATCAGTGGGATTGACTTGACTTTAGCCTTTGACAGTTTAACAACACTCTCGGCACTTACAATTGCCCGCAATGGAACCGTTCTTTGTCTGATGAAGCAAAAGGAGATTTCTTAGCTTCCTTCGCCCCTGACATCCTACACAGGCTGCAGGAAATGGCACCAACTGCCGAACTCGGAGGAGAAGACGTGATTAATCTGTTCCAAATGTGTGCATTTGACTCCGTTGCGTCCATGAAATATAGCCCATTCTGCCGGATATTTGAGCCTGAAGAGTTTGATCAGTTTGAGTACTATGAAGATGTCAGCAAGTATTACTATACAGGGTGAGTTCTCATGTCGTTTTCGCAGAGTCTTCCGACAATTCCTATGATAATTAGTTACGGACATGCGCTCGGACCGGTTCAAGGTAAATTGCAGGACAAAACTATGGAATCAACCCGATACTCACTACACGAACCCGCTGATGATAGGCGTAGCTTATGTAGCTGAACTCGTGGCAAGGCTAACCTCTTCACCCGTACATGGGATCACCAATATTAATCGAACTTTGGATTCATCAAGTGATACCTTCCCACTTGATCGCAACCTTTACGTCGACTTTTCCCACGACAATACCATGGTGGCGATTGTTTCAGCGATGGGAATCCACAAGCCACAGAAGCATCTGTCCACCCATAAACGGCAACAGAATTCGGCGTGGGTAATCAGCCGTATTGCACCATTCGCGGCGCGCCTTGTCGTGGAGAAATACTCGTGTACGACGACAACAGCATCCGGATCCGACGAATGGGTGCGAGTGCTTAGCGATGATGCCGTGATGAATCTTCCGGATTGCAAGGAGACCATGCCTGGAGGGCTGTGTTCATTACAATCTTTCGTTCGAGAGCAACTCGGCTATGTCTATAGTCAGCGAGCGATAGCTGATTGGGATAATTGTTTTTAATTTCGCAGCAATTAGACTATCCAGGCATTCTTGAGCAATCAATCCAGACTCTGTGTCTCCCAGCCGCTCGGACTGCATATTTAGGCGCTCGTAGTGTGTTCCGATTTTCCCCTATTCCGTTATCAAACGGCGAATTCGTGACCTTTGACAGGGACCGGAGAAACCGTGACTTCCGGACGTGCAACACAGCCTTAAAACTATGAATTCACGTCCGAGAGATCAATCCCTCACTCGTCCACAGATGCGGGTCCCAACGAACGATTCGACACGGGAGCCATCACGTGTTGGAGATGGATGGCTGTGTGATCTTGGGCTAGTTTCCTGCTTTGGTGAATCTTTGTCCCTGAACACGTTGCGGCCTGACATCGGTGCCTTCGCTTTGTGGTCAGCCCGCGTAAAGGGATACATCAATAGCACCCCTTAGCTCCGATGAAGAGGTAGATGTTCCTTGCCCGCAGGGTTCATGTTCCTGAATCAATTCATTGTGCCACAGTCTTTCAACAACACCCCCCGACGTCATCGAGCTCATTGCGTATTATGCAGCCACATCTGATCTTCCAGGTCCTCCAAGGGACATCGTTCCTTTGCTATCTACCTGCCGAACTATTTATTACTCACTGTCCTTCCAACACAATCATGGGCTTTATGCTGATATCTTCAGATTCAAATTTGACTGTGGGGCTCCGATACGTCGCTTTGCGAATGACCCATTGTGTCGTACATCCTCAACTGGGCTCAGCCTCGAGTTGCGTTCTCGTTTTGAAGCATTGCGTTATATGCGCACCGTTGTCCAAACGAAAACATGTATCACCCACTCGAAAGAAGAAACAATCCGACATCTGTGGACCATATACTTTATGTGCACCGAAAGTGACAGGAAGAATTTTGTGCAACTCGTGTCTTATGGGGATCTCAAAACCTTTCTGAGGGTTTGCATGGAGGAATTGCTGCTTCCTGCAATTGAGACAGAAGAGTATGTCCTGGAGACGCTAGATCGGACGCTCGTAGCCTGGATTTTGTGGTTGAGCACAACATTAGGCAAGCCACCTTCTGAAACACGATGCTGCCCATTCAACTCTTTTTCGGGTAGAATCGTTGAGATCTGAGGCGGAGTACCAGGAGGCAAACATCATCAAAGTGCTTCGCCCCATTGTTTTTGGCAATTTCTTGGTCTGTTGTGCATCCGCACTTCCTATTCCATGCTCAATTTCTGAGTAACAATCGCCTTTACAGTACTCAGCGTACCTAGCTCCGTGGATGATTTTTCGCATTTCCCCCGAAAAGGACAGTAATCGCCCGCTTCCCAGATTCAAACCCTGTCAACCGGATCAGGGAAGTACAGACCGATATGCCGCAAACGTGCGATTAGAAGATCGATCCGTTGTGGTCTCCTTATATGGGTACCCAATATGCCTTACCCCACCGCTTTTGTCACATGCTGCCTTCCTGTCGTACTTTGTAAGATTGGAGAGGAGGTCCTTGTATGAGGCGAACGATCTGGGGACTGTGAAGTACGTATCTAGACGGTTGCCATGCATGAAAGATTCGTCCAGGCTTGATGGCGACTTCTATCGGTGGGTGAAGGTGGCAAGTTCATTCGAAAGCTGCGTTGACCGGTATGATTTTAGGCTCAGGACTTGCGTCGACCCTCATACTTGGCAACGGAAAACAAGATTCCTTCCACCAGGCATGTTCACTGGTGACTGGGAAGGCAAATTTGCTGTAAGTGAACTTCATCCTGTTTCCAGTAACTCTAGTTTCTCATATAACCTCATTATCGAAGTTCACCGATTTTGATAGCTTCAGAGATATGCTAGACGGAGATGATGATGCCATTCATTCTGCTACCATAGGACAACAACCACAGGTGTGGAGTATTCGCGAGCACCAACATAATCCTAAACTAGCAGCTGCTCTTGAATCATGGGGACACACTGATCGCCATGGTGTACATCGAGCCCCTATCAGCACAAAGCCGGTCCTCCCTGGACCATCGCTGAATGCGCATTTGCCTGAGGATGTCGAGATCGAAGAAGTCCATCCTGATTATGGAATGATCCACTTTGCGTCATTCTCTGGGATTGATGAACATTGTATTGGCCCAATGGTTCATATCACTTATAACGACCCCGATCGAGGGCATCAAGTTCGATCTGTCTATAGCACATGGTTAGATGGTGCTACTTCCATTCCGAGCAGCCCACCAAGAGGGAGAAGAGTCCTCTCCTCAAGGAACAATAATGCATCATCAAATTCGAGCGAGCTGGGAGATTTGTATGCTGATCCATATGGATTTTCTGGGTATGGTACAGCTCCACCTTCGACTTCAAGGGCGAACGGTGATGTCCCCGGCGGAGCGACGGGGTCTCTCATGGATGTGGATGGGAATCCTCAGGGTGTTGATGAGCTTTTGGCGGGCTGGAGGACGATTCCGAAGAGGAAGATGAGAGTGATATCATCTTAACAGGGAAGGTGGGTTGAAGTGTTTAGGGTTATTTTTGGGACGGGTAGGCAGAATAATTATTTTTAGGGTCATTCCGCGTGGGGTTTATTCGAGTTGAAGGGGAGAGTACGACGGTGGGATGGACTGATTAGTATTGTCAAGACCTACGTAAGTGCCAATAGATCGGGCTTCATTCCAACTAATGACGCTCACTGGTGAACTTAATATTAGGTAGGTGACGAAGGACGAGGGTCGTGGCTGTATCGGGGATACATTCTTAGCGGTGGTATCTGGGTTGGGCGTTGGAGAGATACGTTGACAGATGAGGATACGAACGGGTACGAGGGCGCATTTGCCATGACGAGACGAACTGAACCATGATGGAAATGTGATTCTTCGAGTTCTGGAATGATTGGGAGATAAGTACTCTGCAGCATCATCTGTTTGTCCCCTGTATTCGGACCTGCTCCATTTGTATATGAACGACACGATATGATTCTGGTCCTGGAAGTATAATGTATATTGGGCAGGGTAATATGTACAATCGAATAGTTCGTGCCAGTTCCAAGTGCCTTCAGCGTCCCAAGGCTATCCCAAAAAAACCTCACTTTTTCGGACTAGGAGTGGGAATACTACTCACTTTCCTCCCTGCGACGTTAACATATGGAGATGAGCTTGAACTGGGGGTTAATGGGGATTGCAAAGGTCGTCTATCCGTGCGTTTCCTGATGAGTCGAGGAAGAGTTGGATCTGGGGGTTCGTCAAGTCCTGAATCGTCACCCTCCTCGCCATCGTTCTCTTCATCAGACTCTTGAACGAGTTGGTGTTCAGAGTCTTCAACTGCAGGGCACTTGTGTCGATCGATGTTGGAGGTCGTTTGGACGGTGTGGACGAATGACTCTTTTGTCCAGGATGCGATGACGGCGCCGTGTCGGTTGTCGAAGGCGTTGCGGGTTTTGGTACACTGAAATCTAAGCCTCCGATCAGATCTTTCGATTCCTCGTCGTTTAATCCGAGCATCTGGACGAGATCGGTTATTTCGTCTGGTGTAATCTTGACACCTTGTCTATAAATTCCCCAGATTATATGTCATTAGGGGGAAAGGAGTGGGGGGGGATCACAAAAGTCTCACAATCCGTATCCTTCCAGAACCTCTCCTAAATCGACCTCCCCTTCTCTTACAGCAGGAATAGGTACACTTCCCGCTGGAGCGAAACTTGGTTTTTGCCCTGTTATCTTTTCGGGGGTGACGACACCTGGTACGCCGATGGCAGGCTGAGCTTCAAGTGTCTTTCCGTCGATAGCTTCGTCCCAATCTTCGTCCAATCGGAGGAAGAGGTTAAGTTCGTTGTATTCTACCGCTTCTTCAAATTTGTCGAATGTCTATTGGTTGGAAGGAAGAAAAAAAAAAAAAAGAAGAAGCGGAGAGGGGATAACAGGTTGAGAGTCGAGAGTTTATGCGAGTGATGATTGTGAGAGCTGGGTTAATTACAGAGAGTGACGTTAACGATGCCAATCACTTACCCCAGGAAACTTTCCCCCAACCAAAATACCGGGAAGATCCTGATTTCCTGGAGGGCTTTACGTCTCCACAAACGCTTCGCATTCTCATCCGAAGCGAGATCGTAGGATATGTAGGGGATCTTCTTTACTTGAAGTATTCGAAGAATATACTCTATTGGGAGATACCAGGAGATGTGAGACGCGTCGTGAGCGACATCCAGAAGGGGGGGGGGGAAGATGCAGAATTGTACCTTGACGCTGCCTAGTAAGTTGAGGACATGATCCAATGATTAGATTATGGAGTAGTATGGCTACAAGTAATGACTTTACCGTAATTTTGGCTGAGATACGATGGTAGTTAGAAAGAGTTGAATGGGGGGCGGCATTGTCGCCTTGCCACTCAGGAATGAGTGACCGATGGAACGCGAGTGATCAGCATATTGCTATTTTTGTCGTGCCATTCAAAGTTTGCGGTTCACTCCGAGCCTTCCATCGGCTCCCGAAGCATATTTTCAATTTTTGGAGCTCTATGTTCTCGAGCCATCCTGGTGGTGTCCATACTCAACATGGGGAACGCACGAGGGACAGCTCTGAGATTGGGACTCGAATCACAGGATCCACAGGGTCTGTCAATATCCTTTCCCGCCACCTAAAAATGTGCCGGATTTTCGTTCTGGGCCTCTCCTATAATTGTGAACTTAACGTTGTAGTTATTCTCGTTTTCTTCGGGCAGACGGTTTCTTCTTGAGTAATCGCATAGCTAGGCGGAGAGAATAAGGTTCAAGGTCACACTTGATCCATAGAAAGGCCTAGGCAGGTTATCAACCCCCTATTGGAATAGAGGGGTGAGCCCGGGGCTTTTCCCAAGTTACTTCGCAGTGTCCATCGAAGTGCAGCTATCAGTAAGGACGACTGGAGTCAACACCTATTGGTTTGGCTCTCTGCATGCTACAAGTCATGATCATCCCACGATGGCCTCACACCCAGCCTGACGGGTAACATGATGGACGACGTTGATGGCTCAATATATATGAAACGTTCTTGCACGGGCAGGGGTCCGTCCGCTTTGACATCACGACTCGGTTTGTTTCCGAAGAGGAATGGATGCGTGCATTGTAAATCACTATTGGGTTTTTTTTTTCATCGCAATGAACCAAACGGGAGAAACGCTGCTCTACTGTGGGGAGCCACTTTCGACGCGCCTTTTGCTTTTAAGGGAATGGTGCTTGGGCTTGCCAGCGACCATGTGATACAAGCCCCACCGCTTAGCCTTGGTGGTGTCTGGGCCATAGTCGACCGTAATTCTGGAAATCGCGATGTCCCTCTGGAATCAGGGAGATGGCTAGTCGAATGATCCGGAGTGCTATACTAGTGGCCCACAGATGGATCTTAGAACCACCGTCCTAGATGATACGATCGTAAGGCGGACCCAACCCCGATGATTTTCATGGGAATTGAATTAAGCACAAAGTTGAGAGCGGGCGAGGGCGCAAGTAGAAAGGCCAAATCTAAAAGTGTGAGATCGCACACAAAAAACAAATCTCGGAATGAGCTAATTTCTCAAACTCAGAGAATCGAAGATAGTTTGGTTCGATACTTCCACAGCCAACTGCAGAGCAAGGAAAGATCTTCTCATCACACAATGCTTATCGCCTCGTATCTATTGCATAGCAACTCTGGAGCATCTGCTAAGCTCGGTGGCGAGAGCCGAAGCGCGCCAAGCTCAAGTTATGTAAGCTAATTATTCGTCATCGCTCTCCGGATTTGGTTACCGGAAACAGCTAAGCTTGAGTGAAATTCGGGAACCAGAGTTTTGGCCGAACCCATTCAATGTGATTCCTCACCATTCCCAGACAGCTTTTTCAGATGGGTTGCTCAACAAAGTTTCTGCAAGCCGCATTTTGCATTCCACACAAATGCATTTATGTGACAAATTCGGGCATTGGGTCCGCATTCAGGCATTGAGTTCATTTCCCTTAAAAGAGGATCCCGGTCGTTGCCGTGGTCGCGTCGCTCTTGCCCACTGACGTCAGCATGGCAGGCAAGTAACCTCATCTCCCTCACTCATCCCTGCATTCTCACTAAACTACCCCTGCTACATACTAGCACCAGCATTCTCGGCCCTCATCGTCGGCGGCACGGGTGCAGTGGGTCGTCAAGTCCTCAAAGAACTCCTTGCAAATCCCCAAATATTGCGCGTATCAGAGTATGGAAGAAGAGTGACTTCCTCCGTAGACTTGCCTTCCACCATCAATCCGCCTGGGAAATTAACGCAGAGAGTTGTGAATTTTGACAAGATTCAGGAGGAAGGATTGAGGGATGGCAAATTTGATCTTGTCGTTATTACGTATGTTCGGCAACGATTTCTCTTTTTTCGTCCAAGAGGAGGTGCTAAAACGGTTTCGTTGATGTAGGTTGGGTACTACAAGAGGGAATGCTGGGTCCTGGGACAATTTCGTCAAGATTGATAGGGAGTACGTGTTGGCGACTGCCGCTGCCGCTCGGGTCCCAGGATTGAAGCAGAAGATCATCTATTGTTCAGTGAGTTTACCCTTCAAGAGCTGTCCCATGTATTTTAATGGTAATTCGCTTTCAGTCATTTGGCGCCGGTTCGGATAAACTCCTGCCCTACGCAAAGTGAGTGTGAGGTGTGTTCTTCAAGTGAAAACGTTCGCTTAATGCTGTGGGGATGTAATCGTCTTTCAACTTGATAGGAGTAAAGGTCTGACAGAAGAGGGCATCGCCAAAGTTGGATATGATGATACGATCATTTTCCGTCCTGGGTTCTTGACTGAACGGGGTGGGAACGAGTCAAGGATCTTGGAAGGGATTTTCAGGTAAAGTTTCAAGTTTTTTCTGTCATCTCTCTCTCTCTCTCTCGGCAGACGTGTAACTTGAGGGGGTGCTTGTTAGGTTCTTCACGGGTATCCTGTCGCATTTCTCTCCTCATGTTGAGATCAAGGTATATACACTTTAAATGCTCGCAAGTTTTTTTTTTTTTATTATCATCCACTGATCACGCCCTATGAGTAGACCTCGGAAGTAGCGAAAGGAATGATCCAAGCTGCGCTCAAAGGGTCATCGGGTCTACCACCCGAGGCTGAAGTCTTTACCGCTGGCGGGAAGGGAGACGTTCCTTTGTATCATGTTGTCGGGAATAAGGTCAGTTGACGTCTTTTATATTTTGTTTTGATTGCCAACTGGTTGACTTGGTATAACCGTGATCAGGGGAATATTGCGATTGCGAAAGAACAATCTTGAGTACGATGGCATATGACACAGGATACGAATCTCAAGCACTAAGTATTTTTCAAAGCGCGGTCAGGCCAGCCACCCCTTACACCCTTTTGTCCTGGGGGGGGGTTGTATTCAACTAATGTCTTGTACTCACAAACGCTTTGCTACGCATATTTCATGAATCGAATTCATTAGTAATTTTGTTATTCAATGGAGCCCACGCTATTCTGTGGCGTCTCCTGCATGCACATTATGTCGGTTGCGCTGTCCCCCCCCCCCTCCCCTCTCCTTTGTGTGCTTCCAGTCGATTCCCAGTTGCGTGAAATGACCATGCACCTGAACTTCCATAACTTACGCCGACGATATTCACATGCAGTAACTTCGTTGCGAGAATCATGAGCAACTGAATTGAGGGTGCGGAAGTAAATACACGTCAGCCGGACGCCCTTCGAAATCGGTGCCACGCTTTGCCACACGACAAACAAAGGCATCTTGAGCCACTTCTTTGCGCTCGTTCGAGGTGGACTTAAATAGCGTTCTGTAAAACCTCACATTGTACAATTTCGAGAGGAGAGGCCGGCACAATACGCGTGTGCTTGCTCGCTTGCTCTCGCGCTCCAAGTACACGTTGTTTTTTTTTTTTGGTTTGGGCACACAACGATCGATGACTTCGCCCATGATCATTTTCACTGCGTTCCGGCACACTGCACGGTATGTCTCCTTAGAACCTTCTTTTCTGCACTTACAGCTAAGCGATACCTTTTCTTCCCCTCTTCCCCCTCCCCCCCCCCCCCCTTTCTTCCTCGGCACAACTTGGTTGCGACTCCGGCTCTGGGTCACTCTTGTCGACTGATTTTTCAACATTCAACTCTTTTGGGGGGGGTGACAAATCGAAGTTTGGGAACTTTGTTCCAAATTCTACTGTTCCTTCCCTTAACTCTCGCTACACTCTCAACCTCTGCATTCCTATCATTGAGCCTACTGTTAACCCTTCATTCGATTATACATGCTACGATGAGCTTATTATTCCCTTCGTTGGTGGGTTCTTTGCCCTTTCTACAAGTGAGTTTTTTTCGAGAATTCTGTCGCATTATTATGATCGTGGAATTTGCCTCGCCCCTTCCCCCCCGTGTGTAGGTCCCGTTACACCCAATGTTCCTGCTATTCATCTTCAATTTATACCCCCATCCATGTTCACCATTACAAACGGCTTCATCGCTATGGGGAAGTGTCCTACGATATACTGGTCCATTATTCGTATTCCTTGAAGGTTTAGCAAGCTTGATTGCCGTCCAGGTAAGGTGTTGTTTTCTTTATGCAATCTCTCCTCTCTCTCTCTCTCTTCTTTCTTGTTGGACTATTTTATTGAGGCTAATGATGATCAAAATCGTACTTGTCGTTATAGACTTTGGGACGGAAAGCTAGGAAGATGATCAATGAACATGATGGAGAGGGTTATGAAGTTGGGTTACTCGTTGGGGCCGCTGCTACCTATGTTGCGTCTGCATGGTGGATTATTCTCGTAAGTTCGTTTCTCTGTCCCTCTCACCAATGCCCTCCCCTCCAACTCTTTCCTTTCCCTCTTCGTATCCCTCAATACATCATAAAACAGACGTACCCATCCGTAGCAACGTCTCCGCTTTCCTCAACCCTTCTCGGCGCGTCCATCACGGCGCTCGTTTTCCTAACAATGATAGGTTTCGTACTTCGACGAACGAACGTGATCGAATCGTCGGGTCTTGCCTTATACCTTGCTTATAACGTTTGGCTTTGTTCGGATGAACATGAGGTGGGGGAGCATTGGTTAGAATTTCCTGCTTCGTAGTAAGTTATCGGAGGCCACCACTATCAGATGATCTGTTGACCCTTGCCTCTTGCTCAATTCTCTTCTTAGTGCACCGTTGTTGTCGAATCTTTTACCTCACTTGCAGAAGTTGCTGAATTTTATTACTAATACGATCCCGAAGCCACTACTCATCGGTACGCAGCGCGCGCGTGAAAATTTTGATTCTGATGTTTGATCTGATTAATTTCTCTCTCTCTTTTTCCATTTCGCTTCCAACCATACCCAGCCCTAATGTATCGACTGACAGTCTTGCACATGGCTTCGAGGGTATTGCCATCAATAGGTGCGGACCCATGGGATGATGTTGGTGGAGTGGATAGTACTTGGGAAGGGAGTCGTCCTGTCAGTTTTCATTTGTTCTTTCCGGGGGGGTCTCAACCTGATTTTCAACATTTTTTTTTTTTTTTGGGGGGGGGGGCTTGCAATGATAGAGTTCGCGCTTGGCGGCGATCCTACTCACATACCGCCAAACCATCCTGATAGCGGTTTACAGTCATCTTCTCCGTATGTTCATAACTTCCACTTCACCTCGTGCCTCAAAGTCAAACATACACCCATTCTTTTTGTTATTTAGTACTTGATCATTCATCCCAAGTATGGTGGCGATGGAGCAATGTGATCTTTACGCTCGGGATGTGGGCAGTTGAGATCACCCTTTCGAACGAGGATAGTGAAATTAGTGAGAAGTGGAAGATAGAGTAGACGATAAACGTGGGAGATGGACTTTTCTTTCGTTTTCCACTTCATTTCGTAATGGGGGGGGGAGATGAGATGATGAAGCGGGTGGAGTGGTTCCAGGTTTGGCCGGGCCCCTAATTAGATTGCGACTTTGAGGGATAAGTGGCGTCCTTCTGGTACCGCTACGGGGGAGAAGAGCGATCGCACCTGCTTGCCTGAAAAAGGCCATCGGACGAGGACACAATGTACAGGGATTCCTTCTACAACTAACCACAGCAGCTTGTGTTTAGACGCCAACGCCATTGCATCATTTCTGTACTTTTTTCGTTTAGCTCCGAGTAGTTCGTCACCCCTCAGTGACGCCTCGCATTCACATTGATACCCCACACAACTCACAACGTCCTTCCTGCACATCCCCTTTTTCCCGTACGGGTTCAATTCATCATTCGTCCTTGGGTGCCGGCATGACTCATGACAGCAACATTGTTTCTAATTGCCTACCTCTCCATGCATATATGTCGTATGTATTTTGTTGCCCAACTCATTTAGGGTCCTGCGCTGAAGAACTGCTTTCGGGACTCGTGGTTCTTTACCGTAGAAATGAAGACTTCGTTGATGTGCATGTCCCCTCGTTTTCAAATTGATAATGTGCCAATTTTTGAAATTTAAGTGCCTGAGCCAGTGAGAGTATGGCATGCACTATGACTACGAGTGGATCATCAAACTTTATCTGATCAGCCAAAAACACACTCCATGTCCGTAGCTGGTGAGAGGGGGGCTGTTTCCATATCTTTTTTATGTAAGTGGGGTCAACTGAACCTCAACAATTTTTTGACACCATATGGAGCATCCCTCAAACTAGGGAGGGAAAGGGTGCAGTGTAATAGGAAGTATTATAGGGCGTGAGGCGGCGAGATTGGAGGGTAGATAACGGGAAAGGGGACAGACTGTCTAAGCGAGCAGTGAGAATGTAGTGAATTCACTTCGGTGAGCGAAGTGATACATGGTGAAAATCTTAGGATAGCATTCGAGCTCAACCAAGGATATGGGTGACGAGGCCAGTGCCGACTGCAAATATGTGATTGAGAAACGTCGAATGGAGGTAAAACGTAAGGCTTACCTGTCTTCCCGCCTTCACGGAGTGTAAATCGTGATCCAACCTCCATTGCGACATCATGGACGAGTTCCCCAACAAGGTCAACGTTGTCACCAGGCATAACCTACGAAATGTGTTATCTCAGTGATCTCGATGATTAGGATTCAAGACCACTGGGCCCCTTGAAACGCACCAGTTTCTCTTCGACGTCAGGTGTCCCTGGCGGGAAGCTGAGGGCAACTGTGATATCAGCGGTACGGAGGAACAACTGTGGCTTGTAATTCTGCATGAAAGGAGTGTAGCGTCCACCTGGGATTCAGATTTCATCATAAGCACAGTGATAGCTAAGCTCTGAGCATGAATAATCACCTTCTTCCTTGGTCAAGACCTTTGAAGCACGATTACCAAGGAGGTCATTAACGGAGAAGCTCAATAGATACGTACGTATACCTGAGCCTGGAATTTCTTGGCGGACTTGATGGATCCAGGTACAGCGATAACCTGTCCTCTGCGCACCTGTTCACGCTTGGTGCCACGAAGAAGGGCGCCCATGTTGTCACCAGCCTGACCCTAGCAGAAATGTCCTTCAACAGACTGACGTTTGCTTGCTCAAATTTAAGCGTACTCTGTCAAGTTCCTTATGAAACATTTCTAAGTGCTAGACTGAGTCGAAGTTTTTTGCCTCGAGATTATGAAGCTTGCCTACCAATTCCGGTCAGGGTGGTCTTGAACGATTCGCCAAGACCGATTACTTCGACTTCATCTCCCTTGTTGCAAATGCCTCTCTCAACCTAGGTTTCCTTGCGATTAATGATATGCGGCTTGGGGAGCACGGATTGCTCACACGGCCAGTTGCGACAGTACCACGCCCAGAGATAGAGAATACATCTGGGCAGAAAGAAAGATATCAGTGATTCAATTCTTCATGCTGCCCTCTTGTCTTGCCAACCTTCAATAGGCATCAAGAATGATTTCTCGAGGTCACGAGGGGGTAAGTCTAACCACTCATCGCAGTTCCGGACAAGTTCGACTATCTTGGCGGCACCAATTTCCTCATCACGCCCTTCGAGAGCGGCCAGAGCTGACCCCATGACGATTGGCGTGTTGTCACCATCGAATTTATATTCGTTAAGCAACTCGCGCATTTCCATATCCACAAGGTCAAGCATTTCTTGGTCCTCGACTTGATCCACCTTGTTGATAAAAACCACAAGCTTTGAGATACCGACTTGACGCGCGAGAAGTAAGTGTTCCCTGGTCTGAGGCATTTGGCCATCCGTTGCAGATACGACGATAATAGCACCATCCATCTGGGCGGCTCCTAAATGCACAGTAAATAAGCAGATGCATTCCAGGACAAAGCGATGAAATGACCGGTAATCATGTTTTTGATGTCTTAATTAAATAAAATCCCATTTCCAACTTCAACGATGGGCGGTGTAACATAGTAGAACAAGACACATACAATCGGCATGTCCTGCAACCAATAAAATATTAAATGTGGGGTTATGTTTGTATAGCAGTAAAGACCAAATTAACCCACCAGGGCAATCAATGTGACCATAATGACGAGCATCCGTTTCGTATTCCACGTGCGAGGAATTGATAGTGATGCCTCGCTGACGTTCCTCGGGAGCTTTGTCAATTGACCCATAGTCAACAAACTTATTAGAGCCCGACTTTTGCGACAAAACTTTGGTGATAGCAGCTGTGAGAGTTGTTTTTCCATGATCAACATGACCAATGGTGCCAATGTTCATATGCGGTTTCGCCCGAGAGAACGCTTCTGCATAAGTTCGTACCGAGCCTTCCCAAAATATACACCGCAGCGTTCAGGTATATGGACTCATGGTTGAATCAATGGACCCTCATACCAGCTGTTGAGCGAGAAGAAAGGCCTAAAATTGCGCTGGTGGTCGGGCGGAAGGCTGTGACAAAGCGCGATGCTGTTAATATCCGAATCGAGGGCCACAACGAATGCTGCGATTCGTACCCCTGAACGCATGGACAGAACCAGATGTCGCTGCGGCTGCGAACCTAGCGACAACCCAGGGAGACAACATTTTGAGCGCCTAAAACGCTAAATGAAAAAGTTCAAGTGCTGAGAACTTCTGGGAATATGTAACTCAACGAAATTTTGAACGCGGATGTTCCCGTGCCAATTCCTTTTTGGGGCAAGTGTTTAGTTTCCGTGGAAGTGGTCCTTGCGCAAGCAGCGAATCATCGGCGATTTCCTGAGGCCCTCGACAGCCAAGGTACTCATGACCACCCACGAATAAACACGCTCAGGCAATTCATAAGGCAGCCTACTAGATTTCAGAGAGCGGATCCAATGCCTCCGGCCATCATCGCACCGTCAGTTCTTGCGTCGGACTTTGGACAGCTCAGTGCAGAATGCAAACGAATGATAAAAAATGGGGCGGAATGGCTTCACATGGGCAAGTTTAGCCGTGTCAATCTGTACCTGACATGCCTTCATTGACGAAATTACTACCTTAGATGTCATGGATGGGTGCGAATTTCCGATCGTGAACATCGTGTTTCACGGGTCTCCATCTAACGATCCTATCAATATAGGCACTTTGTTCCTAATATCACTATGGGTAAGCATCATATACTGGGGTCACCGATCCTTCACGCCCCCACATCGTAGGCGCCCCAGTGTTAGCATGTATTTCCAAAGGAGTGCCAGAAATATTTATGGATTGCCATATGATGGTATCAGAGCCCGAGAAGGTTCGGCTCAAGCCTCTCATGAGCAGTTCTAGGCCATTCTCATATTCGTCTTCCCAGTGGGTCGCTGACATCGCAAATGCAGGCGGTGCACTGTACTGTTTCCACCGTGAGGCTACTGGTCAGTCCTAGTTTGATTTTGATGTTCCTGACGACTCATTGTGCTCAAGAGGACCCCCTGTCACTCATACGCAAGGTTCATGACCATGGAATGAAAGCTGGAATTGCAATTTCACCGGATACTCCTTCATCCGCCATCTCAGACCAAGTGGGAAATGAGGCCGACATGCTGCTAGTCATGACAGTGTACCCAGGTTTGTTCATGTCGACGATTGGTGAGCTTCATTGATTGAGGCAGTGCTTATTTCGCAGGAAAGGGTGGTCAGAAATTTATTGAACGATGCCTCCCAAAGGTTGAGGAACTTCGTGCTCGATTCCCCGAAAAGGATATTGAGGTGGATGGCGGTGTCGGCCCATCCACAATCGATCAGTGTGCTCATGCCGGTATGTTTGCCGTCCGCGGTTCATTCTTCGACGCTGATTACGGGAAAAGGGTCCAATGTCATCGTTGCTGGAACAGCCGTTTTTGGCGCCGAAGACCCGGAAAAAGTCATCGCAACGCTTAGAGCTTCAGTCAATGCTGCCCAAGAGAAATTTGCCCAGGAAAGGCGCAAATAGCCATCCCACGCAAACCGAAGCCAACGAAGTTTATCCGTATAAACCTCTTCATCACTCATACGAGTGATAATCTGCAGCTCTTCTCCAGATAGGTGCGACTCGGAGAAGAAATAAAGGGAACAGATCAACCAGGATGCCCTAAGTGACTTTTTGACCTGGTTCCAGTGTGCCATTAGTCCAGGGTAAAGACACAAGTACACCCCTTTACGGAGGGGCGTGCAAATATAATGATACAGTTCGTAGATCGATGTGCGAGGAACTAGTAAACCACCATCGGCAGGGCTACAGAAATTGGTGCAGTTCCCTGCATTAGGAGAAAGCATGATCTAAAAAGCCTGGTAGCAAGAGGTGCAAGTTATCCAAAGCGAAGCGTCCATCCTTGTCCGAGGCTACAGTTCTTCGTAGAAAAGAACCTTTGGGTCCTGCATCAACAATGGATAACTCTGTAGCAGAATTGTGCCCTAAGAAAAACAAACCAACCTCAAGCATGAGCTCTTCGAGTATGTGCATGTCCCAATATGCGGGGGTTCGGGTATGACTGGAATCGCGCGAGTCCATAATTGAAAAATATTTAAGAGGAAATTTGAGGGCACGCACAATATGACTGCTTGAGCATCAGCAAATCTTAGAGGCGAGGCGAACGCCCCAAGCTCAGCAACCAAACGCTGAGAAACAGGAAGCGGCTCAAGCTTACTTTGCCCACACTGAAAACACGTTGTATGCCTGAGACAGTCGATATTCTAACGCCCCTGGCTCCGCGCCAGACAAAGCAGAAGCCTTGACGTTAAGTATTGCTCTTCGGAATTTTGCGATGTCATCCGGATTGTTCTTTACACGTATCTGAGCCAATAAATCAGTGCCCGATGCGAAACGCGATGGAAGATGAAAGGACAGAGAAATCAAGTATCCCATCTCGTTGTAGCGTCAAATGCAAACAAGCTTTGGGTTCGATGGGGGTTCGATGGGGGTTCGCTGTGGGTTACATGATGACTAACCTCCGCAGTTAGGACTACAGTATTCTTGAAGTGCTCACACGCTGTACTCATGTCGGCACCCACACTTCTAGCCAAGGTCGCGGCAGGGGCAGAGGAGTCACTTCCCCGAGTCACTTATTGGGCCAAGGCTAGAAGCGCGGTGCGTGACAGGTGACAAGTCACGCTTGACGCGTCACCTCCCAAGCGCCAGCCCTGCTAACTGGACCCGTTTATTCCATGGTGGGCGGCACGCTTCCTCGTGAACCCTAGCCACATTTTCACTAAGTCTTCGTGGTTTTGTAGCTCATTTTCTCAGTCTTCAAAACTCTGACGGACCAAAGAGTCACCGTCGAACTCAAGAACGACCTCTGCATCGTTGGAACCTTGAAGTCGGTAGACCAGTTGAGTTGCATTAAGATTTGACCTCTGAGTTTTGTCTGAGTGTTTTCACCCTCTCATGCAATCCCTATTATATGCTTTCCCGATCCCAAGGTTCTTGAACATCCGATTAGATAACATTTCTGTCATGGACGAGGCACGGCACCCTCACATGGTATACTAGATACCTTATGTCTCCCTTCACCGCTGATGAATCGTGGTTGGTCACAGATAGCTGTAAAGAATTGCTTCATACGAGGATCGGTTGTTCGGTATGTACAATTGCCTGTCGCCGGAGTCGACGTCCAATTATTAGAGGATGCATCGAGGAGGGGTACGTTCTATTTTACTTCCGGGGGCATAAGCCAATGCCTTGTACTACCCCATAGAACTTGAAGCTACGATGACGACCTCGCAACAACCGCGGGTCGTACGGTAGAACTACGGGACGTATCAGTCAGTCGGAATCACTCAATGGAGAAATGCGGATGCCATGAGTCCTGATCTACTTCATTATGTATGGATCAAACGCGAAAGTATCAGTAAAGCGTCGATATCTGGACCGATCGCATAAAGTACAATGGCATATTGTACGGGGCTGCAATGTCATCTTGTCTAGATTAAGCAACCACTTCATTATTTTCGGTCTCCGAGCCAACAAGCACGCCAGAATTTGACAATAGATCTTCCTTGCCCTTTCCCTTATCAGGGGCAGGTGGGGTTTCTACAACAGCAGCGAGTGGTTCTAAAACCTTCTCTCCAGGGGCAGATGGAACAGGATGTATGATGGGGGGCGAAGTCGTCGCTGTGTTGGAAGTTGGTGAGCCGGTTAGTTGCCATGAAGGGATGGTTGGCTTGGTTGGCAAAAATGTGGAGCCTCCAGCGGGCGAGAAGTTCGAGCCGGGACGCGAAATAGACGATAACTGAGGTCCAGAACGTGACAAGAGGAGAGCTTTCAGTGACTTGAGTTCCTGCTGAAGATCGACGAGAGCTTGCGATTGTGCATCTCCATGTTTTTCCAGCATCTTGAAAATCGATATGAATCTGCGCACGGTTATTCAGACAACTCAGATCAAAGCTCACCTTCGGTAACATGTCTCGTACATTGTTGACCTCGTCACGTATTTCTCTTAACTCGGCTTTTGTTTTGTTTTCTGCTTCTTTTCCCTCGTTGAGAGCAACCTGAAGTGTTTCAAGAGCAGCATCAACTTTCGCGCACTCTTCATCAATAATGGCACGGGCCGCTGTTGACCCAGATTGAACATCTTTAATCATAGCAGCTGCGGCATCGAACTGGGCTGTCAATGCATCACGGTCAGCCTCGTAAGCGCTCGAACTTGGCGGTTTGAGATGAGGAAATAAATATTTCTAGGTCGGACCTCATTAGTTTTGCCACGGATAATTTCGATGCTCCGCCAGCGTTACTTACCCGGGCAAGGGCCATTACCCCGTACATTACGCCGCCAGAAACAACAGCCATGATCTTGCGTAGAATAAGTGGAAATTGAGCTGTGCTCCAATACTGAGGCCACACGAAACAGGCTCACGAAGTAATCCCGCCAATCCCTCTCCGGAACCGAAGGTGCGACAAGGGGTGCAGGGTTATATGAACTTGGTGCATAAGTTGACTGTCCATATTGTGTCGAAGGATAGGAAGGTGTAGGTGGCACTGAAGTATTCGCGGATTGAGCCAGGACTTGTTCAATCTCAGCATTTGTTAGTCCTTTTGATTCTAAGAAGGCAATCTTTTGTGTAATGGGATGTTGTCGCATCTGAAGGAAAAAAATAAGCGCCGGGCATCAAGTAGACGTAATGGGGCTTACAGACGGGTCACCCAGGAAAGCAAGCGCATTGCGAATAAGTTCTTGACGGTCCGCCATGATGGGCTACCCCAAGTATTGCTCCTCCGCAGAAAGATCACAGCAGTGGGATTGATTGCGCAACAGCGGGCTCGTGACCGTTTCTCCATTTTCGGCACGCAGTTGGCGCTTCCTGATTTTCTCCCATGTTTTCCCAGTTTACGAGGCGGCTTCAGGACAGTCTAGAGGCGGTAGAACACATTGCGGTATCAGGGGTCTCCCCAGTTGCTGGCAGTACCCCACATCGTACGGGAAGCGCTGAAACTGGCAAGCAAACATCCGCTTCCAGTCATGGTCATTCCTCAGACAATTCCTGTGGCGCATCGTCTACGTCTTTGGCTGAGGATTCGCTCTCTGGCTTTCGGCGCTCGATGTCTTCGCAACGTCCAGCATCACCTTCCCCTCCCACTCATGTTAATGCGCCACCCCGGACAACTGGAAGCAATAAAGAGCCCGAAGCTGTGAGAAGGACTCTTACATTGCAGGAGCGTCTACAAGCTTCATTGGTCTCTAAATCCAGCACGCGTGCAAGTCCTCCAATCACTTCTCCACTGGCGGAGGCGAGGGAAGCACAGGATTTTGCCAGAGCAGACCAGTCTCAAGAAACCGACCCACTTCAAGTACCTTTACCCACTTCTCCACCACCCGAAGTTGACTCTCCAACTCCCATCGCTCCCGTTGCTCCCATTCCAGTACCAGCAGACCCTCTCACTCCCAGTTTAGCTGCAGCTGAGCTTCACTCCCCGTGTCCACGGCCACACTCGCAACTCCAGTCGATTATTCCCCTATCCTCCCTCGCGGAGTATCCTACGAGCTCGTCTCCTACTCAGTGGAGCACGGGAAACACTAGTGACCAATGTACGTCTTCACAAGACTCATCGTGTCACAAGCTTATACCTTTCTCATTCCCAAGTGTATGGCGCCTCTTTTCAGGCTGATGGGATGGCGCCGAAACCTTCAGATATTGTGGAATCTGTGCCTTCAGAGGGAGGGGAAATCAGCACAGAGCCCGTAGAATCCATGGTAGCGCTTTTGGAAAGTTCTGATCAGATTCAAACGGAACTTCATGATGGGACTTCTTCAAATCTGACTGATGATAGACTTCAGGTTGTAGAAAAGCGTTTCTCTGGTCAGTGTCATTATACGGAATTAGCTAACTGATCACTCCGCGCTGAACGGATGATCTACAGACATGGCATCTTCTTTCAAACGATTGCAAGCGGAAAGACATGCGGCAGACAAGCTCCTGAAATCGTTCTCCCCTTCACTTGCGATATCTGACTTAACAGGTCTGGCAGCTTTTCTCGCCAACCTGATGTCTGCTGCGGATGTGAGCCTTCCGGCCCTTAATCGTTGTGCTTCGTTCTAAGATAATCACTTTCTTAGGATGCAGCAGCAGACATCAGGGAACTGACGGAGAAGCTCAGAAGTAAGTGCATTTTTTCGCACCGCCCTGTCAGTGGACTAACATCCCAAATTGTTAGTCCAGGCGGAGCGAATGGAAGAGCTACGGGACACTCATAGTTTGGAGGGGATATCTCGTTCTGAGCAGGTTGATCTCCTTCAACGTCAGCAGAAGGAAGCCGAGGCCTTGTTAGCTGCATCCCAATCGGCTGCTGCTGGCTCTATTGCGGAGCTCGAGACACTTCGCAAGAAGGGGAGAGACGATCTGGCAGCTGTTCAGGGCGAGCTGGAGAAGGCGCGGAAGATGATTAAAGAAGAAGAGGAGAAGCGAGTCAAGGCCATCAGTCTGTTGAAGACAGTGCGCACCAAATTGGTAAACACTGAAAAAGAACTTGAAGAGGCAAACCAAGAACGAACACGCTTGAAAGAGGATGGCATTAAACTCCGCGACAAGGAAAAGTCAGAGCGAGAAAGGCTCGAAGCTGAAATTCAGAAACTCAAGGATGAAAAGGCGAAGGAATCGGCGAGGCTGTGGACCCAATTTGAGGCAGATCTAGCCAATCAGCGCCTGAAGATGGAGAAGGAAATGTCCGCGAAGCAGAGCCAACTAGAGCTTCAAATCATAAACCTCAAGGTTGGTGTCACCTCGGTTTCCAGCAGCGCAGGAATTGATCCCACTCTCAGGCCACGCATGACCAAGAATTGTCCGCGCAAGATGTCAAGATATCGCAATTAGAAGCCTCTAATAAGTCGCTCACGGTTGAGCGTAATTCACTATTCGATCAACTTCAGACACGCCAAGCCGAAGTAGAGTCATCCCAATCCCACCAAGAATCGTTAGAGAATCAGGCAACCGAGCTCCGTCATCAACTCCGCGAGGCCAATGACAAAATCCATACACTCTCCGATGAGCTTGTCGAGCTTCAGCGGCGACATGATGCTACTGGGCTCGGGAGCCCTTCTACGAGCTTCGCTAATAATCTCCAAATAGTTTCCGATATCGAGCGACGGTATGAAAATAAGATTTCTGACCTTCGTCAGAGGATGGATATTCTTGAGCGCGAGCGCAGCGAGGCAGAGGAGGAGTGGAGTCGTAATCTGACTGAACGATCCCGGGAAATCGATAGACTACGGACTGATCTATCGATAAGAGACAGTGCGAAGAATGAGGAGGTTGGACAAGCAGTTGCAAAGGAACAAGTTATCGCCATGCTGAAACAGGAGATCAGTTTGCTGACAGATGAGAAGCTGTTGGCACTGAATGATGCCAAATCGGCGAATGCAGCGGCTGAGCAAGCTCGGGAGGCTGAAGTGAGTTGTCTTCCGCGTGATCCGCTGGTATTTCATCCCTATTGATTGCGTTGTAGAATTTCTCCCAGATGGAGCAAAACCATCTATCGCAGCGAGTCACTGCCCTCGAGAAAGAAGCGGAAGAACTGCGCATCCGTGAAATAAGTCTTCGCGCAGGCAACAAAGTACGTCGTCCTTTGCTGCTGGATGATATCTAACTCCGTTATTGTTAGACATTGCGAGAGGAACTACGTAAGGTGCAAAGCTCTGCTGCCCTCCTGGAGAGGGGTCGAAATCCTGGCATTGGCTATTGGGCGAACAAGTCGCGGAGCAACCTAAATGGTCAGGATATAAATGAAGATCGTCCTGGTTCTCCGCATCCTTCTTCTCCCGCCCATTCGGTGTTCTCGGACACTGACAGTCCAAGAACGAAGCTGAGTGAAGAAGCAGTTAACCTTGAATACCTTCGGAACATCATCATGCAGTTCCTCGAGCACAAGGAAATGCGGGTAGGTCGAAACAGTGTCGTATATCTGGTCATCGTGCTGAATGAATTGTCTCCTAGCCGCACTTGGTTCGAGTCATGTCTGTCATTCTGCAATTTACCCCCTCTGAAACACGCCGGCTGATCTCTAAAGTTTAAGAACTGTGCTTTCCGCTTGCGAATCCTTATCCTCGCCCCTATTCGTACTTGCCGTATTCCTATGCATTATAGTATATGTGTAATCCTATTGATCATTCGCCGGCCGAAATATTATTATTTGTTTACAAGAGGCAATCTGTGGTGGCTGTACGCTTCCAGTTTCTCTTCGGCTCGCGAATTTATCTGGACGCACTCGAAGTGCAATCCTATCCTTATTATGGTTACTTCTGCGTTCAGAACAGCTGCTCGGTCCATTCACTTCCCTATACAATCATCCCGAATCACTAGGCTACCGAGAGCCAGGCTAGGAGTCGTTCCCGCTCCTCAATGGCTGGCTCGAACCATTGTTAGTATGTATCTCGAGCATTTTTGCCCCTCGTGCTAGACACCGCTCATAAGTGTCTACCACTTCCCCCCCGGTACACCCCTTCAAATAATAGCAAAGAAGTTTACCAAAGAACACGAATGGGTATCATTCGATTCCGACACTGGCATTGCCACAATCTCTATCACAAACCACGCCCAAAATAGTCTAGGAGACGTCGTTTTCGTTGAGCTCCCGACGGCTGGGGAGGAAATTAAGGCAGGCGGTTAGTGTGCGTAAGTGATGATTGAAGAACAACCTCACAGAGATTTCTTCGTGCAGAACAGATTGGTGCTGTCGAGTCGGTTAAAGCTGCCTCCGACATTGTGAGTGGTACTAATTCGCAATTTGGGACTGCTAGCAAAATAAATCTTCGTTTGTAACATTTCAGTATGCACCAGTATCTGGAGTTATCGAGGAGGTAAACGAGCAACTTGACTCGGTCCCGAGCTTGTTGAATAAGTCTCCAGAAGGCGATGGTATGATTCATACCCGAACCGCTGTAGCCCTGTTAATACTAAAAAAAATTGCGTGGTGGCAGGGTGGCTTTGTAAATTGAAAGCAACGAACCCGGCTGAGGTGAGATCACTTCAGCCGCAGCATTGATCTAAACACTGACACTCATTTCGTCGGGCAATTCTTCCTAGCTGGATGCCCTATTGACTGCTGAAGCCTATGCGAAATATTGCGAGGGAGAGAGTGAGGAACACTGATTCCTTCGGACGATTCAACTCAATATGCTTCTCTACGGCGAGTACTCAACTACTCAAGCACAGATATCATGCCGCTCGTCGCTGTGTATGTGCCAGCAGAATATCGCAGGTGCTTATATTATTGTACAACGCAACAGTATCCCGTTGCTCATAGAATAGGAAATAGGATGGGAAGTCTGACAATTCTAGCGGACCGCCAACCAGATTGTGCGGTCCTCAGGAATGATCCACAGCATAATTATGATGGACGGTATTCTGTTGGCTCTCCGCGAGCCTCCATCCGCTGTTTCGCCTCGTGAAGAGCCCACTGCGAGATACTACGACACAAGGTCACCTCATCAACGTCAACGGATCGGGGAATGGCGTGTGATATCTACCTAGTGTCAGGCTTATAATACAGACCGACAGAGGCGAGAGCCAGAGAGCCAAACATTCCCCAATACCAGATGTATTCCCAATCTTCTTTCTTGCGCTTTTGTCCGGGGAGCGGTGGCTGAAAATTTTAAGGCAATTCATGCGACATTGACATCCGCGGAAAAACGGTGGCAAATGAGATAGGATTATTAGCCAGGTCTTGCAAGTGGGTAGGCGTGTGATGGTTCACCTTTTCACCAAAGATATGCCCGGAGGGCTCGTTATAGTCAGTCCCATGCGATGCATGCCTCTTCTGGGCAGCAAGGGCTCTGGACAGAGGACATGATATTGATCTACTCAACTGCGAAGACGAAGAGCGAACCGCGCTGTTCATGTCGTGCTTTGGTGGTTGGAAGGCGGCCCTTGCCGAAACACGTGCTGTGAAACAATCGACGAATCAGCATGGGCTTCGCAAAAAATTTTTGTTCGCCCACGTCTCGGTTGAGCCTCAGTTTGAGCCTCCAGAAATCGGCTTTGTAGCGTGTCTTGGGCGAATGGATAAGGGAAAGGCACCAACTAATACCCGTCTGATTCCCCATCCCCTGTGGGCGCTAATGGAACAGTCCATCACCTAAAGTATTCATATTGCACGCCGGTTGGGTGGATGTGCTTGGATCAGAGTGATCCATTTATTGCTTAAATAGCATCAAGAGTCTGAGACTACACTGCACAGGATCAGAACATGACTCTTGTGCAATATGCTGACGAGGGAAAATGCTTGTAGCAGAATACGAGTGCATTTCCCGAGGAAAATTCTGCCCTGACTGGATGTTTTCTATCTCACTGCTGGCGGCACTTACGTAATTTCCTGAAGGGTACCCCTGCACTCTTTCGTATCACAACAGGACCTGGTGAATCATAGGCTCACAGTTGCTTTAGCGATGAGGCCATCCGCCATCGCTCCCAGCGGTGTCGCTATTGCACTTCGACTAGAACGATGTCGCCGTTTGATTGAGTGGACTCGTCATATTGCAAAAATCCCCTCTCTGCGACGCACCAACCCTAGCGCTAGAAACCCTGCAAGCGCATAGGAGATGCATATCATTGTTGGAATGTCTAAGCAATCGCTCTCTGGGCTATAAACCTCGCCTTTCTTTTCCGGAAACAAGGTCCTAATGGAGTGTTGTACTATATCAATATGGGCCAACCGCGGCCGCGGTCGCCTTGACTAAGGCAAAGGTAATAGAATTGAATAGAAGGGTCAGGTTCCAGCATGCCAATGGGTAGGTAGGATACCATCCTATCCAGAAACCATCCATCAGGCGTTAGAGCACGAAGCGAGCTGCTTGTCCAGGCTATCAATGGCTCGAATTGATAATACCAACACATCACTTAACGTGAAACCGAAAGGGCCCAAAAGTATGGAAAACCAGTATCAGAGCGACAGGATTTCATATCAGTCTGAGTCTCGCCCACTGCGATCATTTTGGGGTGCGTCATCCTCACGATCCACAACAAACGCTGACATGACTTTATCACGGATCTGGGCCTGCCTTGGGATACCCACAGACACTTAAGGCGGTCTACACCAAGCAGCCGATGGAACATTCTACGAAAATAACTTGCCGCACATTTACGAGTAGCGGTACAATTACAACAACGGTGGGGTACTCAATACTACAGGGACCTAGCAACCAACAAAGAAATGAAGTGTATGGGGATGATTGGAATCGAAGAAAATAATAACCGTTTATCCCTCGTATGGCGGAGGAATAGCCGTGGGCGTAATAGGGGGTTCTTGGTGTCGGAAGAAGGGGGATGCTGACTTCCTATTAATATATTCTTGATAAGATACGGTTCGAATCCCATCTGGAGGCTTTGCATGTCTCTGTTTTCTCCGTGGTGATAGTTCCTCGTCAGTCGAAATCTCTACCGGGGAACGTCGGCTGGGTCTGTTTGGAAGCTGTCTATGAGTGAGTGTTTCCCGCAACGCTTGATATTCCATATCCCTGGCCTGGTACTGAGGAATACATTTGATTGAGTGCCTTTCTACTGGGAACACGCAGGAGTATCTCACCCTTCTCCACCATGAAAGTACTTCGCCCTTCAGTTCTCTGATTTCTCGAAGGTAGTCCAACAGAGTGCGCGCATTCTTGTCTACCTGACTAGTAATTCGTGTTAGGGTGCATCAGGGGTGATACAGAGCATGAGGGCGCGGACCTCTTCCATTCCTGAAGTTGGTGATCTCGCAGAGCTACCAGAGACTCGAGTTGCTGTATTTGGTCCAACAGTGCTCTTTCACGCAATTCGGCTGGATTAGTATTCTGTGTGGCGGCATGCGAAGCGGACGCAAGATCTAAGAGGGATTGGGGGCCCTGCGTTCCATTCTCCGCTGCCTCCTTATGAATGCAGGGATTGAGGCCGTGGGAGAAACCTTGGAACGCGGGTCAGATGTCGGGGCGATTTGGAGGGTATAAATTTCCCGTTTAGTGTAGGGGATGTGGCAAGCCCCGCACCGACTTCTACTGTAGTTGAACCGAAATAGTGTTAGGGAGCATACACGAATCGGCCTTCGAGCGTACCTAGTAGCCGGTGTTAGCGTTGGCAGTCTCGCACACGGCGTGCAAACTATGTGGCCTAATTTAATTGCAATCCGTCCGTGAATGGCGCGTTCGATGGTCGTGATCATCGATGCTTGAGCAGAGAGAGCGAGACGAACCACATGGCAAAGCAAGGACCTTATACGAGGCCGGGCTCGTATCCCGTGTCTCGAATGCTTGCCCACAGTTCTGGCAGTTCTCCAAGTTGTACATTGTCCGCCCTCAGGCAAATCTTGCTTTGATTTGTGGATTTCCTGCGAGTATATCTCTTCCAAAAACGCGCGTGACAGTTCCCTGAATTCCGCAAGGAAGGATTCGCCCGTACGGCCGTCAATGATGAGATGCGTAAGAAAAGAAACTTAGAGCCCCTTTCAGTCCATCGAGCTTTATTGTATCGTTTACCAGCTAACCGAATTTGCATCCGCCCCGACGCGAGCGACATTGCGACATTTTCAGGGTCATCACTGCGCCAAGACAGACGGAGTGGTAAACTTGATTCACAGCTAGGTAAAAGACCACATATACAACTTCAATACTTGGCTACATTCCGAAGTGGCAATCACAATCTTGAAAACAGTTATTTCAGTACTTTAGGTGTCTCAGTAATTCCAACCAGATGGATATGTGTTATTCCCAGCGCCATACCCACTATTCTGGGGGTTCTGGCCATACTGCTGATGAGGAGAAGGCATCCCTGGGTTTTCCGAAGGGAAGTTCGGCGGCAGACCAGTGGGTGGCGGGTACCCTGCGCCCAAAGGTCTTGAGAAGTGCACCTTCGAAGGAATATGATATTACTTTACCTCCATATCCTACTCGTGAGGGTCGTGATGGCCACCTGGGGCTGGGAATCCCAGCTGAGGTCCGCTAGGATGATAATCGGGTGCTCCATGGAGTCCGGGAGAACCCACTAGGTGAGGAGGCGGACCTGGAGGTGGTGCATAGGGGGCATTTGCCGCCGCTGGACCCCCGAAATAAACGGGCGGTGGCCCAGGGGGAGGTGTGTAAAATGGAGGACCGCTTCCGGCCGGAGCGGGCCCCCCATCCTTTGTTCCTCCAGCACTTCCAAAAATGCTTTGCGCCTGAGAAACCCCAGGAATCTGGTTGACGTAACCCGATATTTTCTGCTGTGCTTGGACTCCAGCGTTATAGCCTGCACCCCCCGGATTGGATGGACCTCCATCTTCCAGTCGCATGCATTTGTGGTTGCGCACTGATTCCTTGGAGAGCTTTTGTATCGTTTCGGCTTTTTGATAACCCAGCCCATTGACCCAGTCACTCATAAATTGCATCATCTCACGCTGGATGGGGGATCGGCTGTCATGAAAATCAGGATGAAACCTTTGCACATCCCGCGGATCAGTGACTGAACCACCTCTTGCGATACCCTTGGACTCACATGCATTGGAGGATACCCTCGATCGCATCGCGAGGATCACTCTTAGGATCGTCCCATGCCTTAACTACCATCGTGACTGCGTGCTTCACGATGACCTGAGCAAGTTTCCCAGCGGGGTCGTTGAGAATCAAGGCCTGCACAACCCGTAAGATGAAACTGTGCAGCAATCCATAGGGAAAAGGGCGTACAAAGTGATCCTTACTACGAAAATGAATGAATGATCGTTACTAAATATGTGTTATGACGATGAGAATACTCACGAGAGAAAAGAGTGTGTAGGATCGGACTAATTCACTATTGTCAATGATGGGCAATCAGGGCAAGGCAATGCTACACCTACTGCCATAGGATCGTTGAAAACCTCGTACTGGTCAGCTTTGTTGACAACTTCGGCTGACGCCGCTGATAACTGCGTAGATGCACCTTGCAATAGAGGTTTTAGGAAAGGCTAAACAAAAATATCAAGGGCGCTGATGATTGACTACTGACTGAACGGAGTGGTGGGCATACCTCGATAGCAGTGAGGACAAAAACCGCTACTGCGTTCGTCAGTTTCCCAACTAGCGCACTTAATCCGGGGATTTTCTCGATCTGAGGGGGAACCCAAATCATTTTCGTAGTTGAACCCTGAGTCTAGCCACTCACAGTTTGCTCAATGGTTTTCATGACAGAATCGCGGAACTTGAGAATCTGCCAAAGAGTAGAATAAAGTTCTTCGGGCGACATCTCCTCTGGTTTTTTCCCGGCATCCCCGGCTCCCCTGACCGAGACAATCTCTCGACGTCGTTCATTTGGCGTCCCAAATCAGTACTGCCAATACCTATGCAGGATTATTAGAGTAATGCATCCAAATATGGTTCGGCTGCTCACCAGGAATCTGGTTCATAAGTGATCGGAGCTCGCTCCCTCCCCCCGTACTACGTGATTGAACCTTAGCTCTCTGGAGTTCCTTATTGAGGTCCGATACAGAAGCTTGGGACTAAGAAGAAAAGAATCTCCATTAGCCCGGGAGTAAATTCTTCCCGTGCGACTTACGATATGGTCAGTAGCCTCTGGGTGGCGACATTAGTACACTACTTATGGGCGGTGTAGATGGCTAGACAAACCTCCAAGAAGGCTGTGGAAAAAATCGCTGGATCCAAAAGTACCTGAACCAACGCTCAGAAACGCAGGGAATCGCTCTTCCGCGTGGTAAAACATACCGGTAACTAAGGGAGCGACCATCCTTCCATTGGGTGCACGTATCTGCACATGGTCGCCTACATGAGTGAACACCTGCGCATAGCCAAAACTGACGAGAGCTAATTCACAAAAGTTTGAGTGTGCAGGGAAGTCTTCGAGAGTATGAAGGAGTTGTCCAAGAAGTCGATATGTTTCATATTCGTCTTCCTTTCTTCCGGAGGATCGTGCTTGACGTCCGAGGCGGATACATCTCTCCAGAGTACGGCGCACGAGAGCTTTTGAGGTGTCCCAATGTCCAGATTCATTTGCGATATAGTTCTTCATGCCAGTCCGAGGATCAATTTCCAATTCAGCTGGATCCACAGGAGGGCGAAGCCCGGGATTATACTTTCGGGCATCTTCCCCCTCACCGTATCCTTTCGGGTTATCTGAGGGGTCGGGCGTTTAGTTTTGGTTTTCCTGTGATCCTGTTTACGTCAATTACCAATGTGTTCCGTCTATCCACGAATGGTCAGGAATCTAAAGTGGAGGGAGGCCAAAAAAAGGCGCACGGGAAGGTAACAACCCAATCTTTCTTTCGTCACTTGAAATTCCTCAGTGGCATAACCATGTGCCTGGCGCAACAATATTTAGCTAGCGCTTGCGCCACATAAAGCTGGAAGGACCGTCACGAACCAGAAAACCCAGAACCATGCATAGGTTAATAATTGTCTGCAGAGGGAGTTTCTTGAGTGCAGCAATATCTACTGCCTGGCTATAATCACGGAGCCAGTTCCTACATATGGGGAACGAGAACGGCCATGAGGAAACAAGGTATGATCGAGACGTGATCACCCACCCGAAATAAACCCGTTTGATGTCTAAACCACCGAACTTGGTCGAGGGCATCGCGGCACTGAGGAAACCTAGTGCGGCGAGAGGTGCACCTTTCTTGGCGATTCCGGATAGCACGTCCTCGATATCTCCATGACGGAACGCCTTGCCTTCAAGATAGGCAAAACTTGGAATATTCCCAGCCCCAAACGCCCACGCACTATCCGCCAGCAGGGCGAGGACTAGTAGAGCCAAATATACTACAAAGTGCGGTTTGATTGCCATCTGGGTCTGCTTCACTGCGCTCGACGATTATGAAGACGACAGGATAGGATTGCGCATAGCTAAATGAGAGCCCTGACGCGTTGCTAGGCTGGTCGGGTCTGGCCCACTAATGCACAGGGGGTTCAGATGTGATGTTCAAGAGATCATCAAGATCGAAATATTATATTCAAATCGGGCCAAGGCAGTGCAGCCACATGTGGAAGGAGTGTCTCAGGCGCTTAATCATTGATTCAAGCAGGTTGGACCGCATAAATATAAAGAACGTAGATAGTGTTAAATACAAGTAAGGTGGATAAAAGATATTTTAGGATGAGTTGGCTGACCGTTGCCCGCCGATGCGGGCCCAAAACATAACCTCTCGCAACTTAACAAGCTCCTTCCATTGACGATCCTCCCACGTCTCGTCACCAACAACGGGGCTCGACTCGTCCTCGATAGATGATACCAAGACATTATTGTCCTCACGCGCAGGTCTGGCGGCCGGTGGCGCGAATTTTCCGCTTGCACGCCGTGGAGGTACCTTAGGTGGCACGACGAGAATCGACTCGGACTCTGTAGACGCTCTGCTTATTTCGTTTCCTTTACTGGTAGGCATGGGATTAGCATCAACTACTGTGCATTCCTCCCGCTTTACAGCTTCGGCATCCGGTGCCGCGTGTTCCGTGGGCTTGATTTCTTCTACAAGTGTCTCAGAAGCTTTGAGTTCGCTGATAGAAGGGCTGTGGGCCCGTGGGATCGGTGAACCAGTGCGTGATGATAAGGAAGATGGTTCGGATGTCTTGAGTATGGATTTTGAACGTTCCCGTGCCGCAGCACGCCGGGGTAGAGGTGGCGGAGTACCCGCTGCCCTAGTTGGCAATTCTTGCGGGGCCTTTCCGGGACTTGATGGTGAGGGAGTACGAGGCTTGTCCACCGCTAACACTTCAGGTTCACTGTGTCCAGTAGCCTGTCCCGTTAATGATGTTCCCTCCACACTATCCTGGATCACTGCCTCATCTCGGGTCTCAGAATCTGGCACGACCGTGTCAGTCGCGAGTGTAGATGCTTCGGAAGATGCAACGGGTGACAAGGTGATATTAGTTTCCGGAGGTGTGATGAAGCCATCCGTTATTGGAGTTTGGGGACTAGTGTGCAAACCTGATACGTCGGAGTTTCCAACAGTTTCCACAGGCTCATCCTTCCTTGAGGATGGGTGAGAAGATGGTTTACTGCTGTCGGGTACCTCGTCCCCATTTTCCGATGATTGTGCGTGGGAATCCTGGTATGTTTCTGAAGAGGGTATTTGCTCTGAAACTGTAGCACTGTTGATAGGATGTCGTCTAGGAGGCAGGACCGGAGGAGCTGGCGTAGTATGTGGGATTTCTGGTGTTGTGGCCACATGTTTGGCAGCGGCTCGTTCCGCTGAAGGTGGCGGAGGCGGCGGAACACGTCTCGGTGCTGGTCCAAGATGCGAAAGGCTACCTTCAGCGGGCAGTGGTGGCGTTGAACTGCGGCTAGGTGACTTGTCGAATCCAAGAGCCCCCAAACCCTTCCCCCATAGATTTCCGACTCGGGAAGCAACATTCCGACGAGGTGGCATTCCTGGCTGAAGCGTACCATTCACCGGATGTGTGAGCGATAAGGGGAGGTCACTCGAAGATGATGCTTGCCGCTGCGAAGCCGCCATCTTCGGACCATCAGGTTCATTCCAAATTTGCTCGACAACATTTTTCGTCAAGAAATGCCAAAGATCGCATGTGGATCGGAGCCGCACAAGACAATAGCCATCATGACAAAGAGGATAAGATACGCTTGTTTGGGACTGAGGAAGAGAGAGTCGGAATACGAATGTCTGGGGTGAGATGAACGAGGGTGGGGGAGAAACTGGAGATGACGGTGAAGCGGGAGTTGACGATAACTGTTGTTTCAAGAATCGGGAGGTGCTTGCCCACGAAGCTGAGGTCTGATGCATTAAGCGTGAAGGTCGGGATTTTGGTGGCGTAGATGGGTCCGGATATATATATTTGCCGCAAATGGAACATGTAATATCATGTAGGGAACTTAACGCTGCCACTGTAGAGATTACTGTAGGATCGAGCTGGAGTCGTTGGGTGCTCATTGGTTCAATGGACAATTGACCGCAATAAATAGCAGTCTGCACATTCCTCCGCGTTAACCAGTTCAACGCCGGGGCAGCTTCAAGACGGAGAGTTGGCTCTCTGGGTGCCAAAAAGTTGTATGAGATGGCTATCTGTGCAAATACAAAAGCACTTACGATTCCTCAGCAATAAGCCTGGACAGAAAAGGGAGACCAAGCAATGTACTCATTTGGGGACTGTGCCCCCCACCTGATCTAATCAATCGGATATGGGACACAAACATGAGAAATTCGTGATAGGAGGGATGCGTAGTGGAAAGTCGGGGGAGTAATGGAGCTGCATCGTTGACTTGCAGAGACATCATCACAGCGGTCCCGGATGCACCACATATCTGCCTCAACGCCTTCGCCTCGCTCTCAGACTTCTCTTTTTGTTCGCACAAAGTCTGCATCTGGATTTGTAGCAAGCTGACCGCTTCTTCTGCACTTTTCAGCGCTTTCTCCGCATCCTCGGCCTTGCGCTCACTTAAAGAGCGTGAGTATCGAGCCTCAGCGACCATGGTGTTTGCTTGGGCGAAGAGGGTCGCACTAAGATCATCTAGATCTTTTTCTATAGCTGTCTTTGCGTCTTCGGCCTCTCCCCGTTGAGCTGTTTCTTCGCTGACTCGCTCCATGAGCCTGGTAAGTTCGGCAGTAATGGAACTCTTTTCAACAAGCAACCCGGTGTTGAGAGCAGCCAGATGCTGAGCACGCTCGATTTCCAATTGAGATATTTGGATAGTGGAGGAACGCAGATTCGAAGCGGTAAGATGTAAAGCATCCTCCAAGTCAGATACACGATCATATGACTGCACAAGTTTCCCGTTAAGCTGGGTTACTTGATTCATCAAGTCTGTTATTTGGGAGCGTAGAGATGACACGAGCTGGGTATGAGGGTCATCTCCTGACAGCAATCGCAAATCTGGAAGGCGTCCAGGTGTGGATGAGGATGCGGAAAGGGCTAAGGCATCCTGCTGAGACATCGGAGAGTGCCCGCAATCTCAAGTGGGGACGCTGCAGATATTCTTACACTCGCAAACGGAGGTCACGAAGTTGAAACTCCCAGGTGTCGCCTCACGTGATGAGACACAATTCTAAATTGAATCTAATTGAATTGTAACTGGCTTGAATTCCTCATCCGGCCGCACAGAGTTAAAAGCTCCCCCTGAAATGTAAGGGTGCTGCTTTCAAAGAAGTACTTACCTTAAGGGCTGAAGGGAAGCCGGCACCTTGGGACTCTTGCCTTCATCACCATCTGTTCTGGCACTGGTGAAGTGTCTCCTTCCACTTGTTCCCAGTGTCCTCTAACGTTGTGTGCAATATGCATTCTGGGATGCGGGAAATGTGTGTAGCCTCGGTCGATTTCCACATGAAGTTGGTTATTGCGCGAGATCTAGTATAGCACTCACGTCCTTTATTCACCTTGAGCCCAGTGCCTGAGAATTAGTGGCATGCTTGAATTGTTCAGGCACTGCCCCGTCTTATATGGTCATCCTCCGCGAGACTACTCTCGCCACAGCTTCCCCATCTCGTTCTGTGACCAGATAAGTGGCTTTGGAGGGACTCCCCCTAATCAACCCGGAGAAGCGCCACACACTTGGATCCCTCAAAATTTTGGGGTGGCATTCTCACGATGGCAGGCATACCTGCGGTATGTTGGCCACTCCCTTGACGCCAAAACTTGAGGATGGTACATACAGCTCACTGACAATTCTCCCAGGGCAACGATCGAAGCCAACCATACTGCTTCAGAAACTTTTAAGCGGGTGGTCATCAGCAAACCGGCTTTAACGATCCTTTTTGCCACTACCCAATGATAGTTGGTTTAAGAGGCTCGAACTGCAAAATTTATGGCGGGAGTCTGGCGACATTCCGAGAAAGGAAATAATTTTCTAAGCCGACGGCGGGAACGCGACTTGAGGCGTGTACTTAACTATGTATATAGCGGACGCCCCTGTGTGTTCCCCCTTCGCAGATTAAGCAGTAGCGCTGTATCAGTATTGTGCTGAATGCCTACCGTATGATCCAACCCAGAGATAGAATTGTAGTATTTGTGTTTTCTGAGTTGCTTATCAATGCTGGCGTCTAGGTGCCTCTGTAATACAATCAAAGCCAACCCCTTTAACCAACCTTTCCCCGCTTTGAGCAGAAAAGTTAAAGTGAAGGATTTCGAGTACTGTATTGATCGATTCCGACGAGAAGGGGGAACTGCCTCTTGCGGTTGTTTCCGAGTTTGTGAGTGGCAGTAGGAGGGCGTTTTCACCTCGTTGCTTGTTCACTTCGTGTTTCTACACTCCCCCCCTCAATATCTCTGTTCTCACTTATCAGCAAGAAGCTTCAAGATGTCCTTCGAGGAAGTTCTAAGCAAGAGGGAGGACCACCCCTTCATTGTTCAGGACAAGCAGTACACGATGCGCGCGGCCGCATCTACGAGTTCCCCCTCCTGCGATATCGACTGCACTCCGAAAATCCTTCGTATGCTCAACTCCATTGAACTGGAGCTACGGGCAGAATGTCAAAAGGCCGCGTCCAAGTCCAATGAGGCCCATCTCTCCTCCCCGCAGCCGCTTACACAGGATACACCCTCTATCCCTCCTCCCATCCACGGGGATGCCTCAGTAGAGAATAAATCTCTTGTATCTGAGAAAAGCGGCCGTGATGCTGGCCCAGGGGCCCGAAGATGGATTTGCCCACCCCCTTGGTGTGTATCCCCGCCGCGATTGAGAATCAAACTCACACATTTCCTCGTCTCCGATTCTATTTCCCTTTATTAAAAAAGTGGAAAGTCTTTCACTCGTGAACACCATCTGCCACGCCACATGAAATCTAGCAGTTGTGTTCACAATCAACAGAAAATATCCGAAACTCTTCGAAAGCGGAAAGCGGAAGCTCCAAGGACGAAACCGCGCGCTGGCAACACTAGCGTGAAAGGTGGAAGTGCGAAAAATAGTAAATCCTCATCCCCGCGCCCGTCATCCTCTCGGGGTGTTCAGGATGTGCCGTTGCGCACCCTAGATGGGAAATTTATTTGCGTGGCCTGGTGAGTCGGAAATTCCGCCAACCAGAACGGTCCTACATTTTCTCGTTCCCAGCAAGATGTCGTTCTCCCGCAATGACCATCTCAAGCGGCATCAGAGCTTGTCATGTAAGGCTGGCAGGGGGGCCGCGACACCCCGTATGTCAATTTTTCACCATTTCGGTAATAACTAACTAATATACAATTTAGGGACTCGGTCTATCCGCTGCGGCCCACTATTAAAGGGGGCAATATCCCGTGCGCATAAGTGGCTTGCAAGTATTGATGAGGAGGGGACTGGGGGCGAAGATCGCGTAGAACGGCTTTCATCAAGTGATCTTGGGATTCTTGGTTTGGGGGGATGTAGTGAAGATGATGAGGCATTTGACTGCCCTGGCTGGTGAGCATTCCAACTTTTGCGCCTCTGGCCTTCGTATTAAACGACATTTCAGCCCAAGTCAGTTTGGCAAACTTGAACTCATCATTCGCCACATTTTCACCAATATCTGCCAAAGCGGGATAGATGTAGCGGCTTCAGCTAAAACCGAAGAGCAGGATTCGGTACCACCTTGCAGAACGCGGTCTTTGAGATTGAAACGTAGCCGCGACGTGTCTGCCGATAGTCGTTCAACTAGTCCTAAGAAGCGCAAGACCAGCAGTGAACGAAGCGTTGAGGGCACGCACAAGCCCGGGCCAGGTTCCGTGGGTGGTGCGGGGACATCACCATCACCTCCCGCAACAAGGAGAACAAAAAGTGCCCACTCCCAGCCACAGCGGACCAAAAATTCGCTTATAAAAATGCGGCGGCCCGCAGCCGAAGTGGTGCCGGAACCGCTATCGGAAGAGATGGAAGTCAATGACTTCGAATCGGAGGATGAGACATTGATTGATGCCAAGTACAAGCGTTAGACCCAGGTACGAACAGCATCGTCGTTGGACGCCAATTTTATACATGTGGCCTCCGTAACTATGAGGGGTCCTACGCTACAGGATTGGAATTGTCTGCATTCGCCCATGATTCTAGTTTCCGACAACCCCTAGGGCTCGCAAAAAGGCGATCAATCCTTTCTTGGTTTGGAATGTACAACATCCATTTTTGCATCACTTTTCTTCACCCCTATCATTTCTTGGTGACCTTCAAATGGCATTAGCATCAGCGATCATCCCACACCATTTGTACTTACTGGTTCCCTTCATTATCTCTTCAATGAGTGATGTGTGGCCCCCACTGAAATTGGCCTCTTTCCCTGCAGTCAGATACCGCAAAGAAAGCCCTGGCGCAACGATCGGTTTCGCTAACAGGGATTGCAGCCGATCTTTCATGGATGCCAGCTCCTCCGATGTTACTTGGCCTTTTCGCGAGGGCGAACCTTCGTCGATTCTAGATTCTATGGTCATCCAAAGAATTCGACTGCCCTATGTTGTGTGCCTACTTTTTGTCATCGTCACTAAGTTCAACTTCCAGCGCCTCCGCCATTTCTCTCATCCATTTTCTCTCGTGATCGCCCTTTTTGACCGAATGCTGTACACGATCAATCTCCTTTGCCAGGGAAACACGTTCTCGCAGCTTGTTCAGGATGATACGATCAACGGAAAGCATCGGAACCTCGGAGGCTAGTGATCATTAGTGGGGTATTATGGATGGATGGTTGAAAACGTACTTCTGTTCAAAATCCCATTTTTTTCTTGTTTCTTTTTCCCAAACATAGCTTCGTAAACACCCCGCTCATCCGGGGAGCACATCAATAATGCAAATCCTTCTCTGTGTGCCCGGGCTGTTCGCCCATTTCGGTGCAGGTAGACGTCGGCGGATCGGGGAAGCTGGTAATGTACAACGTGGTCTATGTTCTGCACGTCGAGGCCGCGAGCTGCAAGATCCGTTGATATGAGAACAGCGCGCTCATTGCGTTTAAACCTACAACTAGTTTGAGGTGGATAACTGGGCAGAAATTTAAATCGTACCGCTCAAGGTTCTTCAGCCGCTGCCTCTGTTGCAATCCGGAATGCAGAGGGTACACATTTAACCGTAGAAGCTCAAGGAAAGGGAGGAGTCTTCGGATGGTATCAATTGATGATGCGAATATCAGGGTTCTCCCAGGATATCGTAGAAGGAAATAATAGAGGTAAATATCCTAAATTAGGGAGTAGAACGTCGACACTAAGGGCAAAGGGGACTGTAACAGCAAGGCCAAGACTTGCCTTATCTTTCACTAAGCATTCAATCCTACTTTCGTGAAGCTCTGCAACTAAATTCCCTTTTGGACTCAAATCAACAACCTCCGGCTGTCCTTCCCTATCACGGAAGTCCAAAAGTAATACGAGGTCATCTAAACGCCAGGAGATTGTCTTAGTGTTCGCAGTATGTATACGAACGGACATACCCAGTGTCGACTTTTCACCGTGCTTCTTGGAACCTGACTTGTTCCTTTTTTTAAGATTCCCCTGGAACTCCTTACTCATCGTGGCAGAGAACACGAATGTCTGCAATGAATGACTTGCCGCAATCGCGGATGATGCTGGTAGCAAGCCGGCCTCATGCTCGAGTGATTCATTCACGTCGGTGGCCTCCTCCTTATCATCAGATCTCACAGTGAGCTTGACGATGTTTTCCAACTCATGGAAATGGCCAGCTTCGATCATTCGATCTGCTTCATCGAGAACAAGAAATTGGAGACTTGTCCTGATTTGAAGAGCAAGGTCATCGTTCTGTCGAAGCCCGAACGCAAACATTCAATGTTGATCCGCTTCTGTCGTCGATATCCAACCCGCACCTCTTGAATGAGGTCCCACAACCGACCTGGAGTGGCGATTAGGATGTCAACACCCTTCTCGAACAAAAGTCGCCGCTGCTTCTGTGCCGCCATTCCTCCCACAATTGCGCCAACAGATATCCACGGAGGGGGTCTCCTCGTCTCTCTCGAGCCTTCAGTATCAGGTCTGTCCGGAGTGGGCACGACAGCTCGGATGTGATCTGCTATTTGGAACGTCAATTCCCGGGTTGGGGCCAGTATGAGTGCTTTGACGTTTCTTCGAACCGCAGTATCATTCAAAACATTGGGATCCTCCTTAAACCGACTCGCAAGTTGCTCCAAGATCCGATGAATGATCGAAAGCGAGTACGCCAGAGTCTTTCCTGATCCCTGAGAGAGCAATTTGGTAAGAAAGTGTGCCGAGGGAAAAACATGTCGTTCGCACAGTTTGTGCTATGCCAACGACATCCCTCCCCAGCAATGCCAATGGAATCGCGCTTAATTGAATCGGAGTTGGGGTTGTGAAGCCGGCTTGATGAAGGCAAAGTTTAATTGAAGAGCTGACTGGGACGGAATCCCAATTTGGCAAGAATCTCTTAGCTAGCAGATTTCAGTTGATTATTCCATTCAGCATCGCGAATTTTTGAACTCACCATCAAAGCCAGCGGTAAGAATGCTTTCGGAAGTCACCTGTGGCAATGGTGCATGGATGCGCGCTTTCTTCGGAGGAGAAGTGATATCTCCATCAGGTGCATTATCTGGGGGATTTTTCTGCACACAACAAACGCAACGTATCAGAATGCAAGGAGTGGCTGATCAAAGTCCCTCACTTACCTGAACTAACTTAACGATCTTGCCCGCTTCTGCTGTCTCGTATTGGACCTCCACCCCTTCAATCTCCTCAAAGGAAAGAACTGCCGCATCGTGAAACGAAGAATGAACGTTTGTTCTTGGAACGGGTCTCCATCCTAACATATTTGCTTCGCCGTTTGAGCCGCTTTGACAGTCCTCGACATCAAGTTGAGACACGCTGTTGCATCGAAAGGAGGAAATAGTGGTAGGCCTCTTCCTCTTCAGCGGTCGCGATGCATGGCGCACTTTGCTCGCAGGTATTCTGAGTTTCACAGTCTCCATGAAAGCTTTGTTTATCTCGAGTTGGTTGTTTACGTCGAGGCGATTTGCAATGCTGGGAGCCAGGGTGATGTAGAATCACGGCACTAGGCAGCCGGACCCTCCCATAGGCGTTTCGGGGCATCGTATCGAATACATGGGTGACCCGTTGAAAAATCTGGTCCTTGATGACAAGTTGGCTACGAGTTCAACTGCACAGCGTTGTTGCATGACAGGAATGCATAGCCGGTGTCCCGACGCAGTAGCACATGCATGTGTACGACCGTCCCTGATGAAGCATCCAGCGATCTATGCGCACGTACATTTTGTATAGAGGGCGCTATATATATATCTATTTGTTGGACACAGAGAGGACAGATTGGGCCCCGGTTTGTCACCAGCAACCACCAAGCGCGACAGCCCCCCATCATCCCTCACATTAATCCTGATGGCGTCATAAAATGGCGCAACTGGCTGTTTGCAAAACAATAGAACGACGCTGGAGTACTTGAAAGCATTTCTTTCCTCCGCCTGTGGTGCGACCACGGAACCCCTGTTGACGTGCGGCCGAAATGCTTCAACGGGCCCCACTCGACTTTTGATGATCGGTTCGTCTTTATAGCAAATTGCACGGGTTTTAGATACAGGCGTGGGCGTTATTTAGACGCGGAGAAATGTGTTTATCACCGCAAAAGGGCTAAAATATAGCTCCTGGTTGAAGCGCGTTATTGGTGGAAAATGGGATATAACACGAGTTAAATCCGTGTCACATTAGCAAATATTAGTTGTAGTGTTTATTTGGAATATAACGAGATGTAATTTGCCCTGTTGACTTAGCGAAATTCTGCTGGAGCGCCGGCACCGTGATTAATCTGAATAATATGAGCTTGTTCCACCTTCGGCCACCTGCCTCGATCTGAAGCCATCCCATCAAACGGCTCCTCTCTTAATAGGCATCTGATCGAGCAATCGCAACGTTTCGCATGCCAATCGCGACGTTTCTCGCGGCGTTTCTCGCGCCTTCACGGCATCCCAGGCGCGCACTTGTTGACGCCATTTGCACTCCGGAAACCAAAGAAGCACCCAGTGAATCATGGGTGGACGATGTGTATGTCCTCTCAGACTACCGGCAAATGCTCAGACTAACCAGTTCCTTCGGCCTGCACAATGCAACTTGAACGCATTCCCCAACATACGTGCACACTGGCGCCAGTTGATAGCGCCAACTGTGTCCATGTAACGCGTGTCATGGTTCTGAATATGGGCCCCTCTTTCAGACCCCCTCAGTGATAAAGGCCCATATGATAAAGGAAATGTTGAACGACGCGTCTCATCCTGTGGTTACTGTGACACCTGCACCCCCCTCTAGTCCCCACACGGAAGATTTCTCGGCAGCAAATATTCAGTCTCGAGGACAAAAGGGCTTCATCCTTTCTTCATTGGATAACTATGGTGATAGTGCTATGAACTTTGAACTGCCATCACCGAACAAATCTTGTCAACCATGCTTCTCTGACCCAGAGCTGTCGGACTCATCCTCTCTATCGACCAGTGGTTCTGGGTCACCTGTGGGTATCCAACTTGGACTTGATATAGCAGATGAAACTTTGGACGGCAATGAAGCTGTGGGCTCTGATCAGGATTACCATGACAATATTGCGCCACTTGATATAAGCGAAGACCCTTTATTTCAGCAATCAGACGCTATCTTCAAATGGCTAGAAGGCCAAAAGTCTCAACCTGATGCCCTCGGCGAGCTAGAAACTCTTCCTTCTGCCTTTCGAGAGTCGCCTCCTATCCGGAATGCTTACATCCATGCATTTATCATGTCTTCTTATCATGGTGCTACTCATGCAGCAGTCAGCGAATTTCTTCAGGGCCAAAGGGCACTTTTTCAATGTGCACAATTTGGCCATCGGATGTCAGTTCTTGTATAAACAAGGCACCATCATCTTCGGCAGGATGGTAGTCCCCATTTTTTACACCTTGTGCATGATCAAAGCAGCAACGGATGGCTTTCTAGGGAAGGGTTGTCTGTGTATTTGAGTCAATGCAACATTTCTTCATACTCACATCAAGTTCCGTTAAGCGACCAGTTTTGGCAGGCTGCTTCGGCCCGCTGTCAGGAGTTGACTTTATCTTAAGTATCTCTCCACGGAGCTCCGCCACTTCTTCTAACAATGCTTCGTGTTTTTCTGACCATTCCTGTTCTAGTTGACCATTCATTTTCACAAGCTCCCTTACTTCGGAGGTAAGCCGGCTGACAGAGTCTGAAGGCCAGAGACTTCGGTAAACAAGTTTTTTAATAGTTGCCCCAATGTTGCGGGCAGACGACTGTTCAAGAAGGTGGGGATCGATCAATTCGTTGGGTATTGGTTTTGTATTCACGCGGTGATGAGGCTGAGTACCACTGCGTGTACTTGTGGATGCTGGCTGGGTAGGGAATAAATACCGGGGAGGACGCAACCCCTCTAGGTGGGTGGATGTTTTTTCTTTGATGCTGTAATGCAGCTCACTGGGTGAAATCATTCATTTTCGGGGACATTGGGCATCTACGTACGCTTCTACTAGTATCATCTGGTCCGTGTATTTCTGATTCCTCGTCATCATGCTGAGCTGAGAGACTTCGCTCATTGGCATGGCTATAGTGTGAACTAGGTGGAGGACGAGATGGTCTCGACTTGAGCGCTGGTGTGAAGCTTCTAAAGGACATTTAGTAGGGCTCGGTGGTTTAGTTAGGGAACTCGCTGTAACATGAAGTTTGGGGGATGCTCAATATGACCAAATTTGGATAATTACAAACGCGCGCCAGAAAATATGTAACATCGAGCACTTTCATTTAACGTGCATTATATACATACATGGGCATTTAACACGAGTTATAACATGGTCATATTGTCTTTCCTATCTCACAATTACTTCTCTCTAAAGCATGTTATTTTCGTGTCATATTTGCACTTCTACGCGCGTTATTCCGGTCTTATATTTAGCTCATTGTGCTGTGTTAGTGCGTTTTGTTCAGTATCCGCTGGATACGTCCGCCGTGCTATGAAATGTAAAGCATTACGCTACGTATCACACCATGCCATAGGGTTCAAGGCCGGAGTTGACCCATGACCCAATTATGCCATCTCGAGCCAGCTCTTCACAAACTTAACCTCCTGCTCGTGGATTGTCTGAATGCGTTTTGGCTCTTTGCTATGGTCCCTGAGTCCGTTTTCATCATAGTGATGGACCGCTGAGTGAATGATCTTGAAAGGGCGGACGATCGAATCTCTCCTCGGTGTGGCATGCCAGCTGTGAGGCGTCGCGGGCCTCCAGGGGTCCTCTGAAGTCGGAAGTCAGGCGTTCGGCCTCCATGACAGTGTAACATAACTCACCATCTCCGTCGACGAAGGCAAGTCGATCCTCAGCTAGGTTGTAGTCTCCAAGAACGTTCACTGCTGTGACATTCGGCCACTCAGGGACTCGAGCCCATTGGCCATCAGGAAAAGCCTGAACACAAATGATATCAATCAATGAACAATAAGTTCAGTGAATAAATTTAAATTATGCACCTGTCGACATATTTGAGATGTATAATCAAGGGTCAAGTACTTTGAGACGATTCGAGGATACAATGGGTCTGGTGGCGCTCCCTAGATAGAAGGTAGATTCCTTAGGCATAATGCATGCCCTAGGCTGAACGGAACGTACGATAAAATATCCCCATTCATTACAAACCTAAGAGAGTTCCAGTGTGCACATCCCTGAAGCCACCACCAAAACCTACCTGCCAAACCCACGCACGCCAAGTATGTTGAAGATCAGTGGATCGATATTTCGAAGCGTCCGAGGTTCCGAAACAGCGTGTCACATTCCCATCAGCGCAATTAGAAACGATCTCCTTTGATCCCGAGACGATAAGCTTCCACGAGTGCAGTTCTTCGCGCCACTGACCTCTTTGATCCATTTCGCATAGTTATGAGTCGCGGCTCTCCTGCGAACCCAAGCCCATTTGCTCCTAACACCATTCCCCTCGCCTAATATGCCACAAAACCTACTCCATAATGAAACCCCCTCGCCATCAGGATCGCCTTCGCTTCCTCCGCTTCCAGATGGATGGTCCCAGTTCTGCATCTGGACATAGCCCAAAGGCTCCGATAGAACCGAAGCAAAATCTTCCGTATCGAGAGCGTCCAGGCCAAACAACGCTTTGAGATTTCTTGACACGAATGGTACGTGTGACGATAACAAGGTGTCAATGTATTCTACCGAAGAAACGAGGAGTCTAATACACGTCTGATTAGCCGTCAGGCGGATAGCCTCGTTGTACTGAAACAGTCGTCAGCAATGGGACCAAGGATTGACGTTTTCACTGCACCTCCCAATAGTCAATCGCAGCATGCGTGACGGCTATCAGATGGGAAATTATTTCATACCTCGGCATCCTTTGTAGGGCACGTACCGCTAGAGGCAATGGAGCCCCATACAATGTTGGGATAAAGCACCCGCATATGCGCAGCCCTCGCCCCTGCATAGCTACCTCCATAGTATATCCATTTTGTCCCATTCTTGGACCCTGAAAGGCCCACTCCTTCCCATTGGAAATTTGAGATGAATTGGGCAGAATCCTTCAAAAGGTACTGATGCGTCGAAGGATAGGTTGACAGAGGAAAGGCGCGTACTTGTAATGACTGAGCATTATTCAAGAATCGAAGAGCGTCTGTGGAAAAGTTCTGGACGGGGATGGACTTCCCTAGGTGCCGGTAATCAAACTCGGCACTTTCAATTGTAGATTCGTGAGACACACCGTAATAACGATGTTCTAGAACAATTCCAAGCCCGTGCGTCGCTTTGGCTAATATGTCAACTATTCCCGTGTCAAGAAACGGAAGCCGGTCTATGGCGGAGGACGGTGGACCAAACATAAAAATACAACAGTGCTATTTACCTTCCCCGGAAGTCTCGCCCCCGTCGAGAATAATGACAGGGCCTCCGGCTTTGTAATGACGGCTGTTGACCCAATAGCGCTGTTCAAATGTCGTGTTTGCGTGTTCAGGTGAGAAATGGTTTAAAGGTTGAGTGAACCACTCCTCCTTAAACTCTTCGTACTTCCCGTTCTCGCCCTCCTTCCTCCATTGTGCATTCTGACTGTGATGTTCTAAGAGGAGTTGGTCAGCAGGCATAGGAATCGATAGTCGTTGTCGATCATTTCTCAAGCCCCCGAGCCATCTATTGACACGCTGGCTTGACCAGACCCCTATGCCATTCACGCACCGACACGCGAGGACAAGAATAGCCAGAGAGTGGCACACATACATTCTTGGAGTATCGAATGCAGGGTATGTATGTTTGTTTGGTGACCAAACAAAATCCATTGCTTGAGCCACAAGTGCGCTACTGGTTGGGAGGATCAGTATACCTGACGCAGTTCCCTAGAGATAAACCTTGTGGTAGCGTGTCTGAACCAGGCACGCAGTAATTGTGGAGCCCAACTATCCTGCCTACAGCAACCATGTCACCCGAATCAGAGGTTGCAGTCTTGTTGCAACCCAGAGGGCTTTTGCATCGTTTCATCCGCCATAGAGACTTGTCCTCTATAGTGGAAAGACCTGAACGTTTGAGGGCAGTCGCCATCGGCATTGCCGCAGCTCGGGCTGCTTTGGAAGTGCAGAGGGACAGGGCAGATCCTGCCCTTGGCGTGACGGATGGCCTCGTTGACGCAATACTGAAGCTGAGGATCGATGGAATAGAAAGTACTGGAGGTATTGCTTTTCATATCCTCTCCGCCAACTTCTCGTCGAATAGTTTGGCATCTGCCGCTGTGCGATTCATTCACGGAGAACCCAGTGAATATCTTTCCAAGGTGCTGTCCTGGGCGTTGAATAGCGAGGATGTGATCAGAAGGGGCGAGAGCGAGATTCCGAAAGGGTTTTCTCAAGGCGACTTATACTGTAGGTTGTTTAGTGAATCGCTGGTACCTTTAGTTGGTTGACATCCAGGCCATCCAGTGTGCCCACAGTCCATAGATGCTCTTTCTGGCGCAGTATCAGCCGTTTTCCAAGCTGTAGATATGGTTCTTGGATCTAAGGTTACAAACAAAGTTGGAACAGGTTCCTCTGCTGAAGGGTGTACAATACCCGTATCCAGTACGTCGTCCGCTCACGATTCACCTTCCGCGGACAACGCAGTCTTGGAAACAGCTCATCCGTCCCTTGATGAGCCGCAACAGGTGCCTCTCCCTCCGTCGCCCACGGGAACGTCAGCGGTTGGTTATTCCAACGTCAAGAGGGTCTTTGTGTGCATCCGACCACCAGGCCACCATTGCTCGGATGATACCCCCTCCGGTTTCTGCTTTATAAACAATATACTCATCGCAGCCTCACACGGTGAGATAATATTCATGACCTCGATTACGCACTCTTATCCCAGGCGTTAGCGCATATTCGTTATGGAATAAAAAGGGCTGTTATCCTTGATATTGATCTACACCACGGAAATGGAACCCAAGCAATCGCCTGGTCGATCAACGCGGAAACCGCCAGAGAGGAGGAATCTAATGTTTTGACTGAGGAGGGGCGAGACCTGCCGGGAACTGGACTGAAGGTCTTTTACGGCAGCTTACACGACATATTATCTTTTCCGTGTGAAGATGGGGAGCCGAAGGCAACTCAAGCTGCCTCCACAATATTGCGTGGCGCCCACGGGCAGTACATCGAAAACGTCCATTTAGAATCTTACACAGACGAAGCGGACTTTTTCTTGAGACTGTACCCCTCCTATCTCAACACTCTTCTTGGAGGTGCGCGCGAGTTCCTGGAAGCCACGCAAGCAACGTCGGAAGATACCATGGTATATATCAGGTCGGCATTTGGAGGGCTCTTTGTCCTGCTCCCATTGACGATCTTATAAAAGCGCTGGATTTGATGCATCTCTCCATGAGCATCCCTACATGTCTCGCCATAATAGAAATGTCCCTACGGCATTCTATTCTCGTTTTGCGGTTGATGTGAGAGCATTTGCGGAAGAGTGCTGCAACGGAAGGATTGTAGCTGTTCTTGAAGGTGGCTACAGCGATAGAGCACTGATCAGTGGCAGTGGTGCATTCATGCAAGGATTGGCTGTTGATTCCGCCCAGCAGTTAGCAACTGACTGGTGGAATGTGATCGCCTGAGTCAGGTGTGCCTCCCGAGTGTTATTTGCCCATGATGAAAGACAACTGATTACTGCTGTCGGTGGATTTCATTGTCTCAGCTGGAAAAACTCACAAAACCAACGCATCGAAGCTCCAAAGTTCGATACTCCAGAGGAGCGTCGGGAGCGGACGAAGCTTGGCTGAGTCGCACCCAAGAACTTATCGGTGGAATGGATTCCCTGGTTTTCTCGCCTCTGCCCCCCCTGCCGAACTTGAGGCCGCAGCCCACCGTGCCACAATCCACCATGACTTTGAGGGAGAGAAAAAAGCCAACCAGTGCTACTCCAACTCCCACGTTCCTGCCAGGCCGCCATTGAGCAATAAACAACGGGGCCCAACCACGACGTCGAATAAGCCAGTGTCGCCTGAGCAACGTCGGGTTTTTGCGTCATCGTCGCAGCCAGACCCCAGTTCTACCACCCCAGAGCCTGACAGTGGCACACCAATGAATTATCCAGAATCTTTGAAAATTCGTATAAAGTTGCCCTCGAAACCTAAACTTAGCGGGAGTGTAGACACTTCTGCTTATTCAGACAACTAATAGTCATCCTCACGGAATTTCAGCGAGAGGAACTGACTCCGTGAGTCGAACTCTCCAGCTTTCGATTGAACTTGACTCTGGCCACCATGCATATACATACCATGCACTAGCGATAATATAAGCGGATTGCTCCCCATGTATCCCAATCTTCCAAAGATATAATTACTATCATAAATATGTAGCAACCCATGGATATGTCGTGTTCAACACGGCACGCAAAACAGCATATTTGATCTCTTAGAACTCAGCACCAGCAGGTGGGGCGAAGGATCCCGCAGCAGTTATACCGTATGCTTCTACTCCTGCGCCAGCTCCGCTGATTTTTCTCGCTCCGCGTCCAATAACTATTGATCCACTACCACGACGTCCATCAGGAGAACCCTCAATACTTATCATAGACCGCGCAGTAGGGATTCGAACCGTACCTCTAATGGCAGATGCTGGTGATTTGGATAATGAGCGCTCAGCTCTTGGGGGACTGGCATTCGGATTGCCTATATCTAGCGCAGCATGATCACGTCTCTGGACTTGACCAGGAGGGGAATGCATTGTGGTCGGAATGCGTGTTGGGGATATAGGGGGCGATGGCCCAAGAGGCATAACAAGTATGGCCTCATCAGGGTCCTCATCATCATCATCGTTGGCGGCACTCCGGCGATTTGATGGTGAAGCCGATGATCGAGATGTTGGTGGCGTCAGTGGTGAGTTGATAAAGCGATCATTTAACTCGGAAGACTCTGATATTGCGGGACGCATTGCATTAGCCACGCTTCGGTCCGCATGCTCCTCGAAAATGTCAAAGTAATGGTCAATACAGATCCTGATAACCATTCCCAGTGTGGACGACTTCGCGTCCCCCTCCGAGACTAGCGTCGGTTTACTCGAGGGGAAGGAAAATGCGGAGGCCCCAGGTATGGAACACATCTGCATATCTTGTATGACATTTGATCCGGAGAGAAGATTAGGGGAAAATGTCGTAGCCAGGTTAAAGGCATCCATACGGTTTGTCGAAGATCGAAGCGAGATCTCGTGCAGCAGATCTATGCAGATGGATCAGGGATAGACAAACTGCTAGGGGCTGCTCTCAACGTACGCAGCACTTCAGAGAGAACAGTAAGCGTGGCAGGGGAGCGCCTTTCTATCAGGGGCAGAAGACTTTCACGGATATATTCGATACTGCTCCGATCATCCGAATCATCGGCTGGGAGTGGGCATTTATGTATGTGAGGATAAAAGGATTCGGGAAGACAGGTTGGGGTAGGTCCCGAAAGAATGCCTTGAGCAGCACTGCAGCGATGTGTGGATCACCGAATGAGGATAGCGAGACTGTTTGGCCTGAAAGGGTGTTCATGGTGGATCACTTGTTCCGCGAAGGCACATTTACCTCTATTATAAGCCTCTTTTATTTGTTTCAACAGTGCTGAGCTTGGGGAACGCCGGAATATTCCTTCAGACTCAAGGCCTGCAAATGGGTTCACAAATAGACGCAGGGGCAAGCAACGGACAGCACCTACCATTCATGCGTACATAATCAACGCAGTCCCTAACGACTCTTGGAATACCGGACGAAATTCCATAGTCACCCATTAAGTCATCGAGTGATACCCCGAAAGCCTTGGAATGCTCTTTTTGCATGGTCGGAAGCGTAATTTCGTTCTCATACTTCAAGTTCTCCCTACGTCAACTGAGCTCACTGACAAGGTGATTGCGGCCAAGTCAGAACTTACTGATAGGCGGCCGGAGGAAGATCAAGATTCGTTAACGGAACTGAAACACAGGAAACCTTCAGATAGGCGCAAAAGGATTGTTATTTGGTATGTGCTTCACCATATTCTGCCAACGCACTCAAGGTTTGCACATAATATATTTTTCGAAAGAATTTAGGGCTACAGACGTGTTTCTCAATAATGCTGATATACACGACACAAGAAAGTGAAAATACCTAATTATTGCTCCTGCAAGTGAAAAAAGCACTGGAAATTTTGTCAGGAACTGATTGATGCTCCTTCGACAAGTACGCACTCTTGGTAAAGATCGTGGTATGGACAATGTACTGATCCCACACATCAGGATATGTGTTTTTGTGTGACAAGAGAGGGCATACCAGTTTCTTGAGATTCTTGCGATACCTTAAGAGAGGCCATATAAATAACAAATCAGTCCATATCAACAGCGGATTTACTTCTTATTCAAACTCCTGTAAGCCTTCCACACCCAATTCCACGGAGGTGTGTATCGTCCGCCAGCGGCCAAGAAAACAACAGTGTAATCATTCTCAACTTCCGATCAGAGGGTGAGCGCCATTTGTATGGGTCATTAGCGATAAATAGCTACCGAACAAATCCAAATAGAGCATCATCCGAGAGAGTAATAGGTCGTACGACACTTGACGCGGATCGGGAAATTGAGATGCCGTGAGGACAATCCTGGGGGGTTATGAGTGATCAGATGCATAGGGAGTAGGGAGGGGAGGCGGTGAAGGAGGACAAACATTGGACGCGTCCTAGAGGGTTGGAGTGAGTAGGGGGAGCTGATCGTCGCGAGGCATCGTGCGTACTCGAAGTCAACCCCAGCCTGAGTAATAACTTTCTGCATAACTTCATCAATTGCACCATTGTCACTATACAGTGAAGGTTGAGCACTAGTATGGTTGGTGCCAGGATTGTCACGCCGAGCAAGGCCGCTGAAGATATTGCGTCGACTGATCGATTCTCTTGTGTTCTTGTACGTTTCTGATAGAGAGAGGCTGGAAAGCTTTTGTTGTAGGGTTCGAGACATGGGTACCAAAGGGAAGGGGATTCAGGCTTGCCCAATAATTGTGGGCGTTCGACTTCAAGCACTTGGTTGTCAATCATTGTCAATCCCAGGATCACGTGTGCGTCAACTTCGATCGCTGATATTTGCATATTTTATTGGAGGTTACCTCTATAGCATCTGCATGAAGCGGAGAAGATCGAACGAAGACGCAGACGTTGATTCCGCACCAGAAGCCTCACATACTGCAGACGGATACATGAGCGCTCCAACTCCGATTCCAATACCTAAGATAGCCGCATCCCTTTCCATATCTAAGAAACTACCCTCCACTTCAGGGAACAAACAGTCCCCCAATACGCAATATCGCTTTCGGGTTCATCAATCAAAGACTCGCAAAAGCGGATTCCAATGCGGGGAACCTTCTCAAGAATATCTTTCGCTTGCAAAGATACCTTCCAGTTCCCTAGATCCTCCTCGCAAACTGGTTGTGCTTGACCTTAATGGGACGTTGGTCCATCGCCGAAGGTTTGGATTGAGAACGGCCATGCGACCTTACCTCCGCACGTTGATAGAGTGAGCCTCACGTTCTCTGAAGACACATGTGCTAGATATTCATCAAGCATAGATTCATTTGCGCGCATGACAGGTTAGTACCCATGGTTTGGAGCAGTGCTCAGCCTCGCAACGTGAAAAAAATGGTCGACGAGGCTTTCGGACCGCAGAGTCAACATTTGAAGGCCGTGTGGGCTCGAGATACTCTTGGACTCTCAACTGAAGATTATGGTGTGTGGTGTTACTTGCTTTGAGCACAGTCTGAAGGATATTACAGGGAAGAATGTTGAAACGGTGAAAAACCTCGAACTCGTTTGGGGTAGACTATCAGATGATTCAGAGAAGGCTGGGGGGAAACCATTTACATACAACGCCCTTAACACAATTCTAGTGGACAACTCTCCCATCAAGGCTCACATGCAACCCCACAATCATATATGCGTACCCGAATATGCACACGAACTCGATGAAATTGACAGTCAACGATTCTTAGCCGGGCCAGAGGATGATAGCAGATTACTGTCTGAAGAAGATGCTCGGATTGGTATCTCGAGCAGGTATGACCTCTCTTTGGTCGCCGTCATAGGTGTGTTAGACGAGCTCGCCGGGCAGGATAGTGTCTGTTCTTGGATAAGATCGGATGGGCTGAGGAACGTCCCGGAGGTCCTGATCGAGGATGGCAAGGAAGTCAAGGAATTCGGACGCACCGATGATGGTCCTTACAATGAAGGTGTGTTTTCTGTCTTGTTGTCTTTCTTGTCGGCATTTGGTGATAACCAACTGCCCACAGGAGGCGACGTGCGTTTACGTTCTGTCTATGCTTGGATTCGTTTCTGGCTGACATCGTTCCCCAAGCACTCAAAGGCACCTGCCCCAGAATTGGAAATGGGAAAGCAAGAGGAATGCCCGGCACGGACCATTTGATACATTCTTCGGAAGTACCACCCACCACTCCCCTTCTCCCCGCGCCCGCGCCCTTCCCTTCGCCACCATACTTTAAAACTCCATCCACCTTCTGGTTTGAAGACTCCACAACGTTCAAATACTGGGTCAGTCGAGGTGTCCAAGCCGCCAACCATCTCGGAATTCCGCTGCAACATGGCGTCGCGGCCCTGCCTGAAGGCAAGATGCATGGGCCTCGCGGGAGGCAACGCGGGTAGAATGTAGATCCTTGAATGCTTTATCTCTTTCGATTTTCGTTATCCTGGGCTTTCACACCGTTCTATATACTCGCTTGTGATTGAATGATTTGCCATGTTCTAGACCCATGCGCTTCCCTACAATTTGTACTTGTTCCGTTCACACAGTGCTGTTTCTGGTCACACCGGGTTTTTATAATTGCACGACCGCACCATTATTCACTGCCCAGATTCGAAAGAAGCAAGTGAATTCATGTTACACATTCATACGATTGCCTAAGCAGATCACACAGCGCAATTGGTCGAAGCGTGCTTGCGCTCGGGGCAGGAAGATCAATGATTAGGTTCGCTAAATTTCGCACGGCCAATGGCCAAAGCCACGATGACTAACTAACGGTAGGCATAAGACGAGGGGGGAGCAAGAAAGACAGAACCGACATGCATCGTAGACAGACAGCAAACAAAAAGGAACAATGATCATCAATGCATCATTGTACAACGTAGGGAAACCAATTGAATAAGTTAACCAAGAAACTTCCTGCCCGTCAAGCCAACTGCACGCTCCTCTTACCGTGGTCACTTCTACCTGATCTCCCTTGGTTGTTTCACTGACCTTCAGTAGTAATCAGAATGCACAGTTTGATCCAAAGCAACCGAATCAGCGAGTTGGCGGTAGACGTGGTGGCCGCTGCTGCGGCTGCTGTGTCGCTTGAATTAGGTGCAGGGGCGATTGATGCTGTTGGTGCATCGGCGACGCGAGAGATTGTGCTGATCCATGCGATTGCGGATGTTGCTGCTGTCGCTGCTGCATCGTAGTAAGCTGTGCACGCTGGTCTCTCTCAATAGCGGCAATCTCCTTCCGCATCTTCTCATTCTGGATACGCAGCTGCTGTAACTCGTACTGCCAGCTAGTACCCCTCGTTGTCTCTAACTCCTCGAAAATGTTTGATGAGACGGTTGGGGAGGACAATATCTGGGATGAAGGGCCTGGTCCAGCCGATGGAGGTAACGACTGTTGGAGGTATTCTTGGATGTGAGAAGAGGAAGAAGAGACTTGCGGCCCTCCGCCAGATGAGGTGTCGTTTGGAGTGGCGAAACGAATGTGACTAATAACTACGGATAGCCTCTGGCCTCTGGTACTGATTTGTGGAGGCTGTGAGGACGAGGACGAGGAGATAGGTTCAGTAGGTGGGTCGGACGGCTGGTAAATAGTAACAAGGAGCGAGGCGGGCGGGAGATCCTCGATGGGAATACGCATGCATATGAACTTGGTGGGAGGCATGCGCAATTTCGGATTATGAGCAATATGGGAAAGAGTGCGCTCGATGGGCCCCCTTGACTCTGGGCTCAACCACTCCGATAAACGAGTCCCCATCACCTCTTGCGCAGAAGTACCAAGTACATCCTTAGCGCCTGTAGAGACGACAAGAAACAGTCCACCATCAACGCTTATTTGGCTCCATATTTCCGAAGAAAAGTCGCCGCTTATAATGTCGGCCAAACCAGCATCGCTGGCTAAATCGCTCAACTCGAGGCGCGGCATGCGTCGTATTCGACCGCTAAAAACAAGTGACTTGCGGCCTTTCCCGGGCTCTACCTGTAATCTACCTGTGCTCTCTATCCATATGTAGCCGCTGTACCTGCGTCGCACACGAAATAACAGATGGACGAGTCTTGCCTGGTGCATGTAATGTTGGGCAAGTAGTGTGGACGCAAAATTGAGAGCATTGGAGCCTGACGAGTGTGCTGATGGGAGAGAAGACTCCTTAAGCTCGCGCAAGACCGGGACAACGTCTGACGGATGCGTGATGTCGCTGATGGTCTTTCCGGAAAGTTCCTCGGGGTCATATTCGAGCACGGCGCGAACACTTGGGGAAACGTACTGAATGGATCCCTTTAAGGAAAGCACGTGGATAAAATCTAGACCCAATTGATTAATATGAAAAGAATTGAACGAGTCAGAAAGGGAGTATGACGTCAGTGGAGAAGCATTAATTTGAATTCACAAGTCCAGGCGATGATGCAATAGCTTCACCACTTTTTTTTTTTTGTTTTTTGAAAAAAAAAAGAAAAGGGCGAAAAGGGAGAAATTCCAACTCACCGTCTGATTGTTCCAGAATCAACGTATTTAGTTTCTCACGCTCCTGCTCCGTCGTTGTTGGCGGCGCCGTCCCCGACAGTATCTTGCGCAGCCGCTCAGCGATGGGTGGGTATCGACTATCCGAGCGGTCCCCAACTCCTGCTGCCATAGAGTAATTTACTGAATATGTGCCGTCACGCATCGTGCGGAGGATGGCGTTCGGTTGGCGCTCGAGATCGACTTGGAATCCAACCAAGTACCGATACTGGTCTTCATCCCCTTCATCATCCGAATCCGTATCATCGCCTTCACGCCACTTGATTGGGATTACGGTAACGAGATTGATGAAAGAATCGCCATTCTTGCGATAATTGATGAACGAGACTTGGCATTCTTGCCTATTATCCAGCGATTTGCGAATGTGGCCGACGGCTTTGTCGTCAGTAAAGCGTCGCGTTTCGCCCTTGCGAACGATGCCGTGTGGTGCTTGGAGAAAGCGCTGAGCGAAGGACAAACGCCGAGCAACGTAAATAGAGTCCTTGACACGAATATTAGTCAGATCTTACGCAGTTACGCCCCATAATCTCCGGAAGTTCATACCCAGTCAGCTCGCTCTGCGGCAATGACAAAGTTATTAGAACGATTCTCAGCCACAATGCAGCCGAACACTGACGAAAGTTGGACTCGCATATACGATCGGTTCTTCAGGAAGGCGTGCATCCGCGACCACGAAACTGCATGTAAAATCAACGGGGCCGATGGTGACCTGAGGATTAGGCCTCGAAGCTACCCTGCTGAGTATTCCCATCATGTCGAACCCGCTTTCAGAGTAAAGGACCGGAGTCCTAGGTATCGAAATTTTCAATCCTCTTCGCCCTCTGTCGTTTGTGCGGCTTGCAGGCACTAACGCGGCCGAGCTATTGGTCGGCGCTTGCTGCTGTTGCTGTTCAATCTTGTCTCGCGTACCCTCCGGTCCGGCAGATGGTACAGGGAGTGGTGCGGCACTTCTGGAGGGAAGTTCCACTTGCTTGGGGGATGTGGACAATGCTGGGTCCATTTGCTGACTGCCTGAGTATGGATCATTGTGGGGAATCTGTTGCTGCAGGACGGGGTCGAAGTGCAGTGACGACAGATTGGAGGGATCATTGGAGGTGCTTGTCATCGTCTGATACGGCATCATCATCGGCCCCGAAAGATACGATTGCATATGCGCAGTAGGGGTCACGGAATGGACATATTGTGAGTAGGAGTCCGCTACACGCTGCTGTAGAACCGAAGAGGTGGACACAGGTTGGGAATCATCCTGGGTTGATTTAAGAAGAGGAAAATCAGTCCATACATAGTCTTGTGGATATGGAGATGCCATGAGAAATGATGACATGGTCTCTGGCCCACGCGGGGGCACATCGAGAAAGGAAGGCACTTGGAATGACGGGTTGTTAAAAGTGTCGGGTGGTATCCCATACGTTGAGTAGGGATCGTTCACATCCATGTACTGCTGCGAGGTGACGGGATAGCCCTGCAGCATTTGATGCTGTTGGCTATCGGGGAATTGCTGCTGTTCATCATCGGTGTAGGGTATTCCGCTGCCGTAGTCCATGACGAGGAAGGAGCTAGAGGCAGTCAAGTACGAATACGAATTTGGAGCGCACACGTGATGATTATAACACTTTCTGGACTTTGCTACAAGGTTTCGAAAAGGACCATTTCACGGCAACATGTGGGCCTCAATGGTGTCATGGAAAGAGATGACGGACAAAGTCACGCATAGTGAGAGTAAAGATGATGTGCCATAAGAAGCAGCTGCGAAGCTGAAACGAAGCTGAAGAATTTCGATCTCTGGCTACAATCGACTCGGAATCGGACATGCGCATACATGCAGGAAGTGTAACTGACGCCCTGCCTACTTCTAGTCTTCGTCATCTGATGCCCATTCCACGTCGTCTAAAACCGCATCCGTCTCTTCTTTCAGCTTGTCCAGGCCAGTCAATCGTTCAAGGTACTTCGTATCATTAAATGCCTCAATGAGCATATCGAACCCTTTCCGCTCGTATTCTTCAATCACCTAGATTGCTGTCGTCAAATATATCTCAATTGGGTTTGAGTCAACTTACAATGTTACTGCATGCAGTACACCGTTCGTATGAAGTGCCCGTAATAAGGTTGTGAGTGAAATGAGCAAGTGATCCACGCAGCTGATGCGGAACGAGACCAAGTACGCTCTCTTCGTTCCCGGAGCCACCAGTACTGGGAGGCGGTGGCGCGGGTGCGCCATTCCTGTGAAGCGCGAACGTCAATCGGAACGGACCCACTCTCGGGATAATATCTTACCCCGCAGGATGCTGGAGCAGCGAAACGAGCAGTTCAACAGAGTTAGAGCTTGCAATGCTCGCCAATCCCGGCCTAGTGACTGTGCACATCTGATCCAGTGTCCGGTCGGTTAATGACTAGTAGAGTGTGGAATCAGCAAGGCAGCCCGACAGTCAGGTCATTTCCGCTCACATCTGTAGGAGCAACGATGTCATTGCAGAAGTAACAGCCCAGTTTAGGACTGTTTCCTCCCAATTCACGGGCTCCATGTCGCATAACGACAAATGAGTCAAAGCCAAGTGCAGCGTTGATAACGATCTAATCACATATTTCATAAGGGTAGGCCACTCCCGCTTCATCACTGACCTTATTCTTGGATTTCCCTACGAGGGTTGGGAGCCAGCGACTCTCCCTCGAATCCATTAGGAGAAATATGACATCGTGTTCATCGACTAGCTTTTCCAGCCGAGCGACGTCAGCCTTACACTGTTCGACCAAAGAGGAGGTGGAGCTTGGAACCGGGTGCCCAGGCATAGGTATAGACAGCATGTGTCCAGTCGCGTCCTGATGCATCAATTAGTGACAGGTTAAGCCGAAAGCTCATCCACATCACTTACGACTCCGGGGAATATCCGTTTGAGGGCAGCCGCAGCAGCCTCGGCTTTGGGTTTTCCTCCGTCCAGGCAATCTGCAAACTCGAAAAGCGGTTGGCGTACGGGATTTGAAAAAGATACCCGACCATAGTCAACAAGTGAAATCTTTCTCACTCCCCACGCCTGCAAGCAACAAACATCAGAGCTTGACCGCACAGCTTTCTTGGGAAAATCTTACCAACAGGGCTCTGGCCACAAAGCACCCGAGAGTTCCGGCGCCGAGAAGCAGACACTTTGTTGACGAGATTTTCTCGAGGTTCAACGACGGAAGGAGCCTCCATCGCATAAGTTTAAGGTTGAGGTCGACAGCTTGCTCCGCGAGGCTAGAGATTATTTGTGAGGCGTTTCATACGTACAGCGTTGAGCCAGGCATACTTTGTGGGCTCCATTATAGGAGAAAGATCAACAAATCTGGGCGCCAGCTTTCCAGATTGGTTCTTCTCCCAACCGACGGCTGTTGGCCTGCTCGAAAGCTCGGGGGATGGCCCTTGGATATGTACGAGGCCGATTCGACTTTTCCAATGCTGCCCCTGTCTTGGTACTTCCAGGTCCCGCCAACACAAAATACTGTATGAAGGCTTGTCGTGGGCCGAACCTAGTGCCTGGGCTACCCATGTCAAATATGCCAATAGATTTCTAAGCGGCCAGCCAGGATTTTGTACTTGAGACGATGGATCCAGAAACCCAATTATCCGCTGCGACGAGCAGTTGACATGAAAAGATGCACCAGTCATCACAAAAATCCCAACATACTTCCGAGGGTGACACTCCTTCAAAGAAGGATGCGAGATTTTTGAGGGATTCAACTTCGTAATTATCAGTCCCCTTCAATTTCTTGGCAAGGAAGAAGGCTGAAATGGACTTCTTGGAGGCCAATCCTGCGGATATCGATTCCAACTGCATATGCAAGCTCAGCAATTTATGCGTCACTTATCTATGATAACTCACACCGGAGGTCCCAAATTCCTCTGATGCCAGTTTCCATCCATCCTCCTCAATATCCCATGGCGGTTTAGAGACAAAAGCAGGAAAGGCGAACCAGTAATAGAATTTGTACTTCTTAAGATCGGCAAAGGTGATGAGCAAGAAACGTGTCAGGAACTCTGATGGGTCAGCATTTGGGTCTTTAAATGCCTCCCATATCTACAGCCAGGGGTATTGTTTTGAGGCAACTTTGCTTGCTTCCATGATAAAACGAACGCACCTCTCCGCACAAATTATTGAAGAGCAACTGCTTGTCAGCAGCTTTGAATTCCTCTATCGTGTTGAAATTCTTGAAATATCCCCTTGAAATGGCGGCTCCACGGCCAGACCGTGCTTGATCTGGAGGATCGAAAGCATCCTCTGCCAGAGACAAATCAGAAGGGAGTGAGACATCCACACCAGTTTCTCGATCTCGAAAAGTCCTTCCGGCTTTATACGACGCGACAATGGGGAGCACGTCAGACGATAGCTTTTGGACTTCAAGCTTAACTTTGGTGAGTGTGTGCCAGAAAGCAGGAGATACTGTTGACGCAAAGGGGGTAAATTGGACGGGCGCCATAGGCCCTTGACGGCAACTCGATCGGTTTAGGTGCCCGTAGGGACTTGGGAGATGGTCAGACAGGGATGAAACCTAAGATCGTGATGAAGACTAGAGTCCTGCCTACTGTCTGACTATTTAGGAGTGCTTGAAGTACGTGGCTGTGCCCGGTAGCGAATGAGCCATAATGTCTTGGTGATTCCCCTTGTGCGCTACGGTGTCACCCACTGGTTTCCCTACCGCTTCTTCTCACCCTGCACCGAAGCCTACCTGGACTAAATCATTTTCCATCACAGAACTCACACCTTCCTTGCCTGCCTGGGACCCCTTCTTGTTCCTCACGGGTCCTGGGACAACTGGCGCCTCCACTTCCTCTTCAAAGACCTGTCTGATTTGTAAGAAATGACTCGTTCTCGTGCGCGATTGCAGCGAGCACGGTGGAGCAGATGGTGGAAATTGGTCTTGAGTGTTTCGAGGTTGAAGAAGCCACATTGGCATGAGAATCCCGGGTCGCGTATGACAGAGAGCGTGCCGAAGTGGTGCAAAGATGTGGATCCGACACTGGTGCAAACTGTTGTGGATCGTAGGGGTGGCGAGGGCCATACTCAAGTCTGACGCTATTGCCAGTATATATCAAGAAGGGGGATCTCCTTGCAAGCTCGTAATTGATGTACTTTACATGACTATATCCTTGCACAGTTGGCATGACAGAATCGTTGGCAACTGTAGGATTCCTCTCCTCAACCGTCTCCCGAAATTGAACGCGATGACCTGCGCTTCGCACGTCGCTCAATTCCAATCCAGGTTTACGACTCAACGGCGCCATTTACCGCCCTCCAACGTAGTGGAAGTTAGTGCGAGGATGCCCTTGTCTTTCTCGCTCACTTAAGCAGCGTGTCACAAGATAGTTAATATCGGACGCTGCCTTGCGTGACTCAAACAGCTTGACGAAGAGGGCGGGGCCATGGACGACGATGGTCGTTCGGACGGAATCTTCATTATTTTAGTTGCAGGAGGGGGGTGACGCGTCGTCCTCACGAGTCACGTATTTTGCAGCCCTCGGGAGGTCTGTGGTGAAAGAGGGGGCTGCGTGTCTCAGTACACTCTTTTTTTTGTGAATCGAGTTTGAGCCAAGTTTGAGCGTGCACATACAGACTTCCGATCGGATACACGTGACAACTGCCTCTGTACTTTGCCGCCTTCACCAAGTTATCATGGACCGTTTCTCGCCTTCAAGCTCATCTGACGATGAAGCCATGACGGACTCCTACGATCAAATAGAATCTGGCCTCCAGCAACAATGGTCCAGCCAAGTTACCGCCCAGACAGCTCCGGGATCGTCCAACAAACGCCGTGCTGGCGGTGCGCCAGCTCACGTAACACCCTCTGTTAAGAGCAAAAAGGGGGAGGAGAGGGGCCGGATTGTCGGTAGTCGGCCGGACACCAAGAAAGATGAATTTGTGGACACTGAGTTAGTCTTATATCTTCGAAAAGGTAAACGTAATCCGACTCATGTTTGCACTTGCGCTCCGCTCCTAATTAAGCCACTCCACTAACATCGCTCGATGTTCAACCAGCCATAGAAGATCCATTCGATGAGACGCTAGTTCATCTTTCAAGCTGATCCCCAGGATTTTCTGTATGGCCATTCTCCCCATCAAATCCTGAAACTCTGAACGAATTATTGCTCCATGATGATGAAGAGAACTCAGTACTTCTACGCGCCAATGAACATTGGATACTATGTTGAAAGCTATATATCAATATGTACAAATGCGAAAATGCTGTGAATGACGTTCAATTTAAGTTCGACTTGTTTCGATGAAGGTGACTGATGTAACTAAACAAGCCGGAATGATAAAGGCTTACGATGCAATGCCAAAACTGAGGCAAACCTTGAGAGTCCCAAAATAAAAATATTTCCAAGTCCATCCTTATCCTCGTCGTCTTCGAGTATTGCTGCTAGAGGCCGTTTCACTTTTTGACACCAGTAAACTCGAAGAGTGAGCTGGGACATTAAGGTCGCAATCTTCATCCATTTCCCCGACGACACCGCCGAGGCTCTCGAAAGCTTCATATTCTGCTACTTCTTGACCAATGTCTTCGTGCCACTCATCCCATGCATCCAGCGTAGTGGTCACGGTGGTTTCACCTGTGGACCGATCAAGCTGGTGAGCCTCAAGATTGTCTGTTTCCTCGAAAGTGAGACTATTGGGGCCACGACCGCCTTTTCTGGGGCTCTTGGCTACCTTGCCGATCTCCCGTCTTAACCGGCCTAGACCTTCACCAACCCCATCAGAGATCCCGGCTGCTGCATGTCGAAGAGGCAATGCAGCATCCCGCCAGCTAGTTGGGCCGGAATGCAATCCATTCGGATAACTGGGCAAAACGGGTGGACGGGATAGAGCTGGGTCCAATCGCGCATGTATAGCAGACGCAAGCGGCTCGTGTAAGGCTGACCCGGATTTCGGTGGCCCCTGATTCAGGAGTTCGGAATGGCCAGAGCGGTGCTTCTTGTCCCCGGAAGGAAATTGACTTATTTCCACTTCCTTGCGAACCTCAATTTTCGAACAAGAGAGGTCGAACTGATTTCTCTGCAGAGGCACATGCCACTCATCTTCCAGTGCAAAGAATGAGAACTGATGCGATAAATAAATAGATCCTGGTAACATGGCTCGAGATGTGGTTCCAGTAGAGAGTTCTGCCTGGGCGAGCCAGCTAGCATGAAAGGGGATGTCAGAGACCAACGATGGAGAGGGAATGACACATACTCTTGGTTATGGGAAATTATTGCGGCCGCATGCGAATGCTGAAACTCCCCTTTAACGTCCTCCCACTCCTTGTCTTTGTGAACATTCCAACTCGCCATTGGCTTTTGCTGGGCACGGATACCCGTCGCTTGTTGGCCGCGGACAGCTTGCATCATCTGTGTCAGTCCAGATGTCGGCAGCGAAACGCTTGTCCTGGGAGATGCGCTGAGTACACCGACCCCATTGGAAATTTGCTCTGCCTCTGGTTCTCTTTGGGGACGTTGAATGTCCACTCGATTGAGTTCCAAGCGCCCAGAAACAGTATTGACGATCAGAACATCTTGGAAACCAGAAATGGTTGGGGGTTGCTTCGACTTAGCTCCCTTCAGGCGTGCAAATGAATCCCGGGGATTGAAGGATGATGAACGTGCTGCTACGGAGGGCGGAGGGAAAACGAAAGAAAATAACTGTCCCTTCACGAGCAATCGGGGAGGAGCCTGTTGGGCGCGGCTAGTTTGGACGCGAACACGAGCCATCGGTTTCAGAGGCGCAGAGAGAAGCGGCTACATTCAATATTAGCACAACTAGGAGCTAGCTGTCAGATCAGAACACCTACAAATTCTGTAATATTGATTACCCTGCCCTGCACGTGGGACTCCTCGTCTGTAGGACCGCCATAAGGATTCGTACCAAAGATATCTATGGCCAGGGATTGTTAATAGAGGCGACAGCATTGCACACAAAAACATCACGCACGTAAGGTCCCTGTGGCCGTCCCCACTCCCAGCCATCGACCATCGTGCGCCCAGACCAAGCTCTCCACTTTGGCACGTGTCATTCCACGGATGAGATCGTAAAGATGCCAAACATTTGGATGGAGGGATGGGTCGTTTGGCGACATTGTCTTCTTAGAATGATAGTAAGGACTGATAATAGGTTTGCTAGCACTCGAGGAAGAACTTCGTCTCCTCGATCGTGGTACCGAAGCCCCAGTAGAAGAACAAATTTGGTAAGGGTCATTCGGAGATGTGGACAGAGCGACAGGGGCAATTTTAGGAGTTGGAAATGGATGTACATCGCGATGCCGAATGACTCCAGTGCCACGTAAATGGAAGATTTTGATGATTACTCCATCGTTATCCGCCGCCGCCAACAAGTCGCCCGATGGAGAAATGGAGAGACACGCAACAGGCGAAGATAGAGCCGATGGAGTGGATGCTAGTGTCATTGGGAAGTGCGCGTGCTTCAACGGCTCAGAAGCGCCTCGCAGCAATGGCTGCAAGTCGAACACTGCGATCCAAGTGACATTTACGCCTCCCTCTGATGAGTCATTCGTGCTGGTATTACGCAAATGAGTCGCATTAGCTTTCATTAGAGGACCCGAGGCCCCGTTATTCCAGCGTTCATTGGGTAGTTCCGCTGCGGATTCGACCGGCGCACTTCGAGAAAAAGTCCATCGAGAAGACCCTTGATCTGCTGTTGACTGACTTGAACTACTCATGAAACTCCCCCAAGCCGAAGTAGCCGCTGCTGCCATACCCTTCAACACCCCGCGGGCGGTGGTAGCGACTTCCATCTTGACGGAACCAGCAAGCATTGCGCCATCTCTGAGGGTTGGGATGCTTCCGGGCAACGAGCCAGCCGATCGAGGCTGAGATGATGGTGAAACCAGTGGCACAGCGAGTAGCCGCCGCGACAAAGCGAACGGTGGGGGCGTCGTTGATGGGGAAAGGAGGAATCTGTACAGCACGGTAAAATCATAAGCAGATAAGATATGGACGGCCGCCTCTTGATTCGAAGCCTAAGAAGCACAAGTTAATTTGGCATATCCGAAATGAGGCCGGCGAAGCGCACCAAAGTACCGATAGCAACAAAGGATTCTCCTGTCTGCAGGTCGCACTCACCGATATCACCAGAATTCGAAAGCGAGGTGACCCGCTTCACTATGTTATGGGTGGCAAGAGAGTACAAGACCAGCTCCGCATTCTCCAAAAGAAGGGCCATCAGAGGTCGCGAACGGATAAACAAATCCGCGGTTACATCGTGGGGGTATGGAGGAGGTTTAGACAGTATATGGGCTGTCCGCGGAAATGAGCGAGTAAACATCCCTGTTAAATGAAGAACTTCGTGGACGAGATCGAGATCCGTGACATCCCACATTTGAACACTTCCACCATAGTAACCGACAATCAGTAATCGACGGGAATCTAGAGACTCCCATCTTGCCCATACTAGTTCATTTGTTTGTGGCTCGTCGCGATCTCCCGATGGTAGCGCCGCGGGGGGTTCATCTGAGGTCGTGGATGGCGCCGAGGATTCAGATATGGATGGCGGGTGTGAAGTTCCGCGTCGTATTCTTTGGGACACTACTTCTAGAGCATGAAGACTCCTTTGGCCGGTCGTCGCTGCTGGCCTGCAAGGAAAGATAAAGGAATTGCAATCAACGGTCGGCCTCATTGAGTGCACATGATGCCAGGAAGACGACTGTGGGAATCGCACAAAACAAGAGACTTACTTTGCAAGTACAGGACTACTTGTGTGTCCTAATGGTTCAACGGGCTTGCGGGCTCCATTGCTTACGTCGTCAGAGTCTGATGGGGAAGAAGGAGGTTCTGGCTCAGAGGCGGAGGGAATTGAATGTACATAGACACCGGGCAGTTGTCGACCAGCGAACGGCAACGGCGCACTGTCCCCAGAAGCAGGTTGCTTATAAGTTACAATTGAGCCCAGAGCATCTGCAGCGCTCATATGACGCGGCACGGTGAGCTCCTGAGCTGTCGCATGGACAGGGTTGAGGTCGGACTCCAGCGAGATGTCCGGCAAGCCATAAACGGGATAGATTTGCGGTCCCTCCGCAATCTTGCCCTCTGGAACACGCTCAGACCACGAAGAAGTCCGTTCCGGAGTGGCTGTAGTTGGGGATGGTAGTGCAGCAAGTGCTGGGCTCTTGTAAGCAGCGGAATCAGTTCGCCGTCGAGACATGATCTGATACGAGCGTTCTGGGCCATCCTCGCTGTCGCTTATTGATATAACGGCTCTATCGATTATACCAGTAGCCACTCTTGGCTTTGGAATGCCTTCTACCGCAAGAGACCTAAATCGGTGTAACAATGCCGCAGCAGAGGTGACTACCGGATCGGTGAATGATGCTATTTCAGAGTAAACTCACGCGACAAGCAGACGCTCAGCTTCCTCTGATAGCTCGTTTTGCCGAATGGGAGCTGTGGAGCGTTCACAAGACGTGTTGCTAGAGGGACTTGAGGAGATTGGCGCTGCCATAGATCGAGATTGCACAACTCTCTGGCGCTTCTTCTTATCATGGGAGGGCTGTGGCATAGAGGAAATGAGCGAATCGAAGGAAAACAGGCGATAGATAGATTATGAGGGCAGGCGTGGACCCTAAGTGGTGATGATATATAGGGGGTAAACTGGTATTGCGAGATGATGAGCCCTCCAGGGGTGACAACGACGCAGGCAGAGAGTGGACAGAAACTTGGTGCGCTGAAGATGAATTGTCTATGGTGCTATGATTGAGGCTGAGGGAAGGCTGAGGCACTGGTAGGATGAGTCGTGCGAGATGACTTGTGTGGAATACAAATAACAACAGTCATTTCGGTGACGGCGATTCAACTGCCTCAGTCACAACATGCACAGGCGAAATATTGCCCCAAAAAAAAAAACAAAACAAAACACCACAGGTCAAAGAGAGTCTTCCCACTTCTCCCGCTTTCAAAGTCTGCGCATGCAATCCTAACTCTTTCATCTGCCAGGCAAACTACCCGATCTATTAGCCCCGTGCCATCCCCAACATTCCCAAACACATCCACTCGGCGTTGAAGAACATTCACGGCACGAGGAAAAATCGTTCTAACAGGGGGACGACCGAAAGGTTTTTCGAATACAACTCATCTCCATTCAATGGAAATATTGTTGGGTTTGTATGCACCCTTTGAGAGAGTTATGCCACTGAAATAGGTGTGCTGTCTGTCTGAACTACCAATACGCCGAAGGGGCGGATGACTCGAGAGTCGTGAGGCATCATTGGCGAGGCGTTTGTTATTTCCGACCACCTAAAGGCTAGTATAGTCCAGAGAGCATTTTAGATCACCAATGCCACACCTACCTTAAGCACAGCGTGACAGCCATGCGGGAAACCTCTGGCTTTGAGCGCTCCTTTAGCTTCAGAACTGAGACCCGATCGATGACATCCAAATCCCACCTGGAGAGCATATTGGTTACCTTCTGTCGACGAATAGGACTGGAATCTGCAGCGATGATGACCCATGATGTCGAGAGTTGAACGAGTGCGTCTAGAAGGCTGCACAAATCGAGTTTAGGTGGGACCAGGGGGAATGATGGCAGGTCCTGAATCATTGGTGTGCACTCACGACGCCTACGGGCCCTAATTCGATGGCAGCGATGGCTAAAGTTTGCTCTGGGTCAAGCGGTCTTTTGGATACATCCAATCCAGGGGGCTGGACCGCGAAATACCCAATAGGAAGGTTATCGCTCAAAAGCAGGAGGGGGGCGTCTGGAATTATATGCATAAGAGCCCCCCCAGCTCTAGGGACACGAAAATACTGTGCTTGCGCTCCTGGCTGCAAGGGTGAGCCGAAGAGCTAGAGCCTAGACTCCAAGCATCTCGACGTAAATCTAGACCGGCAGGGTCTACAAGAAAAGCAAACATGCGGCCCATACGATACAACCGAATACTGAGCACAGGAGACCGTAGAGGGTGAGACAACATGATCCCCGATCTTCAGATACAGATCATGATAGAGTCCGGCTCGTCTGAATAAGAGCCTCATGACCCATATGCATGTGAGACTGGTCTCCCTCAACAGTTTTAGGGACCTACGGTGCACGGAAAGGCTCCAGGCCCCTGTAGGCATGGAGATCAGAGCCACAGAGACTTCGCAGCTTTAAGAGTACCAGGCAGTGTAAGGCTCACCATGATTTCTTACAATCCCATTGCATTCTAAATGATTCATGGTCGGTATTCCAGCTTCAGAGACTCGATGCAGGACCTTACTAGGGAATAGGCGCAAGCTCGACATGTACATCTCTCTGAGAGGGATGGAGAAGTACAGCAGGCATGGTACCGTCGAGTAACCATGATCCTTTGGCAGCAATCTCACTCACTCACTCACTCGTCTCTTGGTGGACTAAGGGCTTGTGCATCGTTCATCTTATCGGAACACTATCAGTTGCACTGTAGCAACAAATCGCCCGGGCGACAATATATCACAACATGAGGTCCCCTGTGATCGCGTCCAAAGATCGGGAGACGGGTCCGTAGCCTACCACTACGGCAACATTATTCTCAAGGGAAAGGGAGGCACGGGGACAAAGGCTGAGGTCTACGATGCAGAAATGGAGGGTTTCGCGCAAGGCTCAGAACACCTCGTCTCTTGGCTCAATAACAATTTCCCAAAGGAGAGCGACCTAACTTTATCAATCTTCTCAGATAACACCGGTGCGCTCCAGCGCATTCTGGCAACCTCCCTTGGGCTTGACAACCAGCAATCCCTTCGCGAAAGCGAAGTTATTCTTAAGCCACTCGACGAACGTACCCTCTGCCGAATTGAAATCAAATGGGTACATACGAAAACCTCAAAGGGAATGGCCTTGCCGACTCACTGGCGAAAGAAGGTACACTTGTGCCCTCCAACCACTCTCATCGGCAGCGTTCATGCGAAACACGAACGAACGTCATCTCAAAACCGAGTGGTGGAACACTGACCCCGTCCAATTCAGACAATCGGAATACTATGTACTTATGCAATTGCATCGAACCACAAATTCGCCCCTCCGACCACTTTAGGGCCCTCAGCCGCAAAACGATATTCAGCCACCTGGTTCAACTACGCACCGGACACGCCTTTCTAGGCCAATACTACCAACGGTTCCTACCTAGCGAAGACCCCCGAGTTGTAGCTGCAGCACTCCCATTGAGACACGAGAGCACATCCTCATGGATTGCCCTCTTTACTGAGACGAGGATGGGATTCTGAGCCTTGAGGACCCCCTGGGGGAGGTAGAAGGGATCAAGCGGAAGCGGGTGGCAGGATCCATAAATGAGAGTGGAGCATACGAAAAGAAAAACACACCTTGGGAGACAACGGAGAGTCATCCCGTCCGCTTTGCGAAGCTGAACCCCCATTTCCGACGCTGGCAATGCAATATCCGAACATCTGTAAGTGGCGACTCACCAGGGGAATATGGTCGGGGTTTCATCCGAACGAAGGAGGACGAGTGCATCCGGATCGGACTTATTTTCTTATTTCTACTTTATTTGCGTGTATTTTTCTCGACACCCCTGCTCCCGCGAGCCCTGCAGTTTGCAGGCTGAATATCCAGGAATAAATAAATAAATAAATAAACAACATGAGGTACTTATGCCAATGCGCTGCGAGCTGGCTCTGACATCTCACGCAGCGATCTTGTTGGAAGCAATGACGGAACCTCCCATCTCACAAGTACTGTGCAACCAATGGCCGGGCCTGCTATCAGGAGTGGGGAAGAATCCCCTCTTGCCGCTTCTGTGATGCGTGTCTTGAACCTCAAAGAACAGCGACCCAGCATAGAGCAATTTTTCCGATGGGCCGCCTTCATCAGACGCGACACACCCAGTGGACATCTTCCCCAATCGCCAATCAAGGACATTGGGTGTGTTCGTAGTGTACATTTGTTTCGCGAAAGGAAGATGCCATTACATCACGAGTTCGCTCTGGTGTCCTTTGTGAACCGTCTTGGACAATACAGCTGGGTGCGGCTGGAACGTGCTGCGCGAATTAAACACCGTTGGCTTCAAGCGGATAGCTTCGGGCCCATACTCGCAGGAGCAGCGCTGCGGGAGACAGTTACTTTCGGAGTCTGGGAAGAACAGCTTCTTTCTATCGACTCTCCAGCGGACGAAGTGGCGGCCGTACGGATGAACGAAACCCTACCCTCTGAACCTTTACACGAGTTGTTCATCGATGATTTCGTTGAACATCTTCAGACTATTTCGAAGGCGAAGCCTGAGTATCAATTGTTCTCAGCTAATTGTCGCTGGTTTGCCAGGCGCATCGTCTTGAGTGTTGCACAACGACTTCAAAGTTTTGGTAGCCCAGCCAAGTACGGATTCATGTGGAAAAGCGGTCCAGCTACATATAATCGCCTTTTCGATAAGATTCAGCGCGACCCGTTTGGGGGAAAGCAGCTCGAGAAGAGTGAAGGACAAATCATCAAGGCACAAAGCCTCGTCCGCCTAGCTGCCAATCAGCGAGATGACTCAAGATATTCAGAGGCCCTTGCTTCTTGTGACGAGGGACTTTGGGTTTTACACGCCATGTCAACGGATTCAATCTCTCGACAAACTACCCTCATACGTGCATTTTCTGAGAGGTACCGGATTAAACGAGACATGGGTTCACATGACGATGCGCTCTTCGCTATTCGCCAAGCTTGCGCCATTATCAGAGTAGTCTGCAAGGACGAACACCACGCCGGTGATCTTGCAGTGCTATTGAGAAATGCCTTGTTTAACCTTTCTCAAGCCACACGACAGTCAGAGGAATCACAAGCGAAGATCCAAGGCGCATTGGAAGCGTACGAAATATGGGAGGAGCTGTACCACTTTAATCCATCACTTCATCGCGAATCATTTGTCTCCGCGCTCTTTACTATTTCAGAAGCATACGAAGGGGCGGGAAATGAAGCAGAAGCAATCCGTTACAGTCACCAGGCTGTTCGAATTCGGCGGAAGGCATGCTTGGACAGTGGAAGGGTGGACTTCCTTCCCCTGAATGTAGCACTAAACGAACACGCCGAGATTTTGAATCGTTTAGGCCGAACGGCAGCAGCATACGAATGTATGAAAGAACGAGTACTGCTTCAACGCACAACGTTGCGTGCCTTTGTCCCACTCCCTATCCCAACAGGAGCACCATCAACATACAATACCAGTCGTCGAAAAGGCATCCTCAGTGGGCTCGGCGATGCGCTAATTGACCAAGGAAAATTTGCGCTAGGTCTCTCCTTGTGGGAGGAAGCGCACCTGGCGTCGAAGGAGTCCCTGACGATTTTCGATGATCTGCGTGCTTCTCAGCCTGAAGTCTTGGGATCAAGTCCGCCCTTGTACGCACAATCACTAAACGATGCACTGACGTCAAACGCATGGGCTCTTTTTGGCCGTGCAACTGGGGGTGTCGAGATTGGATCCCCTACGGAGCTGCTTCATGAGGGGATCAAAGTTGCCTTAAGAGCAATGAGTCTTGGTCGTGAGAACTACAAACAACGGCCCACCCCATTCCGATTTTATGGCAGGGTCACCGTGCTAGGAATACTCGCCGGCTGCATAGCATCCATGGACGTCGAGTGTATGGTGACCGAAGTTGTAAGGCTCACGGAGCGCTCAGTTGGAGAGGCGATGGTAGAGTGGCGCGAGCTTCGAGCGTTAGAATCGAACATTGACGAAGATGCGCATCCGCAATATCCTCACTCTCCATGGACGCTTTCCAGGGCCGCAAGAGATATATTGTCTTATGAAACAGGATGCAAGAAGAGGAATGGCTCGTTGCAATGCTCAGCCTCGATCCCTATACCAAAAGCTAATATTCAATCACATTAATTCGGAGGGAGATGATGTCTTCAACTTCGTCGGGCAGAAATCCCTACCTCCTCTTTGGTCTCAACCCGGCTTCATGCAGTCCTCATCAGAAATTCCCACCACAGTTTAAAGAGGGATGTTGGAATACAAGTCATGATGTTGCTTCGGCAACATGTGTATGTGTGATTCATTTTAAACTCCGTATCCGTGCCTGTTGGCATATGACGGAGTGTACAATGGGTTATACTGCACAGAATATGAACAATGTCTTGCGATTGTACCTCCCATCTTGCCAGCTCTCCGACCGCCACCTGCCGGTGTCTCATCCATTTGCCCTTCCTGCAGTTGCCGGTATCCACAAGACCGCTCCATCCCATAAGGTGGCTTGCGCATGAACGTGTTTGAGGACCGAAGTCCCGGAGCAAGGGGGTTAGTCAGGCAGCTAACCCACTAGGTGCGCCACTGTCGTAGCAGTTAGTGTCTGTGAGCGACGGTAGCAATGGTTCGTGGAGGCTAGAGTCGCTAAATCCCCATCCGGATGCCGCGTGTCTAGACACCCCCTAGCGATACAGTGCTCCACATTTGTATGTCGAGAAAGAAAGGAAACATGAACGAACCACACATGTCCATAAAGAATGGAGGAACGCAGAAAAAGTGACTGCCACGTGTGAGCACTGTCCCTGATTCTTACTCTAGAATGAGTTCACGGAATCGGGTCAAAATTTCTTGTTATCAGCGGTGTGAGCACGATATCACCGTTCGTTACCACTGATGGCACTGCAAGACAGGGAAACTTGAGGGCATGAAAATTTAGAGCTTTGGAAATCTTGTGTGGCCCGGGCGCTGCCACCCGACGTCGGGTTCATCAACAATTCTCAACCAGAAAAGGGCAACGACACGACGTGTCGAAGAAATCAATCAGATATTCTAAGGCCTGCATAATAAGAATTAATTAATTCGCACAAAGGCAATGCACTGATTAAAAGGTTCTTAGTGAGAGGAGTATGTAATGAGACTTAGCACATTATAAAGTTAAAATATGGAACTAAAATAAATAAATAAAATCAACCGTGCTGGAAAGAAAAATGCATAGAAATCAAGGTCTAGCTTAAAATCTATGTAAGCAATTGCTTGCTGCGTTGCTAAAGATGGCGGAAAGATACACTAAACTAATGGGTCAATCCTGATATCCAAACTGAGTAGGAAGGGCCAAGGATTTGCGTTGACCACCAGATACACAAGATGAAGACTCGTTCACCCCAGCGATCGATATAGTGGAACGTTTGCGCGTTGCCGAGTTCTGGATTATTACAGCAACCGTCAAAAAAATCTGCGCGTCAGATTTGGATGCATGACCCCAGTTGGATCTCGTGCTTGTCCAAAAATGGTCGGAAATCAGGGTCAATTTCAGTGTCAATACATTCGGCATTTAGCGCTCGTGGTGCCGGGGTCTTCAGGTTCGCAAGAGCCTCTTCCGTACTCATGTGAGGCATGGACAATAATGATATAGCATGAATACTAAGAGCGTCGTCGGCCACGGGTCTCAGCAAAGGTGGTCAGGGGATACCTGATAAGGCAATACTCAACTCGCGATCAATCAGAGGTAAGCTAGAAACTATCTTGTCAACGCACGTCTGTGCGTATTTATACATACCAGAAAGGTATTACAATGTGAATATACGTAAAATAGGTAACTGCGCAAGCGCGCATATGCAAGCATGAATATCCTGGAATTACCTGGGGATTTCCCACAACAATCCAGAATATTCCGGCAGGTTCTGGTCACTTGCGGATTCCAACAGGATTACAGAGATCCTCATGGATGGTGCATGCAGACTAACGGAGGGCTATAATAATGTACTCAGTCTCCGTAGCGAGAACTGATATTATTAGCATTCTAACCTATAATACTGTACTCCCACGACCAACAACCGGTTCCCACGGCCTCCGGCAATTGCCGGAGGCACCCAATCAATTCAGTTGTGTTGATTTTTAATTCAATCCAAGACCTTCGTGTGACGCGTGACCGGTTGTTGGTCGTGTTAGTACAGTAATGTACTGGTTGGAATGAGTTACTAAGTTACTAGAGTGCTTGCGTTGCTTCGCAAGAACCCGATGTGAAGTCATGCCTGAAAGGTGGGAAGAAATGAAGGTCTGAGCTGCGTGTTGGTGAGTATGAATCGATTCTGCGGACCAAACATTGAAGACCTCGGCGCTAACACGATCCCATTGTTCCCGGTAACAAGTACATTTGAACTGTTCACAAGGAAGCTAGGGTGAAGTTCAACCTCGACAAGCAAGGGCAAACATTCAACACTTATGAGATGGTAACGTGAAAGCAACGTGATGAGGAGAGAAGTAACCGATATAACCGATAAGTGTGCGAGAAAATATTCACACGTTTTCAGCGTCAGAAGTTACGTAATTGTGGGCTGGGGAAGTGACTCTGCTGTGCAGGTAATGAGGAATGTCAAAGAGGAAACTGACCTCAGTCTCCGTAGCGAGAACTGAGGAAAAAAGAAAACAATCCCAAATAACGAGAAACTATACATTCGCGATCACGAGGACCGTGTGTCACATGCGGGTCATGTGCGCTTGCTGGTGAGTCACGGGTTGTTGCCTCACAACACAGACAGCTGGGTTACCGCTGAAATATCGTGCGCGCCCATCGAGTTAGGCATCGTGATGATTAGATCCTTGGCTGCGGGTTTGAGGTGTTTGCCCACTACATGCATTATAACAATGGAGCGGTTGAGTACTTAATATCCTTTTTTGGTGGTGCCATTGGGACACGGTGATTTTTTCCCTAAATCGCAAATCACATGTTTTGCCTGATATATCCATCAAGATTTGACGCGCAGATTTTTTTGACGGTTGCTGTAATTGACAATCACGTCATCGAAGTAGTCACACGTGACTGCAGCCCTCCACCTGAGTCAGCGAGGTGGTATATAAGGCTCAGACATCCAGGTAACTCTACTTCCGGTCGCTCACCAAAAGGCCTCTCCGTGTATAATATAACCTCTCAAAGTGAGTTTTGACTTGAAGACTTTCCCTCTCTGGGTGTGTCAACCAACTGTACAGTTCTGATGTGCATCTTCGGCATTTTCCTTCCTCTTCACTCAACCCTTCTCAGCACCATCTAGACTTTTTTAGATATGGGACGCCGACCAGCCAGCTGCTACCGTTATTGCAAGAACAAGCCATACCCCAAGTCCCGCTACAATCGAGGTGTCCCTGACTCCAAGGTGAGTCGACTTGAGAATTGCACCATTTGCTCGTGGCTGACCAATGCTCCAACAGATCCGCTCCTTCGACTTGGGTCGCAAGCGTGCACCTGTTGATGACTTCCCATTCTGTGTTCACTTGGTTTCATTTGAGTACGAGCAACTCTCGTCTGAAGCTCTTGAGTCCGCCCGAATCTGTGCCAACAAGTACTGCGTGAAATCGGCTGGAAAGGATTCTTTCCATCTTCGGGTCCGCGTCCACCCCTTCCACGTCCTCCGCATCAACAAGATGTTGTCTTGTGCAGGTGCTGATCGGTGAGTGGACGACATACCAGGCTGCGCTTTATTCACCGCATTGACATGCGTCTACTCAGTCTGCAAACCGGCATGCGCGGCGCCTGGGGCAAGCCTTATGGCACTGTTGCACGCGTCAACATTGGTCAGGTTCTGATCTCGATCCGTACGAAGGAGTCCAACGCTGCTGTTGTAGTTGAGGCACTGCGTCGTGCTCGTTACAAGTTCCCTGGTCGGCAGAAGATCATCATTTCAAAGAAGTGGGGCTTCACAAAGGTCGACAAGACTGAATATCCCAGGTTGAAGGCCGAGAAGCGTATTGTGCCGTAAGTTTTCTGGTGGCCGTCTGTTCTCGTCTCAAGTATCTAACCATCCTCGTTGGCAGGGCTGGTGCCCAAGTTAAGTATATCACTCAACGTGGCAATCTCGAGAACAACCTCAAGGCTCAACTCCGTGCCTGAGTATTCATTTATCCTTGATGTATTACCATCGTGCTTTAATCATCATGATTGATGCCGAGCTTGCGTCTGTCCAGTGAGAATCCTCGTTTGATTTTATTTCTTATCATCTGCCAATTGCACTGGGTGCACCCTCTATATCCAGTACCTCATCTTTGTTGGTAGATGTAGGGTTACGGGAAAGGAGGGACAGAATAATGTTGCTGCGTTTGTCTCTTCTCTGCGTATTGTTCTTAGTCGTCAATGCGTGGGTATTAATGCTTGCGAGCCTTGTCATGCTCACGAGTTAGAGCTATGCTGTACAGTTGTGTGGCAATATATACGTGTTACTTGCCCTCCAAAATTTGCGTGGTTCGTGTAGCTATGTTTGCCCCGGGACGCGCATCGTGTCATGCACTGCTCAAGCACCATGGCTCGCGCCATGAAGGATACTGTGCCACGCTTACTGTCCTACAACATGTCTGTGTGCTCATTGCTGAAAATGTTATGTAATTGGATACATGCGGGCCTGCGGACACCGACGATCAGGTTTGCACGTCACATGCAAATCCGACCAAACGAATGAGCCGTAAACGGCCTCGCACCATGCATGGCAGATCACCTTTTGAAACCCTATGCTGATGAGGGGGCGCGGTGATGCCAAAGGCGCTCCGGTGCGGCGGAGGTAAATACTTGGGATTACTATCCTACAAATTGGGGCGCTGTGATGTTGATTTGCCAAGGGATGCCCAGCTGGGTGGCACAGCCCTGAGCATTTAAGCTCTCTCCCGCCCCATGGAATAAGACACGCCAACGCTGCCCCTCACAGAAGACTTGATTATCCCGACAAACACCCACCATGGCCCAGACGCACGAGAGCTGAGGTTTACCATCTTGGTATCATGCGGAAGGTAGCCTCGTCCTTAGGTATCGAATATTCTGCCTTCCTGTCCGCATCACCCAGATTTACTGTTTGATCATTTCCTGGCAAGTAAGGAGGAATCTTGCACCTCATACTCACATAGTCAGCTCGAGAACATCCCCACGCACGGAAGGGGTGGACAGGTCCTTCCCACCCCGGGAGAGTCTTTCCTACACACAATTCCCGTCAGGCCAACTGCAAGTACCCCCGGTTTGGGCGAACTCCCAGCCAATTATGGTGTCCTCTTATTTTAACCTGAGCGGCCTTTGCTATTGGTCAGTGCATTGGTAGTCAAAAACTTCGAACGGGCCCATATCATGGCGGTAGGAGTTTCGGTAACTTCCTGAAACGATAAATATGAGAATACGAACGTCTTAGAGCGAAGCAAGGGCACGAAGAAAGGTATGGATTACCACGGATGGTTTCATCAAATCTACAGGATGTACAAAAAATGAGTATGTAAGATGCGAATGAATCGTTCATCATGCGATAAAGGAGAACAAGGGAACGCTTGCCGCCCTGATAACATCATCCTGCGTGTTGCTGCCAGTCTGGAAAGTCGATCCATGTTGCTGCGAATCTTTGGGCACCAAAACCCTGGGCCGAGCGAAGCACAATCAACTTCATGTCTGCAACCCAAGCGAGTCACGCACCAAAGGAATAATTTAAGGGTTTGAGTCGTCGGCATACTTATGCTTCCCGATCTTCTGATATTCTGTCATCCCTTTGCCACTCCCGGTGACCCCCACTGAAACAAACAACGTTTCTAGAGGAGGAAAAACGGAGGAACAGGACACTTACCACGGCCATGCGGATTATCTGGAGTCTTGAATATGCTAGTTCCGGACAACCCAGCGATGTGTGCCCCCTTTTTCTCAGCCTTCTTGGCGAATTTCATCCACGATGCAGCTTTATCGCTCTGCTCTTTCGCCTTGACGGCACGAGCCTCTGCTTTCTTCTCATTTCGCTTCTTTCTCCTCTCCCTCTCCGCTTCATCCTCGGCTTTTCGCTTTCCTAACGCAGAGGTTTGGGCATAATTCGGCGGTAGAGGCTTGATAGAGGATGCTTGGACCAGCTCTGTCGAATTATAGCCTTTAAAAGCGACGCTGTAAACACGTTTTTCCTCCGAGCCGCCAACGGACGTTATGCGAGCAGGGTACCATTGGTTATCGCCTGAATATTTCGCAAGGACATCATCTCCGGACTGGAAGGTAGGTGAAACAGTGGAGGCTACTTTGCTAGAAGACGCTTTAACGGATGTATTCGCCTTATTTTTCTCTGCTAGAGCAATGGATTGCTCAGTGAGAGAGATGAGTTCTTGGAGTTCAGTGCGGAGGGAAATCAGATCTTGGCTGTCAGGCTCAGAAACGAGGGCCAACTCGACTTGTGATAACTGTACTTGATACGTTTCGAGTTCTTTGGGGTCCATAGACATCTTTCAAACGCTGAAATGGGCGAAGTACAGTGACAAGAGGTCGGACGATCACTGCGCACGTGCCCTTCACCTCTATTAAATATCGTGTCAGATCGCAAAAAAACCATCTATTGATAATCTATTCAAGGGTCTCGTTGCTCTGCTATTGGACATATTGTACTAATAAATATCTTGATTAGAGGTGGGCGCGACGTGAATGGGCGGACATCATCTCGCGAGGTACTTGGAGAAACCCTAGAAGGGTGTGAGCCCTCATCTCATTCTTCTAGACTTAAGGCTGGATCATACCTCATAGCAAGAGATCATGATGCCACATGCTGGAGCGATTTTGGCGAGCCTTGGGGTCAATCCCGCGAAAAGGGCTTGGTAACCTTCACTGCGCACCACGTTAGCTGCGACTGAGAGGGTACTCGATGAGTTCCCAGAAGTTGCAACCATTGCCTGTCTTCGCGTCTTCAGCACATCGAATGGTGATGTCACAATGGCCGCAAAAGTCCCACTGGTGGCGCCACTGACGAAAGCGACCAGAGGACCTTCATACCCGTGGCGGCTAAATGCCGCCTTCCCACTTTCATATCCGGCCCAGTACATTCCGCTGAATGGCACGTCTCTCCATAAAGTGGGAGATAAACCGCGCCAGAGACTCGGCACACCTTCAACCTTGACCGTTGCACGGATCCCGGCCATCGTCGAACGTAGCGTTCTAGGGACACTCGGACGCGAGGGAGTTGCCTGCAATCGTGTGCGAAGGAGTTCTAAAGGAGAAAAAAAAGTCGAGATAGTAGTACGAGCTAGTATGCCCGCTGCGAACGGGGAGAACGTATGTGAAGGTAGGAAGGTATGAAGTACAGTGTCGTAAGTGATCATGTACGCTGTTTGAGCTGGAACAGCGATAAGTCTAGGTGGAGGATGAGGTGTTAGTTCATATTTCTATTGGTCGTATTAAACCCACAATGTTGTCCCTACACCTTTCCAGAGTCCCCTGAATCCCTCAGTCGTCCAAACACGCCATGCGGCATCCCAAAAGCCGTTGACGCGCTGAACCGTGGTTCGCGTGCCGTCCCAAAGGCAAACTATTTGGCCTCGGTCAGCAACTGCAACCGTTTTCGGGCTCCAGAATGCGTGCGAGCCTGGAGATAGTGGTAATGTGTGAAGAGATCGAACGCAGTTTGTCGGGGAGTTCTGGCAGCAAGCACCTTTCGGAGGTGTCGGAAACAAAAGTGACGAGGAAGATGCAGCCGATGTCAGCGGTTGTGTTTGTAGACGTGTTTTGATAACGTCAAAAGGTGTCACTATGCCATAATTTTGATACCATGGAAGGTGCTGGACTGGAAGAACGTATGGACGCACTTGTAAGGGCGGTCAAAGTTGCTCCTGTGGCTGCCGCCGCCGGCTTAGCATACCATGGAGCTTGCTGTAGCTCAGACATCTTCGGTAGAACTCGAGAGTCCCCCATGAGACGGCGATAGTGCTCTGAAGGCAAAAAAGACAAGCCGGTGAGGAAGACGGAATGGGCAGGGTTTTCAGTGCGTCGAGGCTTCGAAAAGTGGGGACTTGGTCATGCGACCCTAAGCCTAAGCTTATGGGGTCTTTCAACTACTGTAGACGCAAACAGATTGAGCGCAGGTACCAGGAGAAGGCGCCCGCTGAAAAAGTGAACTTGCGCTCTTTCAATCTTCCAAGTGAGAGCCTTAGTGGGTTTCGGAAGACTGTGTGTCGCGAAATTTGTATCCGGACGCGATCGCTTCAAGTAATTCACAGTATCAACTTGCCAAGCGTCTTCGACAACAGTTGCCGTCTAACCTCGCTCTACAACGGAAAATATTTCACAGATCCGCTCCCAGTTCGTCTATCTTAGGTTGATTCTCTAAGGAGAATTCTAGAGGAATAGCATGGCAGGTTCCACGCTTCCCGAATCGGCACAAAATTCCGCCCAGCAGGCTCTCAACGCGGCAATTGCTGACTCGTCACTACCCCCTAAACCAGCTGGCTCTGAAGCCGACTTTGGATTGAATGAAGATGAACAGATTCTTGAGCTTCAATCTTCTGCTCCAGGCATCGATAGCGACCGTTCCGTCTTTGACGATCCTCATACGTTCACTGTAAAGGTGAGCTTTGATCCCAGGTTACCCCTGAATGTTGTGACAAATGACTTCTTCATTCTGACAGCATCCCTTATACTCTTCCTGGACACTCTGGTACGATTCTCCCCACATCAAAACTACAGGCGCCCCCTCCACACCGAGTTCATCAGTCCCACACACTCCGTCTACCACTGCCTCGAATTGGATGGATGTCATAAAGAAAGTCGTAACTTTCGATAGCGTGGAAGAGTTCTGGGGGTACGTTCGCTTTTTCCTAGCTCGTCCAACCATGACCTCATCAGCACACAGTCTACATAATGCTGTCGTACCTCCTTCTGGATTGCCTCAGAAGGCGAACTATTATTTATTTAAGGCATGTGTCCTATCACCCCACACCGTCGCCCATGTCTCATACCACCTGTCAGGATGGAATTATTCCCGCTTGGGAAGACTCAGCTAACAAGAATGGTGGTAAATGGAGCGTGCAGTTCCCCAGACAGAAGATCGCGAATTCGATTGACCAAATGTGGCTATACACGGTAAGGTGCTAAAATTGTTCTGACATCAACAAGCTAAGCTCATTCATTGCAGATGCTTGCAGCGATAGGCGAAACGTTTGACCCTGCGTTGTCGGAGGCGGCCATGGGAGCTCAGTCAGATACAGCCCCTCCCAGATCGATTGTTACAGGCGTCATATGCTCAGCTCGACCAAACTTCTATCGATTGGCGATATGGACGCGACTGGCATCCCCAGAAGTGCCCCTACAATTGAGTTCCGCTGAGGAGGCAGCCATTGCAAATGGCGCCCTGCACCCCAGTGAAGCCGGGCCTGCGTTACAGCAGAGGATCGCGCACTTGGGGTTAACGTTCAAGACGAGCATCCTGGGTTTCCAGAAGGAGGAGAAACTTGGAGGAGGGTTAGCGAGCGAATTAGAGTTCCAAAGTCACAAAGATAGCGAGAGAAAAACCAAAGGTACAAAGAAGTGGGTTATATGAGTGCTCGGGATGGTGTCGTAGCTTTTCTCTTGGTTTTCATCAATTTTCATTCCATTGTGCCGTCCAAAGTACATCTTATGTAGTGGTAGCAATGATGCTTTCCGGTCTCGCTGCATAACCCATCCATGACTTAGGCATCAGTTAGCAACGAGTCTAGAGGTCTTCATCAATAGCAGCTTACTTCGTCATATAGAGCAGAATTCACCCCCAGTCGCTGAAGCGCCAGCCAAATGATGGCAGCAGTCATTCCAGATCCGCATGTATTAACAATTCTGACTTTCGAACCAGGTTGAAGAGGAGCATCGGATCCGATGGCTCTCGCAATGATCTCGTACAACTCCTTTGTGTTTCGTAGTCTTGTGAATTGGCTACCGTTTCCTGTGGTTACGGTTTCGAGCAGAATGTCGAAAGGCAATGAAATTGAGTAGGGTATATGACCAGACGGTAACCCTGGCCGAGGTTCAGGTGCGGTTCCATGGAATCTGAGAACAAGCTATCGTCTAGCTCCACACCTAGCGACCAAATGAGCGCGTCCTCACCTTGGTGCTGCACGAGCATCAAGCACCAGCTCATGGTTGTTGCTTTCAGATGGTGCAGCTGTCGCGTTTACTTTCATATCTTCGTAATCTGAAATAAAGGTCATGCGAGACGTCAAAGTGAGGGGTGCAGAGGCTACGCACTTCGCAGCCAGTTGGTACTCAATTCCGGCTCTGGATAGTCAACTGGCTAAACGATCGATCAAGCAGCGAATCACAAAGCGAGCTATTTCAGACTACACACAATATCCAAGGAGGGCACTTCAAAGACTCGCTCATCAACTGGGAGGCTTGCATACTCCCAGTTAGGCATCCCACCATTCATAATGCTGACCTTCTTATGGCCGAATGCCTTGGAAAAGCTAATGTTCGCAACATACTTCGCCGCTCGTCATCACCTTACCTTGAACATAAAAAGGGCCCTTGGGGAAGAGAATACTCCAATTGTGTCGTACCTGCCAAGGTAGTGAGATCATACGAGGAACACGCCCGCTCGGAACATTCATACAGCACAACGTGCGTGCCTGGGGAGATACCAAGTCGTTCTGCGCAACGAATTGCATTGGAGAGGGTCCTCATGCAGTTTCTGATACTCACTGCATGTGGTCGCGAAAAGGCTGGGTGAAGGCATCATATGCGGCAGACTCAGCGGGTGTTCACCGGCCACCTCATCCAAGCTCATGAATCTCGCACGGGGAATCCTGCGCTTCTTGAACTCAGCCCGAGAATCCCGGCTAGCATTGGGCATATGCCATGAAACATCAAGAGGCACAACAGATCCAAGAAGATGCGAATATCCCTCTGGCTCAACAATAAGAGGAACCTTCGGCCAGATCGACTCAGATATTATGTATGAAATAGGGAAGAGCATTCCCGACCTCCTTGGAGAAACTTAATCCTCTCGCCAACTTGATGCGTGGACACGCGAAAGGTCGAATGAAGTAACGAAGCATCATCGCTGCAAATCGTGCGACCCCGTAGAGGCTGATGACCTGTCTGGGTCGCAGCAGTTGGGATAGTGGAAACCAGTTACTGCTGTGAAGAAAACACAATTATTCGGGATCAGGACGGTGACGTCAGGTGACTCCAGATGGGCCCTCGGCGCTCACTTACGTTCCTGTCTCCCTTGTTCAGTTCAACTATTCTATGATGGATAGCTCAAAACAGGCATATCTTGCTGCTAAGTACATGTCTGGGGCTAAGGCTGAAGCCATCCTCGCGAAGTACGGCTCATCCGATCCACAGAAAAAGAAGAAAAAGAAGAAAGGTTCAGATCCCTCGACTTCGACGTCTTTGATAGTGGACGAAGACGCTGGCTGGGGTGGCAATATCCCCGACGCCAATGATGGAGATGTGCAGGAAGACATTGCGAAAGGTGATGCCATTATCGCGTCCGACCGCAGCTTCAAGAAGCGAAAATCGGTAGGTGGTGCTGGCGGAGGATGGGAAACAGTGCGCGAGCCGACGCCTCCCCCTGCTCCAGATGAACAGCCCATTGTGGTTGAGGAGTCAAGTGTTGTGGCAGGTGGCATCCTTACCAGTGCCCAACTGACGCAAATGAAGGGCAAGCCGGTGGACAAGTTGGACATATCTGGAGAGCAGCAAGAAACAGTCTATCGTGATGCAACGGGGAAGAAAATTGATACGAAAGCGGAACGTGCTGCCGCTGCACGAGAGAGACGGGCCCGGGAGGAGAAGGAGGCCCAAAAGATGGAATGGGGAAAGGGTCTTGTTCAGAGGGAAGATAAGGAGCGTGAACGAGTGGAGCTGGAGAAAGAAAAATCAAGGGATCTTGCGCGGTATGCAGATTCTATACTGTTAATTATGCAGCCTAAACTCAGAGTGAGGGTGCTTTAGTTATGTGGATGACGCAGACCTGAACGCAGCTCAAAGGGAGCAAGTGCGATGGAATGACCCAGCAGCGCCATTTCTCACTGTTCGTTAACACGACTTATATCCATATCCTCACTGAAATCATCTGGTCATTTGGGTTGGATACAGAAAAAGAATTCGAAAGGGCCAAAGAAGCCAGAATATACGGGCCCTCCTCCACCTCCAAACCGTTTTGGTATAAAACCTGGGTATCGTTGGGATGGTGTGGGTGAGTTATTCACGCGTTCAGTGGTGCGTGGGCGTCTAACAACACCGAGTGTGGAAGATCGGAGCAACGGTTTCGAGAAGAAATTATTTCAACGGGCAAATGATCGGAAACGGCGCGGACTAGAGGCGTATGAATGGAGTGTGGACGATATGTAATCGTCTGTGTGATACGCTTCCATGGCCCTTGTTGTGATGGTGCGTTGGTTTGACGATTTATTTCCAGCCACCTGACGGCGAATGCTGTCCGGTTGGTATCGTGGTGCTGCGGCAGCTCGCAAGCTGATGACCAGCTGGAGATGGCAACCAATCTTTTCAGTTTACGGTAAACAAGTATGTAAGGCCCAAAGAACCCCAAAACATGTTTCTGATAGTGATGGCATGCCTGCAATGCCCGTTCCCGCTTGCAAGGTAACAGTTTGTCATGTAATACCTAATCTTGTCATCCGATACCGGCTGTGGCTATGCGATCGTTAAATTGAAATCAGAGCCATATAAATTCCAAGTGATGGTTCCAACCTGAATCGCAATTGGCGCGATTGTTTTCCCTCGAACGATTTCACTGTTTTCAACTCGCTCTTCTCCCTCAGTTCCACACACTTATTAACTATGTGTGGAATCTTCGCGTACTGCACGTATCTCACTGAAAAGGTGTGTTCGATATCGTCCCTCAACACTCAGCAACGATGGTTGCCAACTCGGATTCCTCCATCAACTTGCAGGACCGCAAAGAAATTTGCGACATCCTATGTACTGGCCTCCAACGTTTGGAATATCGTGGCTATGACAGTGCAGGTAATGTGTTGATTGCAACGTCACTTCGCTTACGGAGAGCTCTGACCTGTGTGCCTGCGCGGCGGCTCCTCAGGGATTGGTATTGATGGTGACACCGAAAAGGATGTCATTCTCTTCAAACAAGTCGGAAAAGTCGCTGCACTCCGTAAACTCATTACGGAGTCTAAAGTCAATTTCGGGAAGACCTTCATCAACCAAGTTTCCATCGCGCATACCCGTTGGGCCACCCACGGTGCTCCCTCACCCATTAATTGCCATCCTCTCCGCTCGGATCCCACTAACGAGTTTACCGTCATTCATAATGGTATCGTTACTAATAACAACGAATTGCGTCTTGTTCTTCAGAAGAAGGGTTACAAATTTGAAAGTGAGACTGATACCGAGGTCGTAGCTGTGCTTTTCAAGTACATTTGGGACTCTCAGCGCGGCACTAGGCTCGATTTTACTACCCTTGTGAAAATTGTGGTGAAGGAACTCGAAGGTTCTTTCGCATTCGTCTTCAAGAGCATCCATTTCCCAAATGAAGTCGTCACCGCGCGGCGTGGATCACCTCTCCTCATCGGAGTTAAGACAGAAAAGAAGCTCAAAATCGATTTTGTCGACGTCGAAATTGCGGGTCCTGACGTCGAAAAAGGTGCTGGATTGCGTAAGTAACTCTGCCTTAAAGGAAGTTTAGTTTGACCCTGATCTGGAATGCAAGTTGCACCCGGCAGTAGTTCGTTGGGGAGCAACTTCCTCGTCCCACAACCCGCTGGGATGACTCGCACTCAATCTCGTGCTTTCATGTCAGAGGAAGGAGTGCCACAACCGATCGAGTTCTTCATTGCGTCAGATGCAAGCGCTGTTGTCGAGCATACCAAGCGCGTACTTTACCTGGAAGACGATGATATCGCTCATATTATTGAGGGAGAGCTGCATATCCATCGGCTCCGTCGCGAAGAGGGCAAGTCTTCCGTTCGTGCCATCGAGACACTCGAGCTCGAACTCGCCGAAATCATGAAGGGCAAGTTCGACCATTTCATGCAAAAGGAGATCTACGAGCAGCCGGAATCGGTCGTCAACACGATGCGTGGTCGTGTCAATTTCGACACTCACAAGATTACCTTGGGTGGACTCAAGGCCTACCTCCCCATCATACGCCGTTGCCGCCGAATCGTGTTTTCTGCTTGTGGAACTTCGTACCACTCATGCATTGCTGTACGCTCATCCTTTAGACTGTTCTGGAACATACTCATGATTCCTTCAGACTAGGGCTATATTTGAAGAATTAACAGAAATCCCGGTGTCGGTTGAATTAGCCTCTGATTTCCTTGATCGCAAGACACCAATCTTCCGGGACGATGTTTGCGTCTTCGTGTCACAGTCGGGAGAGACCGCTGACACTATCCTTGCCATGAGATATTGCCTGGAGCGCGGCGCACTGTGCGTTGGCGTTGTCAATACTGTTGGTTCTACCATCTCTCGTGAATCCCACTGTGGTATTCATATCAACGCTGGGCCCGAAATTGGCGTTGCTTCTACCAAAGCGTATACATCCCAGTATATTGCACTCATTATGTTCGCCATCCAAATGTCTGAAGATCGAATCTCGCTCACCGAGCGACGGAAACAAATCATCGATGGCTTGCATGAGCTCCCTGCCCAGATCAGTCAGGTACTTCATGGGGATAAAGCGCTTCAACAGCTTGCCAAAACTGTCCTCGCCAACTCGCGTTCTTTACTCATAATGGGTCGTGGATTCCAGTGAGCGTCCATTCATTTCCCGCTTCCTTGCATTGTATGAAATGCCCTATTTAGGTACGCAACGTGCCTCGAAGGCGCCCTCAAGATCAAAGAAATAAGCTACACACACAGCGAAGGTAAGGTTGAACATTGCATCATTGACGAACCCTGAAACATCACTGGCCATGCAGGGATTCTTGCCGGAGAGCTGAAGCATGGTCCTCTTGCTCTCATTGATGGGGATCTCCCAGTCATCCTAGTCATGACTAGAGATTCATTGTATCCAAAGGTTCAGTCTGCTCTGGCCCAAGTCACCGCTCGCAAAGGGCAACCTATTATCATTTGCAACGAAGATGATCTCAGCATCTCCAAAGAATATAGGACAATTCGAGTACCCCAAACTGTGGATTGTCTTCAAGGCATCTTAAACATCATTCCTCTCCAGCTTCTCTCCTACCATCTCGCTATCCTCAACGGCTTCGACGTCGACTTCCCTCGCAACCTGTGCGTTGGTCCATCCTGTTGGTTCCCGACCAAGACTAACTATTTTTTGCTACAGTGCTAAATCTGTGACCACAGAGTAACTGGTTTACGACGTCGTCATAGACAAGGACAATTCCAAGGACTTTTCATTGTAATTCTGCACGTTGTTCTCTCTTTATCTTTTCTTCATGCATTGCCCCTCCTTGTATATGAGATGTGAAACGAATAAATTACAAGATTCCTGGCCTCGATCGAAGAGGTCTCTGGTGTTGTCAGGTTTGCGAGTTGCTTCCGGGACGTCATTATTCCGAAATCAGAAATCCCTCTCGGGAGAGTTCAAGTTGTGCATCGAACCAACCTCCAGCGGCCCAACTTGCAGTACGATGGATGATTCGGCCTCCGAAGATTTCTACCACTCCATGGACGAAGTTGTGCCTGGGCTGTGGATTGGCGATTTATCCGCAGCTGTAGCCAATGATGAGCTCGAGAAGAACAACATCAAGTTCATCCTCTCGGCAATGCGGGGGCGTGTCAAGCTCAACCCAGTCTGTCCAGTTGTGGTGTTAGCCTAGATATAGTCACTGACACACGAGCTGCTGGCTCTGTAGATGCTCAGGCGCCACCAGATTCCATTAGATGACTCTCCGGACACAGACGTGCTAGAGCACATCCCTGCATGCAATGCTCTTATTGAAGCTGCCCTTTCTCGCGGCGAGGGGATTCTTGTACATTGTCAGGCGGGCATGAGTTCGTACATGTCATTCAATCCTCCCTGCATCTCTTAAACGGAGATCATCCATTGCTGCAGGCCGGAGTGCGACGATCGTCGCAGCCTTCCTCATGTATAGCCAAAACCTAGACCGTGATTCTGCGATCAAGCTAATACAACAAGCGCGGCCTTCAGTCGCGTAGGTTCGACGCCTGATCACTGCCTTCTGCACCGAAGGATTGACATCCTACACAGTCCTAATGTAGGTTTCATGGAACAGCTAGAATTGTACCAATCTGCATCCTTCAAAGTATCCGGAAGAGACAAAAATATACGCAAATTCTACTTAGATAGATCGGTGAAAGAGATACTCAGTAAGTGGAGATGGCTTCTCTCCTCAGAAACCCATTCATCGACCCATCTAGATGGAGACGGTTCGGATATTCGCTCTGATATGTTTGCTGGATTTCCACGAAGCGCCACTCCTTCCGCTCCTGTTACCCCTGGTGGTGGCCCGCGCCGCCGGATCCGCTGCAAGATGTGCCGGTATGATGTTCCTGCCATTCCGTTCGCCATACGATATACAAACCAGTTTTCCTCTAGACGGGAGCTTGCGGCTCGTGAGCACATGATGGACCATGGTCAATTGTCTCCCCCAACCCCGAATGAACGGTCCAGGGCATCTTCGCGGGCGTCATCCCTTGGCGAAGGGGCAAGGGGTCCGAAGAGTTCTGTCCTTTTGGGGCTCAAGATGAGCTCCATAGATGCAGAGGTTTTAGAAGATGAGAAGTTAGTCCGAGCATCACAGAAGTCAACTCGAAGTGGCGTACAGGGCGAGAGTGTTACGCAGAATGCCTCGGCGAATCTGAGTATGACGGGCCTGCCTAATCGTGGACATGAAGGCACAGTTTCGATCAGCAGGCGCTCGTCCCAAGGATCCGCTACCGCCACACTACGTTCACTTTCCTCAGGGGATGGAATCAAATCACGTTCAGTACTTCCATCTAGTCTGATGATGAGTTCCATGTCTGAATCTGCCTTTGTTGACTCCGATGGAGAAGATGAGCAGACAATCAATGAGGCACCCGCAGCAGAAGTACAAGAGGACAGCGGGGATACGCACGAATCTGGACCATCCACCGACCCGCTACCGGATGGGCCTGTCCTTCTTTCTCCTGGAGAAATATCCGCCCAACTTCCTCCGTCAATAGCAGCGCTTCGAAGGTCTTCTCTCATTGCCGCCTTGCATAACTCCTCGCCTCGCCGTCTTTCTCGCGCCGACTCCTTTTCCCTACAACCCATCATTGCTAATCCTTCTTGCTCAGGGTATTTCGTTGAAGCGGTTAGTGAGTCCTCCGAAGCGGCGCCCATGTTATCATTGATCTTGCCATTACAGATGAAATGGATGGATTCATTCCTTGGGGAAGGCCGAATGGCAGGGAAGATAATATGTCCGAATGAAAAGTGCAATGCTAAACTTGGGAACTATGACTGGGCTGGAGTTCAATGCGGTTGCGGACAGTGGGTCACACCTGTGAGTTTCGCCCCGCCCTCATGTATCACCACTAACCATGGCTACACCAGGGATTTGTAATTGCAAGGGGAAAAGTTGACGAAATATCTTAATCGAACTATAAGTGATGTAGAGGCTCACCGAAATCATGATTCCCGCCACAGATACGTCGCAGACAAGGGCTTCTTCCAATAGAGTTGCAAGATAGTGTGATTATGAACCACGGCTGATGTACATACAATGATACGTTTAGCTAAGACTTCTAGAAATAGGATGCAGTGCGATTTTTGGGTGCATGAGGTTGCAACAAACTACTAAAGGCATGAATGGTAATAAATAGAGAATAGACTTGAAATCAGGAGTTGGATTGTGCATCTTACAAGGCATCCCAGTAGCCGAGTCCGATGAAGAAGAGACCAAGGGCGAGGAGAAGCGCAGCGTACGAGGCTGAATGCACCCCAATACTTGGCAAAGCAAGTGCCCACATGGTGTTCACTGCACTTGTCAATGAAACGAGCACAAAAAACGTTGGAAATATAGCTGCTATAGCAGCAGCATGATCAAACGTGATTGGAGAGCCGTCAGGAATAGTTCGTTGTTGGGTTGATATCAGCTCAGTAAGGTAACGGTGGGAGAGGATGAGTGTAAGGCCGAATGCGTAGAGGATGGAATCGAGTCTTTGGAGACAAGAAACAAACACGGGTATGTTCTAGTGGGTGATGTTGCTATCAATCGTTTATATTGTAAAAATGAGGTGGAACGCACGGGAGGGGGGATGCCATATACTTGTTCAAGCTCGGCTCGAGTGCGTATGGCTAACAATCGGGCCATTTCCTCGTCGAGATATGCAGACATAGGAGTTCCCGTGCTTGGAAATGCAACACTGAGCCTCGTGAGTGCCGCCTGAGTATTTTGTTCCGGATTGTTTTCTTCGGGAGGTGATTTGAGCACGGAGGAAATATAGCGACGCCCTTCAGATCGGGTAGTCATAGTTTCTCCCATCAGGTCCGACTCCTCGTCCGAAGGCGCATCTTCTTCCAGCACATCCTTGTACGCAACTAACTGGAAGTATCCTTGCGCGATACCATATAGTTCTATACCTGCTGCCCATCCGAGCGCATACCACCAGACCTGGCGGAACAGGGGGGAATCTGTGTTGAGAGGGAGACTTTGATTCCCATTGTTAACGTCAAGCGCAAATGTAAGGCTCGATATGACTAGCCCAAATAGTCGCGTTGCTTCTTGGAGTATTGTGGAGATCAGGACACCAAGAGCCACAGATGTATCCGTCACCCATCGGCCAAAACCTAGACAATAGTTATTATTCACCCGCCTATGGTGAGTTCAACACGAACCAGTTGCGAGGTTATGCGACGGGGTCTTAAATCCGTAGGAAATCACCCAAGCTGCAAATGCGACCATCATATTGAACACGGAAGGAGAGCGACCTTTCTGCATGGGTCCTTCCCAGAGTGTCGGTATTAAGGCCATGAGGATAAGAAAAAGGAGTGAACAGATCGGCACCAGGCTGTAACTTCGGATTAGTTGGGCGTAAGAGACTAAACCTCGCGGTGAATTCCATCGGGTGTATGATTGGAATGAGAAGCGGAATCTACATACCCCGAGCTAACTCTTCAGGCTGGTGGTCCTGAAGCCCCTCTATGCCGAAGTAACCATCGTCATTTTGGACGGAGCCGATGGTCGGTTCTTCATGAAGCGAAATAGACGGAATCGGGGCTTGAGCCCCAGAAGACGAACCCGGCGCCTCACGGATAGAGCCATAGTTTCGAAAAGCCTGCATTAGAAGAGGAAGTCTGGCGTGGGTTACTCTAAGACTCCAAGCTCTGGTGCGAGTATTCCGGTCCAAACACCACTAAACAAACCCTGGCCTGTCATTGAACATGTATGTATCTGTTGAAATATCAACATTTATTCACGACGACCGAGTAGCTACGGAGATATCGCGAGCTTTGGAAAGATGAGGTTGTTTATTTTTATGTTTCATCGCGGTTCACCATTGTTCCGACGACTTTGCCACTGGGCACTGGTCGTGTATGATATCTCACCCTCAGATCTCTGATACGAGTCTGAGCTAGCGCACGACATAGCCTTATAGTATTTTCAGCTCATCGTCGGGTTTTCCAGTAGGTCCCATCAGGGAACTCAAACTCAGCAATGCTCGATTTGTGCATTTCGATGCTGCGAATTGTCATGAAACGTAGGAAACAGGGAATAGGATTAGACAAGACGTGCCTATAGCCTTCAAGTGGATCCTGAGGGACGTTATAACGACCACGAGGATTGATGCTGCAAGGATACACAAAATGCTCATGCAAGTGATCGACGAACTCAAGGACATTCCGTTCCATTGTGCCGGAGACGACTATGTAGTCGATCAAACTAAAAAGATTTATGAGTTTGAATCATGAAATGGGGAAGTTAGTATTAGTACCTCAAATGTATGGCATACTGAACGGTAGAAACATCAGAAATGAGTATATTATTGACAAAAAGACTCACTTCACACAGTCCAACGCCTCCGGCGTGAGGGCAGACCGGGACACCGAACCTAGGTGATAATCAATAGTAACAATAATTGTTCGAATATTAGCAGGGAAGGGAGAAACTTGCTTCGCTGCCATCAGGAGGACACTGAGCACCTCGCTCACGCCAGCCAATCGGCATGAGTCGATTTGAACGACATCAATAGCCTGGGCTTGCAACAGCTGCTTGAATACCATGCGATTATGCGCATGTTCTCCAGTTGCGACGCCGATACTGTAGGGTTTGAGAGCTTTTCGGATAGTTGCATGGCCAAGGATATCATCAGGGGCCGTTGGCTCCTCGATAAACCTAAAACACAGAAAACTTATTTAGCAACTATATCCAACAGGAGTAGAATTCATCCCCCACCAGGGCTTGAGTTCTGCAAGATCCTTTACATGGTCAATTGCCTGCGAGACGTCCCAAACCTGCAAAACAATGTAAGCGTGGTGTCCCTGTCAGGCTGTTGGTCATCAAACCTGGTTCGCGTCAATCATAAAGACGGAACCGGTTGGACCAGCATTCTTCCCCTCCACACTTCTCGGATCAGGGGGGTCATGGTTTCCAGGAATATATTGGGGGTCATCTATTATAGAGCGAATGATCTTCCCCCGCCGAAGATCTGATGCCTTGTCCGCGCCGACTTTCATTTTAAAATGATTGAACCCAGCCTTGACGGCTTCTTTTGTGAGGTGGGCGATCTTCTCATCCGAGTAGCCTTTCGAAACAGGTAACTGAGAATGGCCCACAACAGCAGCGCTAGAACTTGGGTACTGACCAAGCCATCCTACCGAAGTGACATATGCCGGATATCCTTCGCTGCAAACTTTAGCCTCGCGCTCCGCTTTTGTGGCCTCACGAGATCTGAGCAGGCTGAGCGCTTCCTCCTGAGTGATAGCGTCGGTTATGTAACGGAACGTAGCAGACCGCACGAGTTCTTCAGTTGTGAAGTCGACAATTAGCTTCCATAGCGGTTTCCCCCGTGCTTTTGCATAGAGATCCCACAGCGCGTTGTCAACTGCACCTGTGGCAATATGAATGACGCCTTTCTCGGGACCGATCCAGCGCAACTGAGGATCGGCCAGAAGATAATCCCAAGTCTTGCCCATGTTTGCGAATAGATCTTCGATCTTCTTTCCCAATAATCGACTCGCAACTTCCCTGATAGCAACACAGACCTCGAGTTACCCGTGAGGAGGAAAATGTGGGCAGTATTGATCGTAGAAACACACAATATCATTTCCCCTCCCGATTGTGAAAGTCATGCCATTGCCGATCAAGGTTCCGCCCTCGGAGTCTGTGTAGAGAGATACATACGCGAGGAATAATCGCACTCCGTGTTCCTTGCATCATGATGTAAACAGCTGTCATTGTTTTCAAGAATGATCGTGCACAAACATCGCGTCCGTCCCATCTCCCGTTAGAGAAGTCGGAAAACGAACATCTATTTGACAAGGATCGGTGTCCTGTGCGGTAGAACAATAGAAAGGGCAACGAACCCTTGATTTCGAAGTGGGTGATGGTAGCCATTGTACTCAGAGATAGGCGGGCACTGGAAATGTCCGAAATAGGATGGAGAACCTTCAATGCCCTCGATATGTGCTGGAAGGTTCGAGGTATTGACAAACCAGATCATGGGTTAATGTAGATATGCGCATAATATTGATCACACTGGTGAGTACATATGCAAGCAAGGGGTGCAATCCCTGTCGATCAGAGCACGGTCTACATACACTCCGTACACGCAAGTGTGCGCGTGCAGACACTTTCGTGTATTGTGAGCAAACTGACCTTGAACCAATACAGGTTCGAAACAGGATGCGTAAGCTGGGGATCCTACCAACTGGTCAATACAAAACAAATAATAAAGCAAGCCAACGTTCATGGGTCAAATATGGTATGCGGCGTCGGGTGAAAGGCAGCGAACAAGAATCGGGCATTGGACTCATGTCGACGTGAGAAGGTTTGGAGTGGAATGTGTACTTTGCACGCGAGCGACAGCTTGTCTGAGAGCGATACTGGCGGATCGGGATACATGATTTGGGGGTACGGCATCGGATTGAAGTATATCCGCCGTCCGCTCCACCATTTCACAGACTGAGAAATTACGTAAGGCCCGGGCAAATGAGCGAGCAAACCGCCAAACGTAAACTCACTTCGCTTGTGGAAGGTGGGCATAACAATGTGCATGGAGTGTCTCAACGACTTCAGCAAGACTGCTGCCGACAATGTAACCATCTGGAACACCAAATGATGTAGGGGCAAATGTCAATCCCGTACCACGGATAGAAATCTGGGACCTCACTTGTATGTAAATGGGCGGGAATAAAGGTAGCCCCGAAACAAAGGGATCAAACTGTACGGTATCCAACATCTCGAACGCCGCTTGAGCTGCTGCAGTCCCGTAGACCCAACGGCGAGGGTTATCAACCAGAATTGGATCCTCCAGTCCCCCCTGATTAATGTAAACTCGGGCAAAGAGGCCGAAGCTTGTCAGCAGCATTTTCGCGTGTGCGGGAAGTTCAAAGCGGTCGATTTCAGCCTTCCATTGGCTAACCTCCGCGTTCCAACCATCAAATGCATTAATGACACTCTCTGGGGTCCCAAACCGCCATTCTTGCGCACCCATAGCATGTTGCACACGCTGGAATATTACGCATAAGCGGGAATGACCAATGAGCTGCAGATCACGGGCTTGACCAGGCTGAGGTGAGGAAGCTAGATTGTCAAAAAGTAAGGAGCAAAATGGCCGCGGATCAAAGACGGGGGCGCGGCGATTGCGGTGCAATGCTTGTTGCGCATAAACAATCTAACGAGAAGCAGATATATATAAGCGAAGGAGTACGAGTGGACTTCAGCCTAACGGTGCGAACATATGCAAATAACCATAAGCGTAACCAATTTTCAAGCGTGAGGTCGCGACGAGGAGGGAGCAAACCACAAACTTCCCCCAATGTGAGAGGGTGGGGTGGGGGGTTTTTGAATGTCTAAAAGACAATGTCAAGACTTCGTAGCGTACAGTCCGTGAAGTGATCATGTACCTTCAGGTACCCGCGAGTCCACTCGAACACAGTTCTTGCCATGGCATCCGATTTCTCAGAACATGTGAACGTGGAGGCTGCACACAACGCCGTTATCTCCTCCGGACCGATCCCCAGCTCCAAGTCAAGGTCCGGTGGGTCAAGATTCGAGGCCTCAACATCGGGATCGGATGTCGTTGGTGGTCGATTGTGTCTCGAGTACCCTGGAGTCGCATTGAAAATGGGGCCATTAAGTTCTTGCATAAGGAACTCGAAGGTACGGTGATAGTGAGGAAGACGTTCTGCTGGTATCAGGCAAGCAACTCCGAGGATAAGGGGGGTAATTGTCGGCTTTCCTTCCAGAAGATAAGGCCATGACCCAATTTGGAGGGGGAAGCCAAAAAGGTGATGCGCCAAATGTGCATGAAAGCTGAGGGGCCCGAAGGGGATTCGAGTCAGAAACTTCTGAGAGAAGAGTAAAGAGAGCATACTGGTCCACAAGGATATTGGCGTCTGCCATTGTGACAATGCCGGCCTTAATGATATTGGACCGGGGATCACTCTCCCCAAGCATCTCGGTTCGCTTAGACGGGGGGGAAGGTACTGGAGGCGCGGTATGAATAAGATCGTCCAGCAGATTGTAGAGTCCTGCAGATGGAGGTGTGTTGGCGGTTTGACCGCCAGTTGTAGACGTTGAGAAGTAGTCATCGCTTATTTCAGTTTGGGCAAGCAGGGCCTCTGCCCCGTGGACGGTAGAATGATCTAGATTATGGCTTGGGTTGACGGAATTGGATGCCTCAGAGGTCGATGCAGGGGGTGTGAGCCAGGGGATTTGTTGGATACTTGGTGGAGTAGACGGAGTCGTTGCTTGGCCAGCTTCGGGTATATTGAGGTGCCGCATGATCGATTGCATAGTGGCGGTGAGTTGTTCTACCTAGCACGGGGTGGAAGACGTAAGGAATCAGTAATTGGAGAAGAATATAGACATACATTCCGTGATAGTGAATCGATACGGTTTGTTGTTAGCTCCTGCCACTCGTCATCCTATGGGCGGAGAAAACGGAGGCTTAGCTAGGACCACTACATTTTACGGAAGAAAGCCAAGACAGACGTGGGCTCGAGATTTGAATCGGCATTCCTCCTTTCGAGTTGCACAACGGACGCAGGGACCGCCATCGGGTCCGACAACGCATTTTAGCTGTGATGGACAGGCTCACTAAATGTCCCACTCCGAGATAGATGGTGGACATGAAATAACAACCTTAGATCTGCGGCAATTGAGGCACGCCTTTTGCTTCTGTTGACGTGCAAGCCAAGTGCAAATGATTGAGAGGAGCAGTACTGGAGGGAGGGAGAATGATCTCGCCTTTTCCTTCACGACGACGCCTGCATTGGCAGCGGTGGGGGATTCCTCGGGACCTTGAGAGTTGGTGCGCTTTCTCTTGGTCTTTTGGGATGGAACAGGGGAAATCTCCTCGTTCCCAGAGACGGACGCATCCATGTACTAGAGACAAGGAGAGGGGATGGGACTGGGAACGTAAGGAAGTCAGGATAAACTAATCTCGAAATTGGATCCGGACCTGAAACCACTGGCTCTCTATTAAATAGCCTTTCAATCGAGATCAATGCTCACGACTGTCACACGCCGTGTTTGGAATGCCAAATAGGCATAAATATTACATAATACCCTTCGTGTGTCGATCAGAGAAATCATTGTTCATTGCATCCTTACCTGTCGAGCTTCCCACTCCATACCCTCGGCTGTAGCATCAATGGTGTTGACGTTCAGCAATAAGCGAGTCCAAGCATCGGGGACGCCATCAGACTCTGGCGCAAACAAAGTCGATAATGTATCGCGATTCAAGCTGGTGGTTCCAACTTTCCAGTACTGGTCAGCAAAGGCGCTGAGGGGCATGTTTGACAGTAGTCAAGAAGAAGGTCGGATTATCCTACATCCTATCCAATTAAGCAATCAATGACCTTTGGCTCATTCTGTTCCTTAGATTACCTACAATCTTCCATTCATGCCACTCATTCTACGCTACCCATTCCTTTTGTGTGATGGCACGGATCATGGTCCATTATTGATCATGAATTTGTGAACAATCGTCACATCAATGTAATACTTCTCGTCCTTGTCCAAACTCGGTGCATTTTATCACCAAACTCGATGTGGGTGTGTTTTGGCTAGGCTATGAGCGAGTGGTCCCCATGATGGCCCTCCCCGTATTCGACTCGACATTCCGACTCAGAGGGTAATGTCATCTTTCTCAATTGCCATCCTTGTCCAACGGTAGCATAGTTTTATCCATATATGGCTGAGACAAATGAAGCAGCAAACCATCAATACTTAATTAATATCAATATTGTAAGAGGCACTGGTTGCAGTCCTGATTCGTCGTCGAACCAGTCCCACGGACAGAGCACGATATGTATCGATATTCTGTGCCCTCCGGCAATCCCAAAGTGCTTATATCTACATCCTAGTGGATGGTATTGCATTACAGGCACTGCGTAGAACAAAGGAATACGGTGAATAAGGATCTAAAGGTTATGTGCTTGGGCCCGGGCTGCCACTTCTAATACATACTATTAGAGATAAGGTCGACGTCCCACCATTGTGGCGCACGGACTCACCAGCCGCAGGGGATTGTCCATTATTCCCCATTTGTCTTTTTTGTTGATAGGCGGCGTTGTAGGCTTAAAAGCTACTCGTCGCGACTGTTTCTTCTTTCTCTCCTCAGTTACACTACTGTGAGCTGAGCTGAGGTCTTGTTTTCTTGGTCGTGTTAGACCGTTTGCTCAACGTCAGTTATTATCTAGCGCTTAATTACTTCGCTAGGTAATATTCAAACAATAAAATTACACACACTACTATGAACTGAGCGCTTAATTGCTTCGCTAGCTTTCTCTCACGCATACATGCAGCACCCATGTTATGGATTCCCTATATAATGAGGTCCAACTGAAAAATCATAGCGAACCCTTAATGGTCTCACACATTTGAAAATGGTAGGTGCTGGAGACAGCTGGGGACACTTGGATTACATGCCTCATTCTGTGGGGAAGAGAAGAGTGGAGCGGCAGTAGGTGGTTTGCGCTCGGGGCGACGTTATGCCAATAACTGGGCCACCGCGACGGATATATGTGTACACCATCACGGGGCCCAGTATCATAGGAAAGGAACTCTACGAGAGCTATGGAGGGCCGGCGGAGGGATGAACGACCGATCTGGCATAATGAAAATGGCAGTCGTGCAGTAGATTTAGGGTCGACTTGCGTTCGTTCACCTCAACAGAATGGGTGCTTCCTTTTCTGGATTCCTGCTGCTTGATGGTCGCTCGTCCCGGGAAAATCAAGCCGCGATTTTTTCCTCTCTCTTAGTTCACAATGACATCATCTTGTGGGCATTGGTAGAGCCCTTGATCGACTTCTTGTACATATCTAGCGCTGATGCCACGTTAACCATGGATTTTCTAGCAGATCCCTGGAGCAGTTGGGCGCAGCAGATGGCGGGGAGAGTCCCTGGAAAGCAAAGGTTTCAGATGAGCTGGAATTCTGCACATGTAGTATTGCCATTGTTGCCTGCAAGCCAGACTGGTCCTTCGCATTGAAAGCCTAAGCAACACATCATCATTCGGATCTAGCCTGCGTCTGTGACGCTGTTGATTGCTGCACAACCATAGGCACTGATCGCCAATTCAAATGTCGAGTGGTCAAGTGTACGGCAAAAAGCGGAGGCCTGGTCCAGAATTATTTCCAACATTTTGGCGTCTCCAGTTTGTCTTCCTTACTACCAAGCTAATTCTGATCCTCGGCAGCAGAAAAATGGCCGATAATACCCAATCATCCTTTCATACCGTTCTGCCTCCGCCGCACCCTTTCTTGACTGTGCCCAAGCTTTACATCTCGCAGGTTGCTTCGGACGTCACGGATGCCGATCTTGCGGAGGCCTTCAAGTCGTGCATACCCTTCCGTCCTAATATTGATCGGTCATCAGCGATCGGTCCCTACAAAGGTAGGACGCGATCGTTTCCCTGCGTCGTCGTTTCCTTGTCCAAATCAAGTGTTGCATCCAATAACCACTGTACTTCGAAATCTAGGGGAGATTGACTTCAAATTCCTTGAGCATGGTAAGCGATATCGCGTTCCGGGACAAAAGTAAACGTGCTCTGACTTGTAACATGTTCTTTGGAAAAAAATCCTTCCACAGCTGAGAAAGCCCTTGCTACCCTCCAGTCACGTCCACTGCTTCCCCAGCACCTCATTGTATCTTAGTTTTGTCCCCATTCCCCATCACGGACCCTCCAACGCCCGTGCCGCCACCACTAGCGGTGCCACGAGTCATCAAGCATCTCCCTACAAATACCACTGATGAATTTCTTTTTGATCTCTTCCGCCCTTATGGCCCGATTGCGTCCGTAAGCGCTCAGGCGTCTTTTGGTCCAAACAGCGCGCTTGTAGAATTCTATGACGAAGAAGATGCGAAACGTGCCGAAGAAGCGCTCAACTATGCGGACGTTGGAGGAAGCAACATATCCGTCCAACCGTTTCAGCCGAAGCGTGGAGGGGCCCACACGGAATGGAACGCGTCAGCTGCTCCCTTCATTCCTTCCGGGAGCGCTCCGTACCCCCCTGTTCCGGGCCAAGGCAGACTTTCGCCGTACCAGTCAAATGTGAGCAACCATTGCACGTCCCGTAGTCTGGCAGTTGAACTTTCAATTAGACCCTTTATCCAAGCTCGCCTCTTATGAATGGCGCCCCTTTTGTGCACGGTTAGCTCGAATACCAGATGCGCGCGACCTAAATCCTAATATCTTATAGGCCCGGGACAGCAAGTACAATTTGCGCCCACTTCGGGCCCAGGGTCCAGTAGTCACAGCGGACTGATAGACCCTTGCAACCTGTTCTGCAAGGTAGATGTTCCTTTTCTGCCAATAAATATAGGATATGCAACGTTGCCCTTGCAGAACTTAGATCCAAATATTGACTCCAACGATCTCTTTACCTATTTCAGGCCAGTGAGTCCGTTCAGCTCCTTTTTTGATGTACCTTTATTCCAATTCTTGTAAAGTTCGGGCAGATCGTAAGCGCCAGGGTAATGAGAGGCGACAATGGCGTCAGTCGGGGCTTCGGTTTTGTATCATTCCAGACTCCAGACCAAGCAAGTTTGGCGATGCACTCCATGAACGGACAAATACTCGGTGGTAAACAAATACAGGTCCGATTGCACGAACCCAAACAACTTCGTCAGGAAAAATTGGCACAGAGATTTGCAACTGGAGGGCCTCTTCGGCGCGGGAGCCTAAGTGGGCGTACGAGTCCTGCGATGAGCGAGTTTGATGGCCAGAACGCATTGCCTGAGCGTCATCGGAGAGGCTCAGGAAGCTACTATAATGTGCGTCTACCGGTGGTTCCTGTGATTTATTAAGAGTTATTTACTCGGACATTCAGGCTGCATTAGCGGGCAGCCTCAAGTTATCCTTTGAACTTGATGAGCTCAAAGCTTTAACACCGGTCGTTCGCAGGGATGTTCTTACGGGTGAAATAAGTAGGCGTCTTAGGAATATGGACTCTGTGGCACCCGAGAGCATTGACAGCGTCGTGGAAGCGCTTGTGTCCCTTAATATACAAGAGGTTGTTGCCGGCATTCATGACGAAGAGAAGTTTGCTGCCCAAGTACAAACGGCCTCACAGCAAGTTTCATTGAAGGAGAAGCAGGGATTCGCCTCCCCCGCAAATCCTGGATTATTACACACCCGGGAGTCTGCACCTTCGACGCCGTCATATCTCACACCTCCCCGAGCACAGTCACCTACAGGTTCAGTGGCGACTCCTTCGGATCGCGAAAAGCTTTCAGCAGCCGTGGCTCGGTTAGAACAGGACCCAGAAAAGGCATCCGCTATTAGTGAATTACTCTTCACGTTGCCCAAGAAGGAGCGTTTGCTTTGTGTGTTCAACAACGACTATCTTAAGCAAAAAGTGGTGGAGGCTCGCGAGGTGTTGGACGCTGATGAAGTAGGGGAGACTCCGTCCTCGAATCAGAGTGCACCAGCAGCTGTTCAACGGCGACCGCCACCTACACCGGTTGCAGAGCACGGCATCAAGGCAGCATCGGATCCATCCATCCTTTCTCAGTACCCTGCTGGGACAAACGGTTCTTCTCAGTCGTCAGCTGTGGAAAAAGAAACGGCCGAAACACCAGCGCCGAAAGCGGACGAACCTAAGGAATACACGCTCTCCGCTCTTGGTGCAATGCCTGCTATAGACATCGTTAAGCTGGCCTCTGGTTCTACGATTACTGGTTTGCCCCTTCCTAAGCCTGACCTTCTTGTTGTGAAGACCACGGATGAGTTTGTCGATAGTCTTCAGGGGAAACCTGTTCAACAACAGAAGCAGTTAGTCGGTGAGAAATTGTAAGTAATGCCTGTACCGTCTTAGTAGGCGTTTTGTATTCTGATGTCACGGACCAACAACACTAGGTTCAAGGTTATCAGAGTAAGCATCCTTCTTCTCAATATTCTGCTGGCATTGAACGAATGTCATATGTCACAGGCTTTCGGGGTCAAAGGAGCGGTACGTGATCCTCACAAATCTATGAGTTCTTGACTTATTCACATGCTATGTCTTGTAGCCCAAGATCACGATCGCCCTTCTGGATTCCGAGGACCTCCGTTCCCTCTGCCACCTAATGAACAGTTACCCAGAGGCACTCAAGGAGAAAGTGCTGCACACTGGAAAGTAAAGACCACTGATGTCCAGGATCCAGTGTCCGGATTGGATATGATAACGCCCTAATCTACGATGCTCCATTTGCTAACTTCATTAGATTCATTCGTTTGCATCTTTCCCTCGCCACCAATGGATTTCTACTCGTGATCTCAGTTTTGTGTTTTGCCGACAAATGATTTCCGTTTTACCAATGACATGTGATATGATTGTCACTGTCAACGATATCGATGATGTCTGATTTGGATCCCGAACCAAACTTTTTGAAATGACAGAACTAAAAATTGTTGTGCCGCATGGCTGCAACATAGTATTGAACTAATGAAGCAGGGTCACATTGGTGTGCGATTGGATGGGGGTTTGATTGTCTTGTAAACCGTACATAGAAGTTAACCAAGAAACTATCAGGAGGAGATGGAGGTTGGGCAAGTGGTGTAGGTCGGGAATTTCCCGCACCGCCACACCTCAAAAACTGATGTGACAGATTGATTCCAAATTAAAATCCTACTAGGAAATGTGGGTATAAGACAAATTATGGTGCAATTTGGAAAATATGAGGGTGGCCAATTTGTTGAAAAAAAAATTAGTGAAATCAATGAGAACTGTACTATAATAAAGTAAGAGGGAAATCATGCTGTGTGACTATAGCATGGGCACTGCCGTGAAAACAATTCAAAAGCTGGGCAAGTAACTTGCCCATAATTTCCCACGGTTCTTCAGTCTCTGGAATACCTCATAGAGTGGGAGAAGGTGGCCTTCACGGAGCTGTGCTCAGGTTTGAGTGAGTCAGGCACTGTGACACATGATTTATCGCCGACTTTTTCCCATGTTGAATGTGCATATCAGTGGGGTGGCCAGTATGCAAATTTTCAAAAATTTTCAAAATTGTGATTGTGTAAGGAATGGTGGTGGTTTATATTATTCCTTCTTTATTCATTGTTGTACCTCCTGTATTTACTTATGTATTGTCCGGAGCTGAGTGAAGGGGACTTCACTCTTCCCCTCATCATGTCGAAATACTAAGTTCTACACAACCTATATTTCAATTGTCTTGAGAACTGAAGAGGCACCAAGGTCGGCACCTACACCGACCTTACAGATTGAGTAAAATCTGAGCTGATAGGTTGAAAGAGCAACACAAAAGAAGTAGTTAAGAGAGGATAAGTGTTATAATCGCGGTATTGCAGCTGGACACTCTGAGTACGATATCACAGTATCATTAGATATTGTACTCAGCTCTACACACCTGTAAGGGATTAACCTTCACTATAATTCCGATTATAGTGATGCTGTTATTTCTTTATTTATTTGTGCCGAGATATGTAATTTACATATTGTCGAAATTGTATCCGGTGCAACTACTGGACTTATCTGGAGCTCCAATTCAAATGGCTTCAAATCCAGGTCACGTGGCAAGGACATAAAATCATGGACAAGCCTGGTATCGAACCCAGGACCTCTAGTGTGCATCCATACACTACTTGCCCTTGAGCCATGCCGTTATAGGCTGTTAAACTCTATACTATTGGGAACATATTATATTCTCCAACACATATATATACCTCAGAGTAGTTGTAAAGGCCCGGTAGCCTTTTACCTCTACCCCATTGAATATACAGCACATTAAAGCTTATATTTAGATGGAATATCTGAGGCCTGAGGTGAATGTGTCACGACCATGCATCCCGGCCCGTTAGCCGCCTGTCCCGATGCCGCCCGAGCCCATTCCCGCTATGTGAGCGCGAGCGCGAGCCCCGACCTCAGCCCTATCCTCCATGAGGACTCCCTGCTCACTTCCCCGCTTGCCCCTAGGCTCCCCTGCACCTGGCCGACTCCCCCACAGCCACACCGACCTCCCTGCCCCGAGTCCGCCTCTGGTACCGACCTAGCGTGACTCCGTGACATCGCCTACTCCGCTATGATACCATCGCCGCTATCGCGGCCCTACACCCCTTCGTTTATTTATCTGTTATTGTTTGTTTTGACCCTCGGTCATTGCCGGCCGCGGTGCGGCCAACCCCGCTCTTTGTTCCTATTTGCTTCCGGACCCTTCGGCCTTCGGCCCGGGTCCGCTTCTATTCATTTCACCTTCATATATATATCCTGTATACTACATTATAGTACCTTAGCTCTAATATCGATGTGACCACGACCCCTAAGTCCTGACCCCAACAAGGCAACCCCAGTGAGTCCGAAATGAGGGCCAAGAGACAGCTAGGGGCACAGCACTCCCTTTAGAGTTGCTGAGGCCAAATGCCCTACCCCGGGCCTTGTCTGAGGCATCACGACCATTGCGGCCAATAGCGGCCCGCATCGGCGACCTTCGGTGCCAACCCCGGACCAGTGTCTAACAGAATGGGGGAATGGAATGTTACCGTCCCCAAATAGTAAGCAAACCCTTCAACACCACACTTAAATACATTTCTGTGTGGCACAAAGGAACAAAGGTTAAACCATTAGAACAAGGAAACTTCCCATAAAAGGGAACAATAACCACAACACAAGGGCATCAGAATGCCACTTCAACAATAAGTTGGAGGCTGTCAGGGACAGTGCAGGAGAGGTGGGGGTAGCGGCCTGGGTGGTGGTGGAGTAGTGGGAGTGTATAGCAGGCAGCCCTCACTTGGTGTAAGGGATTAACCTTACTTCACTATAATTCTGATTATAGTGATATTTATATTATGTTGCATCGCTATAATTCCCATTATAGTGATGCTGTTATTTCTTTATTTATTTGTGCCAGGATATGTAATTTACATATATATACCTTGGAGTAGTTGTGAAGGCCTGGCAGCCTTTTACCTCTACCCTGTTGAATATACAGCCCATCAAAGCTTATGTTTAGACAGACCTACTGAGGCCTGAGGCAAACGGGGGAACAGAACATTACCGTCCCCAAAATAGTAAGCAACCCTTCACTCAGGCTCACGTCCCTGTCTGGCTTCTTAGACTGAAGCAGGAATGGTTGTCATTAGAATGAAAGCTGAACTAAGCTAAGCTAAGGTACTTGCCTGAAGCAGGAATGAGAAGAAGGCTACTTCTTTGGTTCTGCTTCAGTGTCAGGGCATGCCTTCGGGTCGCTAGCGTAAGTAGTGCATTGCCACATGACCTGTATCTCCATCAGCTTCTACTTCTTTTCTTCTTCTTCATCTCCGATCTGATCCAATCTGCGGCTGTCAGTTATGACGCCACATGATCTTCTATCCTTCTTGATCCGATACTACCGGTTATTAGCTAGTTGACTAGTTACTGCCTCTACTGTGTATATATGACCATGTGCTGGGATGGGCATGTCCCCCAGCTTTGATATTAATTAGGTTTCTGGGGCATCCTTCGTTGTGAGCATGCACGACCCTGACATTCAGCTCAGTTTATACACAAGTGGGAATGGGTCATGTGAGGGTGCCACATCAGCCTCAGACAGAGCTGGGCTATTGTGGGTGGCTCTGCAGGTGATCCTGAGTGTTAGAGAAGAGAGGTACAAGTAGGGATGCATGGCACATCTGGTGGCATGGTACCCATGCAGGGTACTCGACGTTGGATGCATCTGTGCTACAGGTGTAAGAAAGGAGGTAATCCATATAAGGAAAGAAAGAAAAAGGAAGAGAGGAGGAAGAAAAGGAGGGAGCAGTGCTGAGTGGAGTGGTGTGCCCTGACAGAGGCCCTGAAAGAAAAGTTTGTTGGTGACAAAAAAGGTGCAGGAAATTGCCAGTTTACACTATAATTGGCACCAGCTTGGCACCACCTTGTCATGGCCCTGCAAAGTCCCCGTCTTTTCACCACTTCTGTCACCTGCACCCCACCACCACCATTCTTGCACCCATTATTCGTGCCCATTGTCCATCACTCAGTGGCGCCGATAGTGGTTCCCATCTGCAGCCCTGTAGCGGCACCTCCTCCTTTCTGTCAGGGACAGCTTCGAAAGCGGCGAGGTCCCAGCGTGCGGGACTTGGTGGGACGAGTAGCGGCTGTGCGTAGCGGCGATCTCGTCGCGGGGTGAGCGTCCCCGACCACTTAGTCTGAAGTGGGAATGTGAGTTATTATTAGAAGGGAAGGCTACACTACTTGCCTGAAGTGGGAATGTGAGAAGAAGGCTACTTCTTCGGTTCCCACTCCAGCTGTTATTATATACATGCGGGATCGGTCACATGGGGCGCGCCACGTCACCCTTGCACACAGCCACGGCTCTCCGGGTGCCTCTGCGGGAGATCCCGAGAGGGCCCGCTGTGGGTGTGGGGCGAGCGTGGTGGCAGTGGTGGCGATATAGGAACGGTGAGATACAGGAGGGGGGAATGGGCATGCGCGCTGGTGATACATTGAGCAGCAGGAAAGGTGGTCCATGTGAGAAAGAAAGAAAGAAAGAAAGGAAGAAAGGGGGAAAGGAGAAAGGGAGAGGGAGAGGCGGTGTGGAGCGGGGGAGTGGAGCGAGGGTCGGGCGGGGTGTGCCCTGACACTTTCCCACCACCACTTTAGTTCACCTGCCATTTGGCTGCACCCAATCCACTCATGGCTGAGTGCACCATGTGTTATTCTTATTCATTCGCTTAACTTACTAGTGGTTGATATTGTCACTGCTGATCCACTCCTACATTGACATTTGGTTTATTCCTTTATTGACATTTGATTTATTCATATATTGACATTTGATCCACCACTATATTGGCACCTAGATTGTCGGCCCCATTCAGTCTGCCTCCCCACTTCGCTGTCCTTTGTCCATTCACTCTTTATGTCCATTCATTCCTTCTGTTCCATCTCCCTGGTCCTCATCACTTATTTAGTTTTGTTGCACTCACCATTCCATTCCCACCCTGTGTCAGGGGACGACTCCCGGGTCCCCATGACCCTCCCCTATGGTCCACAGCCCTGAGGTGTAACCAGCCCTATCCAGGGCACAACCTACTGTGGGTAAGAAGATGAGAAGGAAGCTAACTTCTCATCTTCCCACAGTGGCCACCATATCAGGAAAACTTCCAGGGATACCCGGAAGTCACATGAAGGGGTAGGAACCGGGCCCGGAGCATGCGGTGCACGGAGCATGCGCGCATGTGGGAAGTGCAGCAGGTGGAAGCGGGTCCGGACATGGGTCTGGGTCCGGGCTAGTCAGGGTGTGTGCCCTGACACCCTGCATCGGACCAACTGGCCCCTTCTCTGTTCCTCCCTCATATTTATATCTTGTAAGAGTACTACTTCTTACCTCAGTTCAAATATCGACTAGAAATCCCCCAAAGTCCTCTTGTCTTTAAGTTCACCTCTAAGCTTCATCTCCACCTGAGTCAATGTCACTGCAAGGTCCCTCCCACTAACTTGAAATATGGGACAGCCTAGAACATGTGGCGCAACGCTCCAGTTAAGTCATTGAAGCCAAAGTCCCAACCTGTCAGAGTCCGCGCGTCTATTCGCAGCGTAAGAGTATCCCCAGGAAACTAGTCGATATCAAAGCTGGGGGCTAGCCCAGCTGGCATAGTAGCCTTATGTACATGAGTTCTGCTAACTCACGAGAGCGCAGTTACATTGGGAAGATGGTAACTAATAGAAACATGACATCAAATAGGAAGATAGAAGATGCGGGAAATGAGGGAATATCAGGTAAGGGGTGATGCGATAGCGAATATAGCGCAATGAGTTATATCTGCGTTCTAACTACGTAATTATCTCACACAATCTCGGCTAACAATTACCTCATTGATATCGCTTAGAGTAAAAGGGGGGCCGGATAACCGGGCGTCCCCTGACACAACCCCCACGATGCCTTGCAATGGAGTATGTCAGGGCCCGGCCTCGGACTCGGAGGCTCCCTGACCTCAACCCCCATCTGACCTGTCCTCACACTATGTGGGGCATGAGATGTATAGTAAAAGGAAGGGAATATATACACTTGCCTATGCAGGGCATGAGATGAGAAGAAGGGTAAAGGTCTCATCTCCCCGCATGGTTGCTATATAAAGGAATGGGTCACATGCCCACAACTATACAGCTCCTAGAGTTGTGTAGTGTGACCCGGAGGGAACATCCAGGTGGCAGTGCCCAGTAAGCATGGGAACATTCTGGGCGAGCTGCTCGCTCAGAAAGTTCCCACACTATCCCGTGCACATGGATACACAACACAGAAAGGCAACAACAAGGCAACAATGAAGGAATGGAAGGAAGGGATTGGTTGGGGAGCCTGGGGCACCCTAGGGCAGGGTGCTGAACCCTGACAGAGTAGCATATTAGCTAAGTGTCCACTCACACTGCCACACTCTGCTCCACTTCCCGCAAATATTTTGAATACCGTTTCTGACACACCTTTTGAATTTTGCTCTATTCTTCTTGCCCCTCACTCCACTCCTGCCATTCAAATAACTTCCTCTTCTCCATCTCCAGTGGTCCTGAATGTGAAGGAGACTGAAACATTATCTCTTCCTGAGCATCTTTGCATGTTTACACATCCCCAAACATGCTGATCATAATCACTTGAAAGGCTGTCTCCTCAAAGTTGCATGCTATCCATTAATGCCATTGAATCCATTGCAGTCAACGATTGCACCTCTAATTTTAAAGGTCCTAAGATTGGTTGCGACCCTCATCAATTAGAGATTGTCATGTCTTGGGAGTGTATTTTCCCTGCATCTCCTGGCATGCTCTGTACTATGCAGGTTGCTGTTGTTGTAAGACAGCCAAGGGGGGTCAGCTTGATGTGTCAAAACAAGTTTTTGCCATGTCAAAATTTTTGATTCAAATATCGTATATACAGGTCTAAGACACGTTGATTATACTCTATTTCCGTGCCCACTTCATGTTGCATTGCTCATTGTGGGACCCACAAGTCCAATTTGGTGGTATGTAAGTACCGAGGCCTTGACATAACCTGTGGAACTAAGGATATTCCCCTACCTTGTATTGATGAGCCCCTCATGTACATTCAGATGTAATTAGTTGGGCTAGCCGCACTGCCACATACAAACGCGGCCATGGGGTAACAAAATAGAGTACAACAACAACAACAACTAAGGATATTCATGAGTCACAGCTGCATTCCCCATATGCTGAACTTACCCAGACAGTCTCACATCCAGCTGCAGTACACCTAACAACTGCTGAGCCATCCTCGATCTCTGCCGGGGAGACTTGAGAAGTACAACACATGAGTAGACTGGTAGCCCATTTGGGTGTGAAACGCATTGGGCGGCCACTGGCATATGTTGCTGGTTGTACAGAGGCATCGGCCACATTGGGAGTGTGACCACTATTGCCAATATCACTGACAAGTTGTGAGTTTTCTGGTGGAGACTCTTCTAAGTCTGTAGTACTGGTAGATAGTTCCATGTTAAATCCATTATAAAATGTGAGACATACCGAAGGAAAAGTGTCAGAGTACCGAGCTGCTTGGTCTCTAAGTTGAGGAATCCGGAGCTCTCGCTGGAGCTGAGACCGAAAGGGAGAGGGTCAGTTTCAATGGGGGAACCTGATAGAGTGGGTTGTGATGGAGATTCTAGCTGAGCAGCAAGGGGGAAATGAGAGAAGAAAGTTACCCTCCCTGCTTGCTACTCAGGAAATGATAAGGTCAGGGTACTCAGCAATGTGGGGCCACTTTACAAGAGGGAATATATTACATGTCTGTGTCAGTCCAGGGATAGTGATCGGGCAGTGCCAGTCTGGGGTTGATGTGTCATCAGTCATGAGTAAACAGTCCAGACCCAGTTGTACCCTGACAGAAAGGTGGGAGCTGTGGGCATCAGAGATGTCCAACTTTGCCGCTACAAATCTCCTTCTCCTAGTTTCTGCTCAGTTTGCTACCCATCGGCCATTCCAGATCATCTTCAGTCCTTCCAGGTCAAAATCTGAGATTTGAAACTTGGGTGGAGGTGGCAAAGGTGAGTGTTTCTTGGCATAGTGGGCCATCATATTATACTTCCACACTGAGTTAGCCCCCTTGGGACACCAAGGGCATTTGACTGGGACATTAGCACATGGATTTGAGGGTGATGGTTGACTGGCAGCAGCATAGGAGAATTTTACGAGTCTTACACAGGTTGAATTCAGATAATCAATGGTGAAAGATTCCTTATTTGACCCTTTTGTCAACAGGGAGGATGAACCCTGTGGCCTCTGTCTGTCACCAAGCCCATTGTGCCAGATCGTCTCTGAGGAAGAATAAGATGTGGGCTGCAAAAGTGCAGGAAAATGCATTAGATTAACAAAATGGCAACTACCATATCTCAGCAGTCCCCAAATGAATTGAATAGGGAGGGGGGGTCCTTCCAAAGCCGCTGAAACCTGAAAAGGGACATCAGGTGAGATATTTCCCTAAGTGACCCCCCTTGAAGACAGCAATGGTTGACTTGATGTCAGGGCACACACCCTGACTAGCCCGGACCCGGACCCGCATCCGGACCTGCATCTGCCCGCTGTGCTTCCCGCATCCATGCACGCTCCGTGCGCCGCATGTTCTGGGCCCGGTTCCCACCCCCTCATGTGACTTCCGGGTATCCCCGGAAGTTTGCCTGATATTGTGGCCACTGTGGGAAGATGAGAAGTTAGCTTCCTTCTCATCTTCTTACCCACAGTAGGCAAGTGTATCTACTTGCCTCTTTATCTATCCATCTCCTTACCCACAGTAGGTTGTGCCCTGGATAGGTGTTAGAACTGGGCGAGGGCGGATGATTCCGGAGGGGAACTGGAGACTTAGCAAGGAGGGACCTTGGCCTCAGCGACTCAAGCGGAGTGCTGTGCCATTGCTGTTTGTCCATTTGGTCCTTAATTTCATAGGAGGCGAGCAGGAAGTCTCTAGGGGGCATTTCAGGTCAATTTTAGACTAAGGCCTAAAATGAGTATGTACAGGCACCGATATATATATAATGGGGAGGGTGAAAGCACAAGGAAACAAAGGGGATTCGAATTGGAACGAAGGCGTCCGAATGGGAACAAAGGGATGACAGAAGCGGAGTGGTACCAAAGGTCATAAGGCAGAACCTGTGGTACGTCTGAAAGGAGGTAAGGAGGGCGAAGCCCAGAGGGGCAGGAGGATGAGGGGAAGTGGGGATGATGACTAACTGGCTAGAATGGGAAGAAGCAGCAGTCCAAATAGGGATGAGGGGAAAACGCGAGGGATACATTACAAGCAGTGAAAGTGCCAAAGGTGATCCATGGAGCTCGGAGGTTGCGGAGCTTACGGAGGTTACAGAGGCGGGGTTGAAAGTCCGAGGGATATTGGCAATGGTGTTTACGTAGTATGAGGTCACCAATGCAATGGACTAAGACCGAGGTGGAGTCAAAGTCCGAGGTAGGAGCTATGACGGAGGCTTGGAGCAAAGGTACGAGCGGTGTCCGAGTACGAAGTACGGGACAGCAGCAGAAGGTCGTAACTTGGTGGGAGGTCAGTGGAAGAGGACCAGAGGGAAGAGGGAGGAAGGAGGAAGGAGGAAAGGTGTGGAGGAGAGGAAAGGTGTGGAGGAGAGGAAAGGTGTGGAGGAGAGGAAAGGTGTCAGGTCCAAAGGTGAGTATCGGAGCAGACAGGAGAAGAGTAGGAGGGTGACGGAAGGGTGGAGGTGTTGTGGGGAGGAAGCGGAGGAGTGGGAGGAGGAGTAGGAGGAGGGTGGTGAGAGGAGTGGTGTTCAGGCCGAGGTGAGTATCGGAGCGGACGGAGATAGGACAGGAGAGGGACGGAGGAGTGGAGGTGGCATGGGGGGTGAGAGGAGGTGTGGTGTCAGGACCGAGGGTGAATATCAGAACAGACAGCAGTAGGGCAGGACTCCGGAGGTGGTGAAGAAGGAGGTCCGGGAGTCGGGTCGGAATCGGATATGCACGGATATGACAATAGGGCTGGTTACACCATAGGGCTGTGGACCATAGGGGAGGGTCATGGGGACCCAGGAGTCGTCCCCTGACACTTGATGCTTTAGCACAAGGATACCTGACCTACATTATCTCGGTGAGACACCTGATGATTGATGTTAGGTTTATTTCTAGTCAGTCTCTACTGTCTTATCATTCCATGTTTATTTAGCATTTATCTTCCTTTTTCCAACCTGTTGGTTGCCTCACTTTCCTTTATTTGTAATAACTCTTACTCCTGTTACATTCAAGTAATTGATGCTTACAGCCAATTCCAAAAAAAATTGCTGTTTGGATCTCATCGAAAGAGATCAGGTGATTCTCTTTTCCTGAAAAGGTTGACCAGATCCATGCCTCATGAAAGGGTTTCCTTATTTGGTTGAATCCGCTTAGTGCTGGGGTCCGACCAGAAACGTGACATAGTGAATTTTTGTCAGGGTTCAGCACCCTGCCCTAGGGTGCCCCAGGCTCCCCAACCAATCCCTTCCTTCCATTCCTTCATTGTTGCCTTGTTGTTGCCTTTCTGTGTTGTGTATCCACGCACACGGGATAGTGTGGGAACTTTCTGAGCGAGCAGCTCGCCCAGAATGTTCCCACAGGTCACAGCCACAGTTCTGGGTGAGCAACTCGCCCAGAATGTTCCCATGCTTACTGGGCACTGCCACCTGGATGTTCCCTCTGGGTCACACTACACAACTCTAGGAGCTGTATAGTTGTGGGCATGTGACCCATTCCTTTATATAGCAACCATGCAGGGAGATGAGACCTTTACCCTTCTTCTCATCTCATGCCCCACATAGGCAAGTGTATATATTCCCTTCCTTTTACTATACATCTCATGCCCCACATAGTGTGAGGACAGGTCAGATGGGGGTTGAGGTCAGGGAGCCTCCAAGTCCGAGGCCGGGCCCTGACAATTTTCAGGTCCACCCCATCTGACCAACATCTGACACAGCATATAGGACACATGGGGTGTTGGAATATGGGATGGAGTAACCTCCCTGGCATAATGGGCGAGTAGTGTATGGATGCACACTAGAGGTCCTGGGTTCGATACCAGGCTTGTCCATTTTATGTCATTTGTCCAGTCACCTGGTTTACCTCAGTTGAATTCATGACATAAGTCTATAGCGCTAGCAGTGTTGAATTTCTTCATGGGGCAACATTTACAGGCATATTTTGCCAGACTGTGGCACAGTGTAAGTGCATGTTACGTTGTTGATCATTGTCAGGGCACATACCCTGACTTAGCCCGGACCCGGACCCGCGTCTGGACCTGCTCCACTTCCCACGTGTGCTTCCCGCGCCGCATGCTCCAGTCCCCGGATCCTACCTTCATGTGACTTCCGGGTATCCCCGGAAGTTTTCACCATATTGGGGTCACTGTGGGAAAGTGAGAAGTTAACCTTCTTCTCACTTTCTTACCCACAGTAGAGTCATTGCCCTGGACAGGGCTGTTCATAGGTTAGGCTGTGGGCCATCGAGAGGGGTCATGGGGACCTGGGGTCCGTCCCCTGACAATCATGCCACATGACATCCTTTGAATTTTTCAGGGACAAACAGTGCAAATCAAAACAACTCGGCACATGGGATGATGACAGGGACATTCTGGCTGGGCCATGGCACGGTGTAAATGTGTGTTGCATTGTTGGTCATGTTGGCAAGATGCATGACATCCTATTTATATTTACCAGTTAGTCATGTACATTTTACACAAATGACAACTGGGCCTGAACATGGTATATAGGACACCTGCAATGATGGCAAGGAGGTCAGCGCATTGCCCCCTTTCTCCTGCATCCACTTCACTATCCACTTCACTATGTCACACAACAGCAATAATGGTGTATCTTCTGAACCTCCCACTTCAGGCCAGATGTTGCACACCCAAACTGAGATCCCTATCTTTCCTGGCCAATGGGGCCCTGTCACAGTCTTCAACCCCGCACCCACCTATGTTGCTGGCACTATTCCTCTCCCCATGTCCCAACCTCCCGCTTCCACAGCAGAGCCATCGCGGTCATTGAAGGGGAAACAGACAGAAAAGGGAACAAAAGGTACTTATATTCATCTTACTACCTTTCCCAAACTTACTCTGGACATACTACTTAGATTTTGAGTACGAGTTTATGTTGAATACTATGGATCCGAAGAAGGAGGACGAAACTGTCTACTTTGTTGACTCAAAGGATCAATCACCACAAGAAGTTCTGGACGAGATTTTAACCAGGATGGGGGTGGACCTTTCTGTCCACCGGATTGGATACCACCTATCTGATGAGAAGCAATCCATTTGGACTCGTATCAATAGTGCGGAAGATTTTGCTGTTGCAGTCAAGGCCCAACGTGACATTCAGTCCCGAGCATTCAAGCAAAAAAAAATGTGTATTATCAATAAGGTTTGCAACTCTATCTACATCAGGGAGTTGTTTTTACAGTGTGTCACTCTAGGATGCAGTCAAAAAGGAGCCATGGCCTGGACACATGGTGACCAAGAAGTGCCGCACAGCCACAGATCCGAGTGACCCGCCATCCACTGCATGCCAAGCGATATATGAGGAGCTTTGCAGGAAACTCTGGTGTAGCAAGTGCATGTGACACTGTTACCACCACCCAGGTGCGGATTTTCGTCATTTACATGTCACCAATGAGGCACTTGCAGTCTGGGCAAATGCAATGGTATGTATATTTGGCTCTCATGTTTCGTGTTACTGGGACTGAAGGGTCTCATAGGTTGATGGTGTCAAGGATGTTTCATTCACTCAGCCACCCAACAATCACCTTTTTAGGGCATCCCATCTCAAACCCCAACAAAATGATGGCCCCAGCTGGAAGCATGCAAGGTCACTCACCCCACCATCACCCTCTCTAATGCCAATGAAGCACAAGAAATGTGTTTCAGACACTAAAAAGGGTTTTTGGGGAAGATGCAAGGTACAAATCAATCTCTAAGTCGCGTTCAGGTCCATTCATCCACTCATTCAGAAAAAGCGCCAGTGGTTCTTGTCCCAGCTACTCCAGAGAAGACTCGCCCACTGTCAGGGCACATACCCTGACATAGCCCGGACCCGGACCCGCGTCCGGACCCGCTCCACTTCCCGCGCACTTCCTGTGCCGCACGCTCCGCTCGCCGCATGATCCGACCCCGGATCCCACCTCATGTGACTTCTGGGTATCCCCGGAAGTTTTCGCCATATTGGGGCCACTGTGGGAAAGTGAGAAGTTAACCTTCTTCTCACTTTCTTACCCACAGTAGGCAAGTGTAGCCTACTCTTCATTTATCTATACACTTTCTTACCCACAGTAGTTATGCCCTGAGATGGGCTGTGTTTACAGGCTAGACTGTGGACTGTAGAGAGGGGTCATGGGGACCCGGGGTCCGTCCCCTGACACCCACCCATTGTAGATCTCTCACCCAGTCCTATCAAGCATGCCTCAACATCAACTCTTCCCCCCACATCCCACTCTCATTTGAAACACCATGGCAATCCTAAATCGCCCACTTCCATTTCCATCATTGAAATATCCTCGAGTTCAAGCACTCTGAGCACATGCACTGCTGTGCATCTTCCACCAGTGGTGCATGTTGATTTGGACTCGGACTCCGGGTTTGACAATGGATTTTGCGAAGTTGATCAGGATGAGAGTGCTGATGAGCTGTCAGGGGATGACTCCCGGGTCCCCATGACCCTCCCCTATGGTCCACAGCCCTGTGGTGTAACCAGCCCTATCCAGGGCACAACCTACTGTGGGTAAGAAGATGTATAAATAAAGAGGCAAGTAGATACACTTACCCGGAAGTCACATGAGGGGGTGGGAACCGGGCCCGGAACATGCGGTGTGCGGAGTGTGCACAGATGCGGGAAGTGCAGTGGGCAGACACGGGTCCGGATGCAGGTCCGGGTCCGGGCTAGTCAGGGTGTGTGCCCTGACATGAGCTTGATTCGGAGTCAACTTGAGGACTTCTGTCATAGTTCCTCTATTCTCCAAACATGTACCATAGCATAGCCCTCATGTATTATAACCAAAGTCAGGCAATATCAGATAGTTAAAACTACAAATAATGAAAAAAAAAGTGTAATTATTGTACAATGTTTTACAAGTAACTGGCATGCCTAAACCAGCTGTGTGCTTGATCACTTGTCACTGAGAATACAGCCCTTAGGAGCAATTCTGTTGCTCAGTGGTGAGATGCAGAGGCAAACTCATTTTCAACATAGTCATGATTCCTTTTCAGCCATTGTTTGATTGTCGAGAATGCCTCCTCTATCGGGTTGAGGTCAGGGGAATAAGGAGGGAGGAACTCAAGCCTAATACCTCTGCAATATGGTTAGTATGATCAAGTTGGTCAGGGACCGCACACACTGTTCATCACACATCTCCAAAAGAGCATCAGACTTGTGAATAGAGGCATTGTCCATAACAAGCATGGACTGAGGCTGAGGATATGGGTTCATGTGAATGAGAAGTGAGGCAATAAAGTCATTGAATGATTCTGTGGTGTAAGTGCCCTTCTGTATATCAACATGAATAATCCCATTTGTGGACATAGTGGGAAGAACGGAGTATCTGAAGGAATAAGAACTGAGCATTGAAGTTACTAGGTATGAACCCAATACAGACTTAGTGCCATGGATAAAAAAAATCACATCACCGAGCCCTCTCCCCACATGATGCCCAGCCATATGCATGTGAGGATGTGTTGCGATTCACCCCTGTCTCATCTACAAAGACAAGCAGGTCCGGGTGATAAGTTGTGCCAATGTGTATCCTGAAATTGGCTTGCAGTTGTTCATCACGTTCAGCTGCTGGCTTCTGAAGCTAGTAAATGATCAGTTAGAGCCACAGTTTTGGAAGGTAGTGACTGGGGGTTGACCAACCTTTTTCCTAGTGAGACCACGCCTATGCAACTCTCTTTGAATTGTCTGAACACTTGTGTCAATTTCGAGTTCATTCGCAAGGGCAGTTTGCAGTTCATAGAGGTGCAGATTAGGCTTCTGTTCAATGAGGCTATCAAGAAACTTTGAGAATCATGAGTCATGAATATCCCATGAAGAGATAGTCTTATAAAAATCACATTCACTGTATGGACACTGAGTGTCCGGCATCGCCCTCGTGTCTCACCTCAGTGGATGTGGTGCTGATAAGGAGTAGCAATCAAATGTCGGATAGTGCGCACAGGTACTCCTGAGACCTGAGCAATCTCCCTTGGACTCATTTTTAGGGACATGGAGACCAGAAGGTCCTTTGCAGTGCACTTGAGATGTTTCCCCATGCTGAACAACAGGCAAGTGCAAGTACATATTTATTTATTTTATTTTATTTTATTTTCAGGAGTTTCACAGTACCATTGGGTCCGCCAACTTCCTGAAAAAAGGTTGAAATGTTGCCAAATTTGGCAGAGAAGGGGATTCCCTAGATCTCTTTTGATGAAATTCAAATGGCAATTTTTTTTGGAATCGGCTGTAAAAGCTCAATGTTTACTTCGCTGATGCCCTCAGTTCTCATTGCATTCACAACCACGAGACTGAGTATTATTTCATTCTAGTCTGCATTAGCTGTGACATAGTATGCCAACTCTAGTGGTGGAACACCCTCAATATAAGTAGATTTCTTGGACACTGATGTACGCTGTGGTCAACTCACGTTGTTGAGCTTGCGGTATGTGATGCACTGTTATGGCCCAGCACGCGGCATGCACTGCAGCATTGGCTACTGGGTCTCGTATTGGCCTTCAATTCTGCTGTTCGCTGTCTTCTTTGAGTTTGGTGGAGCGACGCAGCTGGTACCGGGTTCTCCAGGCACATTGACTGATGGCGTGCACTGCAAGACGCAGTCATCTGCATTCCTAGGGACATCCAAGGTGGGGCCGGGCTCACAGATGCTATGTATGAGACAGAACAGCGATTCGCCGTAGCAGGGCATCCAATTCCATTCAAAATTGTTGTAAAGATCCTCAATAGTTTGCAGCACGTTCATGTGTGTGAGATGACAGAGATGAACAATTTGAGCATTTGTGAGGAAGATATGGGGGCCGATAAGCGTATCGTCAATGTCTCCCCAGTACTCAGCATGCAACTTGTTGCGAAAGGCCTCAAGTTTGAGTTTCAAAATTGAATTGGGAGCTGTGAGAGGTCAACCAGCATCAAGCATTGCGTTGTTTGGTCTACACTTGGTCCTCAGCGGGGTATCTGTAGTTACCATGCTTATAGTTTGTTTGGGGTTGCAGGGGGATGTAGTGTTGCGAAAACTCAATTGATCAACCTAGGGCTAATACACCGTGTGAATTCATAAGTGCAAGCAGACTCCTTCCCAGTCACTCACATGATTTCTCCGAGGTTTAGCCACAACTTATGTTGCCCTCTGAAATCTGTCAAGCGACTGGTACAACTTGCAACACATGATGTTCCCACGCTAAGTTGTAATGAGTTGTACATAGGTTACGGAATATAATTTTTAGTATTTACGCATGCGGTCATTGCACCCAACCCAACCTGTGGAGACTAAGGGAGCACATCTGGGCGTGCGAAGTTTAACAGTTTATATATTACTTAGTTACTAGTCACTTGTTTGTGCCCAGTGGCATAAGTGGTATAGCATTAGCTGAGGCTATGCAGTCTTTTTAAGTGGCACATGTTCAATTCTCACTTTTTTTGGGCCCTCCCATGGAATAATTGTGTGAAATGGTTGTTTTCTGTACACTAAGGAATGGAGGGTATGAAAAAAAAAGTTTCCTAAGTGAGAATCGAACATGTGCCACTTAAAAACACTACATAGCCTCAGCTAATGCTATACCACTTATGCCACCAGGCACAAACAAGTGACTGGTAACTAAGTAATATATAAACTGTTAAACTTCACTGTTACAAAAATGGGGCCGGAGGCGCCCATTTTCGTCCATTCTGGCGCAGGAATAGGGAAGGGGGTTGGACATAAGGGTTTACAGGTTGTTTCACAGATGGTTTAACATGTTGTTGAACAGGTAGTGTGGCAGCGGGTTTTTGTTGATTATTGATTGGATAAACTTAATTACTATACAAATCATGTGATACAGAACCCATAAGAGTCTAAAATGGGAAATTCCCATTTCCATAACATCGCCCCCCAGACTCTTATGGGATTCTGTGCAGAAGGCCCCAAAATGGAGGAAAGGAACAGAAGAGAAAGGTTGTGAGAAGTCTCACAATAAAGAAAAAGTCCCTCAGCCAGCACCAAAACCCAGTGGGAAAGCTTGGCATGAGGTTTAAATTACGAAACAAAACATCAAAATTATAAGAAATTATAAGAAATAATGTAAATGAGGCCTCAGCCCCCCAGACCTCTATGGTCCCACAGGGAGGTGGCTCACCAGGTGGTCGCATAGGCCCTAAAAGATTTGGGGCAGACAGAAAGGGTGCCCCAGAATGGACTCGGAGCTGAGTCGAGTCCGCGCTACAAATAGCAGAGCAGAGCCGACCCAATGGTGTTGGAGTGCGGTGGAGAGGAGGCCGCACTGAAGGAAGTGGGGGAGAATGGTGGGAGAGAGGGAGCGGATGTGGATGTGGATTTGTCGGAATCGGCAGAGGTGTCGGAGTGGGAAGTGGAGGAGAAAGAGAGAGGGGATGCGGCGTTTCTGGGGGTGGCACAGGGATGAGGGGATCCAGAGAGGGTGTGGGGCGCGTGGAAATGGGCCGGGTGTGCCAGGGAATCGGTGGTGGAGCAACCGGGTGTGATGGAGGGAGCGGCAGATGCGGCGAAATCGACATTTGCGTCGAATTTGGCGGATGCGACGGCGTTGAAAGGCGCTGAGGGGCTGGAGGGGGAATTGGAACGACCAAACGCGACGAAATCGCCGGTTTGGGTGTCGATTTTGACCCAAAATCCATCAACTCGTGAACTGGACGCGTCTGCGCAAGCGGACACGCGATTGCATGAGAATGACGCGAATTGGGGGGGTTGGACAGCGTTAGAGTGGTCGTTTGAGGGAGGGAACTGGCTGGGGAGCGCTGGGATCGCGTCAGAGCGGCGCTAGAAGGCTGCATTTCCAGCGAATATGAGGCAACAGCCTCCTTGACGCGTTTGAAATGTAAATAGAAGTCAGCCAGTCGCCTAACCAAAAAGTTCCAAGCTATATGCGAGCTACTCAGCTGGGATCCACCCAGTATCAAACTACAATCGCCCCGGGGGTCCACCTCAAAATCGTGCGGCATAAGTCCCAGTGCTGCTGCTGCCTGGGTGAATTTTCGCGCTTCTTGGACAAGAAAGCGCAGTTGGTGACGGCGCGAGCGTACGAGGCGATAGAGGGCTGATCCTGTGGCCCAATCGCGCTTGATTTCCATCCCAATCGTCTCCAGATTCAGCTGTCTCCATTCCAATAACAGATCCAGCGGTGCGCGCGCGCCTGGAAGCGTTCCACTAGAGAACTCCTCCAGGACTTGCTGCAGAACAGAAATCGCCTTCTGGCGATTGTCTGGGGGCCTCGATGCGGGGTATCGATGCGGTATTTCCTGCGCAGGGTGTTGCATCTCTGGATTCCTGAGTGCAACCGGGGTTGGGGCACCAATGTTACAAAAATGGGGCCGGAGGCGCCCATTTTCGTCCGTTCTGGCGCAGGAATAGGGAAGGGGGTTGGACATAAGGGTTTACAGGTTGTTTCACAGATGGTTTAACATGTTGTTGAACAGGTAGTGTGGCAGCGGGTTTTTGTTGATTATTGATTGGATAAACTTAATTACTATACAAATCATGTGATACAGAACCCATAAGAGTCTAAAATGGGAAATTCCCATTTCCATAACATTCATGCACCCCCAGATATTGACCTCACAACCTTGGATGTAACGGAATAACCACTTGCTCTAGTAGTAAAGCTCAGTCTCACTATATGCGCGAGAACTATTATATTACCTAGTAGTAAAGCTATAAGGTAATATACAATGAGTTATAAGATATAAGAAAGAAAGAAAGATAACTAACCTCAGTCTCACTATATGCGCAAGAACTGAGGAAAAGGGAAACTAATTCAAAAGATTGAATATAGTTTGTGGACTTCGCGGATAAGTCCGAAGTGACCAAAATAAGTAAGAAGAAAAGGTGTTGTGACCAAGTAGTCACGCTACTTCGGGAATGTGGCTGTCCGGGCGAGTTCCTCGCTCGGGTGTGGGAATGTGGCTGTACGAAAACTCGTCCGGCCTCCCATAGCACACGGTTCCTCCAACAGGATGTGCTCCCTTAGTCTCCACAGGTTGGGTTGGGTGCAATGACCGCATGCGTAAATACTAAAAATTATATTCCGTAACCTATGTACAACTCATTACAACTTAGCGTGGGAACATCACGTGTTGCAAGTTGTACAAGTTGCGGCTAAACCTCGGAGAAATCATGTGAGCGACTGGGAAGGAGTCTGGTGCTTATTGAGAAATATATGTTGTGGTGAAAGTTGTCAGAAAGTTTTTTTCAGACGTGGATTTGACATTATGGGAGATTGTCAACCACCCCCAAATCCCCATCATTCCCTGGCCCAATCCTCGGCAAGGTAACCCCCAATCCACCAGCGGACAGAACGAATATCCGACGCAGGAAATGTCATGGAAATCGGGTTATCCCCGTGTAATCCCCGTGATTTCCTACGCCGAGATTTTTGGCTTAGACGCAGTACTTGACTTTCAGAGTGCTTGAGGTGCAATGCCTTTGTTCTTTCTCAACACGACGAGACTCTGTTTCCTTCCACCCACGACTTCCCAACCAGCTGAGTTCGTGCAAGTAACTCTCAATTCTGACTCGTTCGTCCCGAAAGGCTATTTGCTGTTGGATCTTATGCTTAAGTTTCACACTCACTCCCCTGGCTTGCAGGGATGAGTCCTTTCCAGCCGAATCACTCTTGATCTTCTACATCAATCAACACCACATAACGGTTTGCACCTGGACTCCAAAATTCTCTCCGCCACACTCGTAAAGCCCTCATAACGTGTATATAGGCGCTGATTTTGGCCATTATTCAAATGAATCGACACGAAAGCCTTGATGGACCATCGGTTTTCGTGGGCGACGGTTTCAGGCTCGCTGCAAGCATGTTTAACTTCTCATGTCTTCTAGGTTTAACCGCTGACGATGAATCAGGAACGGAACACTGCCCTCACAGAGAATGTTTAAATTTGAACCATGGCAAGGCAATACGACACGCCTCATTAATTTGGGTTTTTACGTTCATTCCGATGTCGCGTAGCTAACTGTAGTATTATTTGAAAATCAAAATCTAGAAGTAGAAAGTAATACAGAGCGAAACACTAGGGCGTAGCAACTAATAATCTTCCTTTGGCAAGAGCATGTGAGTAATGCATCAAATCGAGGAGTAACGAAAACGAAGTTCAGTGATTGCCACGGATTGAATGGCATAAATGGAAGGGGTATCGATCAAAAGGAGTGTGAAGTTTGAGGGATCAAGTGTGCTACCAGCCAAGCGCTCGATGTCACATCGCAGGAGCGGAAGACTTTGCAGACCGTCGGGATCCAAACCTGAGACTGTGTTTGCCTGCTCCGTCACCCCCACCCCCCCAAGAAAACAAGCTGGCTCCGTCGGAACGCTGGCTGCCGCTACGGGACCTAAAACTCCAAGCGCTCGGTGAAACTGGTCGAGATGTTGGAGGAATGTCTGGCCGAGAGGATAGTCTAGATGAGGGACGCACGGCAGCCTGGTGATGGTGATGGTGATGGGGATTCGGCCCCTTCGACAAATCATTCAGATCATGCTCCCCATCGCAGCACGCTCGAACATTTTCCAAACCCTCGAAACCTTCCCCAGGCTCATCATTTATTTCGAAATCACCAGTATTAGGGAATTGATGTTCGATAGTCTCAAACTCTTCATCATCGCGATTGTCTAGCGCATCTTCAAAGCGCTGCTGTAGAGAACGAGTTGAGCGAGTTGGGCTGTGCAAGTCAGGGTAAGGACGATATTGGGGCTCCGAATACTGCCTCAAATACTCGGTGGCTGGAGTGGCGGTGCGTCGACTGATTGATTGAGGGGCAAGATGTGCTTGCGCGCGAGCACGTGGCGTCAGATTCCAAGAATCCATAGAGCCTTTCGACATAGCACTCCGAACACTGGACGGACTGGCCATCATAGCTTCGTTCTTTCCCTTTAGTGTTCCATCCTCTCTATGTGAACTTGGCATCGTTCGGGCAGGAATAGGGGATGGCGTCATAGACCCAACTGCTGGGGTTGAGACCAGGACGGCACTTGGACGATCGATGAGATATGACAATGCCTATAAAGGCTCAGCGTCAACCGATTGTAGAATACGGAGGATGGACTTACTCGAAACCAAATATCATGCCGCTCCTTCGTTGGCGCAGTGAACTTCATTTCTCGTTGTGGCGTGTATACGACAATGCTGTATTGATGTAATCCAGGAGGCATGGGATTGGGATCAATAACAGACTTAACGGCATCAATGTAGGCTGTCCAGCAAAGTGGAATTTGAGCCTGAGCTGTGTGCACAGATCAGAATGAAACTTACCACTTTTAGCATTCGATTCACCCGTACTAGAAGCGCCTGGGTCCGCCGAGCTCCAGTACAGAGTCCTAGTATAGGGATGTATCCAAAAGAACCGTTTATGTCGTTTCTCGCCGTGGCCTTTACCAACAACTCGCCGGGTGTACTTATACAAGAACTCCCCGATCATGGTCTGCGTGATAGCATGAATAACTGTTGGATCGGTTGATGGTGCAGATTGGATCGGTGTCTCGGGACCGGGAGCTGCGTTAGTGATTGGCTTTTTGGCACTCGAATGAGACGAGGAAATTGAAAGTCTGCGTGATGGAACACTAGATGCAGAAAGCAGAGAGGTTTGAGACATGTCACGCCTGTCGGTTCTAGGTGTGATGAATGCTGATCCGGATTTGGTTGCTCCATTCGCCGCAGATCTAAAGCTGCCAGTCGAAGGTGGTTGACGTAGACCAGCTTGAGATGGAGGGATGCTACTGCCAGGACGATTCGCTCTGTTTGGTGGGACCAGTAAAGATGACTGTCTTCCAAAGGTTGGCGTAGTTGCACGTTGAATGAGTTCTGGAGGAGGGGGTGACGTGGGACGGGGTGGGGGCATCGAAGATTTCTTCGTTGGAATTGTTGGGGGCGGCGGCATGCTTGGGGGAGGGGGGAGGGACATGGTAGGGGGCCGGGATCGGTCGATGGTGGGCGAACTAACCATGGTTGGGTTGGCATCATCCTTGTTTAGCACCTCACCCTGCAGGCTTCGCTCGCTTGTGCTTGTCATGGAAAGCGTCCTGTCACGATCAGGACTTCCAAATGTACCGATGGAATCTCTGACCGGTGATTTCGATATACTGGTGGCTAGAGCGACCGATGAGGACGTAGTTTTCATTGGGGATGATGGCACGTATTGGAACTGCGTCGGCTGGGTGCTACCAACTCTATGGAAACTGATAGCGCTTGGTAGCGCTGGTCTGGGGGTTGGGATCCATTCATCTGTTTGGACAGACATCTCCTTCGTGTCTGTGTTGGGGGTCTGTAGTGTTGCACGCGTTGTCGCCTGGGAGTCGTGTCGACTTCGAACACTGCGTCTGCCCAAAGCGTTGGCGAAAGATGTTTGACCGGTGCTTGTTCGCATACTATCAGCATCACTGTCTGCGTAATCTATCGCACTTTGGAATGAGTGGAAGTCTTGAACGGAACTTGATGGGGTGGGCTCCGATTCCCTGGCATCGACATATTCCCCTTCTGTCTCGGTCTCTTCGGAGTCACTTTCGAAAATCATCCCTACTGGCCGGGGTCTGCTCCATGGAATAGCGCGGGGAATCACTTGATCGGAGGAGGATGACAAAGTTGCAGGAGGGGACGTTTCGCTAGGGTGGTGCAAGGGCTCAACAATGATCGGAACAGGAATTGGTTGGACTCCGGGTCCCATAGTTTGGATTGCAGCATCCACTGTTGGTGGTGGAATAGTCTGCGTTGAAGTGTGACCAAGAGACGGGGAGATTGTCTGTGCCGACGAGTCGCATACAGCCTGACTGTCAGTTGAAACACCCAAGCTGAGACGAGGAGGTTCAGGGTCGGTGGATGTCGACACATGCACCATAACAGGTTGAGTCTGTACCGCGGCAGAGGCACGTAGGGCTGGGAAGCTCTCATGCTGAACACCAACTTCGGCCATGCTGTGCGGAGGGACCATTTCCTGCTCGTCTGTCTGCACGCCGGCATCGGTCGTGATGACATTTGGAAGTGGTTCAACTTGGACGCCGATCTCACGAGACTCAGGTGAGTAAATACCGTAGATGCTCTCGTTGGCAGTCGTCATAGAACCTTCACCTAGGGCACCATGGGTGCCTAGTTCTGCGCTCAATGCTGTTGGAGCGATATCACCCATTGACGGTGGACGAGGCTCCGACTTGAAAGCGCCACCACCCCTTGCACGGCGAGGGAAAGTTGCAAAGCGAGTTTCGTCAGTGTCAATTGCCGTCACAGACTCCCTCGAGGGAAGACTTTGTAACACATTCGCAAAAGCGGGGTCCATGCCATCTATACTGGTGGGACGACTGGTCTTCTGGTCAACAAATGGAGAAGGCTCGTCATCATCATCGATATTATTGCCCCCAAGACCCACGGCTGATGGTTCTGCATCATTGGTTTGATAACGACTTCCAAGCGCTCTCTCCGCCGCAACAATACCGAGCTTCTGAGCGAGCGTGAGCCTCCCGCCCCGCCTCCGTCCCGGCAGCCCACGAGATGGCGATTCAATGGTCGCCCGGTTGGACATCGGGCTTGCCATCGTGTCCTCGTCGTCCTCCCATTCATCGGGAGCCTCTCCCTTCAGGGCGAGTCTCCGACGATACTCCTGCTTCTGCTCTTTCTCACGTTGAACTGAATTCTTGAGTGTTGATATTTGTCGATGGGCGTGGGCGAGGGACTGCTTCAAAGCCTCTATTTCCGTGGATGGATGAGAAGGGGTTATTATGGAAGGCTTTGTCGGCGAGACGTCGGCCCAAGACTCGTCTTCCGTGCCATCAATTGGGGAACGTAAGCTGCTGGTATCGTACCTCCGACGCGTGGAGTGACCACCTGTAAATACATCGTCATCATCTCCCGGAGTCCCAGCGGCATCCGTAGGTGTCACTGGAGACCCAAAACGATTTGGCAAAGATCTAGACTTCTTGGCCAAATCAGATTTCAAAGTATCCAGGGTTGTTTGCAAGTCACTTTTCTCCCTTTGAAGACTAGCGGTAGTTTTTCTCATTTGAGCAACATCGGTCTCATGCTTCGATTGAATATCATCCAAGGAGCCTTGCAGCCGTTCTGTTTCGTTCTTTTGTGCATCGATAGTTTCCCGAGCAGAGGTAAGCTGTTTGAGTGTGCGCTTGTTTTCAGCCTCTGCTCTTTGAGTAGATGCGTTCGCCTCGTTCAGTTTTTCCCGCAATTCTTGAAGTGCATACTCCAAATTCCAATTCTCCTCCCTATATTTTTCTGTGAACTGTGAGTTAAACCGAACCTGCAGCCTTGTCAGACCTCAACTGACCAGCATTCGTCTGTTGTTCTCTGAACGATGCCCGAAGGGTCTCTAAGCTGCGCTCCAAATCATCTCTCTCCTCTTTCAGATCCTGTAAGGCTTTATCACGCTCGCTCAACAGCGCGTGCATGCGGCGGATTTCGCGTGTCAACGAATTTCCAATCTCGGTTGCGAATTCTATTTCAATGATCCCGACATGAGTAAAAATGGAGTAGTGTACTCACATCTTCATACCAATCTAACTCACCAACGTGATTTGCCCTCGGCAGCCCCGCATTCTTGGCACGCCGGGAGGATTGCGCAGCCGAAGGGGCTACTTCAGGGTGAAATGACATATCCCCACTTAATGAGGAACTGAAAGAGGAGGATGGTGCAGTGAATGGATCGACGTTCGGCTTTTCGCCATTAGCCAACTGTCGGACAGCATGAACGGCGGTAGTATAGGAATATCTGACCCTTATACTTACTGATGTGCCAAGAGCAAGGGCTTTAGCCCACATCTCTTGGTTCTCCGTCTCCCACGTTTGCATTGTTCTGGCCAAGTCTTCCAGTTTGTCCCTAATATGTGCAGAAGCCTCCAAATCGCCAGACTGTGAGGCTTCAATTTCTGCTTCATCCATTTGCTGTATACGCTCCTCAAGTTCAACTTCCTGACTAAGAAACCGTTGCCCCAAAGTCCCCACGAGGGTGAGCTGCCGTTTCTTGTCATCGATCAATGCTTGCAGTTGTTCCCGTATTCCTCGCTGGATGGACAAGTCATCTTCAACGGCTTGGAATACACCGAAACCGGGAGGAGCGTCGGCGGCATTGGATATAAATGACGACATAGCGAGAAAAGAGACGTGAAGAAGTACGACGCGAGCTGATTTCTGACGGAGTTTTGCTAGAGTTTGACAACAAGCGTCTATGCGGTAGAGATTGCGCTACCAGACACGTCTGTGTCACACCAACACAGAAGTGCGTAAGAAAAAGCCGGCAAAACGGGAAAAGAACGAGGGGAAGCGCCTGAGCGCGATGGAAATGCGTTTTGGTTGAGGCTTCAACAAACCTCGTGCAGTCGCGGAGTTTTCCAGCTGACCTAAGCATATTCGCACAAACGTCAGAACTCATCCTTGGCGTATCATGTATATACACATGTCGTTGGGCTGTCTGATATCAACGTAATGATAACCAAAGCACAGCGAGGATACTGATATATATTATCGAGGAGTGAGTTAGGAATTAGATTGTAAATCGTCTTCACCTATTCCAAAATTTGGATTCGCCTACGCCTCTATTCGATGTTAGCTTTAGAGATGGAGCCGAGGTGAATTCAAAATCAACAAAACGAATTGCTTGCACTCACCGCAGAATATATAATCTTATGGAGGTGACATATATCTGCAGAGAAATCGTTGGAGAGAGGAGTGCTCAGAGACAGGGCATCTGACTGACAATCGATGTACGACATTGCTGCGTTATTCTCATCCTCCACTAGCATGTCGCCCATCTGTAGCTCCGAGCCGTCCATGTTCTGACGTGCAACAAGAAACGGCTGGACTATTCCTCCTCGGTGTCTCTCCAAGACCGAAACGATGTTCCTCAGTTGCTGCGCCAAGTGTGACGAAGAAGATGGCGTATTGTGCTTCATGCATCATGCAACGCTTTACATTGGTCGTATCCATTCAGAAACGTAGTACTTACAGTGCCCGGCATGTCGTAAACGTCATCCGCATTGAAGAGAGCCCGGAGGTGCATCGGTGAGGTGTTGGCTCCAACCCAAAGTACAGTAAGCTCGCCATTGTCTAACCACGAATCAGTATGTGGACCGAGTATCAGGTAGAGAACCCACCAATCAAGTAGATCCCGTGAGACTCCATGAACTTGTGAGACGCAGGAATGTAACGTGGAATTGGGATCCACCCGGTATTCGGATCGGGCATTCCAACAAATGAGTCAAGATCGTGCAACGCAAACATCTTCGGATACAAACTCCAGATGCTCCTAGGAGTGGTCATGGAATTAGCTTTGATGCGAAAATAGTTCCGCAGCTCGGGAGAGACTGAGCCTCCTGCAACAATAGAATTTTGAGTAGTGGAAATGAAAGATGCAAGACAATAACCTCGGAGCGCAGGATGCTTCAGGATACCTAGTGCATACACTGGAAGAATCTTGAACGCCTCAGGAATTATCAACTACGGCGACGGGAAGCAGATCTGGCAACGTGCGATACAAAGATTACATGCTCGGGAGTTACCTGGGTTGGACGGGTCGACGCCGCACAATGTTGACGGTACGCTAACAAAAGTGTTGCACAATCCATGGTTAACGCTTCCTTGACGGCATCCAGTGATTTTGAAGCCAGTCTGGAGAGCACTGCACCATGAAGAGTGAGAAGGAAATTTTACAATCATTTTAACCAAGTGTACCTTGCTTGTAAAGAATTATGGTGCATGCGTCAATATCAGCGTATCGGAAGACGTTTGCGGCCAGGCTGGATGTCCCTAGTGCCAAATTGACAGTTCTAACACGTCGCTCACCAGAACGGGACGTATGCAGCACTGCAAGCTGAACGTAGATGTCTTTATTTATGTCCAAGTCATTATTGTGCGACATCTCGACGACGATAGATTTGTCTGAATCGAGTGTACCCAACTTGATTTCTGAAGTGGGGGTCTCATAAAAGTTCCCAGCATACGATGAAGGCCGAAGGGCTATAGATCATCTCATGAATGAAGCGCCAGGCTTATCAGTTTGACAATACTTGCCTGAAGAAATACGCGCAACCAATGTAACGTCGTACACGGTTTCACGCGAAGCTACGCGACGAATTTCACTTCGCAGCATAGCTGCATCGCGTTCAAGTTGGAAATTTGGGTGATAGAAAATATCGCCACCCGTGATCGCTGCTATACTTCCTTCCATAAGTGGGGTACATTGAGTGGAAGCAAATACTAGAGAGGTGAGGGTAAAAACCTATGGCAGCCACGTTGATTATAGATGCGGGGAACAAAAAGAGGTGGACTCCAACACCCGCTCCCGCAAACTCTTCGCCGACATCACGCCAAAATGAGGGCTCTGAGAGAAACACAGAGGGATCTTGATCAGATCTTGTCGCGCTGAGTGGTGTAGAGGGGCCAACACTGGCGTTGGAAGAGCTTGTGTGGAATAGCATTACCATGCCTCCAATGTCTAGCTGATACAGCCCTCTGTTCGTTGGATGGTCATTAATGAAGCAAGGGATCAATGACTGACCAAAACTGAAAGCGCGCCTTTAAGTGCAGGTCCAAGTACCACAGCATTAGTATCGCCGTGGGAAGACCAGGGCGATCGGGTGAGATAAGTGAGGAGATTTGATACAGCTGTCCTAGAGTAGTCCTCAGGGGCAAGGAAACGCAGGGATGTCACAGTACGGACCGTGACTCAAATGGGTTGACAAAGAGCCCAGAATGCAGTGGAGTGAATACGTCATCCAAGTCCGCAACAACGAGTTCCTTGGGCGCACAGCTCTGGCGAGTCAGAGATTAAAAGGGGGATGATATCACAGTCGATCTTTGTAACGTACGCACAGAAAGATCATAGAACTGGAGGGTCTCGTTAAATGTCAAGAAACCGACAGCGCAGTCCGCCAAGCCAGACTTCCCCGAAACGTTTTGGTCATTCTGATATAAAACATCTTCTATCGATTTGCAAATCTCGGAGAGAAGGCCACTAGCGACGGCGAGCGGACTGCATTCGATCACAAAAAGGACACGCATCGCGGTTGGGACTCTCGGGGACGTGACCGGCACGAGTGGAGAAGCCATATTCGGTAAGGTTGGAAATATTCGGGGAGGCGGGGGGGTGGAAAAATATGGTTCAGGAACCTTGAAATCTGCTGTCCCTGATGTCAATTCCAACCTATCAGAGAGATCGACTCTTCGTCCATCAGAACCCAAAGGACTAAAGTAGCTAGGATCAACTACATGCACATCAACACGGATTAGTGTAAAATTACGGTGTAAATGAGGCAGAATTACCTTGAGCTTCAGTGCCGCATATGTTACACATCCATTTCTGCCCGCCAGACGTCCATCTGAACCAAGGATTCACATATGTGCGACATTCCAGACAACGGAGCGGACCGTTGCCATCAAATGAAACCAACGGGATTGCATTTTCCTCTGAACGTTGCTCTGCAAAGGGTTGAAACACGAAGCCCAAAGGGATGTGGCACGAAGATGCCAGGTGGGCGGAGTGTGGGAATGCGTAGGTCGAGGCACGAACAAACTTTGGGCTTGAATTACCTGAGAGTTGACGTCCAAAGGTTGTTAGGGCGAGATGCAGAAAAAAGAGTTACCTTGATCAACCGCATTGTACTCTGACGCCGAAAGTGGGATCGTCCGTTCAGTTTGGCACGTCAAGAATGGCTCTTTAGTCCAGATACTCTGGTCGGCGAGATAGGTGTCGGCCACGGATGGTATTTGAGACAGATCGATGGCCGCCCTCGGCCCAGAAAGACGTTTCCCAGCAGTGTGGGGAGGTTGTGGAATATGGTCCACAGGCAGCAGCATCAACCAAAAGCACCAATTACGTAAGCATTGAGTCATCAAACAAGTAAATGCACCAGTCCACCGAAGAGGGCCAGTGGGAGAGAGCTTTATGGAAAAAGCAAGGATATCCGGATAATTATGTGCCGGGCACTTTTAATCCAGCTTTCAGGCGCAATGGTGGGTGTGATTCATAGGGTAGACCAGAACTCGACTGTTGACACTCGGTCACTGTGTCTGCGAAGCACGGGTTCGAGTTCACTCGTATTTTGATCTTGTCTTGGATACATGTTCTGTCACTCAGACCCTCGCCATTGTCTTCGTCTTCATCGCGACGTTTTGTCATTTGCTTGGGCGTTCTCTTGACCCACGGCTTCTTATTTGGACCTGTGTAATGAGTTTTGTTATGGGCACCATTGCTTGGGAACGGATGGACAGTGGGCTTGTTGGAAAGTTCAGCATGCCATGTGTGTGGCATGGACAGACTTCAACCTTCCTCTGACTCAATGTCGCTGACCAGTTTGTTCTGCAGATGCTGCGAAGCCCTCAATCCTCGTGTTCCTTGCCTTAACTGCCGCTACCCCAGTCCTCAAAACGCTAACGGAGGCATCCTCTTCGGATTCCATATGGGCTCTAGCTGCGATGCTCTTCATTCTTCATATACTCCTTGCAGACTATAAGGTATCGCCTTCTGGGCTGTACAAACTCACAGCTATTTTGTCAATGAATGCGGCCATTTGTGCGGGAGTGGTACTGGCATCGCGCCTTGAAACAAATGAAGGTGTCTTCGCGTTGACACTGCTTGCTTTTGAGTTGTTCGGGGTTTACCCTCTTATTCGTTCCCGTTTAGTGGTAAGCTGCATGCACACAATGGGACACTTCGCTCACGCAGCGGTAACGCCAGCATCCATTGCCCAGATTAACCCTTTCCGTCGCTATATCATTCTATGCGTCCGATCTGATGCGATCTATATCGACTCAACTTTCCCATTGGATGATATTTACCCTGAGTTTTGTCTCCTTTGCGTGCCCTGGTTTATTCATATGGGCACAAAGATTCAAGAAGTATGTCGTATGCGCTTTGTGGATAACACTTACTGAGTCATGTGTTAGTGAGATACACGGGCCCTGGGATCCTGCCACACCTCGGGTGCGGGTGTTCGCAGAGTGACAGGTTTCAGCATTCGGAAAATACTTTGCTTTGACGCGATCAGCTCAGCTTTATTTTAGAGACCGAATTAATTCGCAACTTGTGTTTGGATTTACGCACAGGTGCTGCGTCCGCAGTTGGGTTCCGGGGTAGCGGCGTGATTGTGTTGCTGATGGGGACTACTTTTCTGCCAACGAGTGCTGCCAGGGCAGGCATGAGGTGTTACTTGTAGCCGACGGACGACCGCCGGGCTGGTTGGTTGGCGGTGATCATCTGGAAGCACGTATCCGAGCCCGTCGTATTACAGTCATTTGCCTCCGAAATTCACGCTTTTGGAGGCTAGACCAGAATCTCGCTATGTAATAAAAAAAATTCAATAAAAAATTTTGCGTAATAGAGTACCATCTCATTTCTGTGTATGTAAATTTTAGGAAGGATTGATAAAGTTTCCGTAGCATTATGGTGAATCTACTGACCTCTGAAATTCATACCATGAAAAGTGATTGTCACCAAGTTGCCGATGCACACACTATCATGTCTAATTATTCCAAGGCATCTTTATATACTGTCCAGCGCTTAATTGGGGTCCGCATTCCGTTACTGCACTTCTATGGCTTTCTCTTTGTATTTTTACACTATAAGATGTGTGTTAAAATGTGCATTCAGTGTTTGCTGCAACAACTGCAAACCCAATTTGGCTAATATTTGGCATGTATGTGTAATGGTATCATACAGCAGAAGGTTATGCATGAGGTGAGAAGGCTTAGCAGTTGTTGAGAAATTGCTACTGTGAACATTAAATTTCGGAGGCAAATGATGGAAATGCGAAAGAGATTGGAAAATGGGTTTGTGTAAGAGAGATACTGTGAGAATTTTATGGGTCTTGGATGGGTTATAAGGAGATGCATCGAGACTCGAGGTGAACATGGAGGTAATGTTAAGTTGTTGGAGGTGTGAGGGTGTGAAAAGAAATGGAACGAATCGGGAACATGCATGAAAATAGGTCGTGGGCGGGGTTGTCGTGGGCTTATGGGTAGTAGAGGATGAAAGAAGTTGAAATGAAACAGGGGGATCGGGAAAGAGGAAAATAAAGGTGACCGTGGAAGCTTCGTTGGGATGGGTCGTGTAGGCGTAGAGAAATGACTTGGGGCGGTTTGTGGGCCTGGCATGTTATTAATTCTTCTGACGCGTCCGTGAGGGTATGGATGAAGGTGGACATCGTTTCGGGTGGCTGTGAGGTTAAGCCATTTTATCCGATAAATCTTGAAATAATAATAATGTTTATATAATCATTTCATCACAAGTACGTTTATGCAACAACCATACGCAGCACCAGCACAGCGATCGAGCACAGCACCGCAGGCAATCCCTTCACCGCAGTGGGAACAATCGCTTATTTCTCGTATAAGTTGCAAGTTTCCTTAGGACTCAAATCTACTGGAGATTCATGGCGGCGCCTCCCGTCCCTCCTCGTCCACACTCCTCCAGTACTCAGAATTCAGGAGATTTGGCTCCTCCAGTTCCGCCTCTGCCTCCCGGTTTCGTTCGATCCCCCTCTCAGGAGCGCCCCCTCATCCCGCCGCCGCCGCCGCCGCCGCCATTACCTCTCCAATCTTTACCCCGCCTCCATACTCCTCTAGCATCCCCAGTGCCACAACGATCTTACAGCAGCACACCTGGAGATGTAAGTTTTCTTTTCCTCGCTACTGTTCTCAATCTCAAAACACGGAGGATAGATTACCCGATCTCTGGAGAGTTCCCTTTCACCTTCCTTTCCTGTTCCGAACTTCGGCAATGATGCTTTCACAACACCATACATGAACCTATCGAGGGAACCATTAGCTCTCGATGCGCTCAGATTACCACCAGATCCCACGTACCAAACCGCGATCTCTTCTCTGGTGTCACCAGGCTCTGTTCCTCCTCTCTCCCCAGCACCTCATTTACTGCCACAAGCACCGCCTGTTATAGACCGCTCTATTTCATATCCGCTGTCTCCGGTTGTTTCCCAGACGATTCCTCTAGTGGCTGCCCAACACCAACATCTCTCACCTCGGCCGGCTAACGGGCAGCCTAATGGGGATAAAAGATATGATGTCACAGCTCCAGCAGTATTTCGTCCTTTACTCATACCATTTGCACCCATCAATCCTTTGCCTTCCTTAGGCGATCCTCCGGTGCTCACTGTGTCCTTGCCTACGCAACCTTCGCTTTCCTCCGCAGCTCAGTCAGTTAAAACCATCAATAACCCTTCGCGCCAGGTATCATGGTCAAAGCAAGTCCTTGATCTCGTTGAGAGAATTCAGATCAGCGAAAGGCGGCTCTATAATGACAATTTGGCACCCAACTTGGATCCTCGACTCGAGGTGCTAGTGGACCAAGCCATTCAGCACATTCTTTCTTTGAGCCAGATTCCTGGAAAGCCATTATACCCGTATGCGGCAGAAGCTATTTATCTCCGGGGAACGCTGGCGGCGTCAGGATCGTTTCCTGCTTACATCAAGCGAGATCTCCGGGCGGCGTTCAAGGACTTCGAAACCGCCGCTCGAAACAGCTTTGACCCCGCATGGTTCAGGATTGGTAGGGACTACGAAGGAGTGAACCAGATTGAAAAGGCCAGAGAGTGTTATGAACGTGGCGTTAAAATCGAAGAGAAGAACTGCCTTTATGTAGGTATTGTATTCTAGTCAGTACGCTAGTTGCTAAATCTGCTCTTGGGTAGCGAATGGGAATGGTACGTTCCAACTTTGCGCGGGGATTGATCGCAAATAGACAGCTTATGTTTTTCCAGGCGCAGCTTCTTGGCCAGTTGGGATTGTCGATTAACCAGCGAGCCGCCATTCCACTGCTGAAGCACGCTGCAGATTGGTCCGACGTGGATACACCCCAACCAGCGTACGTTTTTGGAATGTTGCTATTGGGAGAGTATTCCCACTTGGAACTGCCCGCTTCTACCTTCGCGCCATACCTTCCTAACTCACACGCCGAGCCACGAATGATAGAAGCTCGACGGTACATTGAGCATGCTGCCTATTTGAATTTCGCACCTGCTCAATGTAAGGCTGGATGGGCATATGAATATTCAAAGATGGGCTGTCCTTACGACCCATTACTAAGCGTTCAGTATTACAGCCTCGCCAGCCAACAGGGAGAAGAGGAAGCAGATATGGCGTTGAGCAAGTGGTTCCTTTGTGGGGCGGAAGGCTGCTTCGATAAGGATGAGCACTTGGCATTTACCTTTGCAGAGAAGGCTGCCAGGAGGGGTTTCCCCATTGCGGAGTTCGCTATGGGTTACTACCACGAAGTTGGCGTTGGATGTAACATCGACGTAGCTGTAGCTAGAAAATGGTACACAAGGGTATGTATCCAGTTTGTCTTGATGCCTCCCTTTGGCGATGTTTCAACAATTTCTTTCTCTTAGGCATCCAAACGTGGCAACACGGATGCATCCGAACGATTAAGGGCACTTAACGAGCGAAACCCATCTGTCCTGTCCCGTGAGGAGCATGATTCGCTTGCTCAGAACACCCTTATTCGGAAACGAACACTGGCTCGTGAAGCCTCCAAAGCTGCCGGGCGCAAGGCAACTTCTAACCCTGGAGATGGAACTCGCGTTGTAAAGGCTGCCCGACAAGCGATAGAGACTCCCCAAGATGTAGGACCAGAACCATCTCGACCCGAGTTGCTGAGTCCGCCACGAGTCCACCCATCAACCGAATCTCAAGGCCCATCGTCTGGTAAAATTCGCACAAAGCTCCGGCGTCTGACTCCTGCGAAATTACGAAATGACTTGGACGTTCAACTGAAACCAGTTACTCAAGCTCAGGGCGTGCAGAATGAGATTACAGCCGAAGAGCTAGCCCCGGCGACTTTAGATGAGGCGGACAAAAGCAAAATCGCCTCAGGTGATGCGCTTCCTGCTAAGAAAGGGCCGTCAACATTCGAGGAAATGGGCTACAAGAGTCAAGCGTTGGGGGATAAAGAGTGCATCATAATGTAAACCGCTCCTGCAGCATTTCCGATTTTCTATCCCAATTGGCTCGGGAGCAGTTTCACTGCTAGAACAAGAGTTTGTTGTGATGCTCTCGAATCCTTAATCATCAACGTAGCCGTAATGGTCTAAGGACACAGTTGTTAAGATTATAATCATCAGGCCAATAACGACCCACTTATGTTCGGCCCTCAGATTGCGCTCGTAGCTGAGCGGGTGGGAGAAGTATTTGTCGTGACCAGTGATAATGCCGCTAGGTGGGCAAGCTATAAATGTGTCGTCCAGGTGAGTTGGACCCATTGTGTGGCGGCTCAGCACTGCACTGTGAGGGAACTCGGCACTATGCATGACACTTTGTAGCGACGCTTCGCGCTGGAGTTGGACGACGAATATTGACTCAGTGCGCTTGATTATACAAATCCTGTGTTCTCACCTTATCCCTCGAGTCGCTGAAGACGAAAGGGTCTTCCAAGGCACAGTGTGCTGCGTTGATACAATCGGCATCAAGATATTGACGCTGTGAGTCGACAAACGTGGTCCGTGCCCCACGTCCCGCATGACATTGGACACCATCTACAGCACCAGTCATGTCGGGAAAGGGCAGTGAATCTTGGTGCAGCTTGCGACTGGGCTGATCCATTGGTGAGACATGTAATGCCAGAAGCGGATGCTTTTCATCGGAAAATGACCGTGATTTCGAACCTTCCGGTGACCTGGGTTGGCGGGCAGGACTCGGAATTTCATCAAAATCGGATGAAAAGGAATATTTCCTAGGTGATAATTTCACCCTTGCTGAATTATCACCGGAAATGAGAGTGTGCGGGGCGTCTGGAGACACAACTAGCTCTCCTTCGGAAGCAGGAGATGTGTTGAGCCTCTGCCCACGTCGAAAATAGCGACTGAAGATGGGGGTTGTGATAAAGCCATCTAAGTTATCCTCTTGGGTGTCGAGCTTACGTTTCCTCGCCTGACTGATTGGAGGTGTTGAGGATGTGGAGGAGTTTCGCGGTTTCGGTCGTCGAACCACAATATTTTCTTTTGCAGCCAATATCGAGTCAGCATTAGGCACAAGTCCTGTTGATGCATTCGGGGAAGATGTTGGCCCTGTATATCCTTTAAGAGTTAACCCATCATCTACGATGAACTGCACATACTAAAGTAGTGTGTTATGGGCAGTGATTCGGAACATATTTCTTTGATCTTGGCTATTTGCGTACCGGATGCGGGCTTCGAGAGAGAGGAGTCCCCCGGCTGGAATTGTGGCTGTATGTCAACGATTTCGCACAAGGTCAATGGGTTGATGTCTCCCTGAGCGACTAATCGCGCGAGTGATGGTTCCATGTCTCTGAGGTAATAGTGAAAGCTAAGTTTTCACCACTCCAATTGTGAAATGAACTTACTCTCCAATGAATCTTTCACATCCTTGTTCAATGGGGATGGAGTCTAGCGTTAAACAAACGAGACGCCCAGAATCCGGGTCGTAGACCCGTTGGCGGATGAAGGCGAGTTCTGCGGTTCGAAAATCTTCCAAATAGTTGGGGGGTATTTTTAAGCGGGATTGTGCCCTGATAGCCTGCAGGACCCTTTCAACAGTTTTGTACTTCCGCAACAATCTGTGGGAGGTCTTGAGCCCGAGCCCTGGGATAGATGGGAGATAGTCACATCCAGCAAGAATCTGTCTGCAGGTAAGCACCTGGAGATGAACGAAGAAGATGTACCAACAGCCATGTGACGAAATTGCTGATCCGTCCATCCATGAAGACTGATTTCTCTCACTGTGGAAAACCGGTTGCGTCGGATGCACATGCAGTTTCCATCCGAATCAAGCTTAAAAAGTACGAGTTTGCAACCAAAAACGAGCAAATCTGAATCCTCCGTTATGATCCCATCCACTGTGCTATTAATCTCGAGGAATGCAAGTTGGGCATCTGCCTCATAAGGGGCGACAATATACGGTACTCTATGTGCCCTTAATGCCTGAGAGGAATGGTTGGAACATCTGGACAAAATAGGTACAGAGCTTGCTCAACCTTGATGAATTGGTATGCCAGCTCAGGACTGACATCGACAGCTTTTGCAAGATGTTCGTATGCTTCGTTATTCTTTCCTTGTTGCAATAAACACATTGCAACTTCACGGTGTTCTTGTCGAGACTGGCGGCGTCTAGATTCGGTAATCCTCTTTGCTGGTAATGGACCGCCATCAAAGACTACGTATGGCGTTATGTTGTGATGTAAGAGGAGCCGAATCCGGCTCATAGCAAAGTCTACATATCTGGGATAGTGGATAGTGAGTCCTAAATACTCTATGGCATACATACACCTCACCTCGTAGTTGGTTCTCCATTGACGAGTTGAGCTGCACAGCTGTATACCCCCCGATGCAGCCAGACATAGCCATCTACAGCCAGCCTATCGAGACCATAATCAATAGCCTTGAAATACACCACCCGAAGGATGCACATACGTCTTTCCGGAAAAGTCAGACAGCTTGCGATGTTCGTGAATGGACTTTAACAGTGGCAAGAGTCCTTGGATGCCCATACGGGGCTAGTAGGGCTCTTAGGACGCGTCCCTGTGGCCTGGCCTGCCTCCTATAGTTCCGGAAGGAAAATTAACGCGTTGTGAAGGTTGCAATAGTCGCGTTTGCTCGGTATGATGAGAAGCCCCGCGCGTGGGTAAACAACAATAAACATGCTCTCACTACGTCGACTTCTTTGTTCCAAACATTCGAAAACGATTCCCGCCAGAAATCTGTCATACACTGTACGACAAATACTTCTTGGGGACGTCCAGCACCAACAAGCCATTACCGTTCATGGGTGGATTCGGAGCATTCGGAAACAAAAATCTGTGTCATTCGTGGGGGTTGGTGACGGTACATCGCCCGTAAATCTACAAATTGTGGTGGATCGCACCTTGATTCAGAAGTAGGAAGTGGTTCATCTTTCTTTGGTAATTGCTGAGCCGCTCTACCGTAGCCTGCGCGTTGGTGATTCGGTCCGTGCTGTTGGTACTCTTGCATGCAGTCCTGGACGCGATCAGGCGCTGGAACTCCAAGCTTTGGAGTTGTTCCGACTTGGGGCTTGCGATGTGACGGTTCGTTTTTGATTTCTCTCTAGCATCTTCACTTCAAAGTACTTGCAGTCCTACCCACTTCAAAAAAACCACCATAGTCTTCGACATTCGAGAAAACATGCCCACCTGAGACCTCGTGAGCCAACAGGTTTGGCTGTGTTGCGGATTCGGAATGCCTTGACTGACGCCTTGCATCGGTGGTTTCGAGTATGCATTTTTGTGGATCCTGTGTTAGCTTTCTCTCAATCTTTCGTAGGACCGGGATTTTACACATGTCAACCCCCCTATCTTGACCTCCAATGATTGTGAAGGGGCGGGGGAGGTGTTTCGCATTACCACCGAATCCGCATTGCGTCAACACCAGGCATCTTGCTCTGTTGAAGACTCGAAGGTCGCGTATGATCACAGCGGAAATGCCCAGCCAGAAACTGGTTCCCGGAGCGTCACCTCAATACCCGAGTTTTTCGATAGGCCCGCTTATTTGACAGTCTCAACACAGCTACATCTGGAAGCCCTTTGCGCCGCTCTCTCGCGAGTGTTCACTATTTCGCCCACATTCCGCGCTGAAGGATCGCAAACACATCGACATCTTTCCGAATTTTCGATGTTGGAGGCTGAAATAGCTTTCATCGAGAATTTGGAGGACGTTATGACGGTAGTTGAGGATAGTCTCAAGGACGCGTTGTTGCAGCTAAAGACAAACACCTCAGAGGAGATTGAGTTGATTTGGAAACTTAGCCAACGAAATACTCGTCATCCTTCAACAGAGTCGGGCCGTTCATCAAATCTCTCCGGGAATAATTCAGTCGGGTCCTGGGACGATTTTACTCGAGTCGCATCTCTTGAACATCAATGGGTTCGGATGACTTATGCTGAAGCGATTTTGGAACTACAAAAGCAAGAAACATCGCGTCCAGGCTCATTTCTGCATTCGATCAAACTTGGCATTCCACTCCAGAGTGAACATGAGAAGTGGCTTGCGGGGACATTGATCGGGGGGCCAGTTTTCATTACAGATTATCCTGCACAGCAGAAACCCTTCTACATGCGCCTCAATCCCTCTGATCTTACGACAGATGAAAAAAGTGGGATCGAAACTGTTGCCTGTTTTGATCTCCTTGTTCCCCATGTTGGAGAGCTTGTTGGAGGCTCCTTACGGGAAGACAGATTGAATCATCTTCTCACTTCGATGGACATGCATGGGGTAGATAAGGGAAATATGGAGTGGTATTTAGATTTGCGCAGATTTGGGACATTTCCTCATGGTGGATTCGGGATGGGTGTCGAGAGATTCATCAGCTGGATAACAGGGATCGAAAATATAAGGGATTGCACAATGTTCCCTCGGTGGTCTGGGAGTATAGTTATGTAGGATGATCGTCTAATGTACAGCACTACTGGCACTCGATTTTCATTAGGAGGCACGGGATACTGAACAAAAGACACACACTAGTAGCACAGGATGAAAATGATATTCAGAATCTTCCCCTTCCACGACCGCCGCCGCGACCGCCTCTGCCCCTCCCTCGATCAATGCCTCGACCGCGACCTCGTCCACGAGCCTCGTCCTTTTTACGATTTTTAGGTTTCGGTGCGTCATCCACCAAGAGCGTGTCTAAAGGAAGTGAATCAGGGAGGATGAAGTAGCGAATATGGTTCCCTCTGATAGTGAAGGTGTCGAATGAGGTTGGTTCACGGTTTCGGGCGGTCATTTTAACGGTTTTAAGATGTGTATTCATTTGAACATCAACGCCTGAAGATGCAGTTGTCTAAGTCTATACTACGTGATATAGACGACGTCCTGGCGCACCTGTGATCGTCCCATGAATTATTGAGCCGTCTTTGAGCTCGAGAGTGACGGTCTCGTTGTTCAATTTCATTAAGAACCTGTCACGATTGGGAGAGAGGTTAGCAAGAGAAGATCCACTATGGCATTGAAGGGTACGCACCGAACGAGCTTCATCTGGAGAGCTTTTGGCGTTGTTGCGCAGTTTGCAAAATCGCAAGAAAGTTCAACAGCGTCAGGTGACTTATCCTGCAATATATCAAGGTTCACTTTCAAATTATAAGCGCGCGTCTGGTCAGCCTGGAGACTGATGTACAAGAGTTGCGCGCAGTTTAATTATACTGATCGCTACACTATCACTACGGCTGAATTGCCTAGAGCATCGGTCTCCACGGTGGAAGTATTCTTGGTTGGGGTGGATTCGTCATCGCTATCCTCTGCTGGCGAAATGATGTCCCTGGGTAATAACTCTCCATCGGTTTCTAGGGATTACATTCACACCAGTTCTGAAGCTGATGGAGAACAGGGCTTACCAGGGGGGTGTCTTGCTATATATTCGTCTTGCAGTTCTGCTAGGATTGTTTCCTGCATACTAAGAACATCCTCAGCCGAGTGGCAGGTCCGATAGCGATCAATAAATTCCCTAAACGCAGTTAGACTAAGCAAGGTGACGCTTGAAACATTCCAACGCACTGGTTTAGCGCAGTGAACGAATGTCCCCAGCCAAACTTAGCCAAGAGTCTCTCAGACATGTCATCCAAACCGACGATTGAGAGGGCGGCGGCTAAGGCCTCCACGCAGTTCAGACGCCATGGTTTTCCATAATTCACGGGGTTCGCGGCGATGAGATACGGCACTGATTTTTCTGTCAGCGTGGTTGGCCACATAAGCGCACCGTGGACTCACACACGCGGTCATTTACCGACTGAATCCTCGAGAACGGGACCTCTTCTAAACGTGCCCATGAGCATTCAACTACTGCAAGGCCAGCAGATTCGACGAGTCCCCGATCGGAGGGAGACACGCAGATAGTTCCCTTCGGACTAGAACAACGTTGATGGATGTTTGTATCTCGCAAGAGGTCTCTCACCTGAGAACCGCTCCTCGGAAGCGCGCTCCCACCTTGAGTTCCTCGATCATACCGAATCGTTGTAACTTTTTCCCACTGCATCTCTTTGGGTCGCAATGGCCGAAATCCTTGTTTATCCCATTGTCACACAGAAGAAGCTCGGGGGGATTCATGACAAGAACATACCCACATCGCAACACGGATCGAGAAGGCATCCGCCCCTGATCGGCCTGGTTGAGTACCGTAGAGAAGAACGAAACGCTTTACATATGCACGCACGCAGTTCGTTGGTAGCCAAGGAGGTGGGCAACGAGTCTTCAGTCACATCAAAAGTTCTTGCACCACCACGATGTGATGTTCCAACTTTGTGTCGATGTGAGGTGTGGGATGGTTTTCTTGGCATTATTTGAGAAAGCGTTTCGGTGGAGCGTGACGTGACTTGGCCAACATCCACCCGGAACAAGGACCACGTGCAGAATGTACTTCAATAGATACGCCCAACAAGTGAGCAGAGCGTTCTACCGTTGACCAACGCACAAGATGTATGGGCTCCCACCGCTGCCATTAGAACCGTGTGACCCAGCACTCGAGGCAAGCATGATCTGTGAAAGAGTTTGGAGGTTCTGAATTGATGTTCAAATGTGCAGGCGAAGATAAGACAATTTCGGTCGCTTAAGGTTCAAGGAAAACACTTTAATGATAATTTGATGTCGAACAAAGCGTTTCGAAACCCCCATATATACCAGAAATTGGTGGAATTTGTGGGGATTGACGAAAAAGGAACTCAATTTCCTCGGGATCTATGGGATCCACATGAAGTTCGCGACGAATGGTTTGCGGAGAGTCTCGGTGCGTCCTTTTGTCTTTTGCGCTTAAGAAAGGGATAAAACATTCGGGTTGTGTGCGCCAGCTTCCCAACAGAAGGCTAGATCCCAGCAGATTGAGTCTGCTCAGAAGCTCAAGAGTAGAGCCCACATCGAATTTCAAACTTCACGCCCTCGTCCTGAAAGCAACACTGATGGTTTGGGTGATATGAGGCACGCACGGGATCCGCCTCAGCGGGGGAGGTATGATCATTCAAAGACCTCGCTGCAGCCTCCACGCTATCGACGGTGATCAGATTTGATGGACTAGTATTGAGAACATATTTTACCGCTGGCTTTCTACCTGTTCTTTACTCTGGGACTTGTGATACGTGTACTCTCAAGACTCAATATTCCAAATCTTGACAGTTCCACACTGTGTTTTGGTGTCTATGCGGGTTCTTCTCTTCTATTCAGTCAGACACCAAGCCGCCGCCCATACTTGCAACCGCTCTTCTGCTAGTTGCCTATCTAGTTGTCCAGCGCATCTTTCCCTATCTGCCGCCTTAATCTCATATTCTTGTCTGTTCCGTGCTCATCACTTCAATCCAGCTGAGTGGGCGCACATAATGGATGGATGGATGGATGGATGTATTCATTTTAAAGTACGTATCTGTGCCTATCGGCATATGCCGTACTATAATGACGCGGGTGAAAAATGTTTGGAAAGTAGTAGGTGGAGAGGAGTTAAGTGTCAATGGGTGGATGAGACATCGAGTATCAGGTGGTATGGAGAGTAAAGCGGAGTGAAGAGATAACACATAAGGACGTGCGTCCCCTGCACTGGAAAATAGTAACAAATGATGTGGAGAAATGTAAAGCATAGTGAAGAAATAGTGCATAGAAGAGACACGCGACCCCCAGTGCAGGGGGCGCGCGGTTTGCTGCTGTAAGCCCAGAAAGGTGACGAAGAAAGTGGGGTGTGTGGGCACAGTTCTTGCGGGTGAATTGGGTGAAGGCTCCATGTGTTGTTGGATTGATACCCAAGGCCTAGGGTTTGGCTATGTCTTGGTTGGCTGTTCAGCGTGACAGCAGCTCTTGTGGGTGGGTTGAGGCGAAGCGTGTTCTTGTGAGATTGCGTCTCGGTTGGCCGTTCAGTGTTTAGGATGGCAGCCGAGGGTGTTAAGTGGCTTCCAGCTCATGTGTTCAATAAAGACATGCGGTGGAGGGGCCGTTGGTTGAAGAGGTAGTGGAGAGAAATGAAAGTTTTGCGGTGATGGCAGCCTGGCGTTACCACTATCACGCCTCATCACTCTAAGAGGTAGTGGAGAAAGTGAGAAGGAAGTGAGTTGGGTGATGGCCCTCCCGGCGCTACCACTATCACGCCCCATGATCCCAAGAGGTAGTGGAGAAAGAGGGAAGAAGGGTGTTGGGGTGATGGCAGGACTTGAACCTGCACTCCTCCGGCCTGCCCATGGACTTATGGAGGCTACCATTGGCGCTACCACTATTGCACCTCACCATCCCAAAAGGTAGTGGAGAAGAGAAGAATAAGGAAGGGTTGGGGTGACGGTGGGACTTGAACCCACAGTCCTCTGGCCAGTCCCGTCTGGGCTTACGGAGGTCACCATTGGCGTTGCCACTATCGCGCTCGTCATCCCAAAAAGGTAGTGGTAAGAAGAAAAAGGAAGGGTTGGCTTGACGGCGGGACATGCACCCGTGCTCTTGCATCTCTCCAGCCAGTGCGGCTCTGGGCTTACGGGGTTGCGGTTGATTGGCATTACCACGGTGGCCACGTCATCCTCCCTTCAGATGTTAGAGGCCTAATTAGTTTTAAACAGGGGCACCGCGTAAAGGTTTAGGCCCGTGCCAGGTGTTCGCTGTGGTAGCAGAACTCCCCCTCGACTGACATCCATCGTCGAGGCCCTGGGCGTACATAAGTCCATCAAGATGACTGTCGGAAAATCGCGAGATCGATCAAAAGCACGAGACTTGACATTTAAAACGTCAAAATTTGACGTTTAAAGGTGAATTTTGGCATCTAAACGTTGTGATAAATTGTTTATGGCGTTTTTTGATATTATTGAATGCGTTTTTATACCCCTCAAACGCTCTGAATATGTTTTTAATAACTTAATAAATGTGTCATAAATGCTTCCTACAGCATCAAAATCGTCAAAAATCCGTCTCATATAACACATAAAGTACCACCACATCTGACCAATGTATTCTCATCGGCTGTTGGGTAGTTGTTGTAAATAAACGCCATGAAACGTTTCCCGGGCGTTTAAACGATATACGGGATTTTCCGACAACATCATCAATGTATCACGTGCTAATTGGTTAATATTTAAACTCATGGCGCAGAACTCGACGGAACATCTTGAAACTTGATCTCATCAACTCTCCAACGCTTATAAGTATTTTCTGCCAATGGAGCCAAGGTGTGTTCCCGCTTTTAAGCTTCTGTGGCCCCGTCTTTCTACAACATTCAAAGGCATGCGTTCTTCGAGACAGACCAGAAGGTTGAATTGAGCATCTTCGTGAAAAATGCCATCCCAGATGATGTCAAGATTGCGTTTGAGCCCCGGAAAGTGAGTCCTGTAATCGATTCCCCCTTCGTGCTACATTCTCGTACCTTGCATACCAGTTCTTCTTCAAGTACGGTGGTTCGGAACTTGTCTTGGATCCCCTGCGTTCCACAGTCGATCCAGGCAAATGCACTTATCGTGTCGGACAAGTCAAGATCGAAGTTGTGTTAGCCAAAGTGGCAGCTATCCGCTGGGGAAGTCTTGTGCAGGACATCAACCTCCCTGGTACTGTCTTTCCGCATGTCCTAATAGGGGCTGGTTCGCAGTTAACTTGAGCTCCCCGAACAAAAGATCCGAATGCGCCTTTTGCCTCTTCACTGCCTTCTGAATCCCAGCCTAAATCAGGCAAGAACTGGGAGGCATTAGCATCTTCCGCTCTTGAGAATGAAGGCAAGGATAAGACCAGCGCTGAAGATCCAAATGCCGGCGGTGATGCGGCGGTCAATGGCTTTTTCCAACAATTATATGCGAATGCAGATGAGGACACCAAGCGCGCTATGCTCAAGAGCTATACTGAAAGTGGGGGAACATCTTTGTCGACAGACTGGAATGAAGTTAGTTCATTTTGTTTTGCCTATTGAGGACTTTAGTAACTTAGAGGGGACCAATCAAGGTATCCAGGGGCAAGGTTCGTGAACTAGCACTTATTAAAAGAACACAATTTATATATATACTATTAGGTTGAGGTCCGGCCTCCTTCGGGCGCTGAGGAGCGAAAATGGTGATTATTTGATGATGGTATGAGCCATTGTTTATGCGTGAAAGTTCTACCTACTATGAGAGTTCAGCCGGGAGGGTATGTAAGATGGGATGCATGTATGGTGGAGGCATAGGCGCCGGGCGGTTAGTATCTTGTTGCATCACATGTCATGGCCCCGATGTATGTGTGATACTAGCTTGTGAACCAGTTCCTCAATGGCCCTGACTTTGATGCCCATCAAGAAAGGATAAGTTTGCGATCCATTCCCGTGCGGTCGTCTGTCAGGATGTAGATTTGAGGGGAGACATCACGATTGGCTCAGGTGAGGCATTGCCGTGTTTTCTGCCCTTGAGTCTGGTTACCAGTTCCTTGTTAGGCACTGTGATCCATCCCAAAGCCACTATCTTTGCAATCACTGGTCCGATTGTGATTGGCGCAAATTGTATTGTTGAGGAAGCTGTCATCATTATCAACAGGTATACTTAGTTAGCGTGGTTTCGGCTTGGTTTCGCTGGACTAATCACATGCATGAACACCAGGAGGAAAGAAACAATGCGAATAGGGGATGACAACCTCTTTGAGGTAGGCTGCAGTAAGTAGCCAACACTCACGGTTCTGCGTACCGCTGCCGACCTTGTCCAAAGGGGTGGAGTGCCCTTCAATAGGTGACGGAAATACATTCTCAATACGCTCGCGCGTGCATTTCACTATGCGGATCACGTCCTATTGCGTTATTGGGGTTGGATGCCTTTTAGTGCCAGAACAGGAGGAGATACTTGACGAGTTCACGACTGTATATGGTCCTTCTGCAGATCGAAGGGTTTGGAGCGGTAGGGGACGTATTCAGGAGATGGACCTGCGCCGCAAACATGCGGAGTATCTGAAGGAAACGCTGCCAAAATTCAACAGACTTAGGCGCGGGGAAGGGTTTTAGTACTCTGGGGCTTTGCAATGTTGGGGTGTCAATGCATGATGGTTCGGCTACAGGACCGGTACACTACCAAGTGATACCCAATAAATACAACAATCGATCCAAAAACGAAATGGGGTATTCAGACAACATCACTTTTTTGCAGACTTAAAAAAAAGAAAAAAAAAAGGGAAAAGGAAGGAAACCCACCTACACCCTTTAAGTCTCCTTGACGGGGCGTTATATTCTGAGAGCCAGCATTACAGAATCTGCGCCTGCCATGCTTCCTCCGGGAGCGGAAGGGAGCCTGGATGATAATGCATAGGGTCGAGTGGCGAAATTATACTCGGGATTTGGTTTTCTGTTTTTGGATCGTCGATCCTTCCTACGAACAGGGGGGCGCCTGTAGGGACCTTCCTCTTCCTTGTCATCGGGGGAAATGTCCTCTTCCTCATCTTCACTCCAGTAATTGGAAGTAGATGGGAAATTCCTCCGTTGGTGAGATTCGGAATGGAGTTTGGGCGGGGGCGCAGAAGAGACATGATTAGTGTGGCTCGATACTGCTAATAATGCTGCGGTCTTTTTCATGTGACTACTCCCAACAAGCCATGAAGGGATGACATCCTCGGCGGCCGCCTCTAGCTCGTTCAGGAAATCAGTGCTGTTGACTGGAGTATCCTGGAGAGACGAGTGTGAAGGGAAAGTTTTAGCGGTTGGTGGCATGGAATTGGGAGACATAAGCGCTTGCAACGCTAGTGACGATGCTGTAGCCAGGTCAATGGCGGGGCTAGACCCGTAAGCGCGAGGAAGAGGCTGTCTATCTGGGAAGTTGTGCTGATAGAGGCGACGATACTCTTCTGCAGGAGTGAGAGATGTAGGAATTCGGCTCTCTGAATTGTGATGCGGCTCCTTGGACTTCCCTTTTCCTTTGTGGAGGGTGTCTAGAATGTGGCGCCCAGGTATCCCGAAAGCAGATGAACCCTAATATATCTTATGAGTGAGGTTTGATGTGGATGGGTAAGAATCCCTCACCGGAGGGTTAGAATCTAGTGGGGTCTTTGGTCTCTTCTTCTCCCGTTCCTCAGGCGGCTTAGGCCTTGGGAATCGGATGCCATGGAAAATGTTGGCGCGGCTTGCCTTGATGGTGGAACTTCCTTTGGAGCTCAATGTCAGGACACTCCCGCCGTCAGAAGTTGGAAATGGGTGAGGCGCTGGTTTTCGGAGCCCAGAGTCAACATGAACAATGGGCATAGGACTCTTGGGTCCGCTGTGTTCCATGGCTGTTGACAAGCCGATCGACAAGACGATAGATGTGTGGCTATGACGCACGTGGCATTTAGAAGTCTGACAGACATGCACACTGCGATGTCATCTCGACGCCACAGGGCAATGGATCAGGCCACCACCGGCACACTGGCGTTTTAGATTGAGCATATATACTTATTTTACAAATGCTTCATGTCCGGGCTGCTGAAGACGTGCAAGTTGAAGGTATCGGAAGCCATCGAATCCACTCTTGTCCAGCTTCCCATATACAGCACGGTTTGGTCCAGATACAATTTTACTGTAAACGTATGGTTTAAGCTTGCCAGTGTGGCTATCAGCTCAGAACCGCAAGCAGCGTAAAATGTGACTCACCGGAGACGCGAGAATGTTGGCCAGCGGCGGCGCGACAAAGAATCGCACGTGCTCATCTATTAAACGATAGTCGCCCTTCCCCTTTCGAATATGTTTCCCCGGGGCTCCCGTCCTATGTCCTCCAGGAACGAATGCCGCTCGCGTGCCTTCGAAGACGAGGTTGAGCATATCAACAACAGGGCGCTGTAGCAATGACCAATGCCTTTATAATAGTCTTTATTGCCCATTTTCGAAGTCATGGGCAGTCTTGACGCTTTGCTTGAGATTGGAATAGTACGATGCATGTGGTGGGGGTTGGGGATTCAGAAAATCCTCGGCACACGTGACAGAAAAATTACGGACCTGACATGTGCACTCCAAGCGTCGAAAATGTTCAAGCTCTGGAAGACAGCCTTAAAACTTCCATTGAACAGGGCAGCTCACTCAACTCCCTTTCATCTCTAGTCAGGATTGCTATTGACGCCAACACTTCCGCAGTTGCGCACAAGTCTATCTGGGCTCTGTACCGTCTGTTCTACCAGCTCATCAGCGAGCACCATGGCCATTCTGCTAAAGTGGAGGCTAGGGCGGTTCGTTTATGGCTCCATGAACGCATGGACGACTACATTCAGCTTCTTTGCGGTCTGTTGAAGGATGAAGAAGCGCGACTTCGGGTTTGTCGTGTATACTGTTGCCCTGGAAATGCTGACGGTAAATTGTCAGGTCGATTCGCTCAATATCTTACTCTCCTTGGTTAAATGCTTTTCCGAACGTGACTCTATGGCACATTCTGTGCCCTCTCAATTACGCATTGTGACTAGAGTTACCAAAGCTCTCTTACTGTGTCCAGCATCCATAAGAGCACATCACCAAAAGAACTCAACTCCCTCTCATTTAGTCGATAATGATGTCAAAGAGGTGTTTGTTCATGATTGGCTCAATGCATTTGACGATGTTCGATGGGTTTTCTTCAAGAAATCAATGTAAGTTGTAATCTGACTTCCGCAAATGATGCTAAGTGCCCATTTTAGGCTTATGTTCAAGAGTGAAACTTCGGGACCCGTCAAAATGATTATGTCTTGGAACCTCTTGGCCCTCTTAGAAAAAATAGACGCTTTACCAACCACTGCCGATGAACTGGGACGCTTTTGCATGTTCCCGAACACAAAACATGCTAATCCAGAAACTTATAATGGCACCCAAGAGGATCCTGACGAGGATTGGGGACTGTTTTTTGAAACTCTTGAGGAGGGACAACATGAGAAACGAGTCTCTCGTCACCTCAAGACCTCTGTTCGTGACTCCATCGAGTCTCTAGCCTCTCACAGGGCAGTATTTTCTGCTTGTTGGCTTTTTCTGTTGCCACAGCTACCAATGTCTTCAGCTCTTTCGACACGAGCACTCTCAATTTTGCATGCAGTGGCAATTCCTCACGTGGATCAACCTTTGAGGTTCATGGATTGGATTGCTTCCTGTGTCGATCAGGGTCAGCGTTCCTTACTTGCTGGATGAGTCATGAATGTGATAACATTGCTTAGGTGGTGCAACTGGGCTCCTTGCATTGAATACCCTCTATCAACTCATTGTTCGCCATAATATGTAGGTTGCACAGCATACCATTCACAAATGTCCGTCAGATTGATTTCTACGGCCACAGCGATTACCCGGATTTCTATCGGCGGCTGTACGGATTCATTGATCAGGAATTACTTCACTCCAAACATCGCTCGAGGTTCTTTCGTCTTGTCGAGGCGTTTCTTTCTTCGTCGTGAGCATCATGCGGGATAGACCCCTGTTAATCTCTGAATAATCCTGATAGTCACCTACCGGCAGTTTTGCTTGCATCCTTTGTGAAACGTCTCTCACGGCTATCATTGCGAGCGTCGCCAGCTGCGTTGGTTCTCATTATTCCGTTTGCATACAATGTTTTGAAGAGGCACCCGGTTCTCATGGTGATGATTCATAACCCTGTGCATAACTTCGGAGACGGTTAGGAATCTCCGCACCTGATATTCGATCGCTGATTCACCATCGATTGTGTCCAGATCCATACAACTCAGTGCAGGAATCCCCACTTCTGACCCATGCTTTACAATCCTCGTTGTGGGAGTTGAATTCACACCGGCATCATTACCTTGCCTCGGTATCTACAATGGCCGAAATTCTCAGCCAGCCGATGACGAAGGTAGCTTATGATCTGGATGACTTCTCAGATCACTCAGCAACGACGGTATGTGCAATCCCATATGTCCTCAATGTATTCTGAGCATTGTATCCAGATATTTGAGAATGAGACCTCACAGCAAATAAAACATCCCTTGATTTTTGGCTTGGATGTAGTAGGAGGCTCAGACAATCCCATGGTGGCCCACTGGCAGCTCTCCACACCTTGAAGAGTGTTCACAGTTTTTGCTTGACTCTGATAACTACAGTGACACCACAAGTCAAAATTTGATGAATTTTGGACTAGTCAAAAGTCTACAGTTTCTCATTCCTGAACCAAATGGTTAACTCTATGTAGCATATCTGATTTATGAAACTTTGAACTTTACAACATACCTGGTTCTATTGTTAAAGAAATGGATCCTGGGTAATCCATTTCTTCCTGCCCTTATAGACTAGAGTGTGTGCTTCACATTGCGGAAACCTGCACAGCCATGGCAGCAGAAACATTGTGGTATTAAATCAAACACGCTTTTTGACAGTATGTACATAGAGCTTAGTCAGGTGTGGTGTTTCTTTGAGACAGGAAGGTAGGACAAGTAGAAGGGGGGCCTCAGACAGATCAGAAACTAAGAAGTGAGAAAGATTTTGGCCGCAAACAACGTTTCTGCGAGGGCCGCCTTTCAGCATTTTATTGAGATGTGTTGCAACTGTGACTTACAGAGAGCCTGTTTGGATGGGGATGCAGTGAGGGTCGCAATGTCATTCTTGGGAGTAGGGCCATTGCTGTTAGAGACTGGAGCGAGATGAAGGAGTTGTCTCCATGGTGGAGGGCTTTGGCCTCAGCGACTCAGACCAGGAGCACTGTGCCAAGTTACATGTCCATGCCCTAATTTACTTACTGGCAACGAGAACTAAAAAGGGGGATCAACTCTAGTCGATTTTATCACTGGAGTGTAACCTGTGTACAAGTTAAGTATATATAGTTACAGCAAGGGCAGGGTGGAGCTAATGGGGATAGATGTTAGCCGACTGAATATTACTGACGAGCCAGGTTGCAGGTTTAACGGAATGACAGGTTATGACCCACAAGTGGAAAGGAGGGATAGGCCTGAAGGTAGACTTGCAGGGCAAGCAAGTGAATTGCCCAGCGGAGGCGGGAATGCGCTAGCGGATGTTGGAGCTGTCTGGAGAGCTTTGGGGCTCTGTACTTAGGGAGGCATAGGTAATATATTGAATTGGAGAGGTGGTGACCATCGGGGGGGGGGGGGGGTCAGAGGTGATTGCGGAAACCAGGGGCTCCGAGGTTAGTGGCGGAGGAGCGGAGGTGGTTGAGGGTGATGGCCATGGATGGATATGACAGTATCCCCTTCTTAGGCCTGAACCCTTGAAGGCCCAGAATTAGTAAGGTGAGGGGAGCTGTACTTACAGAAGAGAGAGAAAAAATGAAAATGAGGAGTTGGAGGGAAAGGAGAGATGGGAGAGGAGTCGAGGTTCCTAAGGAGCTTCAGGACCAGGCTTGTCTGGGTACCGAGAGTGGAAGGCTTCGACGAGGTCGGAGGCATGATCGAGTTCACTGGCAAGGAGCCATTGTGTCTCCTCATCGGTCCCTTCATAGCCTAGCCACTTGACCAGGTAGAGCAACTTGTTGCATCTACATCGGTCAATCTTGGAGTCGAGTATCTCTTTGATCTTGAACTCCATTTTGCCTTCGATTTCTATTGGAGGTGGAGGTGGCTGGTGGCAGTTTGGAATGATGTTTGGGACGGAGGGTTCGATCTGTGAGACATGGAATACCAGGTGAATGGCTCGCATGTTTTCCGGCAGGTGGAGAGTGAGGGAGTGGGTTCCAATGCGGGCAATGATCTTGAATGGGCCAAGGTTTTTCTTGGAGAGCTTCTTGGAAGGTCGGGTGGAACGGAAATACTTGGCCTTTACATAGACCAAAGTTCCTACCTCAAAAGCTGGGGCAGGACTCTGACAGGAGTCTGCCGGGCCCTGGTAACGGATCTGAGTGTGGTGCATTTCCTTGCGAAGGAAGTGGTGGAGGGAGTTGAGATCTACTGAGTACTCTTGGGCGCATACTGATGTTAGGTCTTGCTCCGGGTGAACAGTGATGTTTGGATGGTAGCGATTGTTGGCGAAGAATGGAGAGATGCCTGTGGTGGCATTTGGAGCATTGTTGTATGCGAACTCCACGAGAGGTAGGAGTTTGGACCAATTATCCTGCTGATAGTTACTATAGATGTGCAGGTACTGCTCGAGCATCTGGTTCATCTGTTTGGTCTGTCCATCTCCTTCCAGATGATATCCAGAGGTGAAGTGGAGGCGGATGTCAAGGGCTTTACCAAGTGAATGGAAAAAATGAGAAACAAACTCCAGACCCCTGTTGGAGGTGATGTGGGAAGGAACTCCATGCTTGGAGAACACATGGAGGAGGAATAGCTTGGCCAGTTCCGGAGAGGTGATGGTATTGTGGGTAGGAATGAAAATGCACTGCTTGGACAGGTGGTCCACGATGACCAAGATGGAAGTGAATCTGGAAGAGGAGGGTAGCTGTTCGATGAAATCCATGGAGATGGAGTTCCAAGGACGTTCAGGGATAGGGAGTTGTTTGAGTAAGCTGTAAGGCTTGTGATGGGGAACTTTGGCACAGGCACAAGAAGTACAGGAGGACACGTAGCTCTTGACGAAGTTATGGATGCCCAGCCAGGTATAATCATGACAGACTAGGTCCAGGGTCTGGTTTTGACCAAAGTGTCCGGAGAGCTGGTGGTTGTGTTTGTCTCGCAAAATGCGGAGACAAAGATCATTGAAATCTGGAATGTAGATGTGGTTGTCCAGCCTTAACAGGCCTTTGGCATCAATGGACCAGTGGGAATTGGGGAGGTTGGGGGAAGCGAGATGAGAAGAGATTGTGGTATCAGAGGAGAGGGAGGCTAGAATGTCTCGATGGAGAGCCTCTGTGTTGACGAGTACAGCTGCCCAGATTACTGTGGCAGCTAGGAATGTGGCTTGTAAGGATGCAGTGAGCTGCTCCAAAGTGAAGACCAGTCAGAAGTTCTGTGGATTGATGCTATAGCAGCTCAGCTTATAGGCACTCCTGAGTCAAACTGTAGTGTTAATACACAAGTAGTAACAGTTGAATACAAGTGAGACTTGCCTGAGTCGAACTGTAGTGTTAATACACAAGTAGTAACAGTTAAAGTTCGACTCTGCAGTCATGTGACTATATAAAGAGAAGAATAAAAGAGAAACAAAGGAAACAAGAGGTAGATAGACTACAACAGATGCGAGCGTAGTCCATATCCCCTTCTTTGGGATAGACATCCCAGCGTCTAGTCAACGCATCTAGTTTTACTCCGAGTCTTCCGCGATGGAATCGGACAGTCATGTGGAACTGGGAGAGGAACTCTGACCAGTGGGCTTGCTGCTGGGTCAAGAGTTTGGTGGTAGAGAAATACTCAAGGTTTTTGTGGTCGGTGACGACATCGATTGGGGTTCCTGAACCTTCAAGGTAGTGGCGCCACAATCGGAATGCATCGTGAATGGCAAGCAGTTCCTTATCATGGGTGTCGTAATTGAGCTCTGGCACCGAGAGTGTTCTAGAGCGGAAAGCGATGGGGTGAATCTCTCTGTCACCACAACGGATGGACAGGATTCTGGAGATCATGTAATCGGAGGCGTCAGTTTCTACAATGAGGGGGGTGTCGGGTGTCCAATGTGTCAGGATGGGAGTGGAAGTGAAGGCTTCTTTCAGGGTGTTGAAAGCAGAACAACAGTCATCAGAGAATAACCAAGGGGCTCCTTTACACATGAGGCGCGTCAAGGGGACCACAATGTCAGAGTATTGGTGGATGAAACGCTGATAGAAGTTAGCGAAGCCAAGGAAGGACTGGACATCCTTGACTTTACGGGGCTCGGGCCAATCTTGGATGGCTTTAACCTTCTCGATGGACATGGTGAGTCCGGAGGGAGAAAGGCAGTATCCAAGATATTCCATAGTGTCCATATGAAATTCGCATTTCTTCGGATTGGCATATAGGCCATGTTTGTGGAGTCTCCTAAGAACTTCTCGGACATGCTCCTGGTGTGAAGCCATGTCTTCTGAGTAGGTAAGGATGTCATCTAGCTAGACTACCACAGAAACGTCCAAGAGGTTGGCAAAGATCGTGTTGACGAATTGCTGGAAGGCCACAGGTGCATTTGTGAGACTGAATGGCATGACGAGCCACTCATAGGAACCATAGCACATGCAGAAGGAAGTGTTCCACTCGTTGCCTGCCGCAATGCGAACCAGGTGGTAAGCATGCTGGAGGTCGAGTTGGGTATAGACAGTGGCACAGCTAGGTGCATCAAGGAGGTCTGAGATGTGGGGAAGTGGGTAGCGATCTTTCTTGGTGATCTTGTTCAGCCCTTGGAAGTCAACGCAAAGACAGAGGGATCCATCCTTTTTGTGGATGAAGAGGACTGGTGCTGCATGAGTGGAAGTAGCGGGACGAATGAACCCGGAGGCTAGGTGTTCATCTAAGAATGCCTGGAGAGCCTCGAGTTCCGAAGTAGAGAGGGAATACATAGTTCCCAAGGGTGGTGAAGTGCCTTCCTCAAGGTCAATCTTCAGGTCATGCTCATGGTGCAGTGCTAGCATCGAGGCTTTGCTCTTGCTGAACACATCTGCGAACTCATGGTACTCCTTTGGAATGGCCGAAAGGTCAACGGAATCAGTGTGGGATGAGGCAGCCCTCAAGTGGCTGTCCTCGGAAGGGATGGTTAGGCTGAAGGATACCGATCCTTCAAGTCGACAAGCCTTCACGAATGCGGAATGGCTGACGAACTCAATAGATGGTATCGGAGGAATGGGAGCCTGGGGCTGAGGTGCTAGCAGAACATCAGATGGTTGGATGTTGGATGACGGCAGTGGTGCTGGAGACGACAGGGGAGAGCTCAGAGTAACTGTCTTGGTAGGTTCAGAAGTTTGGAACATAATACTGCTTGAGACCCAGTCAATCAATGGATTGTAGCGGGTAAGCCAGTTGTGTCCTAGGACTAGGGAACAAGATCCATCCAGCGATGTGACAAAGAAAGTCGTGGGGGTGATGTTTCCAGAAGCGAAGTGGAGGGGAATATCAACGGCACTGCAAGAGGGCTAGCGGCTCTCTATGCCGACTAAGCTCGTGGGGCCAAACTCTCCTAAAACTTCACTTTCTCTCTAGACTTTGCTCGACTCTCAATCCTTAACTCCATGTGGTGAGTTCTCCGGGATTTCCGCAAGGTCTGGGCTCAACAAATCCACTACCCACTCGTTGCAGGCTAGATTGTTGCCCTTATTCCTACTGTTGGAATTCCACACACTCACACCCACTCTAGCGTGTCCTAGCACCTTAGAGAAAATTGGGGGAGGGGAGAACTTCTTTTCAAAAATCCGGTATGTACAGGATTATAAGAAATAATTATTTTT